TTTTTAAAAAAAAAGAGCATCGCTTTGGTAGATCTGTCTTGTAACCTCGGGATTCAGCATTTCAAGAAAGGTACTGAAAGCCCAGGTGTTCTAGATGATGCCAGCAAGGACTCCCAAGAAATCTCTCGAGCTCAAAGTCTGTCAGCTGGGCTAGAAAGAGATACAAGCATCATCCATATAGGATCACAGGAGGCTTTGCTTTTTCATGTTCAGTTGTTCTCAATAACCTAAAGCGGGTGGAAGTCTGTTCTGGTATGTATTTCGGATTCCCTAGACATCGACAATTGAGAATGTTGCGCATAGTTAGCGCAGCCTGGAAAATGCAATGACGACCTCTCAAGAGATTTATCGAGTTTAAAGTTCGTTTTGGCTAGTTTTGGACGATGGACGAGGACGGAGAGCATTCATGTGATTATCTAAGATGGCATTGTTTTCATGATGACTACTTTCCCAACAACCTGTGTCCATGAGAACTCCATCTTGGCCGATGCACTCTTTTCCAATCTCCTCGGCTTGAACTTCAAGGAAATTTTGGGAAATCAGGAGTGAGTGGTCTAGAAGACAAAAGCAAGAACAATCTTTCAAGAGATCCATTGAGCTAAAAGCTTGTACCAGCTGGATTTAGATAACACGCCAGAGCATTCGTATGCACACCCAAGGGTATTAGGACGGTGTTATTCTCACATTGAGTACTTTCTCAAAAACCCCGACCCATGAGAAGCCGATGCACTCTTTTCCGTTATCTTGCGCTTCGGCCTTGGAGGAGTACTCCCAAGACATGCCGAGTGAGTGAGTCTGGTCCAGAAGACACAAGTGTGAGCTTCCTGTGTGCACTTGTGTCCTTGTACAAGTCGGTGGCCACCCTCCTTCTCACTCACAACTTTGCGCAATCATAATCGCGCAAACATGTAAGCGGGACGAGGGAGAAGCATCACTTATGCGGTCAAAAGGATGAGGTTTCCACGGCTGCCCATGATGGTGGCCAGCTGGTTTGCCGATGATCTATCACCTATTACTTGCGGGTACTTTACCATCCACCAAGCAGTCACAAAACGCCATCCAAAGCGGGCGGCGTTGGTCCAGGGCAACTGGACGTAAATTCGTACGCAATGCCTTGAATTAAATATATATATATATAAGTTGCTGTACTTTACTAGCTGTGTAAACAAGATCCAGCGTGGTCATGTGCTACTGAGGATAAATAAGAACATTGTTGATTAAGATTGCACTTCACGAACTATATATATGTATATGTATATTTCCAACTCGCGGTAATTCACTTAGTCAAAATATCAAATGCACATATTTCTTCAATAAGACCGTAATGGATACCTATTCTCTTCACTGCCCATACAGACAAAGACGAAGAAGCTCTCAACAATCACCATGATACTTCTCTAAACAAGAAAATTACCTGTCTATTCTCGCTCAGCACTACAATCGCTCGTATTCGTATGACAACACGTGTGTAAGGAAGGAGAAAGCGTCCTAGTGATCCAGCGAAAGGTAAGATTATTAATAGCTACCAGTATACCCAGCTAGCTCATGAACTTATTACCCATTACCTGGGTCCCAAGGCCTTCTCCGCAGTTACGTGAGCTTCTTCGAGCTCGTGGCTTGTGACGTACAGCCAGGCACTCACAAGTCTATACTTCTATCGCTTCCGCTTGACTGAGATGTGAATAAGAACGACAAGGAGCGGAGCTCAGAGCAGCTGGGAGACAACAGGAAAGGAGGACCGAACGCTATGCTCCCAGTCTGCTGGCCTGGACGCATTCTCACAATGGCGTTAAATCTTTTTGAGGGCAAAGGTTTTCCAGGGAAATCTGAGCCTTTTTCAATTTTGGTTCCTTCACTAACTGACATCAATGGTGTAAACAACAGCACTCTGACCTGATCGTTGTCCTCTGCTGCTCGACACTATCGTTCTTCGGTACATGTCACAGCAGTCCCCTTTGCCCTAAATCACAGATGGAAGAATGCCTGGATTTATAACTCAGTGATGGTTCCCTTTCTCAGAGGGAGGAAACTTCATGGCACTTCTACAGAGGGGAAGACAATCAGCCCTGGAACAGAGTCACGAATAATGAGGACCACAACATCTGCATCAGCCCCATCCAAGGCAGTTCAGGACAGGCAAGAATCCTTTGATAGTGGTTCCAGACTGTATATATATAAAAAAATGGAAGAAAAACTGCAAGTGGACGCCTTTGAGAAGCAGATTGAAGCATATTTTTCCATCCTCATCTCCCATATGAGTATCAAACGTTACCGAGCCAGCCCATGTTGAAGCGGAGAAGCACAACCAGAATGACGCCAAATCACGTCAACCAGAGGGTTAGACCAAATAGAATCAATGCGTTGCTACTAGCTACCTAAGGCAAACTATGCTGCGGGCGTATAGCGAATGAATAACACGAGGACGAGCGAGATGAAGAAAGATCCCAGTCTATCTCCCATCCTCTTCTGAACGCGCAATAGATGCATCAGACCGATCCGTCGTAACCGTGGACACCTCCTAGTCGGTGCCTTCGTCGTTGGGGCGAGTAGTCCCTCTTAAGCGAGCTGACTGTCGTCCTTCTTCGCAGCGGCGGCTGCCGTGGAGGCTCCCAGCATGTCCCCTAAGACGGGCTGTTCCACCCCACCCAGCTCCGGGGCATCACCCGCCAAATTTTAACCTCACCACTACGCAAGTCATCCAGCTTGAAGCTCTCGACTTTGTTCTTTTTGCTTTCGCGGCCCTGCTCCCAGGCGCGGACCTTTTTCTTCGTACCATCCCATTCCGACACAACCGCCACGTGGTCGGGCTTGCCAACCTCCATCGAATACTTGGCGTGCATGGGGCCGTGCTTGCCCTGGAACCGAGCGTTTCGAATGGAAATGATATCGCCGGGTCGAATCTGGTCGTTTTGTTGTGTTGAAGCGTTGGCCATGTTGGAGTAGACGAGCGCGCCATAAGCCCTAGTACCAATCGGCGCCAGGGCATCGCTGAACGGCTTCAAGAGCTCGTGGATGAGACTTTGCGGCGTTCCATCGCCAACAACCGTCTCCTTCTTGGAGACGACCGCCTCGGAGATGGGCCTTCCGAAGCGTTCGTAGGATTGCTCAAGCTCATCTTGTCGCAGCGCTCTGGGAGGCGGATCATGTCGTTGATCTAGCTGGACGTCTGCCGCGTTGTTCTGGTCGTATACAACAGTGACGATGGTCTGCGAGTAATCTTGGAAGAGCACATAGATGGTACGTGTAACGTGGGAGCCTGATGTCGAGTCATCTGTCTCGTAGTACAAGTCCTTTCTACCCTGGAACACGGGAGGTACTGTCTTATCCTGACGCCACCATCCACTTTGCTTGGCCAAGTCAACATTGTTAGCGATGAAGCCTGATTCTGTGGACATGGAAGGTCTGTGCGCATCCATAGAGCGCCGTTGAGACATGGAGGCTCGCGATACATCCAGAGACTGGCGAGCTCGGCCACCAGGAGGGGCGGGAGGCGGAGCTCTCGTGTGAGACGGCGATGGCATAGGCGGAGCATCATCCTGGAAGTATCCTTCCTCATCGATCTTCGGGGTTCGCTGAGAGTACGGCAGCTTCGGGGTTGAGTAGTTATAGGGGTCATACTCGTCATCGTCTCTCGCCGGCGGAGGAGGCGGGGGAGCTGTTCGTGGTACATCCACCGAGCGGCGCTTATCAGCAGTCGGCACCGGGGGTGGGGCAGCTCTAGGTGGCGGGCCGGTTGGGATGGGCGGCGGCATGGTCGGTGGTAGGGTCGGAGAAATGGGGGACCTGACTGGTGTGTTGTCGTCGAGGCTCGAGTCCCTCGCGTGAGACTTGAGAGCGTCCTTGTGGGGAACTGACGAGGCAATGTCGGTGTCGTAGTCTCCCTCATACTCGGTAACCTCGTCCTCATCGTCACCTTGTTGAGGAGGTCTGATCGGAGGTGATATAGGTGATGCTACGTGCATGTCCTGCGTCGACTGACGACTCAGAGCGCCACCTGGAGGTGGTGGAGGAGGCGGTCGCGATTGTGCCGTGGGGATGGGAGGCGCCGCTCCAGGGATAGGAGGCGGGACTCTGCTCATCCGCTTGCTTGCAGAGCTGGTGGGAGACGTTGGTGAAAACTCGGAACCAGGGATGGGAGGTGGCGAGCGTGCGGCAGTGGCAACTGGCGGCAGTGGTGGGGGTGCTCGTGCTTCTTCGGCCTTGGGAGTATCGTGGGCACCTCCTGATAGCTCGTCGTCGGACACTGAGCCTTCACTGGGGGATTTGAGCCCAGAAGTAGGGGGCCGAGCTGAACTACTATAAGCCATTGTTTCGATCTGAGCTTACGCAAGGCAGAGAACTCACAATCGATGGGAACAGGCGGCGCTGCGGGCCGGGATCCTGGAACTGGAGGAGCTCCAGAGGGTTCACGGAGAGGAACTTTCTATGGTTAGCAAAGAGAATTGAGATATTCTCGGCAGACGTGTTGAACAACTTACGACTAGGAGGGGGGCTCGTAATGGGCTCGTCTCTGTCATCATCGACCTCAATTGTTCGTGGAGGTGGAGGCGGCGCTCTGGGAGATGTTGGCGGCTCAGGCTCAGTGGCAGCCTCTTCTTGGCGTTTGGGTGCGCTCAGCCCTGGCAATGCCATCATACCCGGCACGGCGACACGGCTAGTAGGTGATGTCTCCTCTTCGTGCTCCTCTGTTGGCGAGGCTTCCACTGGCTTTTCGATTGTCTTCTTCTTCTTTGGAATAGCCGGAGCAGCCATTGGGATTCCAAACATGCCGTGCATTCCCATCCCGCCGCTCATTTTAGCCATTCTGGCTCGAAGCTCCTCCTTTCTGCGGACCTCGGGGTCAACATCGTCCTCGTCTTCTTCATCGTCTTCGCCTTGCTCATCAGCTGGGTCTTCCTCATGTCTTGCCTCAATAGGCGAGGCGACTTGAGGCCGAGGAACAGGCCGGGGAACAGGCCGTGGAGCTGCATCACTGTCATCGCGTTCGGTGAGATCTTCCGGACCCTCTGTAGTGTCACCAGCCCCAGACATGTCCGCTTCATTACCGTCATGGTAGCTCTCGGTAACAGGGCCCTTGGAAGACTTTCGTCTAGGTGGGGGTGGCATACGCGCTGAATCTATCGAACTTCGGCCCGCCACCTCCTCCGCATCGGCCTCGGGTGCAGGAGCAGGAGCAGCGCCGGCATCCTCAGGACCCTCCTGGCTGTCGGTGCGCTTCTTGGTTGGTGGTCGTGCAGCCTTCTTCTTCGCAGCGGCCTCGGCGTTACGCTGTGCTTGTTCTTGTTGCTGTCTTTGAAGAAGTGCAATGCGCTCCTTCAGGGTGGTCGGCTTCGGCACATCTTCGCCCTCTTCGCCGGAGGGACCAGGAACTATGCCAGCCTTCTCAGCGCTCTCCTGGGCTTCTGCCTCTCTTTCCAAAATTTCCGGGTCCTCGTCCCTTCGATAAACCTTTGCGATCGGTGCCTGTGTAGGTGGGGGAACGTATGCATTGCGGCTTGGAGGAGGAGCCACGAAGGGCTTCTTGATGTGATAGGAACCTTGGGCCAGCCCGCTCGGCTTAAAGGGCGTAATGGGAGCGGCCGAGGCCTTGTTGAATGCAGCGATGCGATCCTTGAAAGCATTGCTGGACGGTTTGGGCGGTGGTCCGGGCTTCGATGAAGCAGGCGCTGCCTTGGCGATGGGAGGCGATGTAGCTGCGGGGGACTCAGTCTTGGGAGCCGGAGAAACCGGGGTCGGTTCGGGGATTGGCTCAGGTGCCTTCACAGGCTCGGGCTCGGGAGCTGCGGGTGCTTCGAGCGAGGCAGATACAGCAGCAGCGGGGGGCGGCGCGGGTTTCTCGACCTCATTGTGAGCTTCTTGGGCGGGCTTAAGCTCGGATTGAGGAGCTGGGGCGGCCGCCTCCGAAACGGGGGACGTTACCTCGGCCTCTTTCTTGGTTCGGGTTCTCGTTGGGCGAGGCGGGGCCTGGGGTTCGAATTTCTCGACGAAATTGCGAGGAAAGATTCCTTCGTGCTTGGCGCCAGAGTCGTCAACGTACTCGCCGGTGAACCAGTCAGCATCCTCCTCGTCCGTCACGGTGATGATGACGCCGGCGGGGAACTGGAGGTCATCCTCGTGGGGCGAGGAGTATTCGAACAGGGCCTTGACCCTGAAAGGGGCGGTCGACATGGCCGGCAGTGGTCGGGATAGTCCGTCGCTTTCGTCAATATCGTCGTAGTTGTCGATTTGGCTTGTCGTCGGTGTGTTTGTGGGATGCGAACACCTGGACGGTCGAAAGAGGAGTTGGGTGCCGCAGGTCAGAGCGACCGACGCTGGAGCTCTATAGTGTGGGGCAACGGAATCGGAACGTCGTCAGCAGCTTAGACCTTGCGTGGGCTGTTGGTTGCAGCAGCAGCTACGACCGGAAGCGAAAGCACGGAGGTCAGATTCGGGTAGGAGCAACAGCAACAACGGCAGCGATGTGCGAAACGAGCCCGTGAGAGTAGAAAATTATGACAAGGTGGACGGTGACGGTGTTGTTGAGCGGGTTGCGACTGCGCTGGCGATTTCTCAAACTGATCGAGGGGGAGGAAGGGGGGGGAGCGGTCGGAGAAGGAGGCTGTGAGGAAGGGACGGACGGGGGTGGAGGGATCTACAAGTTGGCGTGTCGACGTCAGCGCATGAACTTGTAACTCTCTTAGTTCAATGTGTCGGGGCAATTGGGGGCCCTGCCTGGGAAGTCTGCACTATGCGAACACAAGAGTCATGTATGCAGCCCCAGACACCCCGTTGACAAATGCCTTCTCTTTTCTCGTGTGTTTTTGTCTACGAATACCTCGAGGTACCGTGCCTTGGCTTAAGTTTTGGGGTTGGCTTGGATGTGGTGCATATTGGGTACTCTGGAGCCGCAATGCGCGACGCGGGTGAGATGAGCATTTCGGGTAGGGTGCGTCTGCCTGGACACAGTGCAACCCTGGATTTGAGTACACTTTACTATGCTTACCTAGTTTTCATGTCCCTCTTTTGCATGGATGACTGCTGTGTTCTTGTCTCTTTCGTCGCTGTTGCATTGGATCGTCTCTGTCCCCCGGTGACATATTCCCATCAAACATCCACAGGTAGGCGATGCCACACGGGTGCTAAGGGCAGGGGTTCACCACAGCGGTCATCCAAAGACCGGCCAGAGAAGTCTATCGCATCTCATTTGTCGCCTGCGCCTGCATTCTGCGCTTCGGTCGACTTCCTCAGAAAATTGTCGCAAAGTTGGGACTGCATCACCGATTGCTGCAACACTTCACATTGCTATACCTTGATGCTACGCAATACCCTTTGGAAGTTTCATAGGAGCAATATCTACCTGACCTAGATTCTACATCGATGAACGGGAGCAACGGCAAGACCAACGCACATCAGGCGCATGTGGCAAGGCCAGCTGGTACCTCACGGAGCTCGTGGTTGGCTGGACAAGGTTGTGTCAGGAAGCAGACCAAGGTAAAGGAAACAGCTAGGTTAGGCACCTAACTTCCATAGGTAGCTACTGTATGGTGAGGTCAAGAGAGTGCATTGCTGGATGAACTGAAGGAGCTTGGAAAAGTCATTCGACCGTGGCGCAGGGCAGCCCGGTGTCAACACGAGGTCACCAGTCAAACCAACCCAGTGTTGGAGATGAGAGCGGACGGAAGATGCGCTACGTTTCTTCAGCCGCCTGAGCCAATCGAACCCCCCCCGAGAGTCCAGTCGAGGGGCAAAGGCGGGCATGGGAGCAATGGAGGGGAAGCAAAAAACGGAGTCACGGCCGTCCAAGCCACCCGAGCACCCCGAGCCACATCTCGCCAGCAAAGCGCCTGGAAGCGTGGTCCTGCTGGGAAGTGTGGGGTGTATCCGTAGTGTCGGCAACAACACCGCGGCATCGAACATTCTCCAATTGCTTAACAATTTTCATATACTCCCATCTCCAACCACTTCTCACCACCTCCCTCAACGCCCCATTTCAGCCTGTCTCGCGCGTGTAACCACGACAACATCTCCCATCCGCTCAACATATACTCAATGTTCAAAGGCTTTTTGATCTTTGATAGCCGAGTTCCGAGTTCCCACCGGAGGACATCCGACGACGTGCTGCGCATTAGCTAAGCCTACAGTCTTTCCCTCTCACGGCAAGCACACTCATACAACAACTTCTACCATGGCCACCGATACCCGGCCATTGAAGGGTATCCTCAAGAAGACAGCAACCGGAGCCTCCACCTCCGGCAGCGGAGCCGCCAACGCTGTCCTCAACCCCCGAAAACAAGACCCGCGCGAAATCGCACTCCAGCACGCCCGCATCATCCAGCAGCGCAAGGACCTCGAACTCCAGATCCTCGAGAGCCTGGCTGAGCTCTCAGAGTACCCCACCGAGCGCGGCAGCAGAACCTTCTCCGCCGCGAAACCCTCCCCGCGCGACGTCGCCGACTTTAAGGCCAGTATCCGTCTCTTCCAGCCCTCTGACTACGACGACCTCGTCGAGGAGCGCAATGTCAACGGCCTGTGCGGGTACACCCTCTGCGCGCAGCCGAAACCAATCGCCTCCAAAGGCGGCGAGTGGAGGCTCGTCAACTTTGGCAAGGCCGACTTTGATATCGTTAACCGCAAGGAGTCGGAGAAGTGGTGCTCTAAGGACTGCCAGCGTAGGGCGATGTACATCAAGGTGCAGCTCAACGAGACGGCTGCGTGGGAGCGGGCTGGCTTGCCGGATATCGAGATTGAACTGTACGGAGAGGTAGAGGCAAGGCAGGAGGACCCTGCGATACAAGCCACGCGCGAGCTCACAAGTTCGAAGTTGGAAGACGGTAGGAGGGCGGCTGACGAGTATGCTACTCTCGCCCTGGAGAGAGGAGAGACGCGGGGGTCGGGCCAACCTGGCAAGTCATTTACACTTGCAATTAGGGAGAGGGAGGTCAAGCCGCCAACAGACCACGGGGTGTTTGGAGATCCAGATGACGCTCACTTGCTTGTTGAGGGTTATAGGCCAGGAGCTGGCAAGGCGCAAGCAATTGCTGAAGCCTCCCAGGCTGAAGCAGAACTTGACCGCGACAACGCATAATGTAGGTTTTACTAGGAGTGGGATAGTAGGCATTCGGAGCGTGGAACAGCTCATTCAGGCTTCGCAGTGACCGGTTGCTCTATATAGATTTGATACCCAGAAAGGCACACCGGTTCCGATTTAAGGTACTTCACGTAACGGTGACGTGAGCAACGCCAAGTTTTGACTACTCGGGATAACGCTCGGTCGAACTTCGAGGTCAGAGGGACAGTATCACGGTGTGCGGAAAGAAAGAATTGGCAGTCGAGCGTCATCTCCGGAATTACCCTAGAGAATCGGCGACACCTTGTGTGGGAAAACAGAACTTTTCTTTGGAAGTTCTAGTGTGAACTCACTACCGTCCATAAGACGCCTGTAGCAATGTGTATCATCATATGCCGTTGCCGTAAGTCCGTAAAAACCACCCAATTTTCCTATCCACAATCGACGACAAAAATTTAGTCGCGGCGAGGGGGGCGGCCACCGAAGCGACCACCACGCTCCTGGACCTGGGTCTGGCCGACGGGGGTGACGTTGACGGGGATAGCATCGAACTGTGAAGCGCATCATGGTCAGCATGGTCGTGCTCTTCGGGAGGGATAGGTGTAGAGTCAAGGGGAGGGAACGTACGCCGAGGTGCTTGAGCAGGTCCTTGGTCTCGACGTCGACCTCGAGCTGGCCGCTCTCGGTGTTCTGAGTGAAGTCGAGGGCGGAGACCTCGGGGACGAACTGATCCTTGCGCTCACGCTCCTCCTCCTGAAGCTTGAAGGAGATACCGCGGACGGGACCACGCTGGATACGCTTCATCAAGTGGGTGGTGTAGCCAGCAATCTGCAATTCACTCCGACGTCAGCAAATTTGCTCTCTTTTCTCAATGCAGTCTCTTCCTGTTCGACCGATTTCGAAAACGCTCGCTCATTCGTGTCTGGTGGAATTTTGCTGACCTTGTTGCGGAGGCGCTTGGAGGCGATGATGGCGATCTCATCGCAGATGCGCTTGTTGGTCTCGAAGTCCAGGGTGAGTCTGGGGTAGTACCGCTCAATGATGACCTTGGCGGACTTCTTGACGGTCTTGGTGCGAACGCGACCCATTTTGGCGGTACTGACTCAAAGGAGGGGGGGTGTTTGGCTGGAAGAGGGAGTTGGTCGGTTAGTGAGGCTGTCGTGGTGTTCGCAATAAGTCCGCTCGGCAGATGCAATTTTGATATGTTTGACAAATTTTAGGGCCGTGATGTGGGGCGTGCAAATTCTCGTGCACGAGCCATGGGGCAGGATTTGGTAAGTACACGTGATCTCGCAGTGCCGCAGACCCAATCGGACCCAGATCGGGTTAGGTGATGCCTTGGAGCCGCCACGGGTCTTGGAGCCACCACGGGTGCACCCAAAGCATCTCACCCCGTATCGACTTAAACGTCCTGCCACTACCGTGTAGACAATTATATCATGCTAGAGGTTCTGAGAATTCCTAGATAGGGTCGGACCCTCTTCTTCTCTTGAGATTAAATGCCTTTAGGAACGAAGACATTTCCTAATCTCTCACTGACGGCCAACTACACCTAGCTCTCGTACCAATCTAGAGCCCAGTTCAATAGCATGATACTTACATTCCATAGTCTTGCCCCCCAGTAATCACATTTAGTCAAGGAAGTGTCGAAACTCAGTTTGTATTCTTCTTATTTTACAATACCATACATAGTACACTCGGCACACTTGGCACAAAGATGTATGCTGCCAGACAGCTCCATGCTCTGCTGTCCGAGGCTCATTTGCGCCTAGTCTTGTGAAGAAAAGCGCTTTCAACGCCATCATCACTATCCTCAAGAGTCAAGGCCGTAGCTCCTGGAGCTACCAACAGCGTTGATACCAGGTTTTTGGTTGTTCACCTGCACATTTCGGATGAATGTTCTGCGGGAGGGTGCGGGTGCTTCTGGTTCAGTCTTGTCATTGTAGATCTTGGCCTTTCCTACCAACTCCTTCAGAATGAGCTGAGCCTCTTCATTGGCCTCACCGACCGTGATTTGGACACCACCAGCCGAGTCAATGCGAGCCGAGGTAGGCGAAACATAGGCCTTGGCGCCTCCCTTGATATCAGGGTCGAACGTGACAACACCAGCCACCTTGTTGTGGCGTCCAACAAAAGCTCTGTGGTTGAACGCTGTGTCACCCTGGGGAACATCCGTGATGAAGCCTCCGACACCCAACTTTGCGTTGTTTGTTCCTGATCTCGGGGAAACGATTCGTGCCAAAACGGGGGTCTGGTGCGCCTGAGGGCCGTATACCGGGTGGTTCTCTGCAAAGTTAGATGTGCGGAGGTATGAGATACCGCCCGATGGGTGAGAAGCCGGCGGACCATGCTCGGCGTACATGCTGGGGCGCTTGGTCTTCTCGGTCGTCTTGTTGAATTCGGTCAAGGAACTGGGCGGGTTCAGGGGAGCGAGGTCCAGGAACTCGCTGACAAGCGAATACAATGTGATGCGGTCGTTACGCAACTTGCGAATGTACTCTGTGAGTTGCTCCTTCGTGACCTCGCCAGCCAGAATGCGTTTAGGCTGGGCTTCTCCAGCCTCCAAGGATTTTTGATGCTGTTTGGTGGTTTCGTCGGACGCGATGCGCTCCCGCAAGAAGCCGCGGAACAATCGTCGCTTGTTGCGGACGGCCCTGCGCAGGTACTCGTTGAATTCGCCCTCGGTAAGACCGGCCAGCCAAGGGCCTTTAAACTTCCACCTCTTATCTTCGTTCTCGCGGCCAGGCTCAATTGTCGTAAAGTCGCCATCTTCTTCGAAAACGGATTTCGCTCCGATGTGAACACCACCAAGACGTGACCGGTTGGAGCCAGGTAGTGAGACGGGTAGGTTGAGCTCGTGGAACTTCTGAAGAGATAAGGTGTGGTCTGCGGCGGAGGTGTAATCGGTGACATTCTCAAAGCAGTCAATATCCTTGATACGGACAACGGGAGTTGATGACTTGGTCGTAGATCGAAGAGGTAGAGATCGTTTGAAGCCCCAGTCACCGAGGACTCTCGAGGATTCGGTCGTGGTGATGGATTGGTACGTGGGATAAGGCGCGGTCGCCGTCGGGGATGCATATCGAGCGATCGCAGCGGCTTGGCCTCCGGGTTGAGGAAGCGGGTTGGGGACAGAGAACATCCGAGATGATCTCAGGAGCGCCCCTCCGGGCGACATTCGGGCAGACATGGCGGCTGTCGAAGCTCTCTGATGAGCTTGGTCGTCCTCAGTCGTATGTATCGCTGTATGATGACCAGAGTGCAGCGTCGCGTGAGAAATTTCAATTGGAGTACGGAAGAAGCCGGTGACATCTGATTGGGTGAGAGCTACCCCTGTCGTCTCTACTGCTCCTCACCACCACCACCACCACCTGGAGTGTTTCTACCTTCCATCTGTCACTTGATCTAAGCCCAAGGTATTTCAGGTATAAGAAGACTCTTGCTCGAAAGGCTCAGGTGTGATTGTATGAAAGATGGCGAGAAAACCTTGGGAAGATGGGGAAATCAGTTACTTTGCAATTGTAAAACTAAAATCCGAATGTGACGAAATTTTTAAGAGATTCTCTTCTCAAATTAGAAGCACTACCGGTAGGCGCCTAAGTAAGGTACCAAAGGTACCTCAATGTTCGGATCAAACCGCTCAAGGAACAGTCGGGGGGGAGTGACACTCAACGGCCCCACCAACGCCGGTGGGAAAGCGCATCGTCTAGCGGCTCGAATTTGGAGAATTGCATTTTACCAACTCGCACTCAGCCCTCTTCCTTTTCCTCCCACATTGAAAACCAGCAGCCTGTGGACTGCGCGATCGCCCATGTGGATAGCCAAAAGGATGGCATCAACCAACATCGGGTCCTCGCCCGCTCTCACTTTCGAGCTCGTCGCTCGTTGTTCAGTAAGTCAACCCCGCCTCGTGATTGACTCACGGTCTTCAGGCCATTCTGGTTCGCATACTGACGATTTAGGCTAGACAACGAGAGCCCGCGCATCCGTCCTGACGCTTCCTCATGGCCTGGTCCAGCTTCCGATGTTCATGCCCGTCGCAACGCAAGCTTCGCTCAAAGGCTTGACTCCCGAACAGCTCGAGGAGACGGGCTGCCGTCTGTGCCTGAACAACACTTACCACCTGGGTCTGAAGCCTGGCCAAGATGTACTGGACAAAATCGGCGGCGCGCACAAGCTCCAAGGATGGAAACATAATCTTTTGACAGATAGTGGAGGGTACATATACTCATAGCTGAAGTGCGGGGTTTTTTATCGAGATGCTGACGGTATCTATAGCTTTCAGATGGTCAGTCTCCTCAAGTTAGCCAAAATCACTGAAGAGGGTGTGCGCTTCCTCAGCCCCCATGACGGCTCGCCCATGCTTCTAACTCCAGAACATTCCATGTCTCTGCAGAATTCGATCGGCAGCGACATTATGATGCAGCTCGACGACGTGCTCGTCACGACATCCCCCGATGCAGCCCGTATGCGTGAGGCCATGGAGCGTAGTGTAAGATGGCTGGATCGGTGCATCGCGGCGCACAAGAACCCGAACACACAGAATCTCTTCTGCATCATTCAGGGCGGTCTTGACCTTGAAATGCGACGGGAGTGCACAAGGGAGATGTTGGCGCGCGATACTCCGGGCATTGCCATTGGTGGTTTGAGTGGCGGCGAAGCCAAGACGGATTACTGCCGTGTTGTCGAGACTTGTACGGAGCTGCTACCGGATCTTAAGCCTCGATATGTCATGGGCATCGGATACCCTGAGGACCTGGTTGTGAGCGTCGCATTGGGGGCGGACATGTTCGATTGTGTCTGGCCTACGCGGACGGCCCGCTTCGGCAACGCAATCACGAAGCACGGCGTACTGAACATTCGCAACTGGCGATTTGAGAACGACTTCGGCCCTATTGAGGAAGGATGTGGCTGTATATGTTGCCGGAAGAGCGAGGGTGGCCTGGGCATAACCAGAGCTTTCATCAACCACAATGCGGGCAAGGAAACTGTGGCCGCTCACTTGCTGAGCATACACAACGTCTGGTATCAGCTGAATCTCATGAGAGAGATCCGGCAAGCTGTCATCGAAGACAGGTACCCTGCTTATATCAGGCAATTTTTCGGTAATCTCTACGACGATAAGTCAAAGTACCCAGAGTGGGCTGTGGTGTCTCTGAAAAGAGTCGGGGTTGATTTAATAAACGAGTAAATGCACAGCTGTCACGGAGGATATATCACCTTGAAGATTGTGAAGATCAACGAGACACTGGTGAACTTTTCCTATGAATCACTGCTGAATGAAGCTACCCGGAACCTGCCGATGCTCGCAAAGTATGTCTCTTTCCATGTTATTGTCTCCTTCATTAAGAGTCGAAACATACAAAAAGCCGGTTCTGTACAAAAGCAGGCACAAACACCATCACTGATGGAAACTTGTGGCGCTGATTGAAAACTCTATAGTTCAATAAGTAGTGATTTGCTCACTAAGAGTTTGACCGAGCTAAGCTTGGCTGGCCGAACTGCCATCTCACTCCGAGCGCCTGTGGGATTCGTTTTCCTCTTCAATAGAGACTTCCGTATTTTCGCCAAGAGTGGCATCTTCTCTGTGCAGACGGGGTATAGTCCGGCCTCTCTCTTGAGCATACGGTTCCATATTTCCGCCAACTGCAGCATCTTGTCTGCGCCGACGGGGTTGCTCTATGCCCTCGTCGTTGTGCTCGTGACTTCCTTTCTGCCGAAGCACCACCATTATTGGGAGGTAAGGCAATACGTCATACAGCGTGTCCCCACCGGGCAATGAACGTGGTACAATGCGGCCGAACAAGCATCTCAGAGACGAACGAATGCAGTCGGCCTCTACACAGGTCTCATTACTATGTTGTTGAATGGAAGCCGGCGCGTCCTAGGCGTGGAGTCAGTATCAACAATGCAAGCATAGCAGTGCGAAATCAAGAAGAGAGTGGAAGATGTACAGGCAAGAATGGGATACATACACCTTCAGGCTGGTGGACCTGGTCGTGGAGTTCCCGGTGCCCAAATTTAAGTAGCTTGAACCCCTGCCCCGAGTCGATAGAATGCTTGTTATTGAAGGCTTCAATTGTCGCCTCCAGGGAGTCCGGCTGACATTCCCGGGAGATCTCCTGTATCGTTTTAAGATGAAGAACAACGTCCACCCTTGGGGTGTTCTCATTCTCTGGGAGCTTTTTTCGCAAGTAATCGAGAGCAGGTTCAAGCACATGCAGAGTATGGGGTTTCAAAGTCTCGTCGATTTCGTCTATAAGCCGGAAACCAGCTGCGTCTTCCCCTGTGGTCTTCTTGTCCGACTCCTCCTTTCGCAGGGACTCGTCTTCCACCAATTGGCAGCATTTTGCAACCTGGAGCGTTTCGTCGGCTGTGAGGATGGTAGGGTCCTGTGGCTGCTGTGCTGGTTGAGACATGTAGTGTGTTGTTGGTGAAGTTCTCGAAGTCTGAAATCCTCCACGGTCGTTTTTCGCTCAGTACTTTCCTCGGTCGTGTTCGTGCTGGGATGCGTGCGCAACGAGGGACGAGGGTGAGCGATGCAGGAGTTCTTCTTATCTTGTTCGCTGTCTTTGTTCTTGAATAGAGACCGTAATTGTGCTGAGATATGTGTGCAACGAGGAAGGAGGGTGAGTGATGCAGGAGTTCTATCTATCTTGCTCGCTGGCTATGATCTTGAATAGAGACCTTCTTTAACAAAAAGCAATTTGACGCCGATACATGGTGATGTCTAAGGTTAATCCGAATCCCAGGCGCATCATAGTGGAGTCATGATGTTTGCTTCTCTAATAGGACACACAGTTTCCATTCACCTACATTAGAGATCTTCCACCAAGTTGAACCTCAAATCCTAATACGCTGTGGCGGTGAATCACTTGACGTCGGAACTTTGTTACAGCTGCGTGACAAAGGTGATATTCGTGGCTTGGATGGGCCATCTCTGTTCAATCATGACACGGATCGAGAGGTAGGCGGATGCATCTTTGTCCTGTTTTGACAGCCGTCACGGCTGCTGACGCAGCTTGCACGATGTCCTGCATCGCAGTGGCTGAACGTATTAGACAGTTCATGCTAGAGGCAGAAGAGGCAGAAGAGGCAGACGATGCAGACAATGTAGCAGAAGAGTGCCACATCCTCTGTAAATGTCTACTGTTGAGAATGGCCCATTAGAAGTTTCTTCATTGGCCAAGATATCTGGAAAGCTGGTGTCTGACTTCCAATCGAGCTGAGGCGGTGTAATTTTTCTCTCTTTCTCACCGTTTCAACACCTTATTCCTCTTCGGAGAACGCAATAGTAATAGATTTAGACGAAATGACGAATGGCAGTAGCGGACGCCGCTTCTGTTGGTTTCTCTGCGGCAAGTGGGTTCAGCTTGGTGAACCAGGGACAGCGGCTCGAGTTGAGCCATGCTCGAAGTAAAAGAGACAGGCCAAGGGTAAGGCTAACGATACACGGACTGAGGGTGTCTAAAAGAACGATGGCAAAGTGTCATGACTTCGAAGTATCAAGTCAGCAGGTAGGCAAGAGACAGGGCAGGTCGAGGCTCTTAGTTCCTTCATCTATCCAAAGGGAACAGCAAGGCACAATCGACAGAGTGGATTGAAAAGAGCAAATGGCAATGTCTGGATTTGTAGAGAATGCTCGGTGGTAACAGTGGAATGTCTCAATAATACCGACCATGGAACCAAACATAAGTCTTAGCGTCCTTTGCCCTGTCAGTCTCGGTTCCAAGCAACTGGGTCCTCCTATGCTGCTCCAATAGCGCATAAGTGGGCAGTCAAACCGTTGATGACAACCCCCCCCCCTCTCCAGTGCGGCAGTGTCCGGATCGCCTCCTCTTATTCATTGAGTTTTTCAAATACACTTATTCGGTAACGATATGATGGCCGTGCCAATTCTGGTAGGGATAAAGGACGGAGGTCTCGTCGATAGAGTGCAACAAACCTGGGGCTGTTGTGACGCCTCGACTCACCAGCACTTGTTGTAATGTCCCGGAAGCGCACGATAGCCTTCCAGGCTACCGTATGCACGAAGCCCACACCATCTCGCGATCACGGCTTGAAGAACTTTCGCTGATAAAATTTCCTCAGGAGGTGCTCATATAACGTATCAAAACAATGTAGAATCGATACAGAATATTTATTATGGATGCTGGGTTGGTCTCATTCGTAGGTCGCAGACGAAGCTCTTGAAGAAAGAGGCGTTGGATGGAGGTGAACCGTTGACTCTGGACGTTGCATTGCACGAGGGACTGACGATCGTGGCCCCCACATGGCGCCGTCTGAACCCCCACTTAAATCGGTAGCGCCTGCACCTCTCTCAGCCCAAGCGGGATCAGGCGGATTGCCCCGCGCATCCCCTATTTGTTGATCTCCACGTGATCGCATTTATGCACCTTACCAACCTTACCGTAACTACTTTATGACGCGTGTTTTGTACACAGAGCAGACGCGACTGTGACGATGTGCTGGCGGGCGGTCAACTAATACCTGTGGAGAGTCCCCTGCCCACCACTTACCCTGACGCCAGCTGCAAGTCGTCAGAAGCAGCAACACACCAAACTCACCCGAAATCTCACTTTCGACACTTTCGAGACAGTTTTTCGCTTCCATCTTCTCATACTTTTCTTTTCCCTGACCATTTTCTACACCTGAGACACCAGGCGGGGTTTCATGGGTCTTGCGCCTCTGCCATGGCCTCTCCATTCGACAGAGCGCCATCGCGGCGCCCGTCACTGCTGAATACATCCTCCCATGACGGGGACAAGGAACTGGCGCATTCGCTCAAGCAGCTGTCTCTGTCGACCTCGCCCCGGGCTTCGAGCGCTCTGTCCCCGATGATGCCAGCCGTAAATCGAACTTCTCCGGCGCCAGGTCCCCGAGTTCCATCTCGGAGCCCCTCCTTTGCGAGGGAGCTTTCCCGGTCCCGGTCCTCGACTCCGACGCTGCAGCGATCCTCGACGCCGACGCTCCAGCGCAAGACTTCCACGAGTTCCTTGCACTCCGTGAATGGCTCTTCAAGTCGAACGCCCAGCCGAGCGCCTTCGAGGCGAACTAGCATGGCGCATGCCTCTTCTCCGGTCTCCAAATCCCCTTTGCGACCGAGTCCCCCTGAGTACATCAAGCCTGCGCCTACTGCTAACATGGTTGCCCGCGACTATTTCAAGACCGAACTGGAGGTTCACCATTCGCCAACTTCAACTCAAGCAACTGAGGCTCTCGTCATCCTTCACGATGCCTGCTACGGGCACCGCTTCTCCCGACCCAAGACTTCTAAAGGTGCCCTCAGCACCATCGTTGAGCGGCCTGAGAGAATCAAGGCCGGCGTGTTGGGGGTTGCGATGGCCTATGTGCGACTCGGCGAACGGCACTGCGATGGTGCATATGCGCTACATCCAAGTCTGGATCCCTCCTCCATCCCGACGATTCCGTTCCGTATCTACAAGACGGAACGGAAACTGCCCCTGACATCGGCGGCTGTCACTAACGTCCACGGCACAAAGTGGATGGAGGAGCTTAAAATGATGTGCGAAGTAGCAGAGACGAAATTGGCGACAGGTGGGAAGGAGCTTCAACGTCCGGAATTGAACAGGGGCTCAGACGGACCGCCTGCAAAATTCCACGAGGGCGACCTCTATCTTTGCGCAGAATCGCTCGAGGCCTTTGAGGGTGCCCTGGGCGCCGTCTGCGAAGCCGTAGACCGAGTCTTCACCTCCGGTCCTCGACGGGCCTTTGTGGCTGTACGCCCACCAGGGCATCACTGCTCAGCTTCTTACCCGTCAGGGTTTTGCTGGGTCAACAACATTCACGTCGGAATCATGCATGGCATTCTGAACCACGGTCTGACCCATGCGGCTATCATCGATTTCGACCTCCATCACGGAGACGGCTCCCAGGCAATTACTTGGGCGCATAACTCACGAGGAGTGAATGCGGCCAAGAACACGGCAGCTTGGAAAAAGGCGTCCATCGGCTATTTCAGTCTGCATGATATTAACTCGTATCCCTGTGAATGGGGTGATGAGGAGAAGGTCAAGAACGCCAGCCTATGTATTGACAATGCCCACGGTCAAAACATCTACAACGTTCACCTGGAGTCTTATGATTCCGAGAAGGAGTTCTGGGACCTTTACGAATCTAGATACTCCGTTATTCTGGAAAAGACGCGCAAATACCTGAAAATTCAGGCAGCTCGTCTCCGCGCTCTTAATCTGCCTCCAAAGGCGGCAATCTTTTTCTCTGCGGGATTCGATGCTAGTGAATGGGAGACAAAGGGTATGCAACGTCATAATGTGAACGTTCCTACGGAGTTTTACGCCCGTATTGCTCAAGATGTCGTGAAGCTTGCTGCGGAGCAAGGATTGGGAGTAGATGGGAGGGTCATCAGCGTGCTCGAGGGCGGCTATAGTGATCGAGCTCTTTACTCTGGCATTTTCAGCCATCTGAGCGGACTTGCAGGAAATCAGGCACCGGAAGAGCCAACCCGGGGCCGCTCTTCACTCGGCGACGAAATGGCAGGCCAGATTGCAGCAAACACTACTGGCGAGCCATCCCTACACCCTTACAAACCGTCATGGTGGTCGAGCTCCGAACTTGATGAGCTTGAAGTTGCGATGGGCAACAGACCAGCTAGCCCCAAGATGATACGACATTCCACTCCGCCCACATACTCAACTCCCACACAGGCCTCGATTGGTAAGTCCATAGATCCTGCGAGGATGAGGCGGATGGCTTCCGGCTTGTCGAATGGAATGCCTTATTCGCGTCCAACAACACCACCACCCCCTGATGTGCCATGGACCATAGCAGCTCAGGAGCTCAGCAGGTTGCTTATCCCGTCGGACCGCCAGGTCGACAGTTGCAAACCTGAAGACTTGAATGCGGAGGCAACGAGGGCCCGGAGAGACCGGCAGTCGATTCTGAACCCTGATCTTGTGCCGCCGGCACCTGCTCCTGCGCCTGCGCCCGCTCCAGCAAGCAGGCCGACCTCGCGGATGTCTCTGAGGGAACGCAAACCAGTGAGGCCTGGCCTGTACGTCGACGCCGACGAAGACGATGATAAGCAGGCAAAGAATCGGCGGAGAACGGTCGCGGGTCCGGCGGCGCTGTCGTCAGAGAAGGTTGGTCACTTCTGCCAGGATATTAAATGGGCTCGAACTGACATGACCCCCAGGCAACGGCCCGAGGCATACCCTTTGACACAAATGGAGCAGCGAAGCGACCCGGTCGACGCCTTAGCGGTGTGTCTGCTGTGGCTGCGAATGTTCCGCACCCAGATTTGGAGAGCGATGGTGTTTCAGCCCAGCGTCCCGAGACTTCTATGAGTGTGCGACCAGACACGGCACTGAGCTTCAGAACTCAGAGCGTTACATCTTTGAATGTCAAGAAGACGAGGGCTCCTGCGGTCAAGAAGGATGCCCCGAAGACCACGAAAATCGTGAAGAAGCCTGCCGCAACAGCGAAGCCATCCCCTCCCCAGCAGACTCAACCATCTCAGCCGCTTCAAAGAAAGCCGAGCCCGGCCGCCGCGTCGGATGACGATATGGACAAGCTCACTGCTGGCATGAAGAAGGTCAAGATCAACCTGATTACGAAGACGCAGAAAGAAGAGCGTGCCAAGGCGGCTCAAGCCGCTCAGGTCAAAACTGCCACGCCGCCCGCTACTGAAGAAGCCAAGGCAGGATTCCCATTCGAAGCTCAGAAAGTATCCTCGCAAGTGGCATCTCCGATCGTCACTCCTCCGCAAGACGAGGCTTTCGCCACACCGCCGACGCAACCTCCTGTCTTCAAAGACCCATCACCGCCTGCAGCCCCGGAAGGACGGCCCGAAGTCTCAACTCCGGTAACCGAGCCGATGCCTCTCGCCGCAACCCCTGACCCGCGTTTAGTGGAGCTCCCTGCCAGCTCACCCGCCGCCATGTCGCCGATCGTTGCGACGCCTTCGGGCTCAGACGTGTTCATCAACTATCAACCGGAGGGACCACCGCCCGTCTCCGTAACGCCACAAGAACCCCTGAAGTGGATGCCGCCCAACACTAATACGCCGGTCAAAGCCTCTCCGTCTAAGCCATCATCGGCCAAGTTGTCGTCAGCTAAACCCTCACCTGTTAAGAAGTCTCCGGTAAAAATGATGCGAGCCGATCTTCCTGTTTTCACCTCGACGTCTGCCATTCCCTTTGCGCCACCAGGGATGAACGCCCCGCCCAAGGCCAAACAAGAGCCGGTCGCGAAGAGCGATCCGGAGGAGCCGGCGAAATTGACTTGGGACATCCCAGAAACCCCGCAGAGGCAATAGTGCACCGTCCTACGTACAGACCAAGAAGTTGAGGCGGAAGCGCTGGTATAGAATTGGGTTCTCACAATCCTCAAAAAGTTGTTTATTTCTTGTGTCTTCTTCACCTAATGCTTCTGCGCAAAGCTTTTTCTTCTGCGAACCTGGCCTTGTGGGTCATAAGCTTGGAGTACGCCGTCTTGATACCCTCCTGTCCGATTTAATTTTTTTTTGTTATCTTTCTATCTCGATTACCACAGCCCTCTTTTCTTGTACCTAAGTATGTACTTCAAATTGCCATTGAAGCAATTGGAGATTTCTTCGACGTTTAAGGCATGGTCGGTCAAATCGTTCGCCGTGACATGGTTCCGGGATCTCAGGTAACCTCGTGGGCGTCCGCGGACGCGGGGGAGCTTGGCACGCGGAGACTCGATACGGTGGGAGTACCGGTATGCGCGTCAACGTGGACGGATCAACGTCAGCGATTTGCTGCGGCCACCCGTCGGGCCCCGAAATTTTCTTTGGTGGGGAACCCGCTGTAGCGCCTGTTTGACGGTTGCGCATCCCGAGTCGTGCGCTCGCGCTGAGGGCCGACCCTCTTATCTTTCAGTGATCGGAGATACTCGAGTCTTGTTACACAGATTTGTCTAAAACACCTCTTTCCATCTCAGGCTCCTGTATGAATCGCATCTTCAACGGATATTGAATCTGCGCGACGTGGCTTATTCGCGACCTTCACTTGCTGCCTTGTAGAATACGTCACCAGCGCCTTGCGTCTTGCCCAGCATTGGAATCTGACTCACCTCCAGTTCGTCTCATCTCATCTCGTCTCATCTCGTTTTCTTCACTTAAACCTACACATACAACTCATTAAGTCATCATGGCGTTCACAATGCACTCCCACTCGGGGCAGTTCTGCCCCGGCCACGCAAAGGACCAGCTTGAGGCCATCATCCAGCATGCCATCAGCATCGGCTACAAGACTATGGGCCTGACAGAACACATGCCCCGTCTAGAGATCGCAGACCTTTACCCTGAAGAGGTAAGCACTTCGTCCCACCCCATCCTTCCTCCACTGCGCGAGGGAAGAAGAGTCTGGTGAATATGAAAACCTAACATGATCCCTCAGCTCGAATCTGGAGACCCCCAAGCAGCCATATCAATCCTCGCACCCCGCCACGAGGCCTACCTCCTCGAAGCCCAGCGCCTGCGCGAGAAGTACGCCTCACAAATCGACCTCCTTATCGGCTTCGAGGGGGAGTGGTACCGCCCGGCCTACGGGCCCTACATCAAGTCCCTCGCCTCCCACCCGGCGGTGGACTACTTCATCGGGTCCGTGCACCACGTCAACGCAATCCCCATCGACTACAGCCGCGAGGTGTATGTCGAGGCGATGAAGTCCGCCGGCAGCGACGAGGAGAGCATGTACGAGCGGTACTACGACCAGCAGCACGAGATGCTCACGGCGCTGGAGCCGAGGGTGGTGGGGCATTTTGACCTCGTGAGGTTGATGAGCGAGGACCCCGCGAGGGACGTGAGGGGGTGGAAGGGGGTGTGGGAAAAGATATTGAGGAATCTGGAGGTTGTCAAGGGTTATGGTGGCTTGTTGGAGTGTAATAGCAGCGCGTTGAGGAAAGGCCTTGATGAGCCTTACCCATGTCGCCCTATTGCAGAGGTGAGTTCTCCCCCGGTTTATGATGCTCCCCTTCCAACGTTTTTTTCCCCCTCCTTTCTTTTGGGAACATAAGGGGGTTTGTCACTAGTTTTGCGACTAACTCTGTATGACAGGCATGGTTGGCGATGGGCGGACGCTTCACATTCTCAGACGACAGCCACGGCATCGCACAGGTCGCGACAAATTACAAGCGCAACGTAAACTACCTCGAGAGCCTGGGCGTCAAGGAGGTGTACACATTTGAGCGCGGGCCGGTGGAGGGCGTCAACGGGGAAGCCAAGGCCGTGTTACGGGAAAAGAGCGTTTCGTTGTCGGCATTTCGAGAAAACTTCAACTAGAGAGGTGCGATAGAGTGTGTGAAGACGCGAGAGAGCCGGTGTAGACAGAACAACTTTAGAGATGTTAGATAGATTGAACGAGGTCTCATGCCTCGTGTTCAATTCCATGATTGATTGTGCGAACCCTAGATCTGCTTTTGGCATTAACAGTTTCACCGCCGTTGCGGTCGCAGATCACGGAATGTATAGAGAGCAAGCACTCGTCTGACGTTCTCATTCCGTGGAAGGCAGTGCGGTATAGTCTTGTTGAAGGGAAGCGCCGACTATAATTGATCACATAAAATCCGGAGTCCTAGAGACTCAAACACCACGGCAGCTCTGTAACAGCTTTGCGACGTGCCATTGAACAAGTTTTCAAGGCAGAGAAGCCTTCAGAGAATGTTCAATGGTGATAGGACCGTCCTAGCCGTTGGTTCCGGCTCAACCCTAATTGCCACCCACAAAACTCGGCACTACGTCTTCGCAGCATCACCAAACTCGCAACAACGAAAAATAATCTCACGATGGCTTCATCAGAACGCCAAAAACAAAAGAATTGACCCCCACCCGATTTGAACGGATAACCTTTCGATCTGGAGTCGAACGCGCTACCGTTGCGCCAGAGGGCCGTGTTGTATAATCCGATCTCATATGCAGAGGCGGAGTTGACGATGCAGCCGGCGGAAGGGTCCATCAATGGAATGTAAGCCGGGTGGACCTCCAGGGAAAACAGAGTCTCTGGAAATGAGCAAGTGGGTCTCTTTTCGATACTGTAAAAGGGCAAGTGCGCCGCTTTCATGCAGGACAAGAAATGCCAACTCTCTCGGGTAAGACGCCGCAGACAATTGGCGAGTCAAGGCTCTCCATACAATTCAGGCACAAGGTCTAGTTGAGGAATAGATTAAATCTGGCTTACTCCATATCTTGCTTCCGAGTTGCAGAGAGCAATATTGACTTAGGGTTAAGCACTGAAACCCAGCAAGCCGAGTGTGCGCCTCCGAGAGCCGGCCCGTCTTCCCATTCTGGATCTTATAGTTGCCAGCAAAGATTTTCAAAGCCTCTCGTTGCAGTTTGAGCAGACTCTTGAGACCTGGTGATCCAATCATAAAAATGCGCAGGCTTGCCGACCTGATCAGAAGGAGTGTAATTATATCTGGCTGTTGAAGATGCAGCCAAAAATTGGTCTCAGTCATTGCCGCTTTCGGCAAAGGTGTCTGCTGCAGCGACACCTATTCTTCTTTTTGCTAGAAGGCTGGTTTGAGACGAGGTCGTGTCGCAAGGCAAACAGGTCTAGAAAGCAGATTTGTAGAACTGCACCGCAGCACGCCCGCAGCACGCAGGTGGACGGTCGGCCTAGGTGATATTATTGCAACATCTGGCAAATAATGGATGCACCACTATCGATTCTCGCTTGACCCTTGGAACCTCTTCTGGGTATGGACGAGATCATCGAAAAGCCGCAAATACACACGAAGATTGAGGATTCCCATCTATCCACTAGCGTTCCCAAAGTACCGGGTCTTATCAGGCGGACTAAGACAGAGGGGCTTGCGGTAAACATGCCCGCATTATCAAAGCCACGAACTGGCATGCGACACTTGTGCCGGATGCGGCCGACGTCGACAAAGTCATTGGACTGACATGCTTGTAAGTCAGTCCTCGGGTAATAGCCTCATGCATTAACAGAAATAAGCTTTAGCTCGTCTTAAAGTCTGCATCCCCTACCTTGACAGGTGTCAGACAGCCATCGATTGAGTAGTGTGAAAAGGCGCTTTGGAAACGCCTTGCCGTGGTGGTCCTGTCTCGATGCAATGCACCGGCTTCATCGATAACACGAAGCAGAGGCGGCCCCCGCAAATGGGTGAACTATGTTTTCTCGTAGGTACAGCTACATGTCTACTGCTAGGCCATTTTCCGGGAGCTGACAGATATAGAAAGCATTACCTACCTCACCACGAGAGAGAGCCCGAGCTGCTCTCAGCTCCTGCCACTCCAGCTTGTATTCTGACAGCCCAGGAAGCTTCCTACACCATGACTTTAATGAACAGTCGCTCTCTTGGTGGAATTCTCGTCTTGGCGGGTCTCGCCGCTGCCCAGGGACAAGGAGACGTCGACCCCTTTGCGCCCGTCTACACAAGCTGCCCCTCGGGCTTAGCGGTGCGGTCCGCCTCTGAGGTAATTTGCGGTTTTAACCCCCAAGATCCAGACACAGCTGTTGACTTCATTCAAAGGGTCTCTCACGACCGGAATTGTCTTGGCGAGTCAGCCGCGGTGAAAAGGTCATTCCCGCGCTCGGCACTTACCTCACATTCGCAAACATCACGGGGTTCGATGTTCAGGGCTACATCCAGCGCCTCAACAATTCCAATTATCCCGTTGTCGGTCTTTCCGTCTCCGGGGGAGGCACGCAGTCCGGTGTTGGAGGTCTCGGTATATGGCAGGCTTTCGATGCCCGCAACCCTGCTGCCGTTGCCGCCCGTACGGGGGGTCTAACGCAGATTCTCTCATACATCACTGGTCTAAGTGGCGGAGGTGCCTTGACCGTGAGCACACTGTGAGTCCTTCCGATTTTCCTATCCCCCAAGGCCCATTTCATGAAGCTGATGAGAATTCCAGAGCTGCCAATGACTTCATCACTATAAGCGCCCTCAGAAAGCAAATCAACTTCACTGTGGATTATACCGTCGGTCCTGACGGCAATGTCACCACGTATCTGACGGACATCTTTGAGAATGTCGGCGCGAAAGCAGAGACGGGACTCCCCGTCTCCGTCGCCGATGCCTTTGGCCAGTTTTGGGCAACCTATCTCCCAGAGAACCGCACTTATGGCAACTACTCTGATCTCGCTCGATCCGGGACCGTCTTCTCTCTAGGCGAAGCCCCTATGCCCATCATAGCTCTCTCCGAAGTCATCCCTGGACAATCGCCCCAAATTGGCGGCATCATGTGGCCCGGAAGAAATGATACCAATGGATTCAATCTGACGTCCTACGAAGTGACGCCCTTTGAGTTTGGAAGCTGGCGAGGTGGAAGAATCCAGGCGTTCATGCCGACTAAGTACCTCGGAACATCCATGTCCAACGGTACGGTCCAGAACAGCAGCGAGTGCGTTCAGGGTTTCGACAAGTTCACCTTCATCCAGGGGTCCACGGCCGACGCTTTCGACGCTTGGTTCATTGACGAGTGGTATGATACTCCAATCTTTGCTAAGCGGGCACTCAAGACCGGGCCGCCAAACCCCACGGTCATCGTGCCTCCCCCTCAATTCGAGGACGATGGGCGTGTGTTTCTCGTCAACCAGACCGCCGAGTCCTTCAATCAGACATTCAACGAGTCTCTGTGGGCCACCTACCCAAACCCGTTTGAGAATTATAACCCAGCCATGCAGGGCATCGACGAGCTCCTCCTCGTCGACGGTAGTCTCGGGGGAGAAACAAACCCCATCCGCCCACTGATCATCCCCGAGCGCCAAGTCGACTTCATCATCGTCTACGAAGCCTCCTCTGACGCGCAGTACAACTGGGTCAACGGCACGAACCTCATCAACACAGCGCAGTCGGCGGCCCAGGGCAACATCCCCTTCCCGCGGATCCCAGACGTTGCGACAATGGTGACGAAGAACCTGACCAGGCAGCCCACCTTCTTCGGCTGCGACGCCGCCACATCGCCGCCCACGCCCCTAGTCCTCTACCTGCCCAACTCGCCGTGGTCCGGCTACAGCAACTTCTCCTTCTTCAAGTCGTCCTTCACGGACAACGAGTTCGACCTCACCGTCGACAATGCCTTCAACCTCGCGACCTATGGCAACGGCACCGTCGACGCCGCGTGGCCCGCCTGCCTCGCTTGCGCGACGATCCGCGGCAGTCTGATCAGGGCCGGTCTCGACTTACCGGAGCAGTGTCAGGAGTGCTTCCGCCGCCATTGTTGGAACGGGGAGGTTGCTACTCGGACAATTACGGCGGACGACCTCGATCCTAAACTGAGACTCAACTCGAGCCTGTCATTTGCGGAGTGGAATCAGACGTATTGGAGCAGTCAGACGAGCACTGGCGGAAGCAGTGAAGGAGGAGGCAGCGGTGGAAGCAGTGGTGGCGGGTCTGGAGGTAGTGGCAATGGTGGTAATAACGGCGGAGGAGCTACACCCACACCCTCGGCCTCGGCCACCGCGAGTCCTTCTGGTGCATCAAGCACGGCCGAACTTGCACAAGTCGCAGCCGCTGTGACTGTAGCTTCCTTCGTTGCTTTCATAGCATTGCTATGAGTTATATCATAGGGTATTGTGTCTGTCTCCATAATGCACACTCTTTCAAGAACTAAAGAAGACGTTGTGCTTGTGAGGCTTCAGCAGCTCGGGGGCGAACACCCCATAGTCCGCGTCTACCTGATCCATACCAAGGACATCTGCAAAGATGTCTCGTGCTTGCGCGCATAGCAGAGGCATGTTGCTCAAGAGACCCTGGGCAAGATACATCCAATCCGTGACTTCAGAGAGCTTGACGCGAAGATTCTAGGGATGCGTGAGTCAGCTGTGTCGTACCTTGAAAAGGGAGAAAAGAAAGGGAGTGCGTCCGGTCTGAACTCACTTCGAGCTGCTCCTTGACGTCGTTATCTTCCGCCAGGGGTGCCGATGACCGTATGGCTCTCTGAGTGTGGACGACGTATTTGGCAATCTTGTGGATCTTTGAACAGCCTTCGAGCACGTTTCGTAATTCGCAGCCTTCTTCCTTCACCCCCGCTAAAAATCGGACGAACTGGCCCATGATCCTCACATTGAGATGAGCCTCTGACCCTGTGGGCTCGTCGAGCGAGGACCATAAAAGGATCAAGCTAGCCATAACAGGGTAGCCAAGAAGAAACCTGCCAGAAGTGTAAGCAAGCTACATCAAGGCAACAGCATCTGAGACTGACCATAAATTCACATATGGTTGAGGCGGCATTACATGTACAAGGTCAATGATCGCCCGAGCCGCCGATGTACAATTGGCGTACGACTGCTCTATAATGGGAAAGGCGTCTCTATTTACCCACTCGTTGTACAGCGGAGAGGACGGCTGAATGCTCGTCGCATTCTTGAGCCGTGCCAAGTTGATGTTAGTCTTAATCAGGGTGCTGAAGTAGATGAAATGCAGGAGGGCGATAGGCATGTCCAACTCTCTCGTCGCCGATAGGGTGGCGGGATCCGGTCTCGATTCCGGTGGGAGCGTGCTCTTCCACTCTTCCAGCTCACAGGTGGACAGTATCAACATCATGTGATGATCCGTGCCTGACTGTAGCTGGAGATTGTGTGGAGAGAATTTTTCGTGGAGTTTTACCTGGATTCTGGATAATTGTGCCATGCTCCTGAGGAAACTCGGCGCCTGCGAAGTGCCATCGAAAATAGTCGCATCCTCAGCTGGAAGCTCAACTGTTACATCGCCATGAGCAAGAGGATGAGACAGTCCATACTTGGCCATCATGTCGGTGTTAAGTGTATGCGCCGCCCAAAAGACTCGCTTTCGCCGCGCTGACTCGGTGGCATCGAGGTTGGCATAGGTCTCCCTCCTATGCAGCCCTATGATTTGCGCGGTCCGGGCCGCAGCAGAAGCCAGCTGGGCGGTCGTGCGGGCATCGGCCGTCCCCAACGAGAACGTGGCCATGGCCAGCATCGCCTCGCAGGCCAACACGTTTGTACCCTGAAGGATGAGTTCCGGGAAGATGGCGTATGCATTTTTGTAGAATGCCCAGCTCAAGCCGCCAAAGTGGTCAAAGGAGTCATTCGCGGCCCTCCACCGCAAAGCGGCCCCGAATAAGGCATTCGCGATGGCACGCCTGGCCGAGGCATCACAGTCGTTAGCATTAGCAGTGACACCATACTGCTTTTCGGTGAGCTCCATGAATGTCTCCCGGGCAATGGCGGGGCAGAAGAGCTGCACTTCTTCCATGATGGTAGTTTCCAAATCGATAATGTAGTCTTGAGGCGGAAAGCGCGCAAAGGTACTTCGGCCGAAGGGTTTCGGATCCAAGTGTGCCACGGCCTGGTTTCGAGCGCGTTGAAGTCCCTCTAGAACGGAGAAGCCCCCGAATAGATCTTTGGGGAGGAAGGGGAGATCAAAGGGGCTCGCCCTTTCACTCCGCCCAGGCCTAGGATCCGCAGGATTACGTTGTTCTTCTGCAACACGGTTCTGAATCCTCTGGGCCAGGCTTTTCGGCACCTTGATACGGCGCTCAGAAGGGAGAGCAGGATGAGAAGGTTCAGTCTCGACAAACCCTTTGGATTGCCCTCTGAGGTCTTCGAGGGTTGGTTGGCCACCGAGACTGTCGCTTTCGGCCACGTTGAGACGGCGCATTTGCAGTGAAGGTGCTTCGAAATTATGCGTCTTTCCCTCCGACTCGGCTTCAACTTTGTTCCTGAGTAACAAGTCAATGGGTTTCCATCCGTTAAGCATACGCACGAGGGCACTGACTTCCGCCCTGGGCCTCTCTTCCTGCGCTCAGTGTACACGCAGGGTACGTTCGACTTAGTGCAGAGCCCACAGGCCGGTTCTCCTCCATCGCAACGTCTTTTGCGTGATTTGCAGTAAACACAGGCCTGTATACGGGAATAAGGTCAATTGAATTTGACGATAAAGAGGTGGAGTTGCTTACACTATAAATCCGCTTCTTGCTGGCTTCATCCGCATTGCTTTCGCCAGTACTGGCAGCCTCAGCGACACCAGCCATGTCTTCTAGGTGGTCCCTTAGCCTCTCGGATTTACTTCGACTGAGATCGATCAATTGATTGCATCCGCTGGGAAGTTAAACAAATGGTGTGCTTGGTGCGGGAGCTGTCGCGGGTAAGGTAGTCGAGGGGGTGTATAAATGGGCGGATATTGATAAGCATCCGCCCTTTGCGTAAGTAGTTTGGGGGTGATGGCGGGTGCATTTGCGGATGTTTTTGGGGCATTTTGTATCCCCCCCGCTCCAGTCTTTCTTTACTAGCTTACCCCAGCTTCCCACAAATCAGCGTTCAGAGCGATCCGAGACTATCATCAATCCGGAGACAGAATTGTATCCGCCTGGTGGACTGAACCAGGGGCTTCCTCCGCAGTTACGCCATTGTGCCCTTCCTCGTTTCTGCACTTTCAACATCCAAAAGTCGCCGAACTTTGTCAACATTATCGGAAGAAGCATCAAGACCACCAGCGCTGAATAATAATGGCGGAATTGTACGTATCTGACATCGGACCCAAATTCTCGACCGCACAGCCGGGAAGTTGAAGTGGCTGGCCGTGTGTTGGGTATAAGAAGATGCGAGAGCCATGGCGAATATCTGGTTTTCGATTCTATAACAACAACCGACAGTTATCATCTCAGCCTCCTGTATACGACCAACGCATCAAATAATCACCAGATTAAACCATCAAACCACGACAATGAGCTCTTTCAAGAACATCGCCCTCCTTGGCGTAAGCCCCCCCGCCCCGAGATCTCAGAACTCAGCGCATCCATGATATTAATAACTCTCTAGAAAGGCCTCCTGGGAACCGCACTTGTCAGTGAACTCTCCAAAGCCGGCTTCATTGTCACAGTATTCGGTCGTTCCGAGTCTGCCAAGGAAGGTCTTCCTGCTGGCATAGATTTCAAGACGATCGACTACTCCTCCACCGACACCGTCGCCACGGCTGTTCAGGGGCAGGATGTCATTGTCTCGACGGTCAGCAAGGGCGGCCTCTTCACGCAGAAAACCGTCATCGACGGCGCTATCAAGGCTGGCGTCAAGCGCTACATTCCTTCCGACTGGGGCTCCTTCACGACCGACCCCAAGGCGCAGATCGAGCTCGCCGGCCTGATGAAGCCCATGACTGATACGCAGAAGTACCTCAAGGACAAGGTTGGCGGGATCGAGCACACGATTTTCTCCGTCGGCGCCTTCACCGATCTGGTCATCAGCTCCCCCATCATTTTTGACTATGCGAAGAAGACGGCCCAGGTCACGGACGCGGGCCACGTCCGCTTCGCCAGCACCAGCCTCGCCGGAATCGGCAAAGCGGTCGCAGGCGCCTTGAAGAACCCGGAGGCGACCAAGAACCGTAACCTCAAGATCCAAGAGTTCGAGGTCACTCAGGCGCAGCTGCTCGCCCTCGCCAAGAAGTACTCGCCCCCCGGCACCAAGTGGGAGGAGACCGCTCTCGATGGGCAGGTCGAGCTGGACAGGGCTCTGAAGGCCGTCCAGGACGACCCTACCAACGAGTACAACATGTTTGGTCTCATCAAGGCTGCCCTCCTGAGCGGCCGATACAAGGCCAGTTACGAAAAGCTTGATAACGAGCTTGTCGGTCTCCCGCTTCTGACTGAGAAGGACCTGGATGCCAAGTTCGCCGCCGTGTTCAAGTCTTAGATCTTTTTGTCGTTGTGAATGGAGACGGTCGACAGCACGCTATAACACAAGAGAATGCGCTTCATGTATCTACCATCTTGCAGTAGAGAATAAACTTTCTTTTAGGGAGCGTGGCGTCGCTATGTGCACAGGAAGAATCGAATGTATGCTTGAGTCACGGGTAAATGAAACAATTAGTATCCAGTTATAAGACTACTCTTCATCACATTTCTAACTATGAACGTACATTTGCGCAAACGCACGTTAAATTCCTCTGTTGCGCCTCACTGCAGCAAGAAAGACGGAATCCGAATGATCATCAAGCGAACCCGCAATATTGAATCTGTTGATCTGCAGGTCGCAATTGCACCAACATAAGCAGCTTTTAGCTTGCATTCAGATTATAGTTTTGCGCCTCAAAACCATGACGACTAGTTCCGCAATCTAGTCATCAAAATGAGCCTATCATAAGGTAGTCATGAAGAAACGGATAGGTTATGTGATTCACGCCACAAACATTCGTGTAACATTACTAGGTGGTCTACTGTGCTACAACTTTCCAATCCTAAATCTATTCGTTCAGTATTGCTTATACGCTCAGCGAACTGAGGCGAAACTCGCCGTATAAGACAACTCGAGAGCTTGGATGCCAAGGCCTAAAAGCATCACCCAAGAAGGGCTACATGCTTTACTACGTCATGAAAAAAGATACATGTTGAATACAAACGCCGTATTATCTTCATGTACCTAACGGATGCACCCGCATGCAACCCGGGCCATTGTGGTCTGGGCCATCATTCAGCTTGAGAGGCAATAAATTTCTGCTGTACCAATCAAGATTCAACCCTGTTCCATGCAAGTTTTGCAAAGCTTGAGCCTGGGAGATAAGGAGGGACGCCAGACTGATATCTGATATAGCCCGCGTCGTTCCTTTGCAGGCCCTCAATTACCCTCAGTATTCTCCCAAGCCTATCATCGAATCTTACCACCATACCCAAATTCAAAAGATTATGCAGAGTTCCCACAGGTATTTTCAATAAGCGCGCGAATCTTGGCAAGTGCTCCTCTCGATCCCTCGTCTATTTCGGGACGTTCGGCAGACAGCCCAGCCATGCCGTCGAGCATCAGACTCGGGGGAGGTTGTTGTGGGGACGTACTTTGGGGAATGGTGTGATCCTGAGAGGGCTATGGGCAGTCAAAACGGCTTCTAGTAGGGGGGTTACTGCTGTGATGGTGCCTTGGGGATCACGTTGGCTAGACTGGTCTCCGAATCAATTCGCGGGCGGGACAAGGGTACCTGTTAGCCATGGGCTAGCCAAATGACATGACTTTTGCAAGGACAGACGAGGTCATCTGGGGGGCAAGCGGTCGGCACCGTATCTAAACTGTTTTGGTACTGCAATACTGAAGCTGGCAGTGTTGGGCTCCAAGACATCAGACCATTCCTCGAGTAACTACGAATCTGATGGTCTTCGTTATGCTTCCGATACGTCGAGACATTGATGAGAGTTTTGCATATGCTAGCGTGGCGTTATTCCACTCTGCGAAAATACAATAGTGAATACGAGGAATCGCCACACGTGGCTAGCATTAAAATGATTACAACAGATGGCCGCATAATGAACAGCCCATTTCAGTTGTCAACTGTCGGCCCATCGGACGAGAGAGAGAGAGAGAGGCAGCCGGCCCGTTGCAACCATTGGGATGGATCATGGAGACGCTGGCATTCATGAGATTTGCACAGGGCGGAGCGTCATACCCTGAGACAGATTCAGTAGAGCATAATGGCGAGCAGCCGAATCGCTGATGGCAGGGGCTATTTCTCAGGGTTGTCGTGAGGTTCAGTCCAAGCATACGATTAAAGACAGTGGCCGCTCATTTCAGTCCTTTCTGGACTTGTTGCTGTGGACGTAGGTACAATCCACGTGGCTGGTCCGGTCACGTCCCGTTTTTCCTTGCCGTCTAAATACCCAAGGAAGAAGCCGATCATTATCCTGTCGATCATTGAAGAAGCTGTCGGGTATGCTCCTGGAAGAAGGCAATACCCAATCACGCTTGCAGCATCCCCCAGCGCCAAGGAAATCTGCCTGGCCGTTTGAGCTTCGAGTCGCGGAGGCGTACCCCTTTCTTACCGGTCCGCTGACCGAGGTTGCTGTCGTCAGCGTCATCGGCTTCGGCTCCCTAACGTACTCCGACTCTAAAAATTACCCGAAACTTGGGCGGATGACAACCCCTTGACGAATACAAGACCTGCGTAGTAAGGGAAGGCGTCGTCGGCAGTGCGCCGCGCCCCGGGTGAATATTCTCACGCATGGCTTGCGAACAAATACGTATACTATACCCCTTGGAAGTTGGGGAAGCCCTCCTCCCGCCCGTTACAACTTAACCCCCTCGCGTTCTTTTCTCGTCCCTCATCTCGCTGACATTGCCGAGGCGCCGAGACGATGCCGAGGCAAATGGGGTTTCTTCAAATCCCATCTAAACATGTCCATGCCGGCCGGGGCGCAATGTAACTAAGCAAGGAGGCCAAGCAAGAGGGCCATGCAGGCTCGAGCATCACACCTCCCACATCACGGCTCGAACGCCCGTTTTTTCTTTTCTCCCTTTTTCCTTCTGGTACCCGAATAGACGAGGAGGACCACACCACGTCAAGAAAGGGCCTAGAACAATTTCAAAAACAAGTCTGACAGCTCCCGCTAACGGGCGTTTGGTGGCACCCCTTTCTTATAGCCCGTCGACGATCCCCAAGCGAGCACAAGTTGCAGAAAGCAAGCCCCCGGAGCTGAGCTAGACGGCGGCCCCTGTTTAGCGTTCCCGCGGGAAATTTCGAAGCCGTTACAAAAGACCATGGGTCGTATCATACAGTTGCCATTCTGGGTAATCTCTTCACTAGTCAGGACGCAAAGAGGAATAGGCATCATGATACTCACAATAGATAAATAAAAACGTTGGACTGATGGAGTGGCGAGTTTTGGGCAGCGAAAACGAGGGTCTAGTTTTTGCGGAATTTTTGAATTTTTTTATAAAAAAAACATGATTTTCAAACTTTGGGCAGCGACACTACCACAGCGGCGCCCAGACTAGGCCTTGAGAAGTTTAGCCAATGACTGACGCCCCGGTTGCCATTCTCGGAAGAGCCCCGTATTACCCCGTGCTTCGGCGCCGGTGGATCCTCGGCCGCTGTGCGCTAATCGACGGTGCCCCTGGTGCGGGACAAACGGGGACCCACCCGGGGCTCATGGCGGTTTATCGACGTCGCTCTTTGTCCCTTCCGAGCCCAAACCCCGCTCGGCCTGCATCATCGGACTTGCAGCTTGCAGGAGCGTCGTACCTGCTGCAGTTGTTCCCCCTGCTTTTCCGTCCTACGATCGATCCCATCCTAACTGAGATAGAGCGGGCAGAAACCCGACGAACCTCTGCCTAATTGCACCATGTGCCGTTTCAATAGCCCTAGGTCCACCTTGTGCTACCATTAATACGTCAATCATGATTGAGGCGTTGCAACTCTTGTTTTGATTCTCCTGCATAACTGCGCATCTTTCTATTTTGGCACACGATTTTGAAAAGTTGAGAGCATTCTCTTGCCTCCCATGTCGGAGTAGGGCAACCGGCGTGGGGAACTATCGGAACTTCTGGTGCCCGTCGGCGCGGGCGCTGGCTCCGTCGCCAGCGATGGAAACCAGTACCTTGCGTCACCGTCACCGCTATCTTAGCTACCACGCTTATCTCACCCAAACGGCTTACGAATGTCCGACGTTGTTCCCGGGGCGCATTGATATCCGCAAGCAACGACTTCGAAACCAAACATTAACCCATTTCCGGGGGAAAACAGTCTTGACCGAAAAGAGAAGAATATCCAGCCCAGGTCAGATATCGGGTATTTACCGGAATTTCTCCCCGGGCAGAATAAGCTTCCCCTTGCTTTTTTTTGCTGATCCTCCCCGGCAAGGTGACCTTTTGTCAGACTGCAATGATACCGGCGGCCGCGGCTTCCTACTCTATCTTGCGTGGGTGCACCCTTCCATTAACCTCCCTTTTCTGCGTCCCATGTGCTGCTCTCTGCCTTCCCAAAGGATCATCCTTGCTCCGTCGCACGTAGCTAGACCTGAATAATCTGAATAACCTTTTTTCCTCCCCTTTACCCCAAAAAAGCTCCGAATGACGTGCGATTTGCCCAAACTCTTAAACAACTCCAAATCAACTTCATCCCCACAACGTCACACCGACGTAACCCCGTAGATATTGAAACAGAGGGACAAAAGCCGTCAATTTACTCGCAACTGAATCCGTCCATCACCACCACATTCGTACATTGTAGCGTCGCCCGGTTGACTGTACGGATACCCAAAATGATGATCAAAGCTCTCAACGTGTACCCCATCAAGGCCCTCCGCCCAATCCACCTCACCTCCGCAATCCTTACCCCGCAAGGCATCCTTCATGATAGGACCTACATGCTATTCAAAGTAAACCCGGACTCGACCCTCCGCAAAATGCAGCTTTCCACCTTTCCCCAATGCGCTCTCTTCTCCCAGGAGATCGTCGCCTCTGCCGACAGGGACGATAAAGGCGATGAGGACAAGATCCTCGTAAAGTACAACATACCAACACCGCCCCTCATCGATCACCATCCCCTCCAGGACACCATCCTCTCGGTGCCCCTCGTCCCCGACACGTCGTCCCTGGAGTCCGTCTCGGTCGACCTTCACGGAAGTCCCGCCGAAGCCCTCCGCATGGGGGAGTCCTACGACACCTTCTTCTCCGCCTGCTTCGGCTTTCCCACAATCCTGGTTCACATCGGCTCCGGACGCCGGCGTGTCCTCGGTACCCTGGCACCGGGGTCGTCTTCCAAGCAGCAGCAGCAGCAGCAGCAGCAGCAGTCTTCCTCTCTCTTCACCTCAATCACATCCTACCTTCCCTCCCTCTCTTTCGTTCCGAAATCCGAGGATGACGAACAAGCCTGGCTAACCTTCACCGACTGCGCGCCCTTCCTCATCACATCAGACTCGTCCCTATCTTACCCGTCCCTCACATCATTTCAAACATCAGATAAACCCTCCCCCATCATGCCCAAATTCCGCCCCAACATCGTCGTGGAAGACTCCTCCGAGGCCCCTTTTGCCGAGGACTTTTGGGCAGAACTCTCTCTCCCCGATTCCTCCGACGCCAAGCTCCTCCTCACGGCCAACTGCGGTCGCTGCACCTCCCTCAACGTCGACTACGCCCTTGGCCGCGCCGCTCCGGGGCCCGAGGGAAAGCTGCTCAACACCCTCATGAAGGACCGACGCGTCGACCCAGGTCACAAATATGCACCCGTCTTTGGCCGGTACGCCTTTCTCGAGGTCCCCGTCGCCGGCGGCGGGGATGGAACGGTCCAGGTCCGCGTGGGTGACCAAGTCGTCGTCACTCGACGCAATGCGGAGCGGACAGTCTTTGATTGGGACATACCGGGCCCCGCCGCGAAGAAAACCGTTGCTGTTGCATAGATCAACTTTCCTGATGTAGTTGGTTGCAGCCCACGCCTCCCCTCCCCACTTGGGCAGCCATCTTCTTTTCCCACTTTTCATGTTCTAGACTAGAATAGGGAATTTTCTTCACTAGAGACCAAACATGCCATATCCCACGATTCCCACATGTCCAAAAGGGGGGGAAGGGGGGAAGGAGAGAGTGAGAAGAAAAATAGACACCGCGGAAGGCAAAAAAAGGTAGAACTCTAGATGGAGGCTCCTTCATGTGTCTCTTTCACTGCACCATGACCCAGAAAAAGGAAATCGAGCACACGAGAGGCAAGGGCAATCACATGTGAAGTTTAGCGGACTTGCAGCAGCGGGGGGGAAGCAGGGAAAGAAAAAATGCAGAATGTCGTGTAACCAGGTATCTGACCTCTCGGCCCTCGCGCATCAATCTCACCCTTTTCCGCATTATCCACCTCGAACCCTCTCCATCGTGCAAAAATAATCTGTATCATCATCTCCTGATCTCACGAAAGTGACAATGCATTTAGAAAACACCGCGGGGCTCACTTCCCCGGAAGCTCGAGATGAGAGCCTCGCCGCCATTGACACATGTAACCTAACCCCCCCCCCCTTCTTTTCCCCTCTCACCTTGTTGGTCGAGTTGCCATTGCCAATGACACCATCTCTCTCAGTTTCATATGCCTTCCTTGTGTAACCCGAAAACGCACCTTTGACGTTAAGGAAGAATAGCGGGTGCCTCTAATAATTACCCAAACGGGGGGTGTTTTCCGATACCCCAGATGCCCAGAGTCCTGATAGCATAATCAACAATCCAAGAAAAAAAAAAGAGATGAGTTGTCGCGGGCATTACCCAGCTGAAAAACTTTTTTTCTTAAGAAAAAAATAAAAAAAGAAAAGAAAGAAGAAAGAAGAAAAAAAAATATCGAAAGATTCTGCGAGACTTGCCGCAATGCGCTCGACGAGCAAACTTCTATCCGTACCCATCCCACGACCTATCGGCCGACAGGCGCACCACAACCGCGTACCGTGCCCCCTTGTTCCCCGGCCCGTTCTGAAGGTGGTCCTCGGGCGCGAAGAATTCTCAAAAAAAGAGTAGGTACGAAATGGAGAAAGAAAAGGAGGGAGGGGGGAGCCGTTCAGGGGAACCGCCGGGGCGGGCGGGCAGAGAAGGGCGGTTACCGTAAATTCCCTCGATCTTCGCAGCGATTGTGATGTGCAGTATTTCCCGTTTAGTCGACCCGTGTGCTTTCGTACTTTGTTTGGCCCAGTCTGCCTACTTACGGATGCATCGTCCAGCCGTGTTTCCAAAGTTCCTCACAGTCTCGTCATACTTGCCTCGTTGCTGGAAAAAAAAAAAAGAAAAGAAAAAAAGAAGGGGGGGCTGGCTGCTAGAGAGGAGTGAGGGGGAAAGGGGAAGGGTTAAAAATGATGAGAAGGAGGTAAATTTTTTTTTTTTAAAAACAAAGGTCCCCAGATATTACATCCAACCAGAAGGCATCTCAACCAGAGCCTCATCTACAAATTTTCCCCGTCATACATCGTCATCCAGCACCACCTGATTCCTTGACCATAAACCATCAACCACCCCCCGCCAACCAATCCCATCACTTGTCGTCGAATTTATCGGTGTGCAAATATCGTGCCGGTCCGACCTCTGGGACACCAGCATCCATCCACAAGCCGACCCTTCCCTGTACCATACATACGTATGTCGTTGTAAGTTGACAAGTTGGAACCTGGTTACACGCCCTCCCCCCCAAAGAAGAGGAAAGGAAAAGGGAAGGAGAGGGGGAAGAAAAAAAAGGAAAATCATCGCGTAAACCTTCGCCCGTTCCCAAACGGCAGGACCGACGTCTCGGAGAAATAAACCATGCAGGTAACCGGCCGGCATCCTATCAGATGTGGGTTCTAGATGCCAATGCCATGCCGAGGTCGTGCCATGCTGCTATTGTACAACCACAAACCCCGGATCTACATTGTGCAACGGGGAACACAAAACAGCCTTGCAAAAAGTAGTCACCAAAGAAGGATCCAGATGTGGCACGGCAATCTTTCGAATGTTTCCGACTTCTCCCGTTGAAGAAAAGGACCCGAGGCGAGGCGGATTACTCGCACACATATCACGGCAACCGTCAAATCGCATCATATATTCACCGGCATCCTCGGACCCTAAGTGACACCGAGCGGGAGAGGGATCCACCAACGACGTCTCTTCAACATGCGCCCACATACCGATTGTCAAGGTAGGCAGCATGACATGGCAGTTCTGGACAGCACAGGGCGCAGCAGTGGGTGATGTGGCTAGGAATACACTAGGTTTTCTGCCTCCCCCACCTTTTTTAAAAATTCTCTTTTATAACTTATTGCTTTGCTCCTCACTGTCTTTTGATCTTCATATGCCATGGCAAGAATAGAAATCACGGTTCTCTAGACCCGGAGCGCTACAGATGCTTGGCCTACCGGACGCGATACCGTTTTTGCCTGGCAGCATCAAGCCACATGCGAAACCGAAGCGCAAGGGGTAAGATGTGATACGAAATCTCCTTGGAAAAACACAGGATGATAACTGACCAAAAGGTAAGAGCGTAGCGTGAGAAAATAGAAGTATTCTGCGTCAGGAGGCAAAAAGAAACAAAGCTCAAAATTGGCAAATAACCGCCGTTCCAGTCCATCAGCCTTGCGTGCTGTTGTGACGTGATCTAAACCCGGATTTTTTCTTCTGTTTGCCATGCTCCGTGAAACCATTGCCCAAGAGCCCGAAATCTATTGTTAGAGAAAGAAACCTTTCCTCCTCGCTAGTATCACTACCAACATCCGTCACACTCCCTCGCTCGCCCCCTCGCCTCACCTACTCTTGCCCCGCCAACTTTGGCGGGTTTCCCACAGCAAAAGAGAAAAGGAAATAATCAAGTCGTTGTTTGCCGTGGAATAGGGGTATTGTGCATTGCGCGGCCAAAAAACTCCGTTGCTTATTGATCAAAGTGTGAAATGAAATGAAGAATGGACGATGGGTGTGTGTTCTTGCGGTCGAATCAACGAGCTAACCGGCCGGAGCGTTGGCGAGCGAACGAGCTGTGGATGAATTAACCCCCCCTGCTGATTTAGGCTCAGTGCCTGATGGTTCCAGATTGTGACCGGGAAAGCTGCCATCGCATCATTCCCGTCCTCAGCCAGGCACGGAAACTCGAGGGCATCATCGCACAGGGGCTCAGTAGTTGACACAGGCGCTAGGGCGTCACCCCTTGTGGACGGGATGCGCTCCCCGCTGGGGCCGTTGAACTTCAGCCAGCTGCAGAGGTGCCTGAGCCAGAGGGTCCCACGTGTGCCATGCAGCACCGAAATTCGGCACCACTGAGCTAAACCAGAGTTAAGACCGAAGACCCTGCCGTGTCGGCAGGGATCCTGTTCTGGTGGTGCAATCGGCGTGCCTTCAAAACGTCCGGGGAGGGTTGCAAACAGAATGGTTGAAAAAACTCAAAAGTCGAAAACGGAAAGAGTTGCATGACTTTTTTCGTCTCGACGGCCGCCGCCAAAATTGAAGGAATCAAAGGGGGAGAACCCCGCGAAGAGGTATCCGATGTCGTCCGATCCGATTAACCCTGATTGCCATCGATCGCCGGGGCATTTCTCAGGCGCATTCGCCTAGTATTGCGTGTGTCTGGCGTATCGCCAGCGGGATGAACCAGTGTAGTCGCGCAGTGTTTGAGCGTCTCAAAAGAACCCTAGGCTTGTATTAGTAGGTGGCATCTATCAATTGCAAGACGACACAGTTTTGCAACTGCCGTGCCACATTGTCCACCGACAGGTACCATCGGGATACCTCACTGGGCAATGAAACAAAAGAGGGCGATGAGATGGGGGATCGCGTAGGGCGAGACATTTGTGTCTGGGTGGTGATGAAAGGGAGTTGGCGTCATCAGAAGCAAGTAACATGTAGCCCAATTTCGAACAAGGTGACTTGCTCAAAGTGAGCGGCAGTGTCTTTTGAACATACCTCGAGTGCATCCAATGCAAAACCCCCCACGTCGCCAGCATGCCTCCATCTTGCATCCCCTCATGGTGAGCACCACCTTCCCGCAGTCGGTATCGTCTGCGGTGCTCAGTAGCGGTGCCGACAAACGAGGCGATAGACGTGCATCTTCAGGCGTTTTGGGTGCAGGGCCGGCAGGTGTGAAGCTTGCAATACCGGCACTCGAAAATGCTCCAGTGGGGTCCAGAATGGCAAAGGTTGCAGGTCCATTGGATCAAAGTGCTGTCCGACTTGATCATCTTGAACGAGTGGGCGCAGGGACCCGCGACGGCCATCTTGAAGCAAGAGCAGGCGGAAGCTTGGGAAGCCTGCGGACTGGACGTAGCGTCTGGAACGACCTAGAGGTGCTAGAGGCCCTGTGCGTTTTGAGCGTGATGGCGAGGTCCAACGCGGTTTTGGTGTCGGTGCTGGGGTTGGAGTAGGTGTTATTGGCCCTGAAGTTCGCTAACGGCTTTCAATTTTTGTCGCCTGGGAGAGAGAAAGCTAACGATTTGGCCACAAGACGACGGTGAAGCCTTTTCGTGGGTTGCAAAACGTCTTTTTTCTGAAATCTGTGAATCTGGATGAGCATTGATCTTCAACCTGTTTCCATTGTTGCTCTTGGTAGGTGATTCTTCTGTCTTAAACATCTTGGGAGGGTCTACAAGCGAATAGTTCGGACTCACTTGCGAGAGGTCAACTGTTGATATGAGGTTGACGAGCAAGGGGGCGGATGCCAAATTCAGGTGTCTGAGTTGAAGGACTGGGTCAACTTGGAGTGTTTGGAGAGGGTGCTAAACGACGCGGGTGGAGGGCGGGAAGGGATGAAGGCGAGGCCGGTAACGTCAAGATTTGAAGAGAGTTGAAGAACAGAAGAGGACGTGGTCTTTTGTGTGTAAGAAAAAAATAAGTTTGAAGAAGGTTTGCAGGTCGGTGGTGGTAGTAGTGGTGTTGTTCGCATGGATGAGATGGACAAAGACGAGGGCGCGGATGAAGAAGTGCGGGTGCAACTGCAACTGTAAGGCAAGTGCAATTGCGAGTGAACCTCGAGGTAAGGCAGGTAGAAAGAACTTTGGAGGGTGAGGTGAGGGTGAGAGTCAGAGTGAGGTGCCCCACGCCAAAGTGTCAAGGAAGGTACGGGCTGGTCCAGTGGTCTTGGGGAGGAAAGAACGGCAGTAGGGAGGGCACCATATAATGTCGAGTAAGGAAGTCGCGCCGACATGGCCAGTGAAGGAGGATTGAAGCATAGAAGGAGCAAAGAAATTGGTGCGATTTAGGTTTGCATGAGAAGAGTGGAAAAGAGACGGAAAAACCAACATACTTTCAAGTTGCCTTAGGAGCCCCAAAAACCGAGGCAATCAAGCGAGGTACCAGGCGTCAGGTAGGTGAGATTGGTAGGTAGGTACTGTACTACCTAGGGAAGGCCAATGCCGGGTGTGATTATGTAGGTGTGCTTTGACAGCACAGCAAAGCTTGGTGGTTTCGTCTCCTTCCAACAGCCAATACAAGCCAGGAAAAGTCACCAGTTGCAATGGAGGCCTAGGGCAGGTGCGGTTGGCTAATGCTGTGTGACTGGTTGAGCAGCGAGATGGGAAAAAAGTCGGCCAAGGTAGAGGTGGAGTGAGGTGTAATGACGATGAAATAAATAAATAAAGATAAAAGTGCTGAGAGCCAATGCACCTTGGGACAAAGCTTTTGTGTTTTGGTCTCGATCAAGCTCCGGCCGCGGTCCCAAGCACCCCTTATATGGATGGTCGATCCCACGGACAGATCACCTTCTGATTGCAATGCAACAGAAGCCAGGTATTTGACAATCGCAGCTTGTAGTGTATAAACTCTAAGCACTGGTATTACCGCAAGTCCCCGTTGTTCGGCAGAATTATGTTGTTTGTTGCTGTCCCTGTTCGCCCGGACCCAACCCGTCCCAAGGTTCACAGCGGGAGCGTCGGATTGGGTAGCTTGTCCTGTTTCCACTCCTGGTCCGTGTTGTCTGTATCGGTATGGACCACGCGGTAGGGCTGCCAAAGTCTGGCTGGCTCTGGCCCTCTCTCTCTCTCTCTGGCCGGTGCGTGTTGTTGGCATTGCCGTTGCCGTGATTTTTGGTGACGGGACGAGGATTTGAGGCGCTCCGGCCGGGAAGCCAAGGATCATTTAGTCGCCCGTACCCTTTCTTTTTCGAATTAGAGCCCGATCATAGTCCAGAGTGACAGGGACCAAGGGGCTGCCGCTCTGGAAACACGCTTCAGGAGTACGTCCACAGGGTTGCTGCCGCTAGCGGGATATACCTTGTAGTTCAGAGGCGCCGCGCTTGGCTGGAGAAGCTCGACCGGTAGTGCCCGGCGCGGTACTACGAGGTACTGCTGCAATTCCTCCCCAACTGTATCCGTACCTACCATGCATGGCATGCTTGTGGAAAAGGTTGAACCTTCAGGGTGAGCTGAGCTATGGGGTCGGACGTGGGATCGTAACAGCACCGAGACAGGCTCATCACATCTACGGTGCCCTGTCTGTCGATGATAGGTACCTACCTGACAATGCTTAACCGACCCAACGATGCCGCTTTCTCGGCCCTACCACTTGTCCCATCTCGTTTGTTCAAGCCGGGAACACTACATCTTTGCATGGATGTGATGTAGTATAGAAACGTCTCCTGTCATCATGGCCCGGCCCGTTTCTTTTCGTCTGCTCTTGGGGCCCGAGCATAGGCCAATGTACTCCTTGGGTACTTTGCCCAAGGAAGACAGGACGGGCGTTGCCCACCCATGGTCGGATGTCATGTCTTGTATCGCCTAGACAAAGGGCTTCCGCATTCTTGGTTGCACATTTGCCGTGCCCCTTGGGTAAGGTCTTGACCGCGATGACGACAAACCACAATGATGCTTGCTAGTGCAACAGACGGTCGAATGCCGTCGCCCCTTCTTGCATACCTTGCCGTGCCTCGCCACGGCTCATGGCCAACGGTTGTCGTGCGGCGAGGCAGCAGGGAATTTGACAGACAGGACCCGTCAAAATGATACCTTTTGGCTGAGACTTGATCATGATATAGGCCGTCCCCTCGTGTTGCACAATGCCTCGTGGCACATCATTGCCGTTCCACGGGAGTACCTTGTCTCTTCCCCATTGGCGACAAGGATATTGTATTAGTGTAGACCACGCTGGTCGATCTTGAGTCGTCTCGTGGAAAGTCCAGTATGAGGCTGTCGTATTGCCTGGCTGTGTTCCTCTCGTCCTTGTTGCAATTAAATCTAATCCGAGCGACATCGCCGCGTGCTTCTCCGAACACGCCCGGCAGCCAGGTCATTGAAGTTTTCCATTCAAAGTAATTCGTCTGGTTCTCCCATTTCCAGCTGCCGTGTACGGACACCTTCGATATCGATCTGCATCTCAAGCTGCACGACGACAAAATCTTTCCCCTACATGTGGCTAGGCCGCCGTGCACTGTCAATTTTGGACCGTCCCTGTGCGCGGTGTAGGTGCCATCCATTCCATGTAAATGGAAGGCCCCTGCGCTGTCAGGTTGAGCCTCTGTGGTCCCGGGATCTCCTCCGGCGGGCTAATTTTGGTCGCCCTTGGAAGGGTGGGCCCTGATGAAATGTTTCTGTTTGACTTCAAAGGGAACCTGATCCGGCCACAAGGTTCCGTGGCGCAGGGCCAAGAGCTATGACATGTAATGAACAACCAAGATCCAAAGTCAATGTGTCCCATGCTGATGCTGTTGGCATTTGCTGGCGGGAGAGGCTTGCAATCAATCATGGCCAGGGTATGACATGAACCAAGAATAACGGCGAAGGCTCTCTCATGTATAGGGACGGCAGGGTGTCCAGCTCCGGCTCCCGAACTTCTCGTCCGATTGGCTCGTTCTGCTGTCGATACCATGTGCATACGGAGCTATGTGCTTGGTAAAGACCACTCTGGGGTCGGCAGTGGATCGAATACAGTACGACCGGGCCTCCGGATGCACCGTCCTGTCTGTAGCACCAAGTCTGAAGTCTTTGCGGGCGTGCATGGTGGCAGAACGGTCGAGAAGCCCGGGCCCGCCCTGGAGAACCCATGACTTCACTCTGAACATGTCCAGGTCCAGGTCTAGTTGGAGAACGAAGCAGACCTGCCTTCTCAAGTGCCAATGTAACGACGTAGGTTTCCGGACTTGAGTCTACCTTAGACTGTATAGGCTGTTATGGCTATGGTGCGGCTTAGGTCGCAACCTTGCTTGGTCAAGACAGACTGCTTGTCGCATGAGCAGACTATCTCTAGTCCACAGCGGAATACTCGCAGAGAAGCGGCCAGAGGCGAAGATCCTGTTCGATCCGACTGCTCATCATGTCTTTTTACGCCACGAATCTCTCCGTGCGGCTCGGGACTCTTTCAGACAGGGTGGGTGGGTTGGGTTTGGCCATGTGTGGGGGAACGCCCCAGAAAATCTTTGCAGTTCCTGGCGTCTCGCCGTAAAAGCCAACATTTCTCCTACTGAGAACAGACGAAAGCTGCAATCTTCATTCGGATAGTCGGGCAAGTTGATCATGCCGCTTGGGCAACCGACAAGCGCAGCGAGGCCGCATGTGGCCCTGCGACGGATATCTTCTCAAGAAGAAATTGCCGTGGCCAAGCGAACATTTCCTGCTTTGCAAAATACTGCGTGCGTATCATGAGGTGGTACTTAATATCCTCAAGTTAAGGGCCGGGAAAGAGGTTGCAAAGGTGGCAGTTGAGTCTTGACCGCATCGAGGCAAACCCGCAGGACCTTTGCAGGGGATCAGCTCGTGGCCACGGACTGGGTCAACCATGCGTTGCGTGGCAGATCTTTTTTGCTTTATTTTTTTTTCTTCCCACCTTCGCCTGGGGCCACCGAAAACAGATTCTATGCATCCACTGCCCAGAAGCACACATGGCGGGGGAAATCCCTTGGTGCTCCCCAATGGGAAGCCGGCCTGGCGACATCTAACGTTTCATCGAATGTTCCTTGGTAGGGCAAGGTAGACGAGGCTTCTGCTTGAGTGATGGGGTTGGAATGGACCATAACGGCGTTGCCAGTTTTGCAAACCCACAAGAACGAAACCAGGATGGTGCCGAACGCCGGCAAGTTTTGCTTCAGCCGCGACTTGCGCAGGTGTCCGTGACGATAGAAGGTAGAATGTTCGGCAATGTCTAAACGCCGGGCAGACCACGGAGAAGAGAACGGTATTACGTTGTGTTGTGCCCATCAAAGGGGGAGGAAGCACCAGCGAGCAGCCGGGGTATCGTTCTAAGTGTCCTCCAAAGCAGCCGTGAAAGCTGTCCGAAGGGAAGTCAAGACTGATCAGACGGATGAAGTGCCCTAGGTATGTGAGCCGCATGAGCCAATCGGGCCAGATTCGACCAAGTACTCCGTATCCGTTGATGACAACCAGGAGTGTTCCCCGTCGCGTTTGCCGTGTTCTGACAATGCACTTCGGGCCAGTAGCCTCGACGGACCGACGAGGGAGGATTCCCGAGATAGTATTGCGAGAAACGGGGCCATGATCCATTGCGAAACAGCTGTCACGGCTTAACAGGAACGGGATCAAGGCCCCGGTGCAAACAAATAGGTTGTCATTCCGAGTTGGCGAGCTGGGGTCTGGGCCGCCGTTTGAAGCCAGGGTGATTAGGCTACCTGGTACAGAGTACCGTGGACCATGTCAAAGTCAGTCCACCATGCAACCCGGAGCTTCTGGAAAAACGGGGAAGGTATGGGTGAAGGCAGCTTACAGCTGTGGAGCAGAGAGGAGGACAGATAGAGACAAGAGGAAACGAGTGGCCGGAGCAGATGCCAACTTTACTCCGGACCTTGGTTGTTGTCTTCTTTTCTCTCCCGAGTCCCCGTGGACGGCAGCAAGGCATGGACACCGGTAGGTAAGGTGGTAGGAAGCGGGATTGAAGCTAACGTAGCCAAGATGACGGCGTTTGATATGAACCGGCAGAAGCGAAGGCGGACATTGCCTTGTTCGTAGCCGACGCTCACATTGGATTCAAGCTTCAGCATCGACGGGGAAATAGCTTCGGGCGTTATCTTGCTTACCTTAGGGTGAGGTAAAGTTCCACCTCCTGCAATGCGCCTACTTTGGCAAGAACGGGAAACTCAACGTCAAAGCTTCCCCGACAGGCCTGGCAGACGAAACCCACACAACCTCCACGTCGGCGATGGTGGTGGTGGTGGTAGTGGTGGCGGTGGGATCCCAAAGCTGCATTCTGCCCGGATTGGAAGCGGCGTTTGGGCACTCGCAGGGTCACAACATACTGTGTATGTGCAGCAAGGTGATCAACATTATTGTTTGATTCTTGCCTTTCCAGACCCATTGCGGATTGCCAACGCAACACCACTTTCCAGGCCGGTCAGGCTTCAAGGATTCAGTCTCAATTCGACCGAATTGGACACAAAAGGAAGCAGGAGGTTCTCCGTTCACCGTTCGCCTATTTACTGCAACAATCTCGGGTATGACAAGGCGAACGAAGCGCACATCAGCTTCGTCCGTCGACCGAGACCCCCCCCTGGTGCCACCCGCGTTTTTGCTCACGCGGTACGGGTGATTGCCTGAAGAACGGGATGAAAAGAAGCAAGAAGGAAAGAAGGGCGCAGCGCATGGTACGACGACCAATGGGGCAAACCTGGACAATGAGAGTGACTCCAAGGTACCCTAGGTAGCACGTGGGTAGGTAGGTAGGTACCTGCACAGGTCAACAAAATGGAAGGAGAGGCTCTTGGACGTCTCCCGACACCTTCACAGCTCGACGCCACCGCCTCATGCCTCATGCCCCGTGCCCCCGTGAAGTGCCCCACGCCCCTTGCCCCATGCCTCATCTCCAACCTCCAACTTGGAAAGAACAGAAGGTCTCTCTCATTCCTTCGCTGCAACCAAAGTACGTGGGTACAGACACCTCCTGCTTCGTTACTCAGAATGCAAACGCCAATGCTCTTGCCCTGGGTCGTGGCTTGTCCCGGTTGGTAGGTATCACATGACACCGATGCCACGCTTGCCAAATCCACTTCACCCACTCCTGTCGCATAGGTTGCCGGTCTGGCCCGCTGGGTCCTAGCGGCGCGTCTGTAACTTTGGAACCGCCTTTCATTTGACTTCAACCCGTCGTCGTCAGCCGCCTTTCCTCATCCTTTCTCTCAGCATTGCTCACGGAGCTGGCGTCTTCTTTCTCTAATTCCCACTTGATGCCATGCATGGGACTACGCAAGCCTTGCTTCCCTCAACCCTCCATTCACGTAATGCATATTGCGTCAACACTCGGGCACGACTGCTTCACTTGCCCTCTCTGATTGTCGTCGACCGACAGATGCATTCTCAGCTGTCGTCACAGAGCGTCACACTGCATTCTAAGCCTGTCAATATGATCGACAAGTATCCAATATTCGGTGTCAGCACTGAAAATCATCAGGAGCCTCGGCCGGCCAGCAGGTAAAACAAGACGAATTTGAGTACGGATACGGATATACGGAGCTATCCCGAGTCCTCGACAGCTTCTCAGTTCTCACCTTGTTCAGAGCCACTTTTCTAGGCGCTGCTGAAAGACCGAGCTCAAGTCGCGGTGCTCCCCGCCCTCTCTCTCTCTCTCTTTCTCCCTCTCTGTTTTTCCGTGTCCCTCTCCAACGGCAAGGTAGAAGCTCCGCGCTCCGAACTCTGCACTGTCTCTAAGCCGGATTCGTTGACTAGCAGACGTCAAAATTGCGCCTCACGAGACTCGGGGCTCACTCCGCGGCCGCTCTCATTCCCCATCCGCGAGACTACTTCCAATCTTGACCGCAGAATCTCACCCATAATCGCCATGTCTTTTGGGTTCCCTACGGCAAGCATAACTTTCGCTTGCCTCCGATACTCTAAATATCCGCGTACGACGACGCATCGCAACCTTGGGCGATTGACACCATCTTGGATGGCCCCATGTTACTCGCTGTAGTGCGGCACGTCGCGCTGGTTCCCTCTCCCTCCCGGCTCACTTGAACATGGGGGTTTGGACCGTGGTTCGATAGTGCCACGGCAAGGACCATACTCGGTGAGGTTGGGACGATTATCTTCACACCCTCTCGAGGAAGCGAGAGCAGTGCCGGTCAAATGCCAGAAGACTATGGGCGTTGCAGTACACCGACCAACCAGCAAATCTGAACTCTCGAGATGATGTGATTGGCTGGCAAGGATGCACAGGCACCCCTGACCGTTTGATGCCGGCCAAGATCTGCACGTCGCTACAAGGAGCCATCGCCGACTCGAGTCGAAAACAACGCCAAATCATATTGTCAGAGAGACATCTTTTCTCTCGCCCCACTCATTCTTTTTATCCTTGATTTGTACGGATACTCAAACCCTGAATGACATGGACAGTCGGAAATGCTATCACCGCCCCGCCTAACTCAAGGGGAGACATGCCGATTTCTTTCAACCGTCCGAGCCTCTCGAAGCGAGGGCGTACCAGCCGAGGACTGATGGCTTTGAAAGTCCTTAGTGAGCCTTTCTCTGACGCGAGGCAGCGTGATTGGTCACGGGCCTTACTCCGCGCCCAAAGTCACGTCGCTCCCCTGGCTAACGGACTGAGTGGTCACTAGGGGTATCCGTGCAGCAGCACGCCAGCCGACAAACTCCACCCCTCGCCATCCTACTAAACGACAAGCATTCTCCAGACCACGCCACCATCTCGCAATTCTATCTTCTCAAATCAAGGCCCAACGAAGACGAGAGTTTGCCAAGGTGGTTTATCACCTTGGAACTGTCGACAATCGAATATAGGAGAGTCTGCTCCGAACTGACTTTTTATAGCCGTCTCTCCAACGGCCTTGGACTCCCAATATCACTTGTCGAGTCTGTATTTCCTCACGCTGTCTTTTGCTAACGACGCGCTAGTAGTGCCCAGTTACGACCACTGCTCATGAATCAATTGGCAAATACTGCCTTGTGCTCTTCTGCTTCTCATGTTCTACATAAGTCAAAACATCATCCACGTAGCGAACAGCACTCGTTTTCTTAATGGTTATCGATACAATCAGGGCTGAGGGTGAGAATTTATTCAAACCATCATTGCCTACGGCTAGTGTCAACCAACAACTAGAATGCTCCGGTTGGCAGTGACGATACTAATAACAATGGCCACACTCTTCTTCATAGAGAAGCTTAGATTGCATATCCTGGCTACACAAATGGGTGGGGCATCGATTGACGAAGATGCATGGAGACGCTGCTCGGTTGGGATAAAGATCCAGCAACTCCTCCCAGTGACTATCCCTGACGATTAAGTATCCAGGCCGAGGCAGAATGAGGGTTTCGTTCCTCGTCAACCCCCCCTTCAACCAGGCGCCGAGTACCCCTGACCCGATAGCTTCGGAAAGGTCGAAGAAAGAGACTACTTTGGGCGACGAACGGGCCTTTTGGATCACTTCCTTGCCCATCCTTGCGAATCGGAAGCCTGCCCCATTCTGAGTCGCCAAAAAGACTCATCTTCACAAGTCTGTCGATTCTAAACCCTTGAATGATCCCTCGTCCATATCGACGTCCATATCAAATTCACATGCGAAACCTGCAGATGTTCTTGTTCCGAAGCCCGGTCCCAACCATCTTCCGGCAGCCTTCACCATGGGGTACAACAAGGTAATTTTTCTGAATATCATCTCAGGATCTTTCGTCTCTCCTCCAGGGTACTTGCAACAGAAACCTCACCATACACTCCGAAGGCCAAGCCCCAGCAGCCGGGACTGCAATTCATGGGATGTACCATATGGATCAGGCGAAATTGCGGTGTGCCTCGTCCCCTTTGTTGCCGACCTTGCGAGATGCCATGTTGCCCCCCTTTGCCGAGCAGTGATTCGGTACCATGGATGGACCTCTTACGGCCAACTGATACTAGGCAAGGTCGGCCCGCGTCACTATCAACTCCTGATGTCAAGTCCAATGACGTTACCTCAACATCGCCGCGCCTTGTTACGAGTGACTTGCCAAGATCTTGGGTGATACCGTTTGATTTTCCGCTATGGTGCTATTCATGCGCTCAAGTTTATCCATGCTGCGTTTCTCGCCTCCTGTCCGTCGCTTCCCTCATATGTTGTACCTCCCACCGTATCAGTTGCAATTCTCTATCTGAATAGCTACAAGAGCCATGTATGACTACTCAATTACTCGACAGGCTCTGCTGCCACCTGGGAGATTGTCTCAGTCGAAGTATCGGGCTTGGTTCTCGGGCTCACGGGCTCCTCGTCATCCATGACAACCGACGAGGCTGATGCGAGAGCCTGACCCGCTGAGATTAGCTCTTCCTTTCCCGCGCCACTCTCGGGCTCTGGCTGGGCTGTGATCTGCTGCTCTGCTGCCTTCGGTTTGGGATGCAATCCCTTCATCTCAAGCCCCTCGCTGTCACTGTCTCGTCGTTCATGATCCTCTATGGAGAAGAGATCTGACAAGTTCACTGCGAGGAAGGTCTTGGGAAGTTTAACTCTACAATACGACTTTGTTAGCAGCACACCCAATCGTCAGCAAAGCCACTTGGTTGATGGAAACTTACTGGTTGAACTTGGCCCTCAGAGTGCGGATCACTTGCATCCAATCACCGTGAGGGGTCAGACTGCGTCGCGGAGCGCAGCTGATGCAATGCTTGCTGTCCAATTGGACGTCTAGCGGGTCGAAGACGTGGCATCCGGGGCTAATGGTGATTCTGATACTGTAGGCAAAAGTCTGCTCTTCACCCCCATCGGGTGTGGCGGCAGGGGCCTTTGTCTCCGACTCATACAACTCGAAGCAGATCTGCGAAAGATAGTCGAGCTCGGGAATAGTACTTCTCTTGATCTTCGTCTCGATCCCTCCTTCGAGAATGCAGTTGAGAAGGGTGTAAATGTGGGATTCTTTAGTGAAGTAGAAGAAGGACTTGGCATCGTTCGATGCTTGCATCTCTTCGAGATCCTGAACAATCTCTTTGAGCAGCGGCAGCGACGTTAGAAGGCCAATTTCCAGCTTCTCCCCATCAGAGATGCCGTACTCTTGAGGGCAGATGAAATCGAAGAGGACCTTGGCGAGCTGGTACAATTCCCGCAATGGTTCAAACCTGGCATCGGTCTTTGCCTTGGTCTGAGTGTTGCCCTTGTACAGATGGAAGTACTGCTCAGGCGGGGCTGCCTCGACGTGTCGAAGACCGTTGAGGAACGACCGCCGTCGGAAGATACGTCTCACAGATGTCGAGCTCTTATCTGCCTTATCGCTGGATCCCGAGAAATCCCGTCTTTCCTCGCGCGAGTCCTGCGACGACTTCCCCTCATCGGACGTCTTCTCGGCATTCTTGACCTCTTTGCTACTGTCCTTGCTGTCCTTATCCTTTTCCTTGTCCTTGATGCCGTACTCCTCCTCCAGCATGGCTTTGGGCGGGGTGAAAACCCATTCCAAGAACTGCCGATTGTGCAGAGCATCGAACTTCATTGTGTCGTAGAGCTCGGAGATCTTGCTAGGATCAACCTTTTCTCCGTCGCAAAACTCCGCAAACAGCTTTTCCCAGCGTTCTCTGAAGAGCTCGGCATCCTCGCCACAACACCATCTGGGTTGGATGTTGCTCACCGCATTCGCCTGAGACAAGGATGAGGAGATGGAGCTTGTCGAGCCCGATGCCTCCGCGTTTGCAGGTTTCTCAGAGCCCGGGTTGGCAATAGCGTTATTTAAGGAAGCAACGGCACTACCGTTGTTTAATTTGCTGTAGTTGTAGTGCATCACACGGCGATGGAAGTTCATAAGTTGGACAACACGGGTCTGAACCTCTGATGGCTCGGGCATCTTTTCCGGCCAAGCGAAATGGGAAGGTCGCTCGTTACCCTTGCGAAGGAGACCCTTTAGCTTCTTCTTCACCTTGTCCATCTCGTCCTTGGCGGCGTTGGAGTCATCGAGTAAATCCTTGCGGATAGTAATAAAGTCCTCCGGGAGGTCTTTACGATCCAGGAAAGCAGAAGCCCAAATCTGTGCGCTGGTTGTAACTCGGCGTTCAGAACTGCTGAAGACGTGGACCTCGTCCAGAACATCTCGATTAAGCAGATTGAAGTCGTTTCTCATGTTCTCGCCCAGTTCCTGGGCCTGATAGCGTGCTGAGTGCGTCGGCTCACCGCCCCATTTGACAATGAGCTGAAGCTTCTCCAGGACCAAGCTCTCTTCTGCGGCTGTGATACGGGACATGGTCATACCGGAGAGAGAGTCATGCCTCTTGGGTGGCATTCTAGACGGTGAAGAGTTTTCCGTCTTTGCGGCGCCTTCTTCCGGCTTGTCTGCGAAATCTGTCTCGACGCCCTCTTTCAGGACTTGTGAAAGCTCATCGCCTGACGAGACTGCGACCTCTTCCGTTTTCTTCTTCCGGAACATTGGCTTGATCTGGACCTTGGTGCCAGCCCATCCGCCCTTCTTCACGAGGACGTTGCGGAGGGACTTTAACTTGGAGCGATCTTCCACGCCTGCCCTCAGCGCAACATCTACGGCCTGCAGTACGCTAGCCAGAGCTGCCTCTCCAATGAGGAGCACCTCTTCCTGATGGCCTTTGAGTAACTCAATGAACGGCGCCGTATGGAAGGTGAACTTGTACTTTTGCTTTGGAGTTCGATCGGCATGGCGAATGACGGACACAATACCCTTGAGCTTCCAAGAGTGCTTAGGTGGCGGCGGCGGCGCTGGAGGGTCCTCTGGCGGAGGTACAATGCCCTCTCCTTGCAGCGAAGGGGCGGCGGATGGTGTGGCCGACCCCGTGGTGGAAGGGACGCTCGCTATAGCAGGCTCTACCAGCGGAGGCGGAGGAGGAAGGGTAGGGCTGGTACACGAACTAGTGACGGCAGAGGGGAGTGCACTCTCCGACTTTTGAGGTGGTGCATTCGCGGGTGCGGCCTTCGGCTCCTGAGGCAGCTTCTCAGAGACAGCCGGTACATTGGTGACGGACTTATTCTGTGCCGGTGGTACAGGGATGGGTTGTGATGACTCCTTCTCCTTGCCTCGTGATGCCAATGGATCATTTATATCCGAGAGAGAAGGCGATGGCGCGGGGGAGGTGACGCCGCCTCTTCGAAGTCTTTCCTTTACAAAGACGTCCTTGAGAATGTTGGCGCAATGGTCATAGTAATCGTCATTGTCTTTGACAAAACTCCAACCGTTGACGTCAATGACATAGCTCTTACCGCCAGCCCGTAGGAAGTCAAAACCGCAGACTCTTTGACCGAAAGAAGTCGAAATCTTGCTGGCGATTTCCTTCTCTTCGGGCTCTAGGGCCGTAACATAGCGCAGCTCCTTGCCGTGTGTGTTACGCCTGACGACACCGTCAACGACGGGAGATTTCCGAGTCTCTGCATGGCAATAATTGGGCCCTACAGTATAGGCTTTGACATCCTCGGCATTGTCGACTCTCATAAACTTTTCGTAAATATAGCTATTCTCTGGCTCCAGGATAGCGCGAGGAATGTTCAAGTCTGGATCATATTCGGAGCTCTTGTTGCCGATTTTGCGGAATAGTCGACGAGCACCACCGCCGGTGGACTTGGGGAAGTAGATGATGATGTTGTGATCCTCACCGCTGACAGGTTTCTCGACAAAGGGCTTCTTGAGCAGAGCACCATCGACGCTGAGAATATCGCCGTCGTCGAGGAGCTCGACCTTGCGAGGAAGCCTGTTGTAGCCCAGGTCTTCGGCATCCAAGGTTATACCAGTGATCTCCTTGATATGCTTCGCAGTGTCTGGGGTCAGAAGTTCAGGGCCGCCATCACGGTTCACCTCAATACGTTTTGGCGTAGCCACACCTATGCCGTCCAAGATGTTGAGGCATAGACGACGATCCCAGAGAATCTTTTGCATTGGCACATCATTGACGCAAAACGGTTTCCGAGCCTTGACGTAGGCAATCGCCTTATCCAGAGGGAAGCCATCCGAGTAGAAGGAGATGAGGTAATCACTGAGGCAAGTATTAGTACAGCTGCACAAAAGAATTACTGTTGTGATGGCCTCGTCAACAATGAAGACAGTAGATAGAGAAAACGAAGGGAGGTATTTGAATAGTGCGGGTTCTGTGACAGAGGAGAAAATGTTATGCATAGGTTGGAGGGTTGGTGACGCAGAACGAAGCTATGCTGTTTTGGCTCACCGAGCCGTCAGCGAAGCATGAAAAATCACATTCACTTACCACATGGGCCAATTCTCGACCTCTGCGTTACGAAAAAACAACGGTTAGCAAATCTGTCCGACGTAATGCAGTTTCTGGGTTTCACGTTTGCCCGGCTCTGCGCGAATCCTCTCCGTTGGGGTGAAACAGCAGCTTACCTTCGTCCAAGATAACCTTGTCGCCAAACACAACGACGTCGAACTCGCGGTTAGCAATGAGTCGATTCAAAATGTTTCTGCTAGGCTTGCTGCGGGCCTTGACATCCAAAGCGCAAACTCCAATAACACCCCAAGGCGCTGGCTTGACTGCGGGCGCATTAGAGCTTGTCGATACACGTTGTCGAGGCGCGCTTGTATCTCTTGACTGACCCTCTTCTTTCTCCTTGTTGTGGTAGGGTCCTCGATCGCTGCTGGGGCTATGACTGCTAGCACCAGTGCTTCCGCTGAACCTACGCTTGTTACGGCTGCGGGATCGAGTTGGCTGAGGCCGCTCGGAACGAGGAGGGCGTTTGATTACGTCGTGATGGGTATGGGTATTGGTCTCGCGCGGCGCGAGGTGGTGGCCACCTGGGGCAGCATTGGCATTTTGACCGTTCGAGGAGGTGGTTACAGTGACGTTGGACAGCTCGGCGCCGGGTTGAGAGGCATTCGTGACAGGTTTTCCCGACGACATGATGCCGGAAACGGAGCGCGAAGGGCCACCGTCGGAGCCGGTTGTCGAAGCAGCGGAAGATTGCGCGGCGGGGACCGAGGTTGGGGCGACACCGCGAGCCGAGGCCAGCGAGTAGACGGAGAAGACGCTGGAAATCGAGGTGCGCTTGTCCTTGAGATCAGACTCGGAAGAAAAAGAAGATTTGGTTGTGAGGGCAGGTTCGGGGAGGGGGCGATATGGGGCGGTGGAATCTTGCTGGCTAGACCCAGACATGAGGCGTGGGGTATCGACGTCGTCGACGTCGGCAAATTGCAGGGCGGAATCGCTCCAGGCCTCGAGCGAATTGTTTGATTCTCGACGGCTGCGGCAGAGAGAACCTCGGGGGCTCTTTAGAGGAATGGAAGAGGGCGGGGGCATGGAAAGGCTAGCAGTGGCAGAGTGGGCGTCGGTGGTTCCAGGCTCGGCATGTCGGCTCTTCCTGCTGGCAGAGGAGGAGAGGTTGAGAGAATGCGAGATGGAGCGTCCGGGTCTCGATGGCAGAGGCAGGTCGACAGGAACAGAGGTGTTTAGGGTCGAATGGGAAGGGGATGACGAGGATTGGGAAGAGTTCGGGTTGAGGGGAGAGGCAGGCGCAGCGGTAGCGGCAGGGGAAGCAGGCGTGGTGGCCGCGCGAGCACTATCTACAGATCGTCGAGTGTAAAAAATTGGTCGGTCCATGTTGCGGCTTGCCAGATGCGCCCAAAGACAAGACGCGCACTGATCAGACGGGAGTTCTTGGAGGGGCGGCTGCTGACTCGACCTTTGCTGGACTGCGGACGCTACAACCTTGCAGTTTTTCTTGCTTGTGCTTGATTGCTTTGTTCTCCGGCGGGCTCGTACCGTATTCGTACCTTGTTGCAAGAAGGCAGGCAAGGTAGGAACTCAGTGACCCAGTGGTCAGGTGCAAGGTGAAGATGGGGCGGGGCGTGAAGTTTTTCCACCGGCCAGACTCTGGTTTTTTTTTTTGGGTTTCTTAAATGACGTGAAGTCTACGGCGAGAAATTTGGAGTTTGGAGTAATTGGAGTTGAGGGCTTGCAATGCATCTAGACCAAAAGGTTATTGGGCATGGTAGGTAGATAGATGAAGAAGCGACGCCAGAACGTGGGCGTGTCCTTCTCATTGGACCACCGCAATTAGCATGGTAACACACAACAGGGTCCCTAGCAGCTTTGGCTGGCTGTTCTCATCTTCTCGCGCCAAACCGAACGATTGCGACAAGGAACAGGGAACCAACCATACGTTCCAAGTCTTGCCGCGAGCGTGATGCATGCCTTGAGACAAAGTGGCGGGCCGGCGGCGGCGGGAGGCACAAGCGACAGCAGCTCAAGCCTCACGCTGCAGCAGAAGGATTTTCTAGAAAGCCCATCAGCCAAGACCGGGCCCTCGAGAGAACGCGTGGGGGGCGCGGGGGGGGGGGGGGAAAGGGGAAGACAGTCCAAGCCGTGCCTGGGGGACAAAAGGTTTTTAAAAAGACCCCGAGGAAAGAGATGGGGCGCGGGGAAGAGTGGGGGGGGGGGGGGGGGGGGAGTTTTTTTCGGGGGGGGGGGGGGGGGGATCGAGTGGGAGACAAAAAGGAAAGAAAAGAAAAAAACCTTCTAGACGCAGGCGTGACAGGGCAAGGATGACGTTGGAGACGGGTAAAAGAGGTGGGGCTTGCAAACGCCAACCGAGACATTGAACCTACCGCACCTTACGTTCTAACAGCATGCTCCTGCAGCCAGCGCTTGACAGCTGGAGCGCGAACTCGCCTTGTCACTAAAACGTCAAGTTGGAATGGAACTGGAACCGCTCGAGCTACGGCTTCCGGCGAATCATAATGCTGAACGCAGCTATTGACACCTGGAGGCTCAATCGACGGCGCCTTCTCTAGTGTCCCGCTCCTGTGCTTCGCATGCACGATAAGGTTGCCCCAAGTCCAAAGACTGGATGAAATGTTCCTGTACGGATAGTACCCAATAGTAAGTACGGACAATTCGGGGACACGACCTTCAAGGTTCCCTTGCGTTTCCACGGTCGATTGTCGGGATCTCATCAAATACATGCTTTTCCTTCTACCATAGGTAGAGGCCAGCATTCATTTCTTGAGTCCATTGAACTGATCGGGACCAAATATAGAATAATAAATTAACATCTACAATGGCCACAACCTGGTACAAGAACTTCAACGACTGTGAGCAATCATCATCTTTCTGAAGATATCCTTCCTGCCGTTTTAGGAAAGCCACATCGCCCAAGCAAATATCCCTGGAACAGCCAGATGCACCCAATTCCATTCAACTCAGGTTGCCCCGCGCCCCTTTTGATGGCGGGGCCAGACACCCAGATTCTCCCACCGGCTAAAGCCCGGCAAAACTTCAACAGCGATAAGATAAGCTAGGTTTGTTCGAAAAGACCGAAAAAAAAATCTCGGGCGACAATCCGGCGGGCTCGAAGGCCTTGAACGAATCGCAACCCGGAAAAGGCGTTCGAGTCCTTTCAGTCCACATGCTTACCACAATGCCTCACTCGGAGCACGAAGGGCCTCTGGTCAAGCGACAGAAGCTTACTGTCGCCTCCAAGCCTGCGACGGCGACACGTCAGTCCTCGCGCATTTTCGCGCCTTTCCGAGTACGTCTTCCAGTGCCTGCTTAACATCTCCAAGACTAATGCTGCTCCCAGACCGTCGGCCTCGTCTCCCCCACGAATATACCCTTCACTTCGATTCCCCTAGGAAAGACGACGTTTCAAATCACGACATCCGTCGGAAGAGCCCTCCAGACTTATGATCTAAAGAGAGGTCTCAACCTGGTCTTCGTCACTCGTCCTCAGACTCCAGCCGACATCACCACGACGCTCGCATGGAAGGACAAGGTTTTCGCCGCATGGGGCGACGCCAGAAAGGGCGAGAAGCAGGGTCTCTGGGCCTTTAAGCGTGGAAAGAAAGTCGAGGAGCTCGAGCTCCCCGCAGACCTCAATGAGCCAATCCAACAGATCCTCATCTTCGGCTCATGGATAGTCGGATGCGGTGTGACAAGACTCGAGGTCTGGAAGTCGGCCACGCAGGAGCACTACACCACTCTTTACACCATGGCTGGCAAGTCGGGTGCCAACGACATCACTGGCGGTGTCACCAACATGCCTACCTACCTCAACAAGATTTTCGTTGGTCGCAAGGACGGCTGGGTCGAGATCTGGAACGTCAGCACCGGCAAACTCATCTACACCATCCTCCCTCCGACCCCCGACTGCGGCGCCGTTACCTGCCTTCAGCCTGCCACCGCCTTATCACTTCTGGCCATTGCCTACGCAAATGGGAACTTGGTGATCCAGAACATCCTAACCGATAAGCCCATTATTCAACTCAAGGCGGGCCACGACGACGAACCCGTCACTTCCATCTCCTTCAGATCCGATGGAATGGGAGCAGGTCACGACGGCCGCAAGGACGGTGTCATGGCAACCGCGACCGCTGCCACAGGAGACGTAACGTTTTGGGATTTGAACAACGGAGGCAGGGTTATGGGTGTTTTAAGGAGTGCGCACAATCCCCCGTCCGGCAGCGGACCGTTAGTGCGAGGAGGCATCAGCAAGGTCGAATTCCTTTCAGGTCAGCCGGTTGTTGTCACCAGTGGACGGGACAACTCTCTAAAGACCTGGATCTTTGACGAGACTCCCTTTTCCGCCCTCCCGCGTATCTTGCACCAGCGCAGCGGCCATGCCGCCCCCGTCAAGTGTTTAGAGTTTCTTCCCTCCGACTTTGATGGAGCCGATGCGGGCAACAAGTGGCTACTCAGTGGTGGTCAGGATCGCAGTCTCTGGGGATGGAGTATGCGACGTGATGGTCAGAGCACCGAGCTCAGCCAAGGAAACATCCGCAAGATGGCAAAGAAGACTGGTATTCTTTCTACAAAGGCGATGGCCAGGGGCCCTACGACGACTTTGGAAGACCTCAAGGCTCCCGAGATTACCTGCATTGCCAGTTCTCTTAACCGCGATGGTGGAATTGGCGCCATGCCTGGCAACCAGCCCATTTGGCAAAAGCACAGGGACAATAAGAAGAAGCTCGATGCTGAAGTGAGCGGGTCGACTGGATGGGAGAGCGTTGTTACGGCACACAAAGATGATGCTTATGCGCGTACTTGGTTTTGGGGTCGCAAGAGAGCCGGTCGATGGGCATTCCCAACCGGCGACGGCTCCTTCGTGTCCACGATCGCCATGAGTCCCTGCGGTACTTTCGCCCTGGTTGGTTCCGTGGAGGGTGGCATCGACATGTTCAACTTGCAATCCGGCCTTCACCGCCAACGCTTCCCGTCGAAGCTTACTCCCGCCCAAGCGAGAGCGCTGAAGATGCAGCAATTGAAGCAGGCTGACGACGTCGTGCAGCTACACACCGAGAAGAACAGCAGCTTTGCGCCCGGCACAGGGAGGCACACCAAGGCGATAACGGGCATCGTGGTGGACTCCATGAACAAGAACGTCATCACTTGCTCTTTGGACGGCAAAATCAAGTTCTGGGACTTTGTCACGGGCAACCTCGTGCACCAAATCAACTGGGCACCGATGGCTGCCATCACTGGATGTAGATACCACGCCGCAAACGACCTTATGGCCTTTACCTGCGACGACAACTCGGTTCGCGTTGTCGACCTGGAGACGAAAAGGACAATCAGAGAGTTCTGGGGCTGCCAGGGCACCATCAACGACTTCTGCTTCTCCAACGACGGCCGCTGGATCATCGCCGCTTCGCAAGATTGCGTTGTCAGGATATGGGATCTGCCCACTAGCCACCTTATCGACGCCATCCGCCTCGAGAAGCCCTGCACTGCGCTAGCCATGTCCTCCACGGGCGAATACCTCGCCGCCACGATCGAGAACGAGCTTGGCGTCGCCATCTGGACCAATAAGTCCCTATTCACACACGTCCCGACGCGGCAGATCTCCGACAAGGAGGCCGCGCTGCTCACCGGTCCCACGACGTCTGGCGAAGGCGGCGAGGGTCTGCTCGAGGCGGCCTTCAACGAGGACGACGCGGGCGCCGAGGACGAGACCGTCGTCGCGCCGACCATCGATCAGCTCAGCGCCGAGCTGACGACGCTGTCCCTGGTCCCTAAGAGCCGATGGCAGACGCTCCTCCACCTGGATCTGATCAAGCAGCGCAACAAGCCGACGGAAGCACCTAAGGCTCCCGAGAAGGCTCCCTTCTTCCTGCCCTCCGTCGGCTCCAGGAAGCAGCCGCAGCAGGCCCTCATTGAAGGCGCCGCGGCACCCGATGCTGATGCCGCAACGGAGTCTAAGTCCCGCATCACCAAGCTTGAGCGTGGCCGCATGCAGGAAGCTTTTACAAGCAAGCTGGACGACGGCGCAGCCTCAGGAGACTGTAAGTTCTTTCATCTAATTCTCTCCTTGTACTGCCAAACACAGAAGCTGACAAGTAATAGTCGACGACTTCATCTCCCACCTAAAATCTCTCTCCCCCTCGACCGCAGACCTCGAGCTCCGCTCCCTCTCCCCCGAGGACGGCGGGCTCCTCAACTTCATCCGCGCGCTAACGAGCCGCCTCGCGGCCCGCCGCGACTACGAGCTGGTCCAGGCCTGGATGACCGTCTTCCTCCGCCTGCACTTTGACCTCGTCATGGCCGACGCGGAGCTGCTCGAGGCGCTCGGCGAGTGGAAGGCCCTGCAAGCGCGGGAGGCTGGGCGGCTCGACGACCTTGTGGGGTACTGCAGCGGTGTCGTCGGCTTCTTGCGGAGCCCCAGGACGTAAGAAGACAAAAGAGACACAGAAAACGACAAGAGGAGGAGACGAGAAAAGCGTTTGTATTTATCGTTGTATCTGTGGAAAGATTTGGACCTGGAGATAAGTCATGTTCATGAGGCTTCATGAGAAAAAGGAGGAAGATGCCATTCGTGTGTAGCCAGCAGCGTCTGGCGAGATCGATCAATCAATCTTAATACCCACCAAAAGCTCAAAGTTCCAGGAGCAACATGTCTCTCGATTATCTCTCTAGAAGTCCGGGATTCTTCTTGGCCACCTATTCTCGTTTCCCAAATTCAGGCTAATACGGGGGGAGACTTGTCAAGCAATCGGAGTCGAGCATCCACACCCACAAGTACGTAGCTCTAAGTGGTGTTCCCGATGCCACCGTGAACCAAACTGGCATCAACCGGTAATCCCAAGCCGAACCAGCTTCCATGCATCGTGGGACTAACGCAGCACACAACCAGTTCCTCCCTTCGCTTTCCGGAGTCTGTAAAGTGAAAGACGCGATCATCCGATTCCGTCGAGTACTTTTCTCTCACACGGAAGGTCGGGGTGGTCCCAATACGTGGGAAATTATACCGGGCCCGGGAGAGCCCCCTGCTCTCGACGCGTTGTTACACCGACGCAAGCTGAGCACACGGGCACCACACGGCAAGCCGGCGCAACGTTGACGTAGGCGATTTTCCACGGTTCGTTCACCTCGACGAGGGCAGCGTCTGGGTTCCTGCAGAGGGAAGATTCTTACCTATGATTCCCATGACTGGACAAAAGATCTCGTTCCTTGGACGTGGGCGCATACCCGTTGACCGACTTGCTTGTTCCCAAGCCCGGGCAGCAGCAAGGGCACACTTGGCCCCGCAGGCCATCCCGGCTCGCCTCGGCGAAGAGGGCACCGAAGCAAGGTGGAGATGGGCGGGGGGCTTTTGCGGGTGGTCTGGGGTGGTGGGGGTGGAGAGGTTCGCGTCGCGCGGAGAAGTTCCCCGGACTCGAAAGAATTGGGCCGTGTCATTCGTCCACCAGTCCAGACCTTATTCCTCCATGCAATCGTGGTCTTCCTCGCATATCAAAAAAGTCATCATGGAACTCTACATTTTCCCAAGCCAAACGAAGGACAGCCTTCCCCGCACCGCGCTCCCTCTTTCCAGCTTCGCTCTCTCGCTCTCTAGCTATCCTTCATCCATTGGGCTACCTCTGCATGGCCACCCGTGTTCGGACACATCCCAGTACTGCGGGGAGGCCTGCCAGCCTAAAAGTCACCGGGTGTCATGCGTGGGCTTGTATCCCAAGAGAAATAAACAAATCCGGAGATGAGATGCCCGAAATCCTCCTGCATCCACAGGGCCCGTATGACGGGGTCTTTGAGAGAATAGCCTGCGCTCATAAAAGGCATTCTTCTCGTATAGCCTGCCAGCGCCGACCCCTTCTCAGTCTCTTCTTGCTAGCTAGGCAAGCGAAAGTAGAGTCCGACAAGATCAAGTCGATCGAAACCTTCGCCGAGTCCCCATACCGTCGTCGATCGAGCGTCTGCATTATAGTCACAAGAACATTCACAACGACCAAGGATGCGCGCCCCCTCCCTCCGCGGCGCCGCCCTAGGCGCAGCCGTCGCCCTCGCGGCCCCGGCTGCCGCAGCCCTGAACGCGACCGAGACCTCCGAACGGCTCATCATCGCTAATGACCGCCTCTACGCCGCCATCGCCAAGCCCGGCGGCTCCGTCGTCGAGCTCACCCTCGACGGCGTAAACCTCCTCGGCACCGCCTCTGGCGCCACCGGCCAGGGCCCGTATCTCGACTGCTACTGCACGCCCCAAGGATTCTGGACCCCCGGCAGCGTCAAGCCCACCTTTGAGCTCTATTCGGGCGAGGACTCGTCCGGCGTGCCCTACGGCGGCGTCAAAATGTCCGACACCTACGCCTCGACAGGCCAGGTCCTCGAGCAGTACTGGTTCCTCCGTGAGGGCGAGACGGGCCTGCACATGTTCAGCCGCGTCGCCTACTACAACGAGAAAGCGCCCTTCCTGCGCAACCTCCAGGAGCTGCGCACCTTGTTCCGCCCCAACGACCCCATGTGGACGCACCTCCTCACCAACCCGACGCAGTACGCGCCCCTCCCGTCAAAGGACGCCGTCGCCAAACAGGTTGTCGTCCAGGATGCCACCTGGTACCTGGGCAATACCCCCGAGGATCCCTACGTCCAACAGGAGGCAGACTGGTTCACAAAGTACACCTTCCAGGACACCTGGCGCGACGTCGACGCCTACGGCATGTTCGCCGACGGCTCCAAGACGGCCGACGGCTCCGCCTATGGCGCCTGGATGGTTTTCAACACCCGCGACACCTACTTTGGCGGGCCCTTGCACTCGGACCTGACGGTCGACGGCATCGTGTACAACTACATCTCTTCCAACCACCACGGCGACCAGACGCCCAACATCACAAACGGCTTCGACCGCACTTTTGGCCCGCAATACTACCACTTCAACAAGGGCCCCGCCGGCACCGGAATCCTCGACCTCCACGCCGACGCCGCCAAGCTCGCCGACCCGGAATGGAACGCCGCCTTCTACGACGACATTGCCCACCTCGTACCGAATTACGTCCCCTCCGCCAAACGCACCACCTGGAAGCTGCACGTCGACCTACCCGCGGGCGTCACCAAGCCCATCGCCGTGCTAGCGCAGAACGGGGTCGACTTCCAGGACAACGTCTTGGATACAAAGGCCTACCAGTACTGGGCCGACATTGACAGCGGCGGCTACGCCACGATCCCCCGCGTGAAAGAGGGCACCTACCGCCTGACCATCTACGGCGACGGCGTCTTCGGGCAGTACGTAAAGGACGACGTCCAGGTCGTCGCCGGCAAGGTCGACACCACGCACGCGCGCTGGCGCGAGGAGACAGCCGGCACGGAGGTCTTCCGCATCGGCACGCCCGACAAGTCGTCGGGCGAGTACCGCCACGGCTTCGCGCGCGACCAGACGAAGGCGATGAAGCCCGAAGAGTACCGCATCTACTGGGCGCGCTACGACTTCCCCACCGAGTTCCCCGAGGGCGTCCGCTTCCGCGTCGGGCAAGACGACGTCGCGCAGGACCTCAACTACGTGCACTGGGCGGCCTTTGGCGGGAAAGGCAACTCGTTCCGGCCGGAACTGTACCTCGGCGACGGCAACGTCAACAACTGGACCCTCGTCTTCGACCTCGAGGCGGCGGCGGTGACACAGAAGCGATACGGCACTTTCACGGTGCAGCTCGCGGGCGCCAAGACGGCGGCGGGCAACACGGACGTCTTCAACGCCAGCGAGCCGCACTCGAATCTTAAGTACACGGTCAACGTCAACGGAAAGGACCTGGAGCCGTGGGTGATTCCGTATTACCAGAGCAGCTCGTGCGCCGTGCGGTCGGCCGTCGTGTGCTATAATATTGCCAACAAGTTTGTGTTTGACTCGAAGCTGCTCAGGGCCGGGGAGAATGAGATTGTTCTGAGCTTGCCGTACGGGGCGACCGACTACGAGAGCGCCGTGCTGACGCCGGCGATTTACGTACAGTACGACGCGCTGCGGTTGGAGATCAAGTAAAGCGAGGTAGTGGTTGTCGTCGTTAGGGATACTGGCTTCAGTAGATGCAATAAGTGAAGGTTTCCATTTATCAATAAAGTTTAACGTTAATCATCAGACAACTGCCTATTTTTTCCCTTTAATTTTTCTTTGCCCTCTTCGGTTCCGGGGAAAAAAAAAGAAGAAAAAGGGTAAATTGAAAGATTTGACTTTGTGCCGAAGAGCCGGGTCCTAGCCGGGAAATTATTGAACGAACGCAAGCAAAGAGGCTGAGCTGAATTGGAGTAGGGACGAAGAATCGAATGGGTTCGCTGCGGTCGGATCAAAAACGGTTCGTTTCAAGACCTGTCAAGAAAGTGGGAGCGCCGTGTTTTGCGACCAGGCCCGGACCGCAAACAGCCACGAGAGACACGTAAGAAGACAGATTAGAGGTTGGTGGTTTACGTTCCCCAGGCCCAGGAGTAGGAGGAGTACAGGGGCGTGTTTGGGCCTGCGGTTTGGTTCATACCGTGGGCGTCGCATGAGAGTGGAAATCCGTAGATGGATTGTCAATCGCGTATCCGTACGGAGTACTCTGAGTACAATTGTGTGACCCCGAAATCACTGCTTCAACCCGTTGGACCATTTTCAATGATTATTATTTTTCCTTGGGGGTTTTGTCGTTGTTTACTCTCTCTTTGGGTTTACCATGGGTGAAATATTCAATGCCGAGTGGTGCTATTCATGGATGAACAGATCAATACTTTCGCGAAAGAAGAGAGACGTCTCAACCCGAGTAGTCGGTTTTCGTGTTCCAGAGTACGGTTGGAACTTGGCGCGTTTCTTGAATCGCGGGAGGCTACGTTAGACCAGCCTCAGAAGGTTGCGCTTGTGTCTAGATCACACCAATATTTGACTTGCTGGTTTCTCGGCCGGGGGACCTTCCGGAGAAGGCGCTGGGAAACGTCACATTGCGATAAACCGACTCGCAGTCCGTGAAAGGGACGACTCTGTGAGAAAGGCAAAAGCTGCCAACCAAAGAGTTTCGTCAACCCCGTCTTAGCCGAATCTTCCCCCCAGAGCTGAATCTACTGCGTAATTTCTTGTCTTGGCCGGGCGTAACCCGGCCACACAATTGAAGAAGTCCCAGAGAGATATCACTGCCCGCCCTGCCCCCGCCCCCCCAAATCTGCAAGTAAGTGCACGCAGGGCCAGGCACATCGTAGGGTTTTGCGAAGCAAGTGCCGTGGCTAAGGCTAAGGGATGCCGTGCAACGGCGAGCTGGTGCTCGATATGCATCAAATTCAAGGTTGAGCGGCAGAGCAAGCGAGCGTGCTAGACCGCTGCCGGCAAAAGATCGCCGGGCTGGAAAGAAGCTGTACGCCCAGTGTGACGGTCGGTAAGGCTGTCCATCTGCGTCTATCCCTAAGGTACTTTGGAGCGGCGCTGTGCCTCTACCTGGCTCTTTACGCTGCTCCAGAATGAGGAACAGATCGTTCGGCTGGCGTTGAGTCAGGCTAATGCGGCGTATTATTGCAGCTTAGGTTGTCTCTGATCAAAGACCTTTTCTGGAATCATCGATTCGTGCCCGCGAAATCCCTCGCCTCAAGGACTTTGGGAAGATGATGGAAATAGTATCAACAACTGCAGTATCGCCATCTCGCCACCTTGCCTCCGGTGAGAACCTAGGTTAGGCAGCACTTATTCCTTTTGCTTGAAGGATGATGGTTGGTTGGCCTGGATCCATCCAAGAGACGCACCTTTTGGCCGCAGGTGCCGGACCGCGCTGAATGCCGGGATTCCTTCTCGTGCGTAGGTGCCAGAATCAAAGTGATCGCCGGGTACTGGGCAGGGTCGCGGCTCCATCGAGGCTGATTCGTGATCTTTCGTCTTCGTAGCATCGCTTTTCTTGCCTGCAAAAGGTCACTTGGCCACCCCTGCTGCGGCCCTGGCTCGTCAAGCACGGTAATTTAAAAGCAGAAGCTATGGTTCGTGAAGAGAGAGAAAAGAGAGGTCACCCTGATGCAAAGAATACGGTCTAGATTGTTGTCATCCAGAGCTCCAGGCTCGATGTCGGCTCCCACCTGTGGGTCAGCTTATGGTGCGAGGTGGTCCCCGGCAATGGGAATGCGAGAATGCCCCTCCATCCCCGCTGTCAGCTCGGGTCGTCAGCCACCCCCCGGGGCCGGGATGGCCCTGATGTCTCTGATGTCTTTTGCTGGCATGTCTCTGGTGTTCTGCATGTCGAGGTAATCTTGTTGACCTCCTCGAAACAAAGCGAGCCCTGGTTCCCCATCTCGTGAGTCGCCAGTGACAACTCAGGAGACGGAAGAAAAAGAATTTTGCACGGCGCTCCACCGCATTGAGGATCAGCCTCTGCGCCGCTGCCGTGGGAAATAAGCTGTCAAGCAACGAATTGGAGACGTGGACGCCAGGGCCTGAAGTTCTCGGTCAGTCAGTCTTGGATGACGAGCAGGACTGGACTTTGTGGCCATGATTGTGCCAATACTTGGCGGCACGCCGTAGTCATGCGCATGGGAGGACAAGGTTCGCGGGCTTGTCAATAGTCGGTCTGAGTCTGTCTATCATCTGAGTCTGGAGCCCATTCAGTGTCCACAAGCTTGATGATCTATCTTGTCCATTACGTCAGCGGAGCAGTTTTCGGTGCATGCTCTGTGGTGTTCATTAGGTGATTGGGTTGTCCCGAGGCTGCGATGCTGTGCGATGACTGTATAGATCAGCCGGGGTGAGCAGTCACTCACAACAAGATGCGTCTGAGCCTAGATCAAGGGAATGGAGCACGGCAGTCGGAGCTTGTTGGTGTGCAAGTGTAACCTGCGACCTCATCATGAAGGGGGTTTTTCCTTGGGGATGTAACCTCAACCATGCTGGCATAAGTCTCTCGGATATTCATCACTCAGCATCCTTTGGGATTTCGTAGCTTTCTTAGGGGTTGCTAGTCAGATTGAGCTGCCCGTTGCATATCGGAATACGACTCTGTGCGGATGAGGAGCAGATTTAACCATCAGAGGGAAAAGTCGCAAATACCAAGGTGGGTTAGGAAGAAGGGGGAAACGATACGGATACGTCCTCTTCTTACACCAGCAGCTTCAGGTGTTGCTGGTGTTGCCAGACCAAGGAGGACTAGAGGAGGAGACTAAGGAAAGACCCGCACGTGGCGGTGCGCGATGTACAGATTTTCCCAATTAGGGGCGGCAGATACCAGGGTGTCCCAACCTACTCTGGGGCCATTCCCAGCCGAGGGCCCTTAGGTAGACAGAGCTGGAGCCCGGTGTAAGAACCCTTCAGCAGGGACTTGGGGCTGGTCATAGCACCCGTGGCTAATGGAAGGCCCGGATACCGATCTTGGCCCAGGCGCGCTGGGTTCCAACTTCGGAGGTTCGTCGCAAGTGGCTTATCGGCTGATAAGCGGTACGTACCTCTCGCATGGATGGGACAAACCACTCATCCGGGCAAGGTATCCGTACGTTCTTGCGCCGCCCGCTAACACAGCATAACATACAATCTTGTCTGAAACACCATCAACCGCCAGTCACCTTTACACATCCAGCTCTCAAGCTCCCCTCAAAAGACTCCCAAGCAACCAAGACTCCCCAAGAGTCTCCGAGCTGGCGGTCGATCCTCGTCCCGTTCCACCTTCTCCCAATGAACGACGGCGCTTACCGACCCGCTCGCTCTCCAAGGAACCGCTGTTCAAACGCCCTTGTCTTGACTTGTCTTGCCCCTTTGCTCCTCCGAGTTTGTTCTCTGCTGTTCGTCCTCTGGTACAGAGTATTCGTAGGTACACTACTTCGAACTTCGCGCTTTACCCTTCTGGTCATGATCTCATCCCATGCTCTTCCTAGGTACACCGCTGACACCACAGTCTGACCCCTGACTGTGATCTTCGTACTGCTTTGCTGGGTGGCCCCTGCCAGGGCGCAGCCGCCTGCGATGTGCTGGCTCGGCGAGAAGGCAGCTCCTGATCCCAACATCAGATGAAGCCTTGTTTTGTTTTGTGCTTGTTTCCAGGCTGCGAGTAAAGACATAGACAAAAAGGATCATGGCGCTGTCATCGCAGGATCAGGACGCTGGCAAAAGCTGCGCCTGCGCCAGCTCCTGCTTTTCCTTTCCTTCCTCCCACATTGACATTGACGACATCTCCGCTTCGTTCAGCTCATCGTCTTCATGCTTCCATTCCTGCTGCTTCAGCTTTCCACTTCTCCAGAGCTCTCCTACCAAGACTGGCGTCCAGGATCAGTGTCACCGTCCCTCTTCATCGCCTTGTCCGTACCCGCCTTCTTCCCACCACCTCCATAACTGCTGTCCCGGTCCACCAGTTCGGAGGAAACCTGGACAAGGGGCACATGGACCGGAATCCTCGTCCACTCCTGATACATATAATATTCTGGCCCTCCTCTACCGGAAGTGGCCACTCCTTATCCTCGCTATCTCAGCTAATACATATATTCTCCTTCACTACTCTCACTTCTCTACCTCGAGCAGAGAAGACCAGGCCAACTGTCCCACCTCGGTACTCAACACCTCCTTATACTTACTAATCATCAACATGGTCGCCAATATCGGAGGGCTCGCAGCCCGGGCAGTCTTCCTCATGTCTACTCGTCCCATTGCCCAAAGAGCAGACGTCACCTCATATACCAATAATGCTGTTGCCGCCATCCGCACTCTCGAGACGACCTGGTATAACGTGGGCTCTGGTCTTTGGGACAAGGCCTGGTGGAATAGCGCCAATGCCTTCACAACCCTCGCCGACTTCGCCATCCTGAACCTCGATGCCGCTAACGAGCTCAACATTGGAGGCATTCTGATGAACACTTTCAACCAGGCTCAAAAGGCCACAGCATCTGCTTCCAAGTCTATTGACGCGACTGGTCTTGTCACAACCTCCTATGCCATCACCAAGCGCGAGGCACCTCTTCCTATCGAAGGACGCCAGTCCAGCGCTCAGGGCTTCCCCAACTTCATCAACGAGTTTTATGACGACGAAGGCTGGTGGGCGCTCGGCCTGATCCGCGCCTACGATGTTACCAAGACCCAAGACTACCTTGACATGGCCGTGCGCATCTTTGCCGATATGAAGACCGGCGGCGGTACCAACTGCAACGGCGGGATCTACTGGAGCAAGGACCGCAAGTACGTCAACGCCATCGCCAATGAGCTCTACCTCAGCGTCGCCGCTTCGCTAGCCAACCGTATATCCGGCGACAAGGCCAGCTACCTCAAGATCGCGACTGATCAGTGGACTTGGTTCAAGTCCACCGGTATGATCAACGACGAGGGCACCATCAACGACGGCCTGGACGGCAACTGCAAGAACAACGGCGCCAACGTGTGGTCTTACAACCAAGGTGTTGTTCTCGGCGGTCTCGTCGAGCTCAGTAGGGCTACTGGCGACAAGTCAGTCCTGACAGACGCCACCAACATCGCCAAGGCGGCCATCAAGAAGCTGGCCGACGACAATGGCATCCTGCACGACAACTGCGAGCCCAACTGCGGCTCTGACGGCAACCAGTTCAAGGGTATCTTTGTCCGCAACCTGCGGTACCTTCACGCGGCGGCGCCCAACAACGACTTCAAAACCTTCATCACCAAGAACGCCGACAGCAATTGGGATACCAACCGCGACGGGGCTGGCAAGATGGGTGTTGTCTGGTCGGGCCCCGTGCAAGGCGTTTCCGGGCCGACTCACAGCTCGGCACTCGACTCCATCGTTGCCGCTGTTGCCGTCGCGTGAGCGAATTCTATTAGAGCTTAATTGTTCTCAGATCTCGGATCATCATCGGGCAGGCGTTGGAAAATTGCTTTTACACGACCGTTCTGCAACATTCCTTTCTTTACTTGGCGCAGGGAAGAACGGCAACGAATTAGACTTGATCAAGGACGAGATACTCTCAGACACACGGAGGTTCCTTTGATGCCCTCAGCTGAGCGAGACAAGCCAGCTCAGGCGGCGCATAGGAGGGACTGTTTATTGTTAATAATGACTCTAATGAGATAAGATACCATAGTTCGTTTTGGATAGTATTTAGGTTAAGCTTCCGCAAGAGCAAGCGAATTTACTTTGGCAGAGAAGTATTGGACAATACATGATCTTCGACCACACACATACACACGTCAGCATTCTAAGGTATCGTGAGACATACATGTTCACCAAAGGCAGTAAGTCACGATCCATGAGCCCACATGATCAGGAGAATTGCCCATCGAGCTAAGCCTACGTCAATCAAAGGGAGATGCTCCTCAAGGTCGGAGCCCCAAGGGTGGAGTAAGTGGGATCGGCGCGGGTGGGAATTGGAGTTGATGCAAACTTTCCAAAGCCAAAAAGGAGATCTCCCGAATCGATCACCCCTCCATCCATTCGTTCGCGGGAGGAGGGATGTGAACCGGTAGTGTACTGCGTAGCAACAAAGTTATTTCTGGCGCAATGCTGATCGCTTCCGCTTTAAATTGCCCGACGGGCAGATCGTTCAGGATGGGTGGTTGTCATGCGGGGGAAATTGGAATTGGGGACCATCGTGGTTTGTTTCCCCCCTGGTCCTGTCCAGTCAGGCATCACTTTTTTTCTGATTACAGAAGAGAGGCCCTAGGAACATGCCTATGTTAGAGTGGTCTGTATTCATGCTTGTTCACTAATTCTCTGCATGAGACTGCCTGCCAATTCATCTTTTCTCTCCTGGCCGTCTACCATCCTACCTGTGCAAGAAAATTGCTGGAAGGAAGGATAGAATGTTGCTTATCTGCTAATGAGCATATTCGATACCAGAAGGTGGAAGATTATCGATATGTAGATAGACGTCATATGGGAATATTGCAAGATGGTGGGAAGTCTTGGCTCTAAGCTTCTGTGGGGACTTGACTTCCTTAGGTGCAGGGCAGTCAATGATCCGCGCATCCTCCCATCTCCAACCACATGTCGGCCTGCATAGCCAGACTCTGTACTACGCTGCCCTCAAGCCACAGCTTCAGAATGTTACACACCCGTATTCTCGACCAGAGAAACTTCCCCAGAGCCCCAAATGACTCTCGAAATGTCATTTAGAGCCCGACATGCCTCCTTCCGATCTCTTCCGGTTGGAACAAGAGCTGAAGCTCGCTCGCACAAGATGCCATTAAGTCTACGCAGTGAGACATCACTTTTTACGTATTTTACTACGAGGCGGGAATAAAGTGCGCGCGCCAACTGCAGCGGTCCATGACGTATGGTTAAACTTTGACCCAAAGTGGGCGGTGCGTCGGAGCCTTCGGGAAGGATTATCGTGATATGCGCGCGTACGCGCGTGTACCTATGTATGAGAGAGAAGTTTCGCGCCTCCCTCCCTTGCAATTGCATTCCTCCGCCGCTGTGTATCCCTGGACGAAGACGCGCAGCTAGAAAAGACCGTTTCATCCCTTCCAACGAACTCCGTCTGTCCGACCGACCGAACGGGTTCCCATCCCAATCGGATGCGTTGCTGCTCTCCAAATCTGCGACGGGGCCACAAAGCGATTCATCGTCTCATCTTCGATTCAGCTACCTACGTTCTCTCAAATTCAGATCCAATCCCCTTGGGTAAAACGATAGTGCCCAAGGACCCCGGAAGCAGCCGCGGTCATGACAGCCGCCTCGGGCGACCCCTTTGGCCAGATCTTGAAGGACCTGGTCCTCATCGCCATCAGCCTCGCCTTCTTGCCTTTGACTACCGCTCTACTCTTCTTCAGTTATGCGTGGCAGCGACTGCGTCCCAGTTGGGCACACGAACCCGCCGGTGCCGCCGGCGCCGGCGCCGCTACAGACCAGCAGCAGCAGTGCCGCACCATCCTCATTACCGGCGTCGGTATGACAAAGGGCCTCGCGCTCGCACGACTGTTCCACCAAGCCGGCCATCGTGTTGTGGGAGCCGACTTCTCGCCCTACGCCTGCGGCAGCAGGTCCCGCGCCCTCGCCGTCTACCACGTCCTCCAGAAACCCGGCCGAGCAGGAGGAGGCGCCGACCCATACCTGGACTCGGTGCTAAGGATCGTCGAGCGGGAAAAGGTCGACCTCTGGGTCAGCTGCTCGGGCGTCGGCTCCGCCGTCGAGGACGGGATCGTCAAGGAGGTCATTGAGGCCCGCACGCGCTGCAGGGCCGTACAGTTCGATGTCGCGCGCACCAGAATCCTGCACGAGAAGGACGCGTTCATGGACCACACGCGGGAGACGGGCCTGCGCGTGCCCGAGTCGTATCTTGTCACGAGCCGCAACGAGATGTTCGCCGCGCTCGAGGAGGCCGCGGGCTTGTCGTACGACGCCGAGAAGGAGGCCTCCAAGCCCCAAAAGGAGAGGAAGCCGCGCTTCATTGCGAAATCAGTGGGCGTCAACGACAGGGGCCGTGGCGACATGACGCTGCTGCCGCTGCCGACGGAGAAGCAGACGTACGACCACGTTTACCGCCTCGAGTGGTTGGGCCTCTCGGACAAGGAGCCCTGGCTGCTGCAGGAGTTTATCGACGGCCACGAGTTCTGCACGCACTCCCTCGTGGTGCGCGGCGAGGTGAGGGCGTTTGTTGCGTGCCGCTCGGCGGAGCTGCTGATGCACTACGTCGCGCTACCGGCCGAGTCGTCGCTGTCGCAGGCGATGCTCGACTTCACGAGGAAGCAGGCCGCGTCGTTTGGGGAGGGGTTCACGGGGCACCTGAGCTTCGACTTCATGGTGAGCGACACGGATGTCGCCATGGCTAATGTCAGCAAGCCTGAACAGCTGAAGCTGTATCCGATCGAGTGTAACCCAAGGGCACACACCGCCGTCGCGCTGTTTGGAGATACGCCGGATCTGGTGGAGCAGTATTTGAGCGTCCTCGATGAACCGATGACTTCCAGAGGAGGCTCGGAGACGGACGTGGTGACGCCCAGGCGGCCGGCCAAGTACTACTGGATCGGTCACGACCTCTTCACGCTGCTCCTGATACCCACGGCGAGGATTCTGCTCTTCCGAATGTCGATTCCGGCGTACGGGCGGTCTCTGAGGGCCTTTCTCGAGCACGTCCTGTTCTGGAAGGACGGCACCTTTGAACTAGCGGATCCGTTGCCGGCGTGGTGGCTCTATCACGTCTACTGGCCTATGACTTTCTGGGACTGCATCGTCAATAGGAGGAGCTGGAGTCGGATTAACGTGAGCACAACGAAGATGTTTGAGTGCGATTGAAAATTTCAGTATCGATAGATCCCGTACTTATTAGGGGTTTCTGGTCGAAAGCTGTTATGTTAGACGGCGCACGTTGACTACTTCCATTCCATAGCCTCTTGATAGCTTCTTAGTAGCCTTGTAGTGCCTTGGCAGCGCACACACAGAAGCTGAAACAAGACGAACGCAAAAGCAAGCTAGACCAGTTGTCTGTGGTGGATTCTGCAGACTTTTCCTCAATGATTCTGATATGGCAACTTTCTGTACACCTCATGTCGGACTTGCCCGCCCTAGTGCCGGGATTGGCAACCAAATCAATACTCACTTGCGTCGCTCTTTGTATCGCTTAAGGGCGCAAAAAATATGCCCAAACTTGACATCTGAAATAAATTTCGACAAAACTTCATGTCATCGAAGCGCCCTTTGCACGTCACTGAGTCGATCAGGGGCTGTTTTGAGCATCTTGTCGGAGCGTTCCGAGAGCATTCCGGCCGGTGTTCCGAGGGAACCCCGCGAACCCCGCGTGAAGCCGCCCCGCGCGGCTGGTCGAACACTCCATTCTGAATCCACCCTCCAAGATTCGGGGAATTAGGAAATCGACAAATCGAGAATGATGTGGTGGAGGGTGGGGTAGTACGGTGATAACTGCCATGAACAGCCGACCCCCAGTCGACGAGCTGCGCTTGATTGGCTGCGTTGTGTTGCTACCTACGTCCACACACAATTGACTTCATCTCATGTGTGCGTCCCTCATACTGCTATAAAGGTGGCATAAAAGATTGTGATACTTTACTTTCTTGTGAAAACAAACCTTCCTGCCCCAAGCATATCACCGGGCCCGGCCAGAGAGAATCAGTCTTACTACTTGGACATCAAAAAGCAGAGTTTCTTCAAGATGGACTCATCCGAATTCCGCTCCGCGGCCGCAGAGGTCGTAGACGACAGTAAGTCTCTCAGAACGCTCGCTCACATAATCTCGCCTCTCTCGGCATCTCTCACCCACCTTTAACCATCATACTGTCTCATGAGCGTCAATTGCTGAAGCAGAGTCCTCCAGTCACAAAATACTACGACACAATCGCCGAACAGCCCAAAGTCCTTCCCTCCGTGACACCGGGTTACCTCCGGCCCCTCCTCCCGCACTCCGCTCCCGAGGACCCGGAACCATGGCAGACCATCCACGCCGACCTCCAATCCCACATCGTGCCCGGGATCACCCACTGGCAATCCCCTTCTTTCCACGCCTTCTTCCCCTGCTCGTCCTCCTACCCGGCCATGCTCGCGGAAATCTACTCAAACGCCTTCAACGGCGCCCACTTCAACTGGATCTGCTCCCCGGCCGTCACCGAGCTCGAGACAATCGTCCTAGACTGGCTCGCCAAGCTCCTCTCCCTGCCCGACGTCTACCTCTCTACCGCGCCCACCCGCGGCGGCGGCGTCCTCCACGGCACCGCCTCCGAGGCCGTCCTCACCGTCATGGTCGCCGCCCGCGACAAGTTCCTCCGCCAGCGCACCGCCCACTTACCCGCGGACTCGGAGGAGAAGGAGGAAGAGACCTGGCGCCTGCGCTCCAAGCTCGTCGCCCTCGGCAGCGAGATGGCGCACTCGTCCACCAAAAAGGCGGCGCAGGTCCTCGGCGTCCGCTTCGCCACCGTCCCCGCCCCGGCCGAGACGGGCTACGCAATGTCCGGCGCCGCGGTGGCCTCCACCGTCGCTGCCCTCCGCGCAAAGGGGCTCGAGCCGTTTTACCTCACCGCCACCCTCGGCACTACGGACACCTGCGCCACTGACGACTTCCCGGGCATCAAGGACATCTTGACCTCATCCTCCTCCTCCTCCTCCTCCTCCTCCGCCGCACACGAAGAAACAGACGACGACAGCATCTGGGTGCACGTCGACGCAGCTTACGCCGGCTCGGCCCTCATGCTCCCCAAGAACGCGCACCTGACGGCGCCCTTTGACCGCTTCCACTCCTTCAACATGAACCCGCACAAGTGGATGCTCACCAACTTTGACTGCTCGGCCCTCTGGGTGCGCGACCGCGCCTGGCTGGTCGAGTCGCTGAGCATCAAGCCGGCCTACCTGCGCAACCAGTTCTCCGAGGCCGGGCTCGTGACGGACTACCGCGACTGGCAGATCCCGCTCGGCCGCCGGTTCCGCAGCCTGAAGCTGTGGTTCGTGCTGCGGGCGTACGGCGCCAGCGGGATCCGGAGGCACCTCGAACGGGGCATCACGTTCGGCGACCGGTTCGCCGAGATGCTGAGGTCCAGGGGGGATTTGTTTGAGATTGTGACCGGGCCGAGGTATGCTTTGGTGGTGTTCACGTGCAAGGCGGCGGCGGCCGGAACTGGCGACGGGGCCAGGGACCGGGAGCGGAACAATAAGGTGACGGAGGCGGTGTTGGAGAGTATCAATGGCGAGGGTGTCATTTACCTTACACCGACGACGCTACATGGGCTGTATGGCATCCGTATGTGTACCGGAAGCAGCCAGGTCATCGAAGAGGAGCACGTCAAGAAGGCGTTTGATATCATCGTTGCGGCTACGGAGAAGGCGCTGGCAGAGGCGCAGTAGATTCTCCGTACCTCTGTAGAGTGATTGACTGAATAGACTTGGACATGAATATACATCTCCGCGCTCACAGTTTCAAATTACTGAAGAGGGCTATACCATGTGATTTGGGCTGCCATAACCAACTCCTGAGTTTCTTGGCTCATGAAATGGGTGCTTGTAAGGTTTTTCTGCATGGTGACTTTTGATACAACTCCCCACAGGGACTAAATTCATCTGAAAACCTTCCCTCACGGATAGAAAGGGTCTAAATGCTTTCTACATCGGTGAGCCTTAGCAAACCATGGCCAACACCTAGCATTGAGTGGATCGATGAATGGGCTGGCACTGCAGAGTGCACACAAATCACCAAAAGGGTAGACACGGGATATGGCAAGTTTTCTCATCAGATGTAACACACATACTAAATTGTAGATGCTTATTGAATTTCAACGAACGATCTGTAAAAATATCCGACACAAATGTCCGACACAAAGCGTCTGATCCATGCAAATGCTTTCACCCGCTCGGACATAAATCCTACCCCCTTCGGTTATAGGATAGTTAGCTGTGTATGTTTTCGATCTCTCCCATATGCAAACCCTCCCATGCTAGTCATAATCATTCTCGTAACGTCGTTTAGTGATGTAATTATAATGTCGTACGGCCCGATCCTCATCCAAAATTCCGACCAGAGCAAATTGGTAAAGCACCTGCGTCGGCAGGCAACTCTCAGCAATTCTAATAATATTCCCTCGACCGCGACGCTGGATTACTCCGGCTGCGCTTCCGCTCATCGTATCGCCCACCGTACCCATAATCCCTCTCAAACTGGTCAATGGCCCGCGCATACCCGCGGTCCTCCCTGGCACCGCCCCTCACACTGCTCTCCCTCCCACTCTCCTCGCGGACCCGGGATGCTCTTGACTCGGAACCGTCGCTCGGCGGCGGCGCATCGTCCCTGACGGACTTGTACTCCCTCTCGTGCCAGTCCGGGTCGTAGTAATCCCGATCGCTCCTATCGTCCCTGAAGCTTCGGTCGTCTCTGTCGTCGTATCCTCTGTCCCTATTCCTCTCCCCACCAGCCTGGCTGCGACTGCTCCTGGGCGGCCGCGATCGGGACTGTCGCTGTCTTTGCCTCCGCCTCTCTTCCCGTCTGTCCTCCTCCTCATGCTTCTCCTCCGTCCGTTTGAGGGACTTGTCGATCCCGAAAGCGATGGTCGCGCCGATGAGGCCCAGCGCGACGGCCTGGCCCCAGTCGAAGCCAGGGACCTCCTTTTCGAATTCTTTCCGTTCTCTGCGCTTCTCGGGCTCTGCTTTCCATGGTCTCGGATCGGGAGGGAGTAGCTTGGTCGGCTTAACCATTTTGTTTGTATGGTGTCTCGTTGTAGTTGTTTATAGTTCCGTTTCTGGTCCCAGATATGAAGATCTGCTATATGTATTTGATGGTGTTTTGTTTTATGTTTCGCTTTAGCGTCAAAGACTCTTGTTCAAGATCCGTCCGCAACGGCGTCTTTGTTCCGGTGTTCTTAGTGCGCGTCCGGGTGGTAGTAGTTTGGCGTACTTCAAAGCGGCGTCAAAGTGCAAAATTGCAGCGGCGCATGGGGGTTTATATCCCAAAGGATTGCAGGTGGCGTCTGGGGCCCTTGCTGATGGAGGTGCCTGATTGAGACAAAATATGCAGGGGGGTTTCTGACGGCGTTGCACTTTCCAACGGCAATCGAGGATCCTGATCGATGGTGGCTGGCAAGGGGACATAGCAAAGCCCGAAGAGACAAGCTGGGGCACCTCTAGAAATTTGATACCCAAGACCAGGCCAGCCCCGGCCCTTCACCGCTGAGCACACCGGCATTCCCCCGCATCCACTAGCTGACATCTGCTATCCATGCTCGTTGACTGCCGGGAGCGTAGGAGAGCTTACCCATTGGGCTCCTGGCTGGAAAGCTTGTCGTCACCGTGCCTGCATGATGTCATGGGTCGGCCCCGAAATGCCCCACCCTGTCTTACCCCGTCATTCCCGCCGGGCCAGCCCCGCCAAGCCGTTGACGTCAAAAGGTCTCGATCTGGCCATAGCTCCCGGCCCTCCAAACAGATAATGCTCCAGCAAATGATGCCTGTCCGCGGCGCACAGCTCGAGCGCCAAATGCCACCATACCATCGTGAGACCATCGTGCCATTATGCCGTCGCACACTCATGCCCTCCTACCGTGCTACGCACCTCTGGGTATCCAACGCTGTCTTAGTCACAAAGCCTAGCAGGGCTCCCCCCCTGATCTAAGCCGGACCCCCTCGACAAGCGGTTGACGCCGTCACCGCCAGGCGCGGGAAGCAATGAAGCTGTTTCGAGGCACACCACGCATAGAGGAATATGTTGGTCCGTTGTGGCAGTGCAAAGGTGGTATCATTTATTCCCCTCGTGTGGGCAAGTCATGTCTAACGTCTGAGAATCTACTAGATGCTGGCTCTTCTGGGTGCCATAGTCCTCCGCATCGCCTTCTTTGCTTCTGTTTCTTCCATGAAGGGTAATGACCCGTCGTCTCGGAGTTTCTGCAAGAACTCTTGCCCGTACTTGTATCCCATCTGATAAAGCTCGTCAAACTTGCCAAAATCGAGCGTGCCATAATCATCAATCGGAGGCCGCATGTAAAAGCAGCCTGGCATCGTCTTCGCCCGTTCCAGGGCGTCGACGCTAGACACGTAAGCCAGTCTAGCCTGGATCTCAGCCAATGTCGGAGGGTTGGCGGTGCCCGAGAATGGATTCCACCTATTCCAAAATGCCCACACTCCCGACAGCGAATCACCATACGCCTGTGGAGTGTCGTCGTCAAGTGAGCCAACGTCAACCGAGAAGATGGTGTCCACACCCAGTCTCTTCATGTGCGACACGGTCAGGTTGTCAATGTAGCCACCGTCCAAAAGCATACTCCCCTCATCGCAGAGTGGTGGGAGCAAGCCAGCTAGTGACATCGACGCTCTGATGTATCTCCACGCATAGCCACTAGTGTGGTATTCGACTCGACTCTTGCTGATATTTGTCGTGTTGCAATAGTATTCGAGCCAAAAGTCTTCAATTTGAGTTTTGCCAAAGGTCTTGAAGATGCCCCGATTGAATTCATGTCCGGTGGTGTAAGAGGCAGTCGGGTATGTAAGATCAAGAGCAAAACGCCACATACTGGCCATACGGCCCGAAAACTTCTTAGCGAGGCCGAAGATGGGAACAACATCGGCATGGCGAGCATAGAGGGCGCCAATGAACGCTCCGATGGAGGTTCCGCCAACGACGTCGATGGGGATACCAGACTCTTCCATAGCCTGGATGATGCCGATTTGGGTGATGCCTCTTGCTCCGCCGCCACCCAGAACGAGTCCGACGGATTTGCCGCAGAGGCGTCTCGCAAGACGATGGAAATCGCCCTTGTATGGCGCATCTGGAGAGTAGAAAGGGCTGTGCCGCACCTTCCTCGACGTGTACTTCTGAATCTCCGCCTGGATGATCTGAACTCTCTCCTTCAAGGTGCTCGTTCGCTTTGAGGGTGGATGTACAGGCATGATGTTTGCTCCAAGAGCCATTTGCACATGGTAGTGCCCACCATTGATCCACATACGATTCCTCAGCCATGCTCGAGTCAATCCCGACTGAGAATACCGTTCAGAGTGGAGAAGGACGAGAAGCTTTCTCGCCGTAGACTTCATCCCCAACATGAAACGCTCGTATTCTCCAATTTCTGGAGAGCCCTCAGCGAGACCAACGAGGAGGATGCAATCAGCTTGGGTGATGCATGTTTGAGTCCACGGGGAATTGACGTTGGTATCTGATGTAGAGTTAGCATTGGGTTTCAATCAATCAGTGGCATCAAGGAATGTGAATTTGGTAGTCCAATCAGGAAAAAATTAGAGTATTGTTTGGCCTTCAACGGTCTTTGCCTCGGGAAACAGGGTTTGTTCATCATAAAAGGGACGCTTTGAGTGAATAGTGCAATAGAGATGATCCTTACCTGCAACGTAAACAACGAGGCCATACTTTTCTTCCAGGTCGGCCAAGTACTGGGACAGCTTCAGCTTTCCCATCTTATTGAAAGCATGCTTGCCAAGATGGTTGAGAATGGCAGATTGATTCAGGAAAGTGGCACCATTTGCAGGGCCAACCTGAGCCAAAGCGTTCATCAACCGGTTGCCAAACTCAACCACAGGAACACCAGAAGTCACCGGCAAGATCGCGACGGTCCTCAGGTTGAGCGACGAGGAGCCTTTTGTGATCGTGTTGGTGTTGCCAGCCTCCTTGGAGAGCAGCTGCGATGGGTCATCGAAAAAGTTCCTCATTCGTGACGCAATGATTTTGGAAATCTTGATCGTGATATTCGGATGCTCCTGGGCAAGACTGTTAAATAGTGTGCGCGGGAACTTGACCAACTCAGTCTGGCGGATAGCGTGAAGCGTGCCTGGCCTCACAGACTCCGTCAAGACTTCGAGCTCACCCACACTCTCGCCCTGGCCGAACTCAGCCCGTACGCTGACACCGCCATCCTTTCTGTCCTGCACAAGACGAAGCCGACCGTTGAGAACAATGTGGATCGCCTCGCTCTCTTCGCCTTCGTGGAACAGCACTTGGCCAGCGTCGACTTGCTCCCAGTCAAGGGCAAAGTCAATGTGCATGATCAGACGCGGAAGCAAGCTCGTCAGTCGTTTTGCCATTGTAAGCAAGACAATGGGATAACGGTCGACGATTCTCTCGAGAGCGGAACGCGGTAGGAACCCTACGTAGACGTCCGTCTTGGCCACAACATCGATAAACGATCTGTATGACGAGACTGTGCCCACGTACCCAGCAAGACCCCCTGGCTTGATGAGTGACACACTGCGACGATAGGGCTGCTTCTTCTTCGCATCCAGGTGATCTGGTGGATATGCAGGAGACCCATCCATGCCCATGTGGCCAGTGTGCAGTGTTGTCCTACTCGAGGACTGCAAAATGTCCGCCGAGGTGTCCTCTTTCGAAGTGCAAATGTCGAGGAAGCCGTCCACAACGTAGTAAAGGCCGGGATTGCGCTCGCCTTCCTCAACCAACACGGAACCTTTGGGGAAGAATACAATTTCCACGTCATCCTTCATATCGCTTGCAAGGATGTGAGCATTTGGCGGCGTGTTCAATGTGAGACCTCCGGATGTCAATGACTCCGTATCGCCGTCACCAGAAGCATCAAACGGGCCCATGAGACCAAAAGCGTTGTTACCAAGACCAGGTCTCGTTCGTCTCTGGTCGTACGAGAAGAGCCGCGGAGACCCTTCCACGGACTCGGCCTCGCGCGACAGGCTTCCGTTGCTGCTTAGACCGATTGCCTTGAACATGCATTCAAGGATTGATTGACGGAATAGATTGTCTTCATCCAGCGACTCTCGGCCGTCGATGGAAGCTCGAGACTGCCTCTCGGTGGTGAACGGGTTAAAGGCTCGCTGAGCAAGCGGGCTTGTGCCCTCCTGACGGAGAGCATCGGCAACTTGATCGAGATGAACACTATTCGCACCTGTTGGCCGGTGGCCTACATGCCGAGCAGACTGGATGTTGGCCAGAAGATCGCCAGGGCTGGTTTGGGTAGAGGCTCTCTCTCTTGGCGGTCCTATTGTGGTAGCGACCTGGGAAAATGACCTCTCCTTGGTAGTCATGGAATGCATCATGGCATCCTTACGGAGCGTTGACGTTGACTTGCGCCGACGATGGGCGTTGGCGTTATGCAGTGCAATACCTTTGCTCTCCGATTCGCCGCCGACTCTCTCTCTTTCCCGGTCAAATTTCTCCTTCAGTCGCTGCAAGGCATCGCCTCTCAGCATGTTGGGCAACTGGCACGAGGTGAATGAGAGCATGTTCTTTTCTGTCTGCAAGACTTCACCAGTGAGCCCCAGATAGTTGTAAGCCGTTGCCAACGTGACTCTCTGGAAACGAGAAAGAATGACTTGGACAATGTGGGAAGTTGCCTTGGGGTAGACCTTGGTGAGCCGGCGGAATGCGCTAGCTGGGATGATGGCGATAGTGGTGTCCACTGTAGCTCTTGCAATGATGTCTGGGTGGGCTGAACCAGAAGTCGCTCGACTCTGAAGCTGAGGGCGCTTCGGCTGACGAGCACTACCAGGAACACTGCCTGTGCTGTCAAGCGAGATGGGTGGGATTCTCGCACTGCCAGGCAAGTTAGGCGTCGTAGCCCCCTTCGGAGGTTCATCGATCCTCACTCCGGTCCTTTCCTCCGGGATCTCTGGAAACTCGGGAGTTGCTGGGAATGGACTGGCGGGATCGGAAGGCATGCGGCGGAAGCCTGCAGTCCGCGGGAACGGTGAGGTCCTCAGCCCAGCACTGCCTGAGGTGGGCTCTGGGGTGTCGTCATCTGTTGAACGAAGTTTGACGTCTTCGGTAAACAGCGACATGATGGAGAACAGAGACGACATTGGAGCTCCATTGCGAACCTCGGTGAGCAGTTGATACCTCTGCTGTGGCGCTGACGCGACATCGTCGTCTTCTCCTGGATAGGCAGAATCTCCGCCAAAGCTGTCGCAAGGGTCTGGGTCCATGGGTCTAGCATTTCGGCCAGATTTGACAAAGATTTCCACAAGACCGTCGACGACGATACAAAAACCCTTCTCTTCTTCCAAGTTGAAGGTTTCGCCAGCGATGAGCTTGCGAGTTTGCATGCTCCTAGTCAGCTCGTGGAAGACCTGCCGCTCAAGATAGCCAAAGATTCTGATGGCACTGAGAAACTCGTCCAAATAGCTTGATAAGCCTGATTTCTTGCCCTCATCGTGGGATTCGGGGAACAAATCGACGTCAGGCTCTTTCCTCTGTGGCTCGGGAGGAAGGCGAGAGTACATGTTGAGGATGCGATAGCGCACGACCCAACTGACAGCAGATATGATGGCAATCATGATTACCATACTGCGCGTCAAGTCAGCAGAAGCTCGTAGGCAGCTTGGTAGGATGGTGGAGCGCATACAGAGTAGTGGCGTTCATTGTTACAGTCCAGCTTGTCGAGAACATGGTGAAAAGGACAGTGGGGATTGTAATGGTGACGATTCGAATCGCCCAGTACAGGATCGAAGAGATCAAGGACAGAATGGCAAGGATCAATCGGCCAAACAGCCCCAACCAGCTGGACGATCCCTGAGCCGCGACGACCTCCTGCGCACGCGTGAAAGCGGACGGCAGGGCTTCGGGAGAAGCCTTCATTGTGGCCGACAAGCTCTCTGACACCGCGTGAGCGGCATTCGAAATGTCGGACGACGACGACATGGCTGCGGTGTGTTGTGTTGGGACGGGCGTTGCAGCATAGTGCAGCAGCAGATAAAAGACAGATTACATGATGCAGTGCGACCCTGAGGCTAGCAGGGCGCGGGTAAGGGAGAGCCTCTGGTTTTAAGCCGTTGTTTGGTGGCTGAGACGCAGGACCCAGGTGGAAGGTGGTTGGAGAAAGAAAAATTAGAAGAGGAAGGAGGAAGAGCTTTTGCGCTGCGGGGGAGCTTGAAGAAGCTTGCAAGATGGAGGAACATTAGGTGGGCACGGGCGGTCAGCGAGTTGTGCCGCCCCACGCCGCCAAAAAAGTCCCAGGGGCGGAACGTGCGGCATGTGACGCCAGCCTGCCAGCGCCAATGGCTTTCCTTGAGGTGATGTGGAGGTGCTGGTAATGCTACATGGAGGGGCACGACGGTAAGTTGCATTAAGGTAGGAAACTCTGATCTTTGAAGATACGTTCACGATACTCAACGGCCAACTATCGACACCAAACTACGCTCTTTCCAAGCCAAATTACGCATGACCTGAAAGAAAGAAACAGAAAGCGGACGCGATGCCATTTGCGCAGCTCATTCTCGGCGCTCCAGGCTCTGGAAAGAGCACGTATTGCGATGGCAGTAAGAGCCACCCTTGCCAACACACAACTTCATGGTCTGCGATGCTAACACACCGCGCCTAGTGCACCAGTTCATGGGCGCGATTGGTCGCGCGTGTTCTGTGGTCAACCTCGATCCCGCAAACGACCACACAAACTACCCGAAAGCGCTCGACATCCGTGATCTCGTCAAGCTGGAAGATATCATGGCCAGTGACAGGCTTGGTCCCAATGGTGGCATTCTCTATGCCCTGGAGGAGCTCGAGCATAACATGGAGTGGCTAGAGGAAGGCTTGAAAGAATTCAGCGAAGATTATATTCTCTTTGACTGCCCCGGGCAAGTCGAGCTCTATACACACCACAACTCTCTGCGCAACATCTTCTTCAGGCTACAGAAGATTGGCTTTAGGGTGAGTTGCTCGCGATACTTGCCCCCGATACTTGCCCCCAATACTTGCCCCCAAAATGACCTCGCTGACTTTTTCCTAGCTCGTTGTCGTGCACCTCTCCGACTCTTTTTGCTTGACACAACCCTCTCTGTACATCTCCAACCTGCTCCTGGCCCTTCGTGCCATGCTCCAGATGGATATGCCACATATCAACGTCCTGACCAAGATCGATAAAGTCGCCTCCTACGACAACCTCCCATTCAACCTCGAATACTACACCGACGTCGACGACCTCTCTTATCTGATTCCATACCTGGAAGAAGAATCGCCAGCAATGCGCAACGAGAAATTCAGCAGGCTGAACGAAGCCGTGTCAAATATGATCGAGAGTTACAGCCTAGTCAGGTTCGAGGTCCTCGCAGTTGAGGATAAGAAGAGCATGATGCATCTTCTTCGGGTAATTGATCGAGCTGGGGGATACGCCTTTGGCAGCGCAGAGGGCGCAAATGACTCCGTCTGGCAGGTCGCAATGCGCAATGAGTCGTCCATGATGGAGGTACAGGATATCCAGGAGCGCTGGGTTGATCGCAAGACGGAATACGACGAGCTGGAGCGGAAAGAATGGGAGGAACAGGCCAAGATGCGGGGGGAGGATGATCCCAACGCCGGGCAGGCGCCCCAGCCGTCTGCCGATTACGATCCAGACTTTGGCGATATGACGATACCTGCAGATAGTGGCGTAAAAGTAGTGCGCAAGAACAAATGATACCCTTCAGCCGTCTTCTTCAATCATGTCATCCTCGTCAGAGACATCCGACGCGTCGAACATGACCGCATCCTCGGCTTGGGTCCTGGGCTCTGAGAACAGTGGCAGCGCGCCACTCGCAGCAGCCGCAGAAAAATCCGCGGCGGCGAGCACCAGCTGTCTGGCTTGTCGGATAGCCTCTTCCTCGGCTTTCCGGATGGTTCCACTAACTCTGACGACCTTGAAGGTGCAAGGCTTGCCATCTCCGCTCTTCAGAGGCACGCGATTCATAAACGTCAGGGCAGCCCAGACCAGGCGGTAGTGCGCTCTCTTCACTTTCAATATGAAAGTCGATGTTGCCTGAGAGAGGTACTTGACTATACGACTGTTAGATCCTGCTCAAGATGGACGGACAAATTTATTCTCCTGAACTCACCAATGAGGTTCCCTTCTATGGCACCAGAACCGTAGTCTCCGAAAAGAGTAGCAACCTCAGCTCGGATCGCCTTTAGAAGAGACTGAGGAGTGAGACTTCCCGTCGTTGGTTGATGCCTCACCACGAAGTCTGGAACACTGGAATGCTGTTTTGCATCTTCTGGCGGATACAGGATATTGACGAGAATATATCTCTCTTTGATTCGGACCATCTTGGCGCGATCAGGATCGTGTCATGCAGGGGAAATTTGGCCTTGGAAATTGATTCTTGTGAAAGTTCAAGCTGAAGGTACGTATCCTGCAAGTGCAATCCGTCAGAACGGGTCCATGCGAGAACACCTCTGCTGACTAAGGCGGGGGAGCTTCACCTCCGATAAGGTAGCTCACTCCTACCCCAAGCTCCCGACGTCACCAAGCATAGTTCGCTGAAATGACATATAATTTATCTGTGGTGGTGTGCTAGATCGACGCCAATTTTATCTTGAAGAACATTGTCTTTAGGAAATTGTCTTTCACGTCGGTTCTCGGCACCTTATATTGACAATCTCCACAATGACTGACACCCCGCTCAAAGTAGCTATCCTGATCGTATCGACCACAGCATCAAAGGATCCTTCGACAGACAAGTCGGAACTAATCCTTCGAGATGTGATAGAAAACGAGGGCGGCGGAAAATGGCAGGTCACAGACACCAAGATTGTGCAAGACCATGTTCCTCAGATACAACGGCAGATCATGCTGTGGGCAGACCTGGGTCCCGTAGAGGGGGTCAACTTGATCCTCACTACTGGTGGGACCGGTTTCGCTGTGTCAGATAACACACCCGAGGTAGGATAAACGAATTGCAAGTTGGATTGGTATTAAATTAACCATCTAATACAGGCTGTCGCAACCCTTCTCCATAGAACCGCCCCCGGTCTGGTTCACGGAATGCTGGCAGCGTCTCTGGCTGTGACCCCATGTAAGTGATGGCGATACTTGTAATTAAATCTCGCTGATGGCAATAGTTGCAATGATGTCAAGACCGGTGGCAGGTACACGTAACAGCACCGTCATCGTCACTCTACCTGGATCCCCCAAAGGCGCCAAGGAGAACTTACAAGCCATTCTCAAGACGCTGCCGCATGCGTGCGTACAGGCTGCCGGCGCTGATTCCAGGATCCTTCACTCAGGTGGGATGAAGAAGCTCGAGTCAGAAGCTGGCATCCAGGGCGCCTCTACAGGACCAGCGCCTCGGAAAGGACAAGCGCATTCCCACGATCACCACAGCCACGATCACAGCCACGGCCATGTTCACAACCATGGGCACTCACATAATCACGGGCATGGGCACGGGGGCCTCGTCAGACACACCAAGCCGGAAGAAAATCCCCTATCAAATGATCCAAGTCTCGGCCCGAGTCGCAGATACAGAGAGTCACCGTACCCGATGCTGGAAGTGGACGATGCCCTGCGGCTGATCAAAGACTTCACCCCTGACGCCGAGGTCGTGACGACCAAGGTCGACGTGAACATCATCAACTCAGTTCTCGCAGAAGACGTCACGGCCAGGGAAAACGTGCCAGCTTTCAGAGCATCCATCGTGGATGGGTACGCGGTGGTGGTACCCGAGGACGGCAACATGAAGGGCGTCTTCCCCGTCACCGCGGTATCCCACGCCGCCCCTGGCGAGGTCAAGACCCTCAAGGAAGGAGAAATTGCCAGAATCACAACAGGAGCTCCACTACCTCCGGGAGCTACGTCGGTCATCATGGTCGAAGACACCATCCTGAAGTCAAAGACAAAGGACGAAAAGGAAGAAAAGGAGGTGGAGATCCTCGCCGAAGGGGTGAAGACTGGCGAGAACATTCGTGAAGTCGGCAGCGATATCCAAGAAAACGACACAATCCTAAAGAAAGGCGAGCAAATATCCGGCGTTGGCGGCGAGATCGGCCTCCTCGCGGCCGTCGGCGTGGCGGAGGTCAAGACCTACAAGCGTCCCATTGTGGGTATCCTCTCCACGGGCGACGAGATCATCGAGCCGGACCGCCCCGGCGGTCTCCGCCTGGGAGAAGTCCGTGACACAAATCGCATCACGCTCATGTCCGCCGCTCGCCAGTGGGGCTTCAAGGTCGTTGACCTCGGCATCGCCCGCGACAAGGAGAAGTTGCTCGAGGAGAACCTGCGCGAGGGCCTCCGCCGGAGTGATCTCCTCATCACGACGGGCGGCGTCTCCATGGGCGAACTGGACCTGCTCAAGCCGACGATCGAGCGGTCACTCGGTGGCACGATTCATTTCGGCCGTGTGGCTATGAAGCCCGGTAAACCGACCACCTTCGCCACGGTGCCGGTCAAGACGACGCTCGGGAAGCGGGTCACCAAGACCATCTTCTCGCTGCCTGGAAATCCGGCGTCGGCCTTGGTAACTTTCCACCTCTTTGTCCTGCCCGCCCTCCACAAGCTCTCTGGCATCGAGCCCACGGGCCTGCCTAAAATCCCCGTGACGTTAGGCCACGAATTTCCGCTCGACAAGGCGCGGCCGGAGTACCACCGCGCCGTAGTCACCGTCGGAAAAGATGGATCCCTGTCTGCCAACAGTACCGGTGGCCAACGAAGCTCAAAGGTCGGTAGCCTTAAGTCTGCGAATGCGTTGCTGGCTCTCCCATCCGGTTCGGAGCCGTTGAAGAAGGGGGTCAAGGTGGAGGCTCTGTTGATGGGGGAAATCCGCGTGGAGCTGTGAATCATTAAGCTGTAGCATAACAAGAATCAGTGTGCGGGTATGACGACAAGATGTCCTCTGTTCTCTAACCAATTGCCTCATCAAACTCCCCCGCGCGCCTGCTTGGGTACAAAAATTGTTTGAGGGAGAAACGAGGTCTTGTTCTCAATAGCGATGTGAGAGGTGCATGTAGGAAGCTCCGGTCGAGATCCTGCACAGGGCATTAAAGGTCCAGAGGTCTTGCCGCGCAAAAATCATCTCGATGAGGAGCTATAATACTTCGATAGTGTACAATACAAAATGTCCTTGCCCTGCCTGTATGCCGTTAACGCCCGCCCAAGTAACCTTGGTGTAATGCAGTGCTCCACTGTACATCGTGTCCGAGGTAGATAGTTGCTATGCTGTCGGTGATAACCTCCCCTTTTTGAATCTTTCATATTGTGTAGACAGCATGTTGTTATGCTTATGCCTTGCCAAAAGCGTTGGCCTTGCCAGAGACAAGAAGTCCAACAATCAGACCGAAAAGACCAAGGACAGAGCTGAAAATCTCGACGACAAGAATCTTAACGAAACTGCACAACGACTAGTTAGCAAACTGTGGGCGATCGCTCAATGTATTATCTGAATAAACGTACAGTGTTGGGTCGGCGGCATCAGCCAAGGCGGCTCCACTGCCGTTGATGCCGACAGCGACACCGCAGATGAGGTTGCACATTCCGACGGTGATACCGGCCCAGAAGAGGGCGAATCCAGTGTAGTAGCTGTTGCCGTCGTGCAGGACCTCACCCTGGACGTTCTCGAGTTGGGCGGAGAAGACGATGGCCATGATGACGCCGTAGATGGCAACGACTTCGCAGAAAATGATGGAGATCAAGTTCTTTGTTCGCACGCGCGGGGCCTTGACGCCAGCGCCGAGGATGGATGAGCCGGTGATAAAAATACCCCTAGATGCCGCCTGTTAGATATCGGCTTGCGCGCCGCTTTGTTGCCAGCTAGAAGAGTCCGAGAACTTTATCCGTACCATGCCGCGCCCACAACGGAGAGACCGATGCAAAGGGCAATACCCGTGTCCGCCCACGCATAGGGTGAGATAGATTCGAGGAACTCGCCGACGTTAAAGGCCTCGCCCGATCCCGTGAAGAGCATGTCTGTTCGAAGGTGTTAGCTGGCTGTGTCGCGGATCGTCGATGCATCGCGGGATAGGTTCGTACAAGCTCCCACAACGAGAAGGGTGCTCCCAATGCCGCCCAGGCCATATGTGAGACTCATCGTGCTCGATTCGGTACGTGTGGTTGCCGGTGTCGTGGGTTGTGGTTGACGGCGGAGATCTGGGGGGCGTTGCAGCTACGTCGAGCTCTCTCGTCTAGGCGAGTGAGGTAAGGTATCTGAGGTAAGACCCAGAATCGGCAAGGTCACATGATGTGGCTTCCGGCGTCCTTAGGTAATGCGTGGCAGAACGACGATTAGAGAGAAAGCCAAGCGTGGCAGGCACGTACCAGGCTGGGAGCCATGGCAAGAGCAACAGTGGTCCCACTTTCAGCAGCTGAATAAGCACAATCTAAGGATATCCTCAAACAAGGCAACTATAAATACAACTTCGCCTCTTTCACACTCACAACCGCCTGAACCGACACCCGCCCGCAGGAGATCAGAACAAATCTCCAAGATGGCTGCCGCACCTCAATCGTTCTACGAGCTTTACCGCCGTAGCAGGTACTGCGCCATCCATAACAATTACTACACAAATGTGCTACATATGACTAACCAATGACTTGATGCAGCATCGGCCTTGCGCTGACAGATATGCTGGATGATTTAATCAGCGAGGAGCGAATTCACCCTCAGCTGGCGATGAAGATCTTGGCCAACTTCGATCAGGCTATTACAGAGGCCCTGCAGAAGAGCGTCAAGGCCCGCCTGACCTTCAAGGTAAGTGCTGCATGTTGCCCTGCGGCGTTGCGCCTAGGCCCGATATCCATCGACAGCCTCCGGCGCCTTCCCCCGGCATATCCAAATCTTGTAGTCAAGCTTCATGGAAACTGCTGGAGATGCGCCGCACAAATTGGCGTGATCATGGTGAACCAAAGCTAACGTTGCGTGCATCACAGGGCAGTCTGAGCACCTACCGTTTTTGCGACGAAGTCTGGACGTTTCTTATCAAGAATGTTCAATTCAAGCTTGACAATGGTGGGCAGATTGTGACAGCCGACAAGGTCAAGATCGTCAGCTGCAACGCCAAGAAGCCGGGTGAAGGCCCTTGAAGGGAATGCACCCACGACCGAGAGGATCAGAGGCGGCCTCGTCTACCTTATTCGCAGACACGAACGAGATACGCATTTTCGGACAACGGCGATGGGAACAACGACGAGCGCCCCCAGCGGCTGCATACAATAGGCGTTCAGGTTCATGCTCTTATGATGGCACGGGTTAAGGACACGGGAGTTCATTCAAGATTGCCATTTTTGATACCATCAGAGGTTTGTACAGCATCGTTCATAGGGTTGCGTCAGCGCCTCAAATAGACTGGCTACCTGCATTGGAACTGTGCTGCTACTGTCGGTCTTGATTACGATGCGCTGCGACCAAAGGCTAAGTCTGGGATGGCATTATATTTCAACTTGTCCCAACGCAGGGACTTGTTTCTGGCCAATATTCACGGCCGACTGCATCATTCGTGGAGACAACGCCGCTCGACTGTCATACGTCATCTTCATCACAGTGTCCCCACTACGCAGGTAATTGACGAGACAAGTGCAGGGCAATTGCCCGGTCAGAGAAGCAACGATGATGCATCTGTCGAAATTGAAGAGGGATTTGAAAAAGTCTCATTGCCTGCCAACAAGTCCCAGCTTCTGAGCCTCAAACAACAATCCTAGCCACTTAGTAGGCCGATGCCGGGTACCTGCAGAGCGAGCCGGGGGCCCCATCTTCCGGAAACGGGGGGGACACCCGAACTGATTCCGCGTCGGGTTTCCTCCCTGGCAATTGGCGATTGGCAACTGGCAACAATGAACCTGGCGTATTCTTCCCTATTTCAGCCTCAACGGTCTGCGATTTCCAACGACTTGGTTGCCAATTGAATTCCTTTGTTCACCATACAACCTTTTTCTAGTACCTGTCGTACAGAGATCTCGTCAGACCCGCATTCATACAGCGAAACAACCCCGAAGCTCTGAAGACAAGGACGCGTGCCCCTGGACTTGCATGCACTGGGGTGTTCCCCTTACACTAGTCGTGTGGCTTCTCGAGGACTTTGTCAAACAATCCCATCCACCATTGAGACAAACACGCCAGCAGTCGCCGTCAGACTTTCCATAGCGCCCTCCCGCTACTTTGGGGAACCTGTTGCTCTCTTATTTGCGCGCACATACTCTTTCCCGCACGTGGGTGCATCTGCAGGTGCTGCTACACCGAGCCGCAGCAGCAGGGCACCGGACGTTCGCCCGGCCTTACCGTACCTCATCCCTATCGCCAAGCCCACCACCACCAAGGCCGTCATCCATCCCATCCAGCAGCAGTAGCAGGGATCACTCACACCAAGAGCAGTCTCCTTCCTCTTCCGCTTTTCCTCCACCCTTCTCTCTCCACACAATGCTCCGCCAGCGACAACCTGCCGCTGCATCCGCCCCCGACCGCTCTCAAAAGGATCATATACCCACCATGGCGGCAGCGAAGACGACAACCCTGGACAATGAGCGCAGTCCGCTGCTCCCACGCCACGAGGACGACGCTCACAGTGAACCGCCGACCGAGGCAGAAGACGACGAAGAGCAAGCGGCTGAGAGCATGGCCTGGGCACGACGGAATCAGTGGATTGTGCTCGCCGTTGCGAGCGGCGCCTGCGCTGCGTTCAACGGCGTGTTTGCAAAGCTGTGAGTTGGACATTTCTCATTTCGGTTCAATCGGGGGGTGGTTCGTTGGGTGCCTTATGATGCCAAGATTGTACTATTTTGAGTCGGCATCACATTTCACGACCAGTTTCTTTTTTTTCTCCTTTTTTTTTTTTTTTTTGGTTGCGCTACCAGGGCAACTTGGTTCATACCCGATAGTTGTGTGAACTAAATGCGCTCCCTTCGAGTGTCTCGAGCATACCTCCAGGCTGCCTTTTGTTGAATGTCTTACTGACAACTATACAGGACTACAACTGAGCTCACAACGACGATATCCCAAGCAATCTCCAACTTTCTGCATCTTCAAGACATCGAGGGCGCCTTTGAAGTTGTCATGCGAGCAGTAGGTTGGCTTGGACAATAGTAGTCATCAAATTTCTCACAATATTACAGGTCTTCTTCGGTCTTAACCTAGTCTTCAACGGCATTGTAAGTTTTCCAGCCCAAGTCTTCGGTTTACCTGCAGGACCCTAACTCAACTAACACCCACCCCAGATGTGGACTCTTTTCACAAAAGCACTCGCCAAGGGCCAATCAACCACACAGGTGTCCATCATGAACACATCCTCCAACTTTGTCATCACAGCTATCCTCGGCTTCGCCATCTTCTCCGAGTCGCTGCCGCCGCTGTGGTGGGTCGGCGCCGCCATGCTCGTCGCTGGCAACGTCATTATTGGCCGCAAAGACGAGGAAGCGGACAAGTCTGGCGATTACGCGCCGTTGCCGCAGCAGCCGGGTCTCGCTCCTGTCCCGCTGGACGTCAGTGACGAGGACAAGGATTCCGAGGACGAGGATATTGTCGATTTGGGAGACTTGAACTCTGTGGAACACCGTGCTTGAGATCATTCAAGACCACTATATACAGGATACCACGTACATGTTTACTTACATATGTCACACATATTGGATAGACAGACAATACCCAATTTGATTAGGAGTGAGTTCACATGGATCTTACATCGCTGTGTATTCTTACAATTGTGAACTCATTGGCTGCCCACGCTTAGTCCGGCACGTGTCTATATATATATGTATAGTTACTCAGTAGCTTCTCAAAAAGTATTTAATACTCAAAGAGCATCAACAAGTAGTCACTCGACTTTCTACACTGTAAGTGATTACCCGTCCGCGATTCCTCAGGCAGGTAATTCCAGACACAAAAGAAAAGAACCAAAACAGGCGAGGGAAAAGCCGACTTGAACTCACGACCTCTCACGAAAAGAGAAACTCTTTAATCGAAGAACCCGGCCGGACGACGTGGAGAGTCACCAAAATTGCTATGGTGAAAAATGCAAGAAAACGACAAGCTGTTTATGGCACTACGTAGGGCCATGAGCCAACATACTTCTCTGCCAGTGAAGGCTAGATAGGATTATAATGCTCAACAATCGACTACAACGGACGCTGCTTGTTGACAACTGCCTAATCTCTGGTCCCTGTAATGGTTTGCATGAGAGCCAACCAATGCAATCTTTGCTTTAGAGGTAAGCGTGGATAGTCTGAAGAAACGGTTTGTAAATTGACGAATACACTCGGAACTCTCCGAACTCCAACCTCCTCCCTCCCTCACAGTCTCAGTTCGCCGGTAGATGCCATAGTCAGACCAGGCAAGTATGATTAGATGCTTCGCGGCATTTACACCGCAATCTATTGACATCTACCTATATCTCAAATCATATGTTCGTAACCACATTTGTATTCATATACGCCAGCCCAAGTAGTCATGTACCTCCCCTGAACCGCGCATTTCAAACTCCAGGTCCCAGGGAGCCCTCATTAGAAAAAGCCAACACCAGAAATCTAAATGAAACCTCTTTACCGGTTCTCAAGCTCCAAAGCGCCGTCATCGACGACATCCTCGTCGCCGTCTAATATTTGCGCCCCAGCCAAGCGACCACCGCCCCCACCGCCGTTAGTGCCACTTCCACCTCCACCACTGCCCCCGCCGCCGCGTCGCTCTTCAACCGATGAAAGCTGTATTCTCCCGCCAGAAGCCGTCGACACCTTGTCAGAAACCCACCCAGCCGCACGCCGCATCGCGCTCCACAGCTTCTCCTGGCTCTCCGCAAAGGCGGAGTCGTCGCGCGGGTTCTCGGCATGCTCGGCCGTGAACTGATACTTGAGGCAGTCCTTGACCGTCACCAGGCCGGATAGAGAGCCGTGGTACTCGATGAGAACGACCCGCGGGCCGATTTTGCGGAACAGTTCCATCACGGTCTCCAAGGGGAGGCGCGGGTGGGCTGTGACGGGCGTGGTGTCAATGTACCGGCTAAAGTCAACCGACGCGGTCGACATTGGGTCAAGGTTGACGGTCACGGTCGGTGTCAATGGAGTAGTGGCATTGAGTGCGGTCGGTGGGGGCGAGAAGGTGCATCTGGCGTCGGGGTTGATGGGTCTCTCGCGCCGTACGCGGTCGATGGCATAGCGCAGCTCGGTGCGACCAATGTAGCCAACGAGGATCTTTGAGGTTGTGTCCTCGACAATGGGGAAGCCCTGGTACTTGTCCTCCTTGAGAAGCCTCTCGAGCTCTGAGAATTCCATGCCGCTCACGGGCAAAGATGTAAGCTCCTTTCGCATCACCTCTGAAACGGGGACGCCAAAGTTGTGTTCCTCCTTGTTATCTAGGAAGGGAAATCCGCTGAACCAGATCATCCTATCCGCAATACCACCTTTGCCAAACATTTCGCTGACGATCTTGGTCACGCCGACGACAATCATGGTGGGTAGAATGTAAGTCAGGGCGCCAGTGAGCTCAAACATAATGACAACGACGGACACGGTAATGTGCATGATACCACTCAGCGCGGCGGCAGCGCCGAGGAAGGCGTACGTGCCGGGAGTGATACACGGCTCGTCTGGCTTACAAGCTGCGAAGAAAGCACTCGTAGGGTTGGCCTCGTGGATTGCCTGAACAATGATGCCGACCGTCCGCCCGAATGAAGCCCCGATAGCCATGGACGGAACGAAAATACCGGCTGGCACTTTGCAGCCGTAGGAGATGATGACCAGCAGGATCCTCAGGATCGTAGCCAGAGCCAGCGACAAGATATTGGAAAGTCTCTTGTCTGGCTCGCACAGGCCGTGGTAGTCCTCGGCCCCCTCGCACTCGAGGAACAGGATTTCCATGCTCTCGGTCATGTCGATTCTCAAAAAGACGTTGGGGTAGCAGATGATTGCAGTGCCCGCCGCGAGAATCGTTGCCTCCGCAATGGCGTACTTTGACAGATACTTCTTCCTAAACGCCTGAGCCCGTAAATTCCACTTCATCACAAAGGCGCCGTAGAGTCCGCCAAAAATGCCCAATATGATGTAAAAGACAACCTCGAAGAAGTGCCACGATCGATCGTAATGGACTTGGAACATGACAAGCTGTCCCGTCCTGAAAGGATTCATGGCCGCAAGCACAGCCGTCGCCACAAGCGCACAGAAGTAGCTGCGCCATAACGTCTTGAGAGGAAAGTAGTTGGACATCTCTTCCAGAGAGAAAAGCACTCCGCCTATGGGACTGCCAAACGCGACAGCAACACCAGCAGCAGCACAGGCGCTCAGTATCTCCCTCGTCTTGGAGGCGTTGCGTCGGTATTTCTCGAACAAGCGCGAAATAACGTTCCCGGTGCACACAGCGTAGTGCACACTGGGACCCTCCTTGCCTACGGACAGACCAGAGGCGATAGCCAGGGGCAGACAAACGGACTTGATCAAGAGCGTCCAGAATCCCAAGAACCCCTTCATGACGAAGCCGGCAATGATACACTTGATCTCGGAGATACCCGATCCCGCGGCGTACGGCGCAAACGACTTGACCAGCGTGGCCGAGGTGAAGGCAAAGACGGCGCCAACAATGATGTAGATAACGTAATTCGCCGGGCCGAATCCCGTCCAGGCATGCCACTCGTCGCAGCCATTGTCCTCGCCCCAGCAGCAAAAGTTTTCGTTCAGATAGAATGCCGTCGTGCAATGTCCCATCTTTATATCGGACAACCACTCCGTAATAATATTCAGAAAGGCTGCGTTGAGCCCAATGGCGATACCAATCAGCGTGACGACAAGCCAGCCCTGCGCAGCGTCGTAGGACTCGCGCAGACGATACCTCCAGCCCGCCGCCTGGCCGGTGTCGAGCATCCCAGCCCGCCGCCTCCGATGCAACTTCTTCCGCGCCTGCTCCCTGGCGGCATCTTGTACCCAGTCTATGGTGGTAAAGTCCTCGTAGCGCTTGATCTCGGCGATCTCGTCCTCGATCTGCTGCTGCTGATGACTCGCCGGCGGACCGCCGGCGGCCTCGTCATCGTGCTCGCTTTGTTCGGCGGTCGAGACGGCGAACGAGATCCTCGAGCTGATGGAAGGGCGCGGGGGCCGGTGCGGGCTGTGCGAGAAAGATGTGCTTCGGGAAGTCATTGTCGCATCCGCGCTGTGCTCATGTTCGCGGCGGCCGAGGATGCGGAGGGATGGGGGGGTGACGTTCCAATGGGGTTCGTCCTTGGAATTAGATGTTTTCGACCGGTTAGGCTGGTTTCTATCGAGCCTTCGTAGGGAAATGTGATGTTGATGTACACTGGACCTTCTTTGCCTGCCGATCACCGGGAGTTGACATTTGCAGTTGTAGTCGCAGTGTGCAGCAGCAAGGTTAGCTGGGAGAGCAGGGATGATGAGGACAGTGATGGCCGACTTGCGGTCTCTCAGCTAATGGGGACGCTGCGAACGTCTCAAATGTGGCGGGGGCTCCCCTGCAATTGGCGTTTAAGCTTTCACCCAGCACAAGCGGTACGGTGCACACCGGCGCGTTTTTAGCGGTCGCGTCCCAGTGGCCTTTTTGGCGCGACTCTCTATCAAAAGTGATTCCCTCCCCTTGACGACTACCTCTTGGAAGACATCTCACCCCCACGAATGCCACAAGCGACGATACCACGGCAATTCTTTAGTAAATCAATTGTTGACTCACAACGCATCATCTCATTCAAATCAAGACCAGGAAAACTCGGCTATTGACGCCAGTATCTCTCCATTACTTAATCCTCCTCGGTGTGCACTTACGCCAAGGTTTAAGCAGGTAGGCGGTCCTTCTTGACCTTCATCACAGTCCCAAATCCAGCTCCCGGTCAAGACGATTTTCGAAAAGATCGTGGTCATTGGCATCATACGGCTCACTAGGATGTCATAAGAGAAGCTTTGGATGCCTTCCTAGCCTCAATTACATGCACAGGATCAGTGGAATGGATTTGTATGAGCTCCAAAGCATTTTCAGTTGCTTGGCCCTTGTTGGGCGCCTCGTTGAGAGGCCGGCCCAGTCCTCTCATCGACCTCTTCAATTCTTTCTTCCTACCTGCTCAGCCACTCTGGCCAGTCATATCAACTTACACGACCTTTACACCACAATCCGAAATCTTCAAATAACTAACATTGTCCAAGGCATATCGTCTAAATCTCGTCGCCTGACAAACGCCACTCATATCCCATCCAAACTCATAATGCCTCCCAACAACAACGCGATACCCCCCAGAAAGGAGGTAACAGGCCAGCCCGCCCTGCCTCGTAAGTCATTTTCTCCCTCTTCACAACATTATAGGCTTTCGATTTCCTGATCTGATTAACCCCTGGCAGTGGCCCGCGTAAAGAAGATCATCGGCACGGATCCAGATATTGGGATCTGCTCAAACAATGCGGCCTTTGTAATCACTCTGGCAACGGTATGATGCTTTCCTCCATTCCCCAATCTTTTTTTCTCATCAAATGCATATTCTGACCCTCCGCTCAAGGAAATGTTCATTCAGTATCTCGCCGCCGAGGGCCATAACATGGCAAAGGCAGAGCGCAAGCCCCGTCGTAACGTTCAGTATAAGGACTTGTGTACGTGATTCTTAGAAACCCACATCCCACTTCTTCTTCAACCATGCGCTTCTGCCTCAAAGAACTGTGAGAAATTGGAAATAAGATTTACAAAGAAGAAAAGAAAAGTGGAAAAAAGGGACAAGCCACTAACAGGAAACACCCCTCCAGCAACCGCAGTCAACCATCACGACAACCTCGAGTTCCTCGAGGATGTCATCCCCAAAACGGTCCCCTACAAACAGATCAAGGACTCGGCTGCCGCCGCTCGGCTCAACCCCAGGAAAGCAGACCAGGAACCCAAGAAGCGGCAGTCGACCCTCAAGGCCAACGCCAATGCCAACACCGCTTCCAGTAGTAGCAACGGCGTCAACGGCTCAGCCGGCGGTGCTCCGGCCTCGGATCCAGTGACGGCTGCCCTCTACTCCGACGACCCCAACGCCCAGCTGGACGCCGAGTCTCGCCGTGCGGCCGGTGACGAGGACGTCGACATGACGGGATAGAGAATCCTGTCCCGTCCTTATCCCCTTGATCTATCTCCTTCCTCCCTTATTTGAAACGTCGCATGATTGGCCCCTTTTGTTAAGCCAGCTGGTTATTTTGGAATCCCGACACCTTTCTGACTGGTTGTTACGGGCTGAACGCCTTGGTCAGCAAGCTTGGTTGTGAAAAAGCACATAGCAGAACCGTCAGAACAGTAGCATTCACAAACAAGGAGGGAAGACAACACTATTATGAAGTGTACGATGAACAGTTGTTTCCTCTTTTCCGCCGAAAAGTATTGAATCGGCTACTTTTTTCTCTTCTCGGATCCAATGAACCCTCCATTAGCAAAAAAAAAAAAAAGTGTCGTCTTCAACCCGAAGTAATTTTCTTCTTCTTCATCAGTAAACAAACGCCAGTCCATGTTATGACCGTTTTCGCAACCTTATTTGAAGTTGCCCTGCCTCTCCTTTGAGCGCACCCCCTTCTTTTACAATGAGGAGTATTTGGACCCTCCTAACGCCACCGATCCTCAATCCTCCATGGTGGCGTCCCCGTCCAGGTGTACACCCGCGGGGATGGTCCCCTCCGTCAACATCTTCTCGAGCCGGATGATCTCCTGCAGGCTGTCGGCCTTCTTGATCATCTCCTTCAGCCGCTCCTTCTCCTTGTCCGTAAGCTTTATCCTCGAGAGCTTCGAAGGCGCGGCGCCGGCCGTGCCGTTGGAGGCAGCGATGTCGAGTTGTTTGGACTTGTTGCCCATGATCTGATAGGGAGGAAAGAGGGGTCAGTATCGTGCGTGATGCCCGTCGTTCCGCCGTGTGATACGTAGACGTAAAGATTAAGGGGGGGGGGGGAGTATACCTTGGCCGCCGCGCTCGTGGGCTCCTCCGCCGTGCCAAACAGCTCCCTGGCCTTCTCCCTCTCTGCCTCCTTGACCTTTTGGTAGTCCAGGAACCGCACCGTCGGACATCTCCAGACGACCCAGTATCGGTAATTCTTCATTGGTCCGTCAGCCTCTCTCTCTCTCTCTCCCAAATCCCTTCCGTCAAAAGATAAAATGGCGCTCCAAAAGGGAGCCATAAAAAGGGAAAAAGCGCACCTCCTTCTTGGTCACCGGGTTATCCACCAACACCAGGTGCGTCAACCGCTTGAACCCCGCCAACACGTCCAGGTCCGCGAGCTGCGCAATCTGGTTCGACGCCAGCACGAGCTGCTGCAGGTTCGGGATCGCATTGGGGAGCGAAGCCTGTATGCTCGCGACGCGGTTGTGCGCCAGCAGCAGCGTCGAGAGGCGCTGCGAGAGCGGGAAGTTGCCCAGCACTTGGATGTCATTGTCGGTGAAGTCGATGGAGTCGTGGGGCTGTTTGTTTTCGCATGACAGCAAACGTCAGCAAAACTTCCTTCCCAAATGTTTGAAAAAAAAAAAGGGGCCAAACAGAGAAGCTCGGGAGGAGGAAAGAAACTCACGCCTGCAACACCCAGATTCTCAATCGCCGGGATTCGATGTCCTATTCATTCCAACCGGCGCAAGACGCTATCAATTCTGGCCCTCAAAAAAAAGTGTAGTATCTGTTCCTTTCAACAAAACGCACCTCGGAGATCCAGCTCCCGCTCCTTGAGCGGGTTAAGGTAGGACAGCGAGCCCTTGATGAGCTCCGCCGTGAGCCTCATCTTGGTGGTTCAGCTGGTGGAGGAGAGATGGTGTTTTGGTGTTTTGGTGCTGGGGGTTACCTCGAAATTCTGGCCAAAAAAAAAAAAAAAGAAAAAGAGGAAATGTCAATCGTGGTCGGTGATGCCGCGATTCGCTTTCAGTCGTCGGGCTGTGTGTTCGGTGAGTGGCGCCGCCGCAATTCTTCGTCGCGTGATCGCGTGGGTAGAGTGGTGGATGATTCGACGAGGCTGAAAAGTTGACGGTCGACGAGGCGGCCGAAGCCCAGCGTCACAAAATTTCCCGCTTGATTAGAGCTGCCATCCCCGCGATTATGTACAGTGTATTCTGTTTCCAGCACGGACTCCCGCTTCTGTTCTACCTGGCTCATTCCTTCATCTGATGATGACGCACTGTGTATGTCTCCCATGTAAATGCTTCCAGGTTCAAATTGAGATGATCACTGACGTGACACAGCCTAAGTTACCAAGTTGTCGCTTGGCTTCTGATATATTAAAAAGAAAAAATCTATTCACTAGGTATCTATGTTCGATGAACCCTCGACCAAACGCCAACGAAGTAAGCCGGTCCGCTATGAAAACACAAACACCACTCCGGACCTATCCACCGATAGCGTCATGCTGTATGGGAGTTCCAGCAGCGCAACATCCATAATCGAATCCAAGTGAGATCGTAGAAGTTGCTGCTGCTGAAGGGAAATCACAGTCGAGCGGAGCGGTCGCCCGCCGGTGGCTGCGCCCTTCCCACTTACCGCAGCATTAGGGGCCGTGGGCGCTTGTCGTGGGATCCTCTCCGTGTTCAACGTCATGGCCGTTGTCGGATGAGAGGCCGTAAACGTGGGCTTCGGGTCCTCCCCTTGCAGCCCGCTGTAGACCACGGAGCTTTCTATGCGAGACAGGTCCCAAAATCGGAGCTTCTTGTCCGATCCCGCAGTGACGATGAACGCATGCCGTACATCGCGCGAATCCTCCGAGGCGCCTGTGCCTACCACCATGGCACGAACACCGCGATCCGTGTTTCCGGTTCCGCTCGGCTCAATGTTGGTAGCGAAGCGCCCAAGCATGCCCTCAGGCTTGTCCTCATCCACCTCCCAGGGCTCATATCCCTTTGGGCCCTCCTTATTACCTCCAACACGGTAAATCTCTCTGCAAATCGTGCGTTCCAGATCCCAGACGGTGACTTCGCCCTGGCCAGTTCCGCCAGCGACGCAGACCCATTTGCCTCTACCCTTGCTTGGGTGAATGCATAGTCTGTAGATGGAACTCTTGCCTGGGACGCCCCACCCCTTGAGTCTCATCCGGAACCTCAGATCCCAAAGGTCTATGACCCCGTGAGTCGTTCCCACGCAGAGCCAGTTTCGCTTGCGGTCAACGCAGAAACACGTAGGTGTCCCGTGGTGGACAGGATTCTCCAGCGTATACAGCAGCGACATGGTTCGGAGATCGATGCCGAGGATCCTGGAGCGATTCGTTGCTAGAAGCATCACCGAGGTGGATTCCACTTTGAAGTGCTCACACCACACTGCGCACTCGTCCTCTGGCAGCTGATACTCCCGGAGAAGGCGAAGTTTGCCATATCGCAGTGTGCCACTTGCCACGACGGTTTCGACCTTGACAATATGAACGCTTCCATCACTGGCGCAGCTGATGAAACAATGCGTATTCTCGATGAAGCAGAGCGCGAGCACCGAGGCCCCATCGGCGTGCTTGTGAGTTTGCCTTGATCGGTGGGTGATATTTTTCTCGAGCCGAGCACTGTCCCAGACCTTGACAGTCCCATCATCACCTCCTGTAATGAAGAAGACGTGGTCTGGCGACACCACCAGGCGGTTGATTGAGCCAGTGTGTTCAGCAAACGTGGCAACCATCCGGCCATGTGGGCGCCATGGCTCGTCGCCTGGTTGACCCACGGAGCGATTGGTTTTCCGGCGTGTAATAGGGGTTACCATCGGTCCAAACTCGGCGATGTCGTGCGGATAGTTGTCCTGGTACATTGAGTCGAGCATTTTGAGAATGCTGGGATCGGTTCCCTCGTAGGAATGGTTTGGCTTTAGTTTGGTCACAACACTCGTAGTACTGGTTCGTCGATCCTGTATGTTTGGCCGAGAAAGAGGAGCCGGGGCAAACGGGCCCTCCACTTGGCCAAAGGCATTTGCTCCCGACATGCCAGTCTCCGGCACGCTCTTGTTGCTGTCTCTGCGGTCCAGAAGGCTTAGAGCGCTGGCCTGATGGCGGATGGCCCTCCGAGTTGCGTACGGCTGGTCATGGACCGAGGCCCCATCGTCCGTTGGGCTTCCGACCGTAAGCTTGCCCTGCCCAGTCGATACGCGGCTGGCAGGGTCAATCTCTCTCACACGGGAAACATCACGCGAAGAAGAGCCCTGGTCGTCTACTACGCGAGTACGGAGACTGTTAAGAGCTGCAAATCGTCTCCTTCCCGTTGAGTCATCGATTGTCATGGAGGCATCCAGAAGAGCATCCGCAATAGTGTACGGTCCTTTTTGATTTGACTCAGGAGTGAAAGTGGACTGCTGCAGGGGCTCCTCGTCAAAGAACACGGTCTGCGGAGTGATGCCGAGGCTCTTCAGGGAGATTACTTCATTGAACTTGGCCGGTTCGCCGTCCATGCCATCCCGAGATTTCATTTTGCTGATCCGCCAGATGAACTCTCGCAACACAAGGAGTTTGAACTCGTCGTCCGGTCCGAGGCCAAGATTTCGAAGACGTCCAAGCCACAGCTCGTCTTCATCGTTCCGGGAGACTTTGCTCAGTGTATCCTTAGACGACCGGCTGCTAATAGTCTTGGGGAGCGATCCAAACGAGAATGACCTGAGCTGCTGCGTCAGCTTCCAGAAGACGCCCTTGTCGGTCTTGAGAGCCCAAACCAAGGCCTGATCAAATACCGCTCTCGACATCGGCCGCTTCAGAGCGTCCAACAGACTAAGCTCTGAAAACGCAGGAACCATTCCTGTTTTAAGGTACTGCTTGACCAGAGGATACACGATGCACCTCACGTCTGCTGGCGACAAGAAACGAGTCGTCTCAGACAAGAACTCCGTCGCAGATTCCCGGATCCATTGGTTGGGGTGCATCGTAAATCGTGCAACAACGTCTATCAGCTCCCAAATTTTGGTTTTTGAAAGGAGCCCGAGCCGCGCCAGCTGTGCCAAAGAATGCAGAGCTGCTTGTACTACAAACTCCTCTGGGTCAGTGAAGGCTTGCACCATAAGCGGTAGCATGAATTCCTCGAGGCTGACGCTTCCCACCACGCTGGCAATGCTGACGATAGTTTCGAAGAAGGCACACTTCAACATCCAATCTCGGTCGTTCAAGTAGGTGTTCAAATGGGTCAGAAGAATGTCGTTTGCCTCTGCGGGGCCAAAGAAGAGGCACAAGTCGGGCACGGAAGTCAAAAATGCCCTGCGAACAGAGACGTCCGAATCCTCCACCAGTGCCTTCGTATGGAGCTCAAACATTTCGTAGAGCTCACGTTGCGCGTCGTCAAACAGTCCATCAAAGGCAGCATTGGCTTCAATTCCTGGCTCGAGCTCAGGGTCAGCCACTGTCAAGGTTCCGTCCGACTTAAGGGTTGCCGCCAACTCCAAATACCGGGCAGCTGTGGTCGCGAGACTTCCGATACACGACGCATAAGTTGCTCGCACCAGCGGGCTAGCTGGTTTCGATGGCGCAATTAAGGCGCTTTGCAGTCGTGGTAAGATGTACTCAACAAAAATGTGCGAGTTGACAGGAGACACCACTCGGACTAGATGTAACAACTGTGATATTGAGCGCAGCGCGGCGATTACCACAAGTTCCGACTTATCATTAAGAAGCGTTATGAGGTACGGTAATACGCGGTCCAGCTTTGCTTCGTCCGTGATTCTCTCAGAGAATGCTAGCAGAATATCACAGGCTCTTATTTTTGACGCCGCCCTGGCCGTGTTACGAAGGGACGAGACAATCAATGTGAGGAAGATTAAAGTCCCGTCGTCTTCAGGCGGGTCGGACGTCCCGGTGATGTATTGTTCATGGTTTGGTATGTTGAGGCGAATGGGAAAGTGGCCGAGCCCTAGCTTCCCGGCCAGGGGTTCGGCTGGCATCGGGCGTTTGTCGTTTGTGTAACCGAGGAAGTAGGATATCTTGTCAAAGTCAAGAAAAACGCGGTCGATGCGGTCGTCCGCCTCTCCCAGATTCCTTGTCGCACCAGATATAGGACTGTTCCCAGATGAAGGATCCGTAATCAACTCCATGTATTGGTGAAGGAAATTGTAAAAGTACTCGGGAAAGACCTTCTTCTTCCAAAAGTCCAAATATTGCTCCGCAGAGTATCGGCGCTCCGGGTCGAGCTGAATCATGTGCGATATCATGTCCCGCAAGTCCTTATCCGGAATACGGCTTATTTGCGATATGACTGGGTCGTACTCGCCCTTGCGGAACTTGTACAACTGGCTGAGTGTGAATATGGGCGACTCTAAGAACATCTCGGCAATGACGCAGCCGGCGCTGAAGACATCCATGGCCCACGTAAGCTTCGCGTCCTTGCTGTTGACCTCCTCCGCCGCGACGAAACGCTCGGGCGCTACGTAACATGTTCGTCGCCCGGATGTGTCGAAGTAGTATGAGAAGTCGCCGGGATTATCGTCGGGTAGCAGGATGGGCTTGAAGGGAGCAGAGAAGTCGGAGAGGTAGAGCCAATTCCAAGCTGTCACCAGCGTGTTCTCCGTTTTGATGTCGCCGTGGTAAATATCTCGAGCATGGCAGTCGCGCAGAGCGCACAACAGCTGGAAAGCAAGCCATTTCTTCTCGATATCCTCCAGGAATGGACGGGTGCTCATGCGATCGTAAAGGGAGTTGTAGAGGAACTGTCGGACGAGGTAGCCGTTCGTTTCGGTCTCGACGATGCGGTGGAAGCCCAGTGCGTTTGGCACGTCAACCAGAGCGCTGCGTTGCTCTTGAGAGAATCAGTCACATGTTCAACGATTCGGAAAGCAGGCGACTGGCTCACCCTCTATGTCGCGTTTGTACTTCCCCAGAGGCATCGGAGTATACGGCTTTACCAGTACTTTGACCAGAGCGACTCCATCATGATGCCTCGCGCGTATGCTTTTCATGAAGCGCGCATTCCCGATGCTCTTCTCGTACACTAGATCAGAGAGCTCGGGTATATCGATGCCCGCAGAGCCCGCGGAGGGCGTCGCCAGAGAGAAGCCTTGGCCCATGGCGGGCAGCGATAGCTCGGTTGCTCAGGAAGCTATGCAATTACTGGGTCGGCGTGGTGGGGAGCGGTCATGTTGGGAAAGCTAGGTTGTGAGGAGCAGTCATTTGACTCAAAGGTGACTGTGTATGAGAGACTCTGCCCGAGGTAGAGGTCTTGGGCGTCGTAAAGAGTGCTGGTGAAGATGCCTATTAGCAGTGATGCAATCACGAGTGCGGTTAGGTCACCATCCCCCAGTCTAAGCAAGGTACCTGCCGCGGCGGGACGCAGGCCGTCCACTTAAGCAATCAGTACGGATACCTTCTGTACCTTGCGTGGAACATCAGCAACCCGCTGTCTTTAACGTCCGCACCGTATACCCGTAGGCAAGTGAAAACTTGGTCCGTGCTCTAACCCCTGTCGACATGCCTCCTACAGGTATTCCATACATAGGCACGTGATAGGTAGGTAGGAAGGTTGAGCTCAATACCAGATACGAAGGTAATTAGACGGCAGCTTACAGAGCTTGATCTGCAAACTCTTATTAAAGCATACTGGTGATTCCATCTGCGTATATGCACGAATTGAAGTTTACCAGAGTATTTCTGTAAGGTAGAAACCACCTAATCTGGAGAAGGGCTCTCAAAGCTGAAGTATCAGCCCCCAGCGTCCCCAAAGTGCATTGCCCAACCGATTGGAGAACCGTTTCGGACGTTGATACCTATCCTCAACTTTGAAGCTTGAAGCTTGCGTAACCACATAGTTTTGAGCAACGTATTCATCTGAAACCATATCACTCCCTGGGTGAATAGTAATACCGTCCCAACCGCCAGCAGCTGATTCCCGCGAGAGGTGGGTTGCACACGGCGCATGTACCGTAACATTGATCGGAAACCCGCTGAACCAAGAAAAGGGGAAAGACATACATACATAACACAGGCTACGTGTACGCCAGGTGGCTCCCCAGCGAATCAACATGCAAGACGAGCAACCGACGATCGCCAAGTCGCACTCTAGCAATGCTGGATTGTACATGTCAAGATTCTCCCCGAAGCGGAAACCTCATCTATACGAACCGAAGAAACCAACCCGTCTATATACTTATAAAAAAAAAAAAAAAAAAACCACTCTGACGCTGCCGCAATGAGAACAAGAAAGCCAAAGGCCACCGACGCCGCCGGGAGATGACCCGGCCGTCTCGGCATTCCATATCGCTAACAAAAACTAACTATCGCACCTATCTGCACAAGATGAGGAAAATCAGGTCTCGGAACAAGCCCCTCCTCTTCGGAGGAACATGTCGAGATTGGAAAGAATAGCCCGCCGATGTTATGCATAAGCGGAACCCTTTCAAACAACGACAAGCTGCTTGCTCGACCATCAAGCCCAAACACATAACCCCCTTAAAACCCAGGGTCTTCCCTCCAAATAATTTGCTTTTCCTTCATTACCCTCCAAACTGCGCAGTTCGAAGCCAGGCAGAGGGGGAAAGAGAGAGTCAAGTCTCTCCATCAAAAGTGGATGACTTGGTAGATAAAGTTCATCTGAAGAGCTTCGCCATGCCTACGATCCCCATGCCAGCAGTGTCAAGGCCTACGTCTTCGAGTCTCATAACCCCCAAGCTATCTTTCCAGCCCCAGCCTCACCGCCAGATTCCGATTGCGCAACCCCTTTCGTCGTGTAAGTATTTCTTGCCCAGCTTATTTCGCGATGTTATTGCTCTTGATTCAGGGACTCTCCCGACGGAGCACAAGCTGAAAGAAGCTGCTTGTGCCCGCGTGACCCCAAGAGTTTCAGCTCCCGATGCGGATGAAACTACTGAGGGTAGCATGAGCGGCACAAATACCACATTGTCACATCTGCCTCACAATCGTAAGCTACAGCGAGATGCATCATCGGTGTGAGAGAACTCTCTTTGGTATTTGAGCTAAGTAAATTGAGCGGCTACCCAGTAAGTTACAGGAGGGAGCCAAAGTAATATCGTCATGCCAAGTGTAGGAGGATAGGTTTCGCGCCGCCACGGCCGACGATTAAGACGAAATCTAATTCACCTCCTCAGAGTCACCCATTCCAGCTTCGTTGTCGTCCTCGCCTTTCTCCAGTCAATCAACGATTATTGACTTGCCAGCGGGACGACCAGATGGCACCAAGGACCACAAAACGGACGTCTCCGCAGCCGAAGGAAGGCTCAGCTCTTCTGCCCAAAAGTCTACCATTAGGTTTGTCGCATAGGCCCTCCGCGACCCCTTACTACTCCCCAAACATCAGTACCTCGTCACCGCACCATGGGTATATAACTCGATTGTTCGAAATGAAAGGGGAGGGCGCATTGCGTGCGTGGTCATCATAAAAATTAAGATCGCGTATCTTCATCTCGTCAGAGCAACTCGCATCGTATGCTGGAGTTGGTCTCACAAGCCTCCGAGGGGTCATCATGATTCGAAGCGATGCCGCGTTGAAGAAGAAAGTTTCGTTCGTTCGTCTAGGATTGATGACATTAGGCGGGTCGTCGCAGAAATGTGGTTATTTCGTGTCTATATGCAGAAAACCAAGGGAGTCAAGTAAACGGCGGCTGGTGGAAACGTTAAGCACGTCTCATTAGGAGTCGCTGGTCAATGTCGCCGAAAGGGAATTTTGACCTCTGTGATGCCGAAGTCAATACTAGTTCGATGTGTCAACGCCGTAGCCCATGCTGGAAAGACAGCTATTTTCGTTTGGGTGTGGGCAAAACTCAGTAAGCTGATTTTGCATTTCATGAAAAGGATGAGTGTCCTTGGTGAGCGCTGGACCCTTCGGTCGAGACATCTCCCTCGATGGTTTTCCTCCAGTGTTCTGGCAAGCAGACGCAAACGAGGGGGAATGCTTTGATCTCGCCGCTGACAGGCGGCGAGTTGTCTTGGTGGCGGCCGGAGGTGTTAGAAACACCGCTGTCCCGTTGAGCTTGTCGTCGAGCTTCCCATTCATCGGCACGTTCATCCATCAGAATGCCCGTCGCCCAGCCGTCATCCCATATTCCCACAATCTTGAGCATGTCACCTCGCTCGAGCGTAAACTCATCGGGTGCGCGGGGTTGGTAGGCCCAGAGGGTAGCGACTCTATCACCAGGGTGGATGTCGTCTTGAGAGTAGTAATCCTTGAAAAAAGGCAGCTGCTCCGACTGTTGGCTGGCCATACCTTGTGGAGACGACATTCCGGCACTCGTTGGCGATTGAGGATCCGCAAGAACTGAGCTACTGGACAGAGAACCAGTCCTCCTGATGTTAGTGGGAGGGGGTCGCAGCACGCCGGCCCTGGATTCGGACTCGGGACTGTCTCCAAATTCGGATGAGGACGGGTCATCACCTCTGGGCCTCCTGCCCGTCATGTATCCTGCTGCTCCTCCAGCGGCGGCGGCCATGAGGGGCCCGCTGTTGCGACTCGGCGGAACAGGAGCCGGGTCTGATGCGCTCTCCAAAGCTGACATCCGGGCGATTCGGCCACCGGGCAAGACTTCGTATCCACTCGTGGTCTGGGCCGGTGCTATCTTAACCGTAGACGGTCCTTGCCTAGAGGGTGACGGTTGGTTGAATACACTGCCCTTTTGGCTTCCACGTCTTCTTCTCTTTGCGAGCAAGATACATGCGAATATGAGCCCGGCAAGCAACAGGGCACCGATCACGCTGCCGATTACAATACCGGCGATGGCACCGCCAGATAACCCTTTGGCTGCGGCTGCCGTGCTCGAGGGTGTCGGGGTCGCCGTCGCCGTTGGGGGTGCGAAGGTCATAGTAGGAAAAATGGAGGGTAGAGTGACTCCGGCGCATCGCTGGTCGATGTTCGAGTTGTAGCAGCACGTGTCAGTAGAGTTAATACCACCAGATGCGCAATAGGAGCACAATCCCACGGTGCTGTTGCCGTATCCGCAGTTCTCCTTTTCGTTCGCGATGCCTTGGATGCAATTGGATGATGATAGAGAGCCGGCAGGCAGAGCGCAGTTGGTGAAGTCTGCTCGGATTTGATTCATGAGATTACTGCCAGGGTTACCACAGAGACTGCTGTCTGAGGTGAGCAGCGCCTCGCTCTGTGCGAATTCGGCCTATGGGTCACGTTAGCAGCCGCTGGAAGCACAGTTCAACGAGTCACCTACACAAGTGTCGGCGCACACTGGTCGTGAGTTGGATGCTGTCAGGTTGCATGCGTCTACCGAGTTTTGGACAATTGAGTTGCAGACAACTGTGGCTGTGAAACGTGCATATAGCTCGTCCGGGTTGGTGAGATTGACATTGCTACAGCCAAGTAATGTTTGGTATCTGGTGAGGCATGAGCAAAAAGCACTTGAGAAATTGACGAGATGAGCTCACTTCTCCCGCACGTAGGTTGTCTGAAGATAAGATGCCATCTGCTGATCAAATGTTTCCCTGTTGGACACATACTGAAGGAAGGGGCTATCGAGGATGGTCAGTGTGAAATTACGACGGGCGGTGATGGCACATCAACATACAAAATCCCCGCCACAAAGCCTGTTGTCGAAACGGATGCTGACTGAAAAGCAGAACATGTCGTCGATCCCTGTAGAGAGACACAGTTTGACTGCGCCGAGACCACTGCCGAGGACAGCACTGACAAGAGTGCTGCTCTCACTGTTTGACCCATCACTCGATCTCTGCCCGTAGGCTTTCCTTTGCCGGTGGTTGAGATTGCCGTCGCTTGAATGGTGGTCGCCAACTTGGAAGGCTTGGGGAGAAGTTGTTGATCAGAGAAGGATGCAGTTCATGACTATCTTCCCAATATCTCACAGATCGTCGTCCCGTAGGGTTTTCTTGGCAGCCCGGACGGGAGATTGTCGCGGATGTTTGGCAGCTAAAGTAAAGAGTGCTTGTGACTCTGAGAGATGCTTGACGAGTAATAGTCGTAACCAAAAAGAATTCGCGCGAGCATTCAGTTGGGTTGTAGGGAGACCGAGTCGTGTTTACGGAGCGATTATTGTCGTCGGGAAGCCAAACCAGGCGAAAGAGAGTTGATCAACTGTTGTCAATTGAGGAAAGAGCGTCAGGCGGGGACCGAGGAAGGTCAGAGGTTGTTGGATGCCCGGGTAATTGGGTCGCGATTAACGTTTTGACATGGAAGCCGGATGTGGTTTCGTCGCAGGAAGGAGGATGACGGCAGTTTGACCGGATGTTTAGAACTAGGTATTCGGAGAACTGCAAGCTATGTCGGTAGGCAGCGTGAGATAAGAGGCTGAACGAGGGTAAGTAAGTGAAGGCGAACAAAGACAAATTGGCGAAATTCGGGTAGGAATACAATTAGGAGGATGCAGTTAATATCCAAGTTGGTCAGGAAATTCGACGTGTCACGGTCCGGCTCGTCGAGGCGAGAGAAGAAGGGAAAGACGATGGTGTTGTTTTGGGGCGGGACGAAGCTCGCAACCACACAAACACACAGATTCACGCGCGGGAGGGAAAGGGAAGGGGAGACAAGAGTCAGGGACCCTGAGGAGAAAAGGGAAAAAAATTGGGAGGCAGTGAGTGAGCAGCGAGCAGCGCAAGGGACATGGGCACTTGGGCACAGCCGATTATCAGAGTGCGGTGGAAGGTACCTTCCCATGGTTCCTTCCCTCAGGTTCACCCTGGGCCGGGACCTGGACAGTGGACCACGAACCAGGCCTGAAAGGCGACGGCACGCCGCGGGAAGGTGCAACTACTTTAGTGAGAGGTTTGGAGGTGAGGTGTGGACTTTCCAGTCTTCTCTGGTAAGGATGGAAGTTCTTTCTGGACGCGGACTGGGGCATATTATGGACATGGGACATGGGTGCACTGCAAGGAGGTTGGGGCCCTGCCTTCTTTGGGTTCTTGGGAAGCCCGAGAAAAGGAAAGAGCGCACCACTGATTGTGCTAAGGTCGCCCAAAAAAAAAGTTGCCCACCTCACGGCCAGTGACCTGCTACTACCTAGCTAGAAAGCCATCCGTGGCGCCGCGCGACTTTCTCTCCAATGAGAATGGGCGACTACCAGAGAACCCGTCAGCTGTGGACGCTATGAGTGGCTGCGCTACCGGAGAGGCTACTCCAGTCCGATCCACGTCTGCGTGGGCAACCGCTGGGAAACTAACTACCTGTACGGATAACCGAGAAGGTAAAGAAAGTTGACGGTAGGAACAAAAGGTACGTACTGGGAACCCCCCCCCCCCCGTGCCTGGCAACGTACCAGCTACCCCTGCTTTCACGAGAAGCAACAGCCACCGGAATTGTCAGAAACAGGCAAGGCGCCTTGATCATTCAAAATTGGTGGAGCAGGGTAGGCTGGCAGCCACTACGAGCTGGCAGGGGGTCTCAGGGTCTCCCCTCGTCGGCCATGAATCAAACTGCCAACACTTTTCCGATTCACTCCTTGATGCTTCCCCAGGTCCAATCCTCTCTTATCGTCGGTTTCTACTCCGTTTCCTCCCCATTCTCATCCGTCCCCTCCGTTGATACCTTATCCCATTTGCATAAACCACAATAAACCCCTTCATCACAGTGATGGTCACTAGCAGAAGCTTCCCCCTTTCAAGGACGTCGTAGACCAGGCCCATGGTTCGGTTCGACGACTTATTAACCTCAGGGCTGTCAGCTTTGTTTTATCATCTGCTCGGGGCTTTTCCTAATGTCCCGTCCCGAGCACTTGGATTCTAAGCGCCACGACACCGGTAGATCCTACATCTTGAGAGACGGGAAGGCCGTTGATCAGCTACCGTTTCTTCCGCGCTCGTTTTCATTTTCTCTAGTTCGCTCTCTTCTTCCGAGTCACCCAACCATCCGTTCTATTTTCGGCCCCCGCTGCTCACGTCCGCGTTGTATCCATGGCGTCACGACGCCAGTGTACTGACAAAGTGGGCAACAAAAACAAACACCAAGCATGGAGATGAAGACTGGGAATATGGGCTGAAAGGCTTCTATTATGGAGGGACCATCCCTCTCCCCCCGGGCTTGCCAGGTCAGTGCGGCCATGGCGGGGTCAGCAAAATAAACACGTCGTTGTTGATCAGAGTACACCGTCTTCCTTGTCGAAGCTTTATCACGATGGATGGCTCGTTCGTGTCGCCCACTGCCATCCTCTCTTGGATGATGGCTGTAGGAGGAGGTTATGCCAAATCACTCCGCACGTCAACAACAAGAATGAAGAAACTCATCAACTGCAAACACTCTTGGCAGCTTTGGCAAGGGAGAGCCATGTCTCGAGATACCATATGCCGATACACACTTGTTAGCAGACTGTCTCACGGCTATCATCTCGTGTTTCAATCCACCACGTCCTAGACACCCACTTCCTCAACCTCTTCGAGAGACATTACAGCCAGTACACGCCGTCCAAGTCGTTTCCTCTCATCCATCCGTTGTGATATTGCTGCATTTTCTGGGGTACGACCGAGACCCTCCCCGCCTGAACACGGTTCACAAGACGGTCCACCAAAGAACGATCAATTGAGAAGTGGACAGCAACTTGTGCATGGCAACTGGCCTTCAGTGTGGCTTTCTCACCATCAGGCTTGTGCAGGTACATGTGTCCGCAGAGTCACACTGCAGTAGCGCAGCTGCTGGCGTATCAGACTGATCCCAGACTGCAATTATGGCATCCAACTTCCACAGGTTTAATCATCGACCCTGAGATTTCGACGTTTATCTCAAAAATGTGTGCCAGCAATTAAGAGATGCTGAAATTGTGTTATATATGGATACGCAACACGGGGTACTTGGCCCTTGTGAGTGGGCTTGTGAGAGACAGGAGGAGGCGCAGAGGTGCATCCAACTTCCAACAAGACGATGACGCGAGCTGTCAAACGGCCGTGTTCCATCATCGTCGGCCTGAAAAAATACGCCCAGAAGCTCAAGGAGCATAAACATGATACTCATTCAGTGAAGAAACATCAAACATCCACAAAGTGCCGAATAGACTCGAGGGGCAGCCAAGGCGGTTGACAGAGCGGAGCAATAGGCGAAATTACTACGACTTCACGCGTGTCTCAAACCCAGCAGCACCATGCTCTGATTGGTGAGGTTCACCATGCTTCAGGATTGCAACAGGGATTGCGAACAGAGTGGAGGAAGGGCAGCGCAATCCCCACGCTCCCTGACCCAGAAGCCACGTCGGCTACTGTGCTACTGGCGACAACAGCGTTTGCGAAATGAAAGATGGCCCCAGCGCTGGCTTTACCCTGCGTGGCACGGACAAGGCCTAGCCACTTCGTCGGATTATTCACAGGGAATCAAGGATGACCGCGCCGTTCGGACGATGTGCCCAATGACAGCTCGCCTCCGGACAAGCTCCATCATATCTCAAGAAGTCACAAGTCAGGAACTATGTATTCTGTGTGTGAGTACCTCGGCGGAGCGAAATGTTCAAAACCCAAGTCCAACGACAATGCCGCTCATCATCAAGACGCACCGGCAGGTGATGCGGGCAATTGTGGACCAATGTTTCGGTGGTTTGCTCACCACGCGGCCAGCCGCTCCCGCTGTCATGGAGAGCTCATTCAACCCTGAATTCAAGCACGTGCGATAATCATCAGACAAAAATAGAATTGGCGTTGAATGAGCGAGAAGCATCGCAAATCGTCGAGCTTTGGGATCTCCAAATCCTCGTCCCATGGACCCATTTTCACTGCCAATCGCCTGACGCATCTCACCTCAGCCGGCCATGGAACAGCTCGGATCCGAGGCTGAATCCTGATTTTGGATAAGTATGCAGAAAGTCTATCTTCAATGCGAACGTCTCGCGGCTGTCGAAAACGGCAGCCTTGGGTGTACGTGGGAATCTCCTCGTCTTTTTCCCTCAGCATTCGTGTATTTGGCTGGGTCGTAGTTCAATCGGCCGCGATAACTCCAGATATTTGCCTCAGTTCGGACCGCTCTTTCTTGTCTTGAGACGCTGGCGTCATGCAAATATGGATTACCTTGCACGTCGTGGTAGGTAGAAGCATCCGAGCGTGCATGTTGCCGCTGAATCTGAGGCTGGAACGCCCTACCATTGGCTTTGCGTCGGTGGTGTCGTCGAGAGCTAGCAGCCACTAGGTTTTTCTTCTTGAAATCCGTGGCATGCATTGTCGAAGTACCCAAATATGAACGTACTCAACAAAGATCAACAAAGAGGATTTCTAACTTGAGACCGTTGCTCACTACGCTACAGCATACGAAGGCACTCGGGCGACTGAGTATCTGTCAAGTACTCGGTACACCGTACAACCCTCACTGCCTGGTCAAAGAAAGAACAATTGGAAGTAAAACGCCCCGCCGCTGAGAGTTGAGAAACGGCGGCCGTCGGCAACTACTCGTGGGGAAGTGTTTGAGAAACGACAAGCACTGGAAGTCTTCTTCGAGGACTGCAGCCTAGCCGTTATTGCTCTTTGTGCGGCGAAACGGTGGTGTCACATTGGCGGACACAATGCGGCTGGCACGGAATCAAACAGGCATCCACACACAGTTGCCGCTAGATCGTGACAACTTCATGCGAGTCAAATACCCGCATGATACTACCTCGGATTCATCACTAGGGAGATATTGTTCTCATGCTTCGCTTGATTGGCTTCTGATCCTAGCAAGCTTTGGCATCGCTCTCGAATCGGCCAAGAATTCCTGGACGATCCAAGGTTCGAATGTTCAAGTTGTCAACGACATTGCGTTAACATGCTTCTCGTTCGAATGTCGGTGTGCAGTACAGCAACGCGATTTTTACGCAATGCCGGTATGTGTCGACACGTTCTAAGTAAGGTAACAGCTGTTTTGCGATTAGTGCGATACTATCAGGAGATTCTCGACGTCGCTTTGCATTCTCCAAACGGAACGTCTGCTAAAGGCCCCTCGTTATCCGTTAAGACGTTTCCATAGCGTTACTGTTTGTCTTTTACATGTCTGGCTTGATACGAGCAGTATGCCAATACTGGCCGTGTTCTCAAGCAATATTCTCAAGCCCAACAGTCGTGTTTGGGTTCAAACTCAGAACCAGTACCAGCAGCGGTTCGAATTCTCTCCTAAGATACCAACCTTTCCAGAAAACCCCCTAAATGGGAAGCCCCGGTCCATTATTGCGTGTTAGGTTAGAAAACGAAATTGACCGATTTTACGCTTCATCGAAGTTTGGGGATCAGCTGTGCATGACTGGACTCGGGACGCTCAACAACGAGAGCCTTGGACAAAAATGCTTCAGCGCCTAATTCATTGACTCGACGTGGTGAAAATAATAATGTTAGGGTATATGTGAGTTTCGACGGCTTTCAAACAAATGCTCTTCATGTATCGTCACCTGGCCTTCTAACAAGCCTTCTAACAAGCCATAGGGACGTTTACCATCGATGCCCTCGTGAGAGGCTTCATTTCGTTGCTTGGATGCGCATAGACGGAACTCGGAACACACCTTGGCGACAACTAAAAACACCAAGAAGCCAAACTATGTTACATTCCTTCTTCGAAAGGATGATGAGATGTGGTTTATCAGAAGCTATGCCATTTACAAGGTGGATATACACGAATCACAACATAAGCCTCAACCGCCAGGCTTACCTTTGTCCAATTCCCAAGCAATCCATTGCCCAGAATCTCTGGATTCAACGCAGATCATGAAGCGTAATTCATGAGCCGTCATTCCCGATAACTCTCTACTACAGAAGTCGAAGCCTGGTCAGAATGGTTCTTTGCCTCCAAGGTCCGTGAGCGTGGCTCCCCAGCCATCGACATCGCTCGCTGCGAACTAACGGCGGCGCACGTCCAAGAGGGATGCGGACCACCGACGTCGACTGTCCCAGGTGACCGGCAAGGACCGATGGGAAACATGTTTCTGCACCGCAGGCTTACTGTGCAATGACATGCCCCTTTGTCTTCCCCGATCTCCAGTTGCCGGCGATGAGATGGGGGCAGCCAGCACCTACAGACTTGCAGTAGTTCGACTGGGGCTGAGGCGTCTCGCAAGTTTGCGACTTGCGCGTGCTCTTTCTCCGTCCTCGAGGATCCGAGTCTGCAGAGATCTTGCGTGCCGCGTGCCGTGTGACGCCGCAAGCATGGTGTAGATGCCATTCTCTCGGGAGGTAAAGCTCTGCTTCCCAGGCTCGCTGTTCGCTTCTCGGGCCTATCCTCCGTCTTCAGACATATCTGAGCTACAGGAAGTGAAATTTGTGGAAGAGATCGTTTGGTATAGACGAGGAGAGTATGCGTTCAAGAGGCAATATGCTGTCATCTTGTTTCTTTCGAACGCCATTCTATCTATGAGACGAACTGCCACCACTCATCGCCCTCGCCTTTTCTTCGAGAACACCGCAAAAGCCGCACAAACTCAGCAGTAAGAGCCAATCCGACCCTCGCCTCTCCCTCAGCTCTCAGCTCTTGCCACAGGCTGAAACCCGCATCTGCATTTGCCTCGCCTCGTCCGCCCTCCCTCTCCCAAGTCCGTGCCGAGTAGATCCAGAGACCAACGCACCCTTCGCCGACGCTAGGCAAGAACGCATCGAAGCTCAGACGAACATTTCTCAGCGGCACACGATGATAAGAATTGCCAACCCCGGTCTCTTCCAAGAACTATCCTACGCAATGAAGGAATACTTCCTTCGGGGTTGGCTTTTACGTTGCTTGAGACCCTCCCCCTAGCATGAGCATGAGCACTGGCTGCCAAGCGTCCCACTCTCCAGCTCGTTCAGCCTCCTCCCCGGTTGTAGCTGTGTTGCAAGTACTGCTTGGCTTGCCAGCAGCTTCAGGCTTGTGAATAGCTACACTATCGAAGGCCTGGTTAGAATGGCGGCAATTGTGCCCATTGGGGTCCCGGTTCGTTAACCCCCTATCTCCCCTTCTTCCACATTGCAAGAGAAACCTCATAGCTAACATCGTGAACCCCTTCCGCCATCAGCTGCCTCTCTATGGACCTCCTTACCCCCCACAAGTGGCCGCCCTGGGGCTTATCCCAGACGTGAGGGTAGATGTCCCAATCTGCATCATCCTCATCATCTTCTTCTTTGCGGGCGCCCTTCTCAATGGGGCAATATTCGTCCGCAACATGGGCCGCGGTCACAAGTTCCTCCCCTCGGCCGTCCTCGTCAGCTTCTGCCTCATCCGCATCATCGCCCTCTCCCTCCGCATCGCCTGGGCCACCCAGCCCTGGAACGTCTCGCTCAACATCGCGGCATCCGTCTTCGCTGCTGCCGGCGTCGTCCTCCTCTTCATCCTCAATCTCCTCTTCACCCACCGCCTCCTCCGCGGCCTCCACCCGAACCTCGGCTGGCTGCCCGCCGTCAACATCTTCTTCCTGTTCTGCTACTTCCTCATCTTCGTCTGCCTCGTCTCCGCCATCACCGCCCTCGTCGTTAGCTTCTACACCCTCGATCCCGTGAGCCTCTACGACTGTCGCAGGGTCCAGCTCTTCACCTCCACGACCCTCACCATTATCGCCTTCCTTCCCATCCCCATCCTCCTGTTTGCCGCCTTCTACCCGGGCCTCCGCCGCCCCGAGCCCTTCGGATATGGCTCCCTAACGACGAAGATCATCCTCGTCCTCACCGCCGCAACCCTCATGACCATTGGCGCCGCCTATCGCTGCGGTGTCAACTACGCCGTGCGCCCCGTCCTCTTCCCCGGCTGGTGGCACCACAAGGCCTGCTACTACATCTTCAACTACGACCTCGAGCTCGTCGTCATCTTCCTCTACGCTCTCATGCGCTTCGACCTCCGCTTCCACGTCCCCGATGGCGCCCGCAAGCCGGGCCACTACGCCAAGGGCCAGCACGCCTACAAACGCGTCAGCACCCTCACCGTGCGTGAGAGATTCGGAGGCGGCAGAAGCGGTGGCCACGGCGTCGTCGCCTTCTCCAAACGAACCACTACGCGCAGACGAGCCTCTTCTCGCACCGAGTACTTCACGCCTAGCGGCTACCTGGCTACCGACTACACCCGGAGCAGCTACCTGACGGGATCCGGAGAGACCCGAAGCGGTTACTTCAGCGGGACGCGCTCGTCGGGAAGCAGTCGGTCCGAGGAGATTAGCAACGAGATCAACGTAGGTATAGGCGCGGGTGGCAGAACGAGAGAGGTCTTCCGTGAGCGCGTGGTGTACGACAAGAAAATAAGGGGTCGACCGACGAGGAGGAAAACGAGCGAGGAGAGGAGACGAAGTCATGAACGTCGGCGTAGACGGCGTAGGAGGTCAAAATACTGAACGTCAAGACGCAACGTTACGCCCGACACACGAATCAGGAAAGATAATGTATGATGATGACGATGCATATTTTGGGGGTTCTGGATACGGGCCTACAGGCGCAACGCGATCATTTATCATGTGCTTGAGAGTAGCTCGGAAGCTCACCTCCGAGGCATTTAGTCCGCGACTTTGTCGCAACGAACGAGAATCAAGTCAGCGTGGAAAATGGAAATTGGAACATCAGCTTGTCATTAACATCAACACCTTCTTTGTTGCCGGCGGTCTATGATGAGTATCTAACGAGATGACAGAGGAAAGCGTCCAGGATACACCAGGAACCTTAATGCTAAGGAACTCTCGCGCTAACAATCGAGCGTCCTGGGCCATTCTGTTTCTCTCTCGCTCTATATCATGTTGCTCAACGCAGGATCTCTCTTTCTTGGGAGTACATTGGTTCTCTTGGCTTTTGTTGTAATCTTACAAGATTAGACGCCCCCAAAACACCAATGCAAGTTGAGCATGCACGCCCCCATGTCTTCGAATTCCGTCCATGGATGGCATCCAGATCAATCTGGATCATGGACGATAAGGGTATCGGATGGATGGATCAGAGGAAGTAGTCGGGTGTGCGTCTCGAGACCATCGGCTCGCCAGCTCTCGGGCAAGGATCAAATTGCAGGCTGCGCATGATTAGTTTACCAACTTCAATAAGATGGTGGTGAGAAGCGGGCACTTACAAAGTGTACTTGAGATGTTCGTCGATTTCCATGATCGCCGCTTGGTTACCGCATCTGTAACAATAGTTGGGTGCTGCCTTGGTTAGCCGTGATTGCCCACTCCACCACGTTAAGGAGCTTAGCTCACCAGAGAAGATCGTAACGACATTCCTGTCTTGAGACCAGTTGTAGCCCTCCATCACAAGCTGATGGGCACGCGCAATAAGCGTCAGGCCGTTATTATGGTTGAAAGCCTCGGAGATGTCCTGACCGAACGTATAACCGGCACCACGGGGTGATATCCCCCAGCCGCAGCGGTCATCCGGGTCGGACCAAAGAAGGTCGCACATCGGGCCTTCGTGGGGAACTTCCTGGATTCTGTCGAGAGCCCTAATATTGTCCAGGGTATCGATGCTGGGGGACAGACCACCGTGCAAACAGAAGATCTGGTTGTCGATGAGGGCGGTAAGGGGGAGGTAATCGAAGAGATCGGTGAAGTACTTCCAGACATTGGCGTTGCCGTATTTTCTGAGACATTCGTCGTAGAAGCCGTACACTTGGGTGATTTGGCGAGACTCGTGATTGCCACGAAGGATGGTGATGCGCTGGGGGTATCGAATCTTTAGGGCGACGAGGAGAGTCACGGTCTCGACGGAATAGTAGCCACGGTCGACGTAGTCACCTAACAGGGTAAGCGTCTACCCAAGAGGATGTGAGCAGATAACATGGTCAACATACCCATGAATAGGTAGTTGGTGTCGGGGTTGGGGCCGCCAATCTTGAACAACTCCATGAGATCGTGAAATTGGCCGTGGATATCACCGCACACTGTCACCGGGCATTTCTGAACGAGGGGAGTCAGCTGGAACCGCTTGCCCTGCGATCGGGGGCACATACGACTGGCTGCACGTTGGATTCGTCCTGCAAGACTTCCCGCGCCTGGTGATGGATGTTAGCGAGGCGTCCCCAGGGGTCACGCGAGAGGGGTTGTTCGAGATGAGGGGGGACCAAATGGCGAACCGCAGCTATGACGACAGCGAGTGGGAAACGCGCATCGCGACTGTCAACTTTGCTGGCGACAGAAGACTGACCTTCTCGCAGAGTCTCTGGACATCGGCCTCGACGAGCTGCTTGCAGCTCATGAGGCTCTCGATCCAGCCATCTAGAGTAGGGATCGTGGTGGGCTCCAGGTTCTGGGTGGACGGCAGATCGGCAGGGACACGGCCGACGTCCTCCATGTTCGTATCCATGCTGAAATTCGTCTAATCGATTGAAATGCTTGGTATTTTGATAGATGGCCCGGTCGCACAAGGCAAGGGCGTGAGGAGCAAAAGGGACAGCGTCGTCGTGGTCGTCGATTTGGGTAAAGGATGACGTTGTTTTCAGCACCTGTCGCGGTATTCAGTTTGGCACAGCACCTCAATCCTAGCGTGGGGCTGGCGGCGAATCGTCAAGGGCGGTCAGAGCTTCGTCCGAGGCCAGATCAGGAGGACGAGATCGAGTATTTTGCGCGAGGGAGGGAGACACAGCGTGAGAAGCGTTCGCGCAGGGTGGGGTTGGAAGGGATTATGTTCTCTGGATGCTGTGATGAGGGCGGGAAGACGTTGACGTTGGGCACTGGGGATTTTTGCGATGTGACAGGTGGTGCTCTACCTAGTACTGGGTGCAGGTGCAGGTGCGTCGAGCGTGGTGCTGGTTGCAGCAAGACTAGGTAGCAGACCGGGGCAGGAGGGGATGGGAGATACACCACCACATGGGACTTTCCTGGGCTTAGGTAGGCAAGATACACACCCAAACCATGAGGCAGTGGACAAATGCCTCCCATTGGGTGACAGCTGCTGGGTTAGACTCGCTTAATCCGATACAGTTCACTAACGTTAGTACGCCTCGTCATCTTCGAGGGCACCCATTTGATGCATCAACCCCGGGCCCCGGCATGAGGGTAGGTACCTAGGTAGCGCCTAAGCAGGAAAAGCACCTTGATTTTTGAGCCACCCATGAATATATTAAGCATCATGTAATCGATCTCACGAAACTCAGATTGATATGGCTGCCTTTGTCAAATTGGCTGCTCTCTCATATTCTCATCTTCGGATTTCGACATATGTCATTTGTCTTGTAATTACCCATTTCCTTAATTAGGTAACAAACGCCGTCGCAAGTAAACAGGCCAGGGGCCAAGCCAGCCTCAAGTGGCCCAAAATACCTGTGCACATGCCGGTGGCCGCGGCACTTCCGTCACATCATCTTCATTGTCTCGGTATCATTTGCTTGACCGTAAAACAAACATAACCCGCGATCCTCAGCCCTTCCAGTCATTTCCCATCACCTTTACCATTACCCCAGGCTCGCCAACGCCGTCTCTGTCACGCTTCTTATAGACGTAACAGAGGCTCCGGTTCGCTCGGCGGATGCTAATTACGACAGCCCGAGACCAATGGGGCTGGTCACGCCCGACGGCTGCTCCAAATCACGTCCAACTAGTGTGCGGAAATCAAGCTGCACCTCGTTCAACATCTTTGCATGCTCATGGGTGCGCTCCATGCATTCATTCCAAACCTTGCCGCCGCGCTCTGTGCCACTGAGCTGCCGCGCCAGGATGCCGTTGAAAGTATCTACCTCTTCCTTGGCCCATTTGACGCAGGCGCTCATCATTGGCGGAGGAAAGCATGAGTGAAAGCAGCTCACGGTATTGCGGATCAGGGAGAAGTAAACAAACGAGAGCTCCCAGATGTACAAGTGCAAGTCACCCTGGAAGATGCACTGTCTGAGAGGAGGTCAGCCAAGTTCAAAAGAACGCGCAGGATCGCCAATCTCACCTGGATCGCTTCTGGATGATATCGTGTCTGGCTACCAGATAGGCCTCGCGAGCCCTGTCTTCGTAGCCAAGCCTGGCCAACCAACTGATGTTGCGCTTGTTCTTGGTAGGCGCCGTATGCGTCGTCTCGAGCTCGCGAATGATCATGCCCGCTAACTTGGCACATCTTTCTTCGACCTTGAAGCTGATGAAGTCCTGCGCCACCGCGTTGTTCTTCAGGCCCCGAGCGAGATTCTTCAGCTTCTCAACGCGGTCAACTGCCGGCTCAAAGCTCTGTAAGGCGATGTCAATGTCGAGTTCATCCATCTGGCTTTCAACCCATCGTAGGTTTTGCTGCTTTCCGTCCACGTCAATGAGCATGTCCTTGATGTCAGACAATGTTTCCAAAAGTTCTGTCTTCTGGAGTAGACCGGGGTCACGGGACGCAAAGTAGTTGATCGTCTCCTTGGCCTTGTTATTGGCCTCCAGTTCCGACTGTCGCTCTTTGCGTAATTCTTCCACTGCTTTGCGAATGTTGAGAAGTAAATTGTTCTTCTCCGTATCCTCTGGCTTTTCGGTTCGGTAGATGACGGATTCCTGGCCAACGCCTCTGACCATGACGGCATCTGCCAATTTGTTTCTCGTCGACGAGTTATCGCTTGACCCAGCCATATCAACGACCTCAATATCAAGCAGTGGCCAGCAACGATCAGCGACCAACTTCACCAGCGGGCCCTGAGCTTCGCGGGGCGGGACATCAGCCTTTCTCTTCTTGCGAGATGCAATGAGCAAATGGTCGCTTAGTAGGAATATCTGCATCGCTCGACGAGACTTGTACGTGGCGTTGTCCAGCTCAATCCAAGCTCCGGCGTTCTGGATGACATGGCGGCGAGCAGAATTGGGCAGGAACTTTTGGGAACCCTCGACATTCTTGTACAATGCCTGCATCTGCGAGTTCCAGAGGGCACTCCGGTCTGCAACCGAGCTTCGCTTATCCCTTTTGCTCAAGCCTGTTGACAGTTCGCCTCCGAGGCTTGAAGATTCATTATTTCCATTGTTTGAGGCCTGGCGGAGTGCTGTTGTGTTCAACTTGAGGTCCGTCATTAGATTCTTCAACGCTCGCATCTCTCCCTTGAGCTTCTCGGCTTCCTTGCTAATCTTGATGAATTGGGTACGGTTCTGCATGACGTTCTGTTGCAAATCTGCATTGGCCCGGCCCTTTAGACTGCGCAGGTTTTCTTCGAATTCACGGATCTGGTCCTCGTCCGCTTCGCTGAGCAATGTCGCAACATCTACAACCGGGTTAATTATATTCAATGAGCTAGGTGTGACCACAACTCACATTGATCTGGGACCAATCCGGGATCTCGCAGTGCTTTGATATCGATGACGGGCGCTGGTGCTGAGTTGCCTGCGCGGTTGGGAGGAGGTTGTGCTGCTCTGCGCTGGTGGGACTCGTACTTGTCGAGGGATGGCATAGACGGTACCGGCGGGTTATTGACGTCGAAGTCGTTCGGCAGGGTGTTAAACCGCGTAGAGTATCGTCGCTTTACCAAATCCGAGGTCTACACATTCTCTCGTCAGCTTCCGATGCCCCGAATTCACTCTCCATCTAGCCCTTGCTGGGAGTATGCTCACCTTTCCACCCCCCGCTTGCGGTGGCGGGCGAAGCCGAGGCTGTACCGGCGGAGGGCCTGCATCTGCCATCGGCCTTGAGCCGGGAGGCCGTACTGGGCCTGATACATCTTGTAGAATGGGTTCTGAGATCTGGCGAGGTGCACTAATCTGTGGACGGCCCTTTCGCTTTCCGCTTCTGAGTGAGATCTTGCTGCGTTCCCGATCCTCCGACATGGTAGGCGTTTGAATTAGTGTGACGTGCTGGAGTACACTATCTAGGAGCAATGAATGCGCATTGAATTCGATTATGTGTGAGTACAAAGGGCGGCGACAATGCCCCTTTGGTGAAGTCGCAGGTTGGGTCGGATCGATGTTGTTTCATGCACCGACCGTCGTCTGCGGAATGGGAAGCTGCCGTGCTGTGGTGGCCACGGAGAGGACTAGACCCCTTGCCTGTTAGACATTAAGATAGACTCGGAGTCGTCCTCTCTACGTAACCTGGAAGGCACCTCAACCCCCAGCGGGCAGCAGTGGCCTCCAGGTGGGTGCTGAGCTGTCGACTCAGTACGTACCTATCTCATCACTGTATCTGGTCTGTGCTTAGAGCCCCACTGCAGCGGCTGCTTGGGTGCTTGGCAAGAGAACGCGACCTGGGAACCGCCATGGTGCAGAGGCTAAAAAAATTGGTAGAGGAAGCTCCATCAATTGCCGATAGAGCTTCTTTCCTTCGATATTTACTCTGTCAACGAATACTCGCCAAGTGTCTCCCCCGGTCATTCAGCCATCCCCAACTCAAAAGGCGCAACATCGTGAACCTGAGCGCTCTCTTGTCAGCTCTCATCGCTACCATCAGCTCCGACTGCTGCAAACCGAAAGCCAAACCCCGTCCGCTCTTCCCCAATTTCCAGAAAAACATGTCCCAGACTTCGACGACGATAGTGACGGCATCAGTCGCCGCCGCCGTTACCGGCTTGGTTGGTGAGTCTGCCTCAACACCTCCTCGCACCTCAATAGCACTCTTTCTCTTTGCCAGTACTGGGATGGGATCGAGGAACCAGTGTAACAGGAGCTGTGTTTGCTAACGTTCGTCGCCAAAGCGTACGCCGCCTTCTTCGACTATCAGCGACGCAACAAGGCCGAGTTCCGGAGAGAACTGCGCCGAAACGAGCGCCGGCAGCACAAGGTTGAGAAGGAGTCGGCCCAGCAGGAGACCGTCCGCCAGAGGCAAGCCATCAAGGAGGCCGTCGATGAGGCCAAGGAGGAGGGCTTCCCTACCGATGTCGAGCAGAAGGAGGCATACTTCCTTCAACAGGTTTCCGAGGGAGAGACCCTCTCCGCAGACCGTCAGTCCAACCTCCACTCGAGAATAAATAGACGGGAGAAGGCGATATTTGTTTTTTGCTGACACTTGTTGATGTTATAGCCACGCGCGCCGTTGAAGCCGCGCTTGCGTTCTACAAGGGCCTCAAGGTCTACCCTACACCCGGTGACCTGATCGGCATCTACGACAAGACTGTTCCCAAGGTAAGAGACATACTTGCAAGCATGGTGGCTATCGTGGCATTCGAACCAGGGACTCACTCTCCATTTAGCCCGTTCTTGACGTCCTCGCCGAGATGATCGCTTACGACTCCTCTCTCAACATCGGCCAGTACCAGGGTGGCATCAACGCTGACCTTGGCGGCATGCCCACCGTCGGTCTGGACTAAAAGAACCTCGCCCGAACGTAGTAGCTCCCATCATAACGAGTTCCCCTCCACTCTCTCACATCCCCCGACCTGGACACATTCCGGCGCGCTCGCCCCCAAAAATTCTGCAGTCACTCCACCAATGGCGTGATGCTGCAATCCACCATCCATCGACACGTAATCCCCAGCATCTTGCGAGAAGAGAAAGGAGGAATTACGACTTTTTACTGTACAATACCTGGCCGGCTGGGGCTGTTTTGATAGAAGGTTTTGTAAGAGGAAAAAAACCATGTGTATATTGACTATCCTGGCAGGGACAAATAGGCAAGAGGATGAGGAAGATTCACGATATTCCACAATTCTATAATGCGTGTGCCTGGTTCCCTGAGAGCATGCCGCCAGCCCGTTTTTCTTTTTTTTCTGGTATTACTTGTGTCTAATACTTTAGACCTCAATTTTCCTGCCCTTCCTGTCAACTCTGTCATCTCTGGGGTCGAAACCGCCATTACCCCAGGTGGCCCATTCAGGGGTCGCCTCGCCCATGTAATCCTCCGGCTTCCAGTCTCCGTCGGGTCCCCGCTCCTCCAGAAGTTCAAAGAAGCGCTGGTAGTCGATTCGCGGGTGCCACTTCCCATCGACGTAGAATCGATCGCTCGCCAGCAGGATGCAGCAGCTGTGGGCGTGCTCCGCGGCGATGCCGTATTTGAGACCCTTTTCGTTGAGCCTCTTCTCTAGCGCCGTGACGAACTCCTGCACCTCCCAGTAGAAAGGGACGTTGGACATGCTTAGGCCGGCGTTGGACGCCGTCGAGGTGCCACAGTAGGTGACACCCTTGATCTCGACGAAGCAGGGCAGACCCTTCTCTACGAGCTGCGCATACCCCTCGACCTCGTCGTCGACGTTGAAGCCTTTGACCAGGGTCAGTCGGAAGACAGTGCGGTGCTTGAAGCGCTTCTCCCTGAGGATGTCGAGACACCGCTGGAAGCGCTCCCAAAAGTCTCGGTGCAGGGGGCGGTCGATCTTTCGGAGGGACTCCTTGTTCGACGCGTCGATGGACACATACAGCTGGGTCACGGCCTTGAGGGCGGCGAGTTGGTCGGGGTGTTGCGCATTGCAGACCAGGAAGGAGGAGATGCGCTCGGCGTGGAGCATGCCGAGAAACTCGTTGATATAGGGGTAGAAGATGGGCTCGCCGACGAGGGAGAGGGCGCAGTGCCGAATGCGCATGGCCTCGGCGAACCGCTCGGCGCGGACGCCGGGCACGCCGCGGAGCATCTTGATCTTTTTGTAGTGATTCGCCTTGACGCCGTCAAAAATGAGCTCGGGCGGGTCAACGACCCAGCGCCACGTCGTTCCTACAGGATTCGTGCCGTGACGCCAGCAGAAGACGCACTTGTTGGAGCACGACAGCGAGGGGGTCGTCTCCATGCACTGATGGGAATTGATGCCGTAGAAGGAGTACTTGTAGCAGGAGCCGCGGCCGCGGAGGGCGGACTTTGTCCAACGGCAGATCTTTACGCCCGAGTGCGAGCCGACGATGGAGTAGCCCTGCTTCGTGAGCGAGGCGTACGTAGGCGAGTTTTGGGGCACCATCTCCTTGGCGGCGTTGAGTGGCGCCTTCTTTGCGACCGTCTTGCCGTATGTCGTGAAGTCTACGGCAATGGGCGCCGCCGCCGTTGCTTTGGCTGCGGGACCATTCATGGCTGCGTCAGGATTGGAGCTCTTCATGATGCGCCCCAGGTCTTCGACGTCATCAATGTTTTTGCGGCTCTTGAGCTTCTCGGGCTTCACTTCAGAATCCTCAATCAAAAGCTCGTCGTCGTCCTCTGCCGCAGACTCGTCGTCGCTTTCTTCAGGGGCGCCGCTCCCGGGCAGCCCTTCTCCCAGGCTACCAGTCTTGGCCAGCATACCGAGAACGTCTACGACACCCTCGGACCACTCAGACAACCGCTCAGTGTAGTCCCTCTTAGTGTCGCCCATGCCGACGGGGAATGCTCTCTTCCGGCCCGTGAGCTTGGCCATCCACTTGTCGACCTCCTTGGCCTGGAAACAGAAACCATCCTCCTCTGTCGGCCAGCCCTCCCTGTCGCCGAATCCAAAGACGGAGTACCCGAGTAGCGAGGACAACGGGGCGGTATCGATTCGGAAGTCGTGGTGAGTCTCTTGGAGGTGCTCCAAGAAGGTGTCGTTGATCGTGTCGATGTTGTAGCTTGGCAGCAGGAATAGGTAGAAGAGGTCCGCGGGATCCTCTTCCGACTTGGGCGGGGTGATGAAATAGTCATCAAAGTCGACCTCGGCAAGGTCGAGCAACTCGGGGGCAGTGAATGAGCAGTCGGTACCTGCAGCTATCTTCTGTAGGCCATTTCCGAGGCGCTCTGCGTACTCCTTTGCGATCTTGGGCGTGTTTGCGGTGATGCTCGAGAAAAAGACGAGAGGCCTGACCTTGCGGACTGGCGCATCTCCCTTTGCCTCGCTGGAAGGGTTTCGCTTGACAATTCCACCCTTTATCCTTTTAGGTCCGTTCGGCTTTGGCGCATTCGGCTCGACAGTAGGGCTCGGTGGGCTCGGTTTTACATCCTTCTTTTCCTCCACAGGTTTCGTCTCGGGTTTCTCCCTGGTGTAGACTTTGGGCAGGGCCTTCAATTCGCTCTTCTCTTCCGTAGAATGGAGGTAGAATCGTAGAATTAGCAGTCCAAAAGCTGTGAACAAAATCACAGGTATGCGAACTTGCTGCCACACATCGTGGACGTCTGCGCGTAGATACAGAGTGAGCAGCTGAACGAGAAACAGGAGTGGCGGGAAACGGTAAGAAGAGTCAACTCACTGTTTAGTATGGACTTGAAGCCTATGGGCTCGTGGATGGAAGCCATTGTGCAGCGACGGAGCGCGGTGCTCGAGGACGAGCTATGCGCTGGTATTTCGTCACTTCAAGAAGCAAAAAGCGCGACGATTGTGGTTTTCTTCAAAGTTGCACACAACAGTGGCGGGGTGTGCGATATTGGCTTTTGACCAGTGGGTGTGAGCGCAATTGCAATACCTAATTATCTAAACTTTCCCAGCCGCTGACCGGGTGTTTGGTGGTGCCCCGCCAAAGAATTTTAGGCCTGGCCCTGCACCTCATCGACCCCGCCATTAGCGTCTTTGGGGCACCCAGTTGCTGACCATTGGCATTGAATGGCAGCAGGGGCATCTCGAGGCTGGTTACATTGTTTGTGACCAGAAGACCACCTAGGCATGACTAAGGTAAGCGCCCGCCTGGTGTCAAGAGAAGCTTTGAGCAAATCGAGGTCATGTCGCTTCCTCTCAAACTTTAGCTAGAATAACTTAACTTCAAGTAGATTGCCGCCAAACCATCGTACCCACGTTGTTGACGAATATACACAGCTCCAGATCACAGGGGAGCTTGGGGGATTCTTGATTCATAACCAACACCACCCGAGGTCCGATTTACGGAACCTGGCACTTGCAGAACATAACATTGAGATGCAGCTGATCATCGCTTTCATATCCATCAAAACAATTAGACTCTCCGATCCGATCCTGCTTGCGCTTGCTTGTCTCGTATGTCCTTCAGGCACGGTGCAAAGAATATTTCCCCAGAAATGGCCTGATGAACTGTTCTTAGCGCGACAAGCAACCAGAGGAAGCATACAGAGAGCGAGAAGACCTGGCAGATGAATCAGCAAAATTGTACAATGACCGACAGCAAGACGGGAGGACACAAACCATGGTCATGACTCTAAAAAAGGGGCTGTCCAGGTCCTGGGCCAGCATGCCGGTACAAGTCGCCAACACACCAAGCGGGAACGTGAAACCCCACCAGCCCATATTGAAAGGGATCTTCTGCATTGTAGCAAGACTGATGAGAGCAAACGACAGCCAAACGAGAGCGAAGCCCCACATGATGAGCGCCAGGAAGAGGCCAACAAAGTAGAGAATCTCTCCGCCGTGTATCGCCTCCGGAGCGGCCGTTCTCAAACCTGCCGCCTGAGGGAAAAGCTTGAGGGAAACCTTTCCAAGCTGCTGGATTCCGAAGCCGCCCTGGCCCAAAGGCCCGATGGGAAGGAACACAGAGACGATGGCCTCCTTTGGCGGGAGGCTGTGTATAGTCAGGCGGTGGAAGTACAGCGCAAGGACCATACCCGAGAAGCAGATCCCGATACCCCAGAGCACGTAGGATGCAATCAGGGTGGTGAATGCGTGATCTGGGTTCGAGAGAGCGTCGGCGACGATGCCGCCGGTCGAAGACGCAACTACGACGGGGACGATTGGGAGAAGACTTGCAGCTGTGACTGCCTGAAGTCCCGGGCGGTGTTGATGAATCCTTGGAGCGTAGTTGGTCAGCATCGAATGTCACGACTACGGTGGTGTAACTTACATGACAAAGGGCACCGAGATGCAAGTTGCCAATGACAGAGCGGCATCGAGCCACCAAAATGCCCATGCCCAACACACCACCCACTGGCCCCAGGCAGGTGCACATACGAATATCATCATGTTGATGATGGCTAGTGATGGAAATTAGTACATCATGTCATGCATTTAGACGCTTCCGTAACTAACTTGCAAACCCCATTGGGAAGCAGCCTAGGAACATGGACTGAGCAGGGTGTATGACCATGGCTTTCCAAATCTCAGGATATAGCGCGTACCGCAACGCCGTGATTATGGTGAAGACGGTAAAAAGAATAATGTTGAGAACGAAGAAGGCAACAGCGAGGCCGTGCGAGATCCATGGTGCGTTGTAAGGCAGGTTGTGAAGGAGAACAGAAACTATTCCAGTGCCCATTGTGACCGCGAACCATCTGCGCTACATTAGATGCATTTCTAGTTGGCCAAAGACTATAAGTTTTTGCTCACGAGGGTGTAAAGTTTCTGACAATCTTCCTCCAACCTACATCTTCTTTACAAGGTGTACAAGAGGTCGGGGCATTTTGACAGGGGCTTTGTGAAGTAGTCGAGCATAATGTAATGTGTTGCGCTCCCGACCGAATCGTCGCAGTTGCACTAACAGTTGCCATGGTTTACAGGACCAATTCAGAGTCTGGACGAGACAAACCGTAAAGATATTGACAGTTGCTTGTTGATCAGTGCAGGGGCAAAAAATTTCAGACCACGCCAAGCTGAACGGAACAATTTATAATGCTTCACTCAAACAACGGTGAGGAAGGAATTTCATGGCGGCGAACTTCCTCATGACTTAGGCCGTTCCCTAGGGTGAGTAAACTAGACGAACCGATTCCGGCAGTTAACCCCACACGTGGATCCGCTCAGCTGACTCTGAGGCGGTACGGCTGTCGGCCAACGCCGGCAGAAATCCACCCAGTTCATTTGGAAAATGGAAATAAAATGTTGCCAAGTAAAATATTTTGATATCAAATGCCAGTTTGGAATCCAGCGACCTATGATGGCCGTATTTGACCAGATTTGACCCCGTGAAACCTTTGAGAATACCCATCTCGTCTGGTGTTTGGCCATCTGACCGCCAAAAGTATCGGGACTGTCCGTCGCCTATCAGCGGCTTTGCCAGGATCCCTCGACTCTGTCAAAGTAAATTATCTTATCCAACCAGAGGCGCCTATTTTTGGAGACCAGTCCACTAACCGTCGAAATGCTCGCCGACTAATTGCCCGCTGCGCTCTGGCAACGTGGACAAATTGCGCTGTCTCAAAGACAAAAGTCAGGATCGACAAGACGACCCACCAGCCGAAGTCGGATCAACCAGTAGTTCCGCCAGTCCCGCCCGTTTCCATCAGGTAATGCCAGCCAGGCCTGGTGACCAGGTAGAATCGTGTCACCATCGAGCAAAAACAGTCGAGCCCCCCCGCACGACGCATACTCAACAGAATCACCCAAAGCCACATTCATCCAAGCAACACCAACAGCTTGATAGCAATCCGTAGCAGCCATGGCCGTCGATATCCTGACCAAGATTACCTCCGCCTTCGGGCATAACTTCAAGAACGATGTCAATCGGTTCGACGAGCTCGTGTTGGGGTTGAAAGAAGCGCTTGGCCCATCTTCGGGATTGGATTCGGCTGACGTCGACGTCAAAGAGTTGATGAAGTTGATGGAAGAATATAACACAACGGAAAGCGAATGGATCCAGTTTGCATTCGCCGAGAAGAGCATGGGATACACACGCAACCTCGTTGACGAAGGCAACGGCAAGAGTAACCTGGTGGGTCAACTAGATGCCACGACTTCGTGGCATAGTATCATGGCTAATCACTGCACAGCTTGTGCTTGTCTGGACACCCGGCAAGGGCAGCCCTATCCACGATCACGGCAAGGCGCATTGCCTGATGAAGATTCTCAAAGGCGATCTGACCGAGATCCGCTATGCCTTCCCGGAAGGCAACAAAGAGCAACCCATGCAAATAATCTCTGAAAGAACACACAAGGAGAACGCGGTGGCGTACATGGCAGACGAACTCGGCGTCCACCGAGTTTGCAACAAGGGCAGCGACTTCGCTGTCTCTCTTCACCGTAGGATTTACCTCACCGTCCCTGCCGCAACATAGCTGACAACCTCGTAGTCTACACCCCTCCTAACGTCGCCAAGGGTGGTTGCAATATCTTCAATGAGAAGACCAGTAAGAGTAGCCATGTAGCCAAGTGCGGCTACTACTCGGCATACGGCCGCCGACTACCGAAGCAGTAAATGATGGTGATGACCATGTTCTTTTTCGTTCCAGGCGATTGCGTATTTGGCTTTGACGACGATCCAGGCTTGGATTTGTCCTGTTTGATATACAACTGAGGGATGCCGAGAGCCGTCGAGCGCTTGTCGGTAGACTGATGAATGATGATGGTATGAATGCTCTATCCACTGTATATAGTGGGTAGACACCGTTGGCGAGCTCAACCTGCCGCGTTTCCTTATGTTTTTTGGGTACCAGAAGATTGCAAATTCAACAGACAGTTATTTGAGACAAGAAAGTATGAATGAAGTGAGGTTAAGAAGGTGTAAGAGCCGCAGAGTCGTCGTCGTTGGCCAGAGACCACCCAAACGGGCCCAGATGTAGGTCACGTGAAATGTCGTGATTTTGAAATTTGTGATGATTGGTCGATGTGGAGTATCCCATACGATGGCGTGCTTACACGAGGCCACAGATCTCTCAGCCACAGACTGGTGGATCGCAAGCCACATACTGAGCCACACACTGTTCCAACGAGTGCAAGAGAATCCCTGCGTCGATCCCACCTTCCAAGCCGGCTTCGCGAGAGACGCGTCTACCGCGTTAGGTCCCATCTGGAGAGGTCCCGTTTGTCCCACTGGGATTGCGGCATGCCAGATCTGGAATCGTTCGGTACCAACCTGTGAATTTTCTGAAGCTGATAGCTTTCCCAATTCGCGCCTTTGTTTCACAGATTAGTACCCATCCGGCCCCAGAACCCGGGGCTCGGACGTTGAGGATGCCACCCAAGAAGCGAAGTATCGCTGTCATCGACCTTGTTAGTAGCGATGGCGACGACGGATCTGCGCCACGACCCAGCAAGAGGGCGGCTGGCAGTCGCTCGGTTTCTGGTCAAGCCAGCGGCAGAGTGTACGGAAGTGCACCAATAAACACTCAGCGCCACGTGAGCTTGGGTGCTGTTCCTGGCTCTTCGTCTCAGTATGCCGAGTATGATGACAACCTCATCGACTTGACTCAAGCCCCGGATGGCCCACCAAGAGAACTTTATGGATTTCTCGGTACGGCGTTTGGATATCTGGTATCATTATCAACACTGACCTGATGGATTAGATAACAAAATCGTCGGCGTTCGCTACTATAATGGATATGCCTCACCAGGCGAGGTGGTTGTGTGCCTGAGAGAACCCAACAATCAGGTACTGAATCATAGCCATCGCAAGCGTTCATGGATCTCGTCAATCAGAGCTCCTCTTTTGTGATCGTTTACATGTCTGACACCGCCATAGTACGATAGCAATGCCATTCGAGTGTGTAACGTCATGGGCACCCAGATCGGCCATCTGCCACGTAAAGTGGTTGAGAAGCTGGCGCCATACGTTGTACGTATTCTGATTCAGCAATCCGATTGTTACTAAACCCTGTATCAGGACGGGGATGAGATCGCGATAGAAGCTGTCCTCACCGGAGAGAAGGGCATGTTCGACTGTCCCGTTCGTCTGCAACTATATGGAACGAGCAACCAAGTCGACCGGTTGGCATTGGAGGACAAGCTGAAGAAGGACAAACTCTTGAAGGCAAGGGAACTCAAGCAGACGAGAGCTGAGGCCGAAGCGCAGAGAAAGATGCTGGGTATCAAAGGCAGCCAATCAACAATTGGTCTGAACGCTCCTGCTGAACCAGAGGTGTCTCTTGAGGACCTGGCACAAGCCAGTCAAGCAATTTCAAGCCATCTACGTGGTGATGCTGTCAAATCGTTGGTAATGGACGAGGAGTTTTTGTCCAAAATGCCCATGGCAGAGCAACCTGCCGTTCTCGAGTCGACACTGCTGCCATACCAATTACAGGTAATACATCTCGCGCGTTATACATCTATGTTGTTGCAAGCTCAAGCCTCCGATCCGAACAAACCAACAACTCTCAATGCTGTGGTACACTTTGGCTGATCGTGATATAGGGTCTGGCATGGATGACGTCTAAAGAGAGCCCCCAGATGCCTCCTCAAGGCTCTCAGGAGAGTGTCCAACTGTGGAAATGGCACCCCAAGAGCCGAAATTTGTATCACAATATGGCCACGAACTTCGTAGTACAGAGTGCACCTAAGCTGCTTTCGGGTGGCGTACTAGCAGATGATATGGGTCTTGGCAAGACGTTACAAGTGATCAGCTTGATCTTGACTGGGGGGGCTGGTCCGACCCTAATTGTTGCTCCGTTGAGCGTCATGAGTAACTGGGATCAACAGATCCGCAGACATGTCAAACAAGAGCACCTACCCAAGATCTTCACCTATCATGGAAACAACAAGGCCACTAAAAACGAGCTGGCCAAGTACCAGGTCGTCATCACCAGCTACAATAAGCTTGCCCAGGAGGGTGGCCAGGAAAAGGCCACCACACCTTTGCCACCCCTCATGGCCACAAATTGGAGACGTGTTGTTCTTGACGAAGGTCACACGATCCGAAATGCGAAAACCAAGGCCGCCATAGCTTCTCGAAAGCTCAATGCTCAGTCCAGATGGGTCCTCACAGGAACTCCAATGTAAGCGTCCCCGAGTTTGATTCAAATCAAACTGAGCATACCCAGACTAATCATCATCAGTATCAATAACATCAGGGACTTCCAGTCCTTGCTTCAATTCCTTGGCATCAATGGAGGTGTCGAGCAACCTGCTATTTTCACCAGTGTCATTGCACGGCCACTTACCCAAGGGGACGAGACTGCCGAGACTCTCCTGCAGCTATTGATGCGAGACCTCTGCCTGCGACGCAAGAAAGACATGAAGTTCGTTGACCTGAAGCTGCCTGCCAAGAAGGAATACATCCATCGCATTGCCTTCAGACCAGACGAGAAAAACAAATACGAGGCATTGCTGTAAGTCGCAATCCCATCCCCGTGGGGCATTACACTCACTCATCAACAAAGGTCCGAAGCACAAATTGCCCTCGAGAAATTCCAAAACAACACGGGCGGGAAGGGTCAGTTTCAAAGCGTACTTGAACGCCTACTTCGTCTGCGCCAAGTGTGAGCATGGCACGTCCTTGATGAAATGACTCTGGCTAATGTTGTCTCAGATGCAATCACTGGACGTTATGCCGCAAAAGGATCGCCAATCTTCTTGAGGCCCTCGAGGGCCAGTCTGTTGTTGTGCTCAACTCGGAAAACACCAAGATCCTCCAAGAGGCGCTCCGTCTTTTTATTGAAACCCAAGAAGACTGTGCCGTTTGCCTCGACACTCTGAGCAGCCCTGTTATCACCCACTGCAAGCATGTCTTCTGCCGCGGTTGCATTTCCAAGGTGATTCAGACGCAGCACAAGTGCCCCATGTGTCGTAATCAGCTCGACGAAGACGCGCTTCTCGAGCCCGCCCCTGAGGGCGGCGAAGAGGAAGACGAAAATTTCGATGCCGACGCGAAGAGTTCCAAGACGGAGGCCCTCCTAAAGATTCTACAGGCTACAACCAAGGACCCCAAGTCCAAGGTCATCATCTTCTCACAATGGACGTCTTTCTTGACTATTATTCAGAACCAACTTGTCGAGGCCGGCTACAAGTTCACCCGCATCGACGGCTCCATGACGGCGCCGAAACGAGACGCCGCCATCCACGCCTTGGATTACGATCCGGACACGCGCGTGATGCTCGCGAGTCTGGCCGTCTGCAGCGTCGGCCTCAACCTCGTGTCGGCGGATACGGTGATTCTCGCAGACAGCTGGTGGGCGCCGGCCATCGAGGACCAGGCGGTCGACCGCGTGCACCGCCTGGGCCAGAAGCGGCCTACGACTGTGTGGCGTCTTGTCATGGAGGGAACTGTCGAGGAGCGCGTGCTGGATATCCAACTAGAGAAGCGGACGCTGGTCGGCAAAGCGTTCCAGGAGAAGAACAAGGGAAAGAAAACCCAGGAGACTCGCATGGCGGATCTGAAGAAACTGCTTGGTTAAAGGGCGTTTAAGGTCACATTGCCAGTAAATTCAGCTTGCTGGCTCAAATAAAAGTTCGATGTGCGGCAAGGCATTGCCAGAGCAACATCATGTATCTGAGTTTTCTATCAAGATTTAGAAGGGGCTTAGGACAGGGACGTCGTTGGAGGTGACCCAAAATCACACTCTCTACCGGAGCACATTTACCCGTATTACAGCGAAACGGCAATCAACCCAAGTACTCCAGGAAAAGAGTAGTATACTACCTACTGAGGGGCAACTCTATTGCTTTCACAATAGTCTACGTACGTTTCGAGGCCTCAAACAGCTCTCTACTTCCCTCCCTCCCTGACTTCGGTGCAACTTATACACCTTTCCTCGCTCGTCAAAGTTCGCAGACAACCCCCAATACGAAATCAATCAAAAATCGCTTTTCTACCCAATTTGAACTCAAGAATATGCACACGGCACGCTTTGGCTGGTTGGTTCAGCTCAAGTTTCGTGCCACAGTGCCGTCTGATCTCAACCTCGCCGGACCTCACGTACCTTAGGGAAAGAGAGTTCAGGGGACTTCGCCGACGGAGTATTCCAGACGGTTGAGACCACCACGAAAAGTCATGGCCAAGGATTAGATGCCGAGGCCGCTTTCGTAAGGTGGGCGGAACCGAAAACTAAAGCATTCTCCTTACTCACTTGATCTACCTATCTGTAGGTCCTACTGGACTTATACTATGTATCAAAGTTTTCTCGTTTCTTCCAAAAGACTGCGGCGAACCGCAAGTTGGCCGATGAGCTATTACTCGATATATTTAACGACCTCATTGACGTTTCCGGAGTCATGAATTTTAATGAGAAGGCTACTAGATCCTTTGGAAAGTGGATACCACATTAGGAGAGACGGGAACAGACGCGAAGTAGCGAGGAAGCAATATCGCTCCACGCTTGCGATTGCGATGGAGGTTTGGTCTTTATGAGCTTTCCGCATCGGCTCGGGCGGACGCAGTTGGACTATCTATATACCCCATGAGCTGAGCGTAAATGTATATGAGTTATCATCATGATCAACTCCCCAAGAGTTTATTCACACCATCAGGCCAATTTCTCACGGCCCTTAATCTCAACTCAATATTCTCAACTCCTGACTCAAGATATCACACTCGTTGACTTCAGAATAATCCTTCCTGAGAAACACAATTCCAAAGACACCTCTTCAGAACCCAACGTCAAGACAACGGAAATCAACATGAAGTTCACCATCCTTCTCACCGTGGCCTCCTCTATGGCCCTCACTCAGGCTAAACCCCGGTAACTGGACATGCAATTCCTGCAGCCCCAACGGCGGCCAAATCCCCGCGCGGGCGTGGGTCGACCACTACCGCGAACAATGCACGCTGATTGGTGGTATCTCCCAATGAATATCCAGCGACGAGATCTTCTGTGATTCCCCGAGTAGCTTATTGACGAGATGTCTCTTGGCGACGTCTGATGACAAGAGATATCAACACTGTAATTTTTGCCGTGGAGATGCTAGAGGAAGCTGTTGAACAGAAAGACTAGTCGAGCGATTTGCGACTTGGATCGAATGTGTAAATCGCCTTCTCTTAGAGCTGTACCTTCTCATGAATATATTGGGGCAACCATGACGGAACAATCAAGCCTTTGAAAAAATCATTCAAGTCACCAAAGCGTCTTTAGTGGCGAAGAACATAATCCGGTCTTGTTTTCTGTGTTTCTGCGTAAGACCGATCTCTCAAATACCTACCTAGCTGGGCCCGGATGGGAATGTTCAATAGACTTTTTGTATCATGTTGATTTCGTTTCCGGTGAGCCTCGTTAATAATTCATTTGAAAGCCGCTTTCAACCACATACATCATTGGGCCACCGTCCTAAGAGGGAAAAACCATGAAGACACGCTAGGGGTGGCAATACGAAAGCCGCCCATCCAAGAGAAAAACAAGTATCTTTTGTCTGTTTGAAGCAGATCCATACCTCTCAGGTCGTGCAAGCACCACTGTAACAGTTGGACCCTGAGCAATAGTCGCTGGTGCTCCCGCAAAAGCCAGACGTAGAGCAACATGTCCCGAAGGCGGTTCCAGTACATGTCTTATTACCCGCGAACAACGGTCCGCATTCCCCATTGATGGAGGGGCCCCCTGTATCCGGGTCGCAGGCGCCCGAGTAGCAATTCCCTGCGCCGCAATAATCAGAGCCGTCGCCGCAGTAGCCATAGATGCTGCAGCAGCTCCCGAAGGGGGCAATGCAGGTGTAGCCGTTGTGGTCCGGCCCACAACTGCCGTCCGGCGTATCGGTGGTGCCGTTGCCCCCCGTGTTGCAGTACTCGCTGGTGCTCCCGCAGAAGCCGTACGGCGAGCAGCAGTCGCCGAAGCCGCTTCCGGTACACGTCACGCCGACTGGGCACGTGCCATCCGTCGACTTGCTCGGGGCCGTCACGGGAGCGACGCAAACGGCGTAGTTGAGCCACAGGTTGAGGCAGTCGTCTTGCAGGTACGGGTTGTAATCTTGCAGCTGTTCGAACTTCAAGCCGAAGCGCTGGTCGACTGTCGAGCAGTCATCTCCGGCTACGACGAGGTAGTAGTTGCCGCACGCGCTGATGGTACCACTTTGGGTTGGGTAGGCGGGCGTGGCTGTTGTGTAATATGTTGGTGAGCCTGTCGCGCCAGGGGCCGTGATGGTGACATTGGGCTTGGGGAATGTGCCGCCTGGTGCACTTTTTGGTACGGTCTCTGAGTCAGTATTGAAAACAGACAGGTATTCGTGGCTTCCTCTTCTTACCCTTTACATACGCGCTGGCCTGGAGCAACTCCAGAGCAGCTACCCTGGATATTGGTGTTCCAGCTAAGAAACTGACTGGTGGTGACGTTGTAAGTCGAGTTGGAGTATTGGGCAGCAAGCTCGTCACTAATTGAAGATGCCATGATCAGTACATACCATGTCCAGGAACAGTCGAGGCCATCTGCTAGATTGAATCTTAAAATCAGTAATGACTTACCAACTTGACCAGTCCCAGACCGTATCGATCTCGCACGGGAGGGGAATGCAAAGAGTCTTCTCAAAGTAGCAACTGCGATCCCCGGTGACCACCTGAGCGTCGCCTGTCGAGATATTATATCTAGATGCCATCAGCACCATGTCAGACACTTCTCCAACACCAGGATATGGTGAGTAAGAAGGGGGACATCATACGTATCGCATAGATCATCACAAGTCAGCCAATCTGGTAGCTCCGGCTCAATCGTCTGGCCTAGGCAAGTCGCCGTCGTGGGAGGGCTTGTTCCCGTCACCGTGCCACCAGAGGTGGTGGTTGCCGTTGGCGTACCCACGTACAACGTCGATGCCGAAGTACTGTACGGCAGTGATGTGGAGCAGTTTTGTTGCACATCGTCGAATTGCTCAATCAAGTAGTCGGTGAAGTTGCTAATGGGGAGCCAAGGATCCCTCAGACGTTGCCGGTAGACCTCCAAGAAGCATTCATTGCAAAACTTGGACCTCAGTCAATACGCGGATCTCGTATGCTGCCTTTGGCTGACGAAATCTTGAATAAATCAAGGGGTTACTTACCAGATCCTTCTTGTATATGTTGGTCAAAGCTGCCATATCGCTGGTCACGGTACTCAAGTCAAAGTCCGGGTCTTCGCACTCCGGTGCCACAGTGCTGTTGTCGTCGCCATCGGTAAAGCACATGTCTGGACTGTAGCGAATGTAGTCACTTCCTTGCCAAGTCTGCGACTCGACGAAACACCAATTGGAAGCGCTGTCCTGGAGACATACAAGCTCGGCATTGTAGGTAAAGGTCACCGGGAGCGCCCTCGCCTTGACGATAACACCGGCTTGCAGTGTGGTCTCATCTGCGCAGACGGAATCGACATTACTCTTCCAGCCGTTCAGAGAAGAGACGCAATCTGACGTGCAGAGGTTTTCCACCTCGGGGGTCGTCCAGTCTGGGCTTGATTAGTTATTTTGACCATCTATGATAGACAGGCTACGCTTGACGTACAATGAATATCTGCACCACTTCCCAACAGGCTAACTGCTGTTTCGTTGCAACGGACGGTCGTGTTTCTGTTGGAATGCCAGTGTAAGAAAATGTTAAAGAGCGGCAGAGCGCCCGAACACTCACAATGCTGCCAGGCAGCTGCTACTCAAGGCGAGCCCGGCAATCAAGGAATCTTCATTGTAGAGTTTGTAGAGTTCAAAGTCGGCTGCGACCCAGACTACCCACACAGCTATGAGCGGTATAGTAGACTGTTTGAGGACTGGCGACAGCATCTTGCATTCTACCGTGATCGGCTGGTTCAAGCTTGAATTCCACGACGCAGAAGCCAGTATTGTATAGACTGGTCCCCTTGATCATTAATATCAGCAATCAAATTGCAAGTCGCCAAGGACCAAGACAGAAGCTTGACCCAGACTACCCACTACCGCGCCGGGCTGGTCCGTCCCCATCAAAGGGGCCGTCCCGTCGATCGCCACTTTGTCATGTCTGGTGCTCCTCAGTCCCGCCACATTCCGTCTTACACGCATACGCACCCTGTCCACGTGCTGCGCGAATTACAACCTAACCGCTCGAAATCATGAGACATGGTGAACTACGTTTCATCCAACTGCACAAAAGACGGGTAGGAGATCCTTCGCATGGAAATTACGCAGGTACCGCGGGCCAAGAGATGTAGTATCGTGCAGTGCCGATATGCATGTCAGCCAATAGTTTAGTCATGTCGACCCAAGGGATGGCTCAAGTGGGAAATCTAGTGAGCCGTTCGGTTGCATCTACCCTATCATCCCTGTCGATCAGATTATCTTGTGTGATCGTCTGTAAGCTTCGGTGTGGCGCGGATGTGTATATCAACCAATATTTCATTTAACCGATGCAAAGGTGTAGACTTATGAGGAAACCAGGCTGTCTGAATGGTCACATCTAAACCATTGACACCCTCAAGATGGAGCCGTCTAATGTGGTCACCTGTTGGCTTCGTGCGCGAGATATGCGCACATTCCAAGACAACCCCGCCTTGAAAGCTTTCCTATGGACTGGACATCATCCTAGACACAGATCAAGGTGCGCGGGCTGAGTGGTAGACACACTGGGGACGGATTCAAGTTTACCAGGGACTTTAATGCCCCAGAAAACATCTCCCGTCAACGGCGCTCTTATAAGTGACCCGAACACAATATCTTCCACCTCATCTTGCTCTGAGGCTATGCCTATTCCGCAGCTTCACGATCACTATAACATTGTGATTTCACTTGTGTAAGTTGTTTTTATCAATCAAGAGGCATCGATACCAGTCATTTGCTTCCAGTCTCTCATCCTCGCCATGAGACTTCTGCTCTTGACGGTACTCGTCCTCGCAGAATGCGGGATCTCCCAAGCCCAGCTCAATTCCACAGCAGCGGGCAACAACTCCCAGCCAACATACTCTGCGGTGCCCCAACTTCCAAGGAACTCATCTTCGGTTTTGGAGCCCCTATTTCAACCCTACTCCAACAGGACACCCGTCTTCAAGAATGAGGCCGTCATCAGACACCTGACCGAGAACCCCGGCGCAAGACTGGACCACTTGGATCTCTCGTCGTTGGCAAAAAGGCAGGACAATGGTCTCCCCGTAGGTACTTGCGCGCCTGGGATTCCTTGCTCCAACGGCGCGTGTTGCAGCAGCACGGGCGTGTGCTCGTACGCACCCACGAGCTGCGGTGCCGACGTTTGCATATCCAACTGCAATGCGAAAGCTCCCTGTGGCCAGTACGCAGTCCCTGATAAAGCATCATGCCCCCTGAACGTATGTTGCTCCCAGTTTGGGTTTTGTAAGTTATGGATTCGTTTCGCTGCACACTTGACCACCTCCACTGTCAACCGAAGAAGAAACTTTTGCTGATTTTTGTCGCCATAGGTGGCAGCACCGACGACTTCTGCGGTGACGGGTGCCAGGAAGGCTTCGGCGGCTGCGGGCCGCCTCCTACTCCTCAATGTTCTGGTAGCTCAGCAATGGCCCGGCGAATCGGCTACTATGAGAGCTGGGCAACGACGCGGCCGTGTGATGTGGTCCAGCCAGAGGACTTGCACCTGACGGGCATGACACACCTCAACTTCGCCTTCTCCTTCTTCGACCCGTCCACGTTCCAGATCACGCCCATGGACGCGAACGCGGCATCGCTGTTGTCACGATTCACTGCACTCAAGACCAAGCAGCCGGGACTGCAAGTGTGGCTCTCGGTCGGCGGATGGTCGTTCAACGATGCCACCAATACGCCCAACACTCAGAATGCTTTCAGTGACATGACCGGGTCCGCTGCAAACAGACGGGCCTTCATCACATCGCTGCGCAACTTTATGCAGACGTACGGCTTCGACGGCGTCGATCTTGATTGGGAGTATCCTGTGGCTGACGACAGGGGCGGAAAAGAGGCCGACTTTGCCAACTATCCCACCTTCCTCTCCGAACTGAGAGCTTCATTCGGCAGTGCTCTGGGTATAAGCGCCACAATACCGTCCTCTTACTGGTACCTCCAGCATTTTGACCTTGTAAGCATGGAGCCTCACCTGGACTGGCTTAATTTGATGAGCTACGATATCCATGGCGTCTGGGACTCGACCAACAAGTTCACGGGACCGTATATCCGTCCACATACCAACTTGACTGAGATTGAGGACGGTCTCTCCTTGCTGTGGCGCGCCGGTGTCAGCCCGTCTAAGGTTGTGCTCGGTCTGGGCTGGTATGGTCGCTCTTTCACGCTGACTGACCCTGCCTGCAACGTCCCCAATGGTGTATGCCAGTTCTCATCAGGGGGCACGGCTGGCGAGTGCTCGCGGTCGTCCGGGACGTTGACCAACGCCGAGATCAAGCGGATTCAGGCCTCGGGCGGCGTTGTTGAATCATACGACGAAAAGGCGGCGGTGAGGTGGATGACGTGGGATTCAAACCAGTGGATCAGCTACGACGATGGCGTGACTATGCAGCAGAAGATGAACAGAGCCAACAGCCTGTGTTTGGGGGGCATTATGATTGTAAGAAAATTCCTCCACCGGCAACTGATAACCGGTTCCCGGTTTCTCTGGGACACGATTCGAGTAGCCAACTAACAAAACTTGTCTTATCCAGTGGGCGTTGGACCAGGACAATGCGGCCGGTGATAGTATGAGTGATCTTCTGGGTATCGGGCCGGCCAACGGCATCTCGCCAGAGGCTGCCCAGTCGTATAAGGAGCAGCTGGCCAACGCAACGCTTCAACAGGCCATTGCATCGAGCTGCTACTGGTCTCTATGTGGCCAAGGTTGTCACACTGGCTACTTCGGGACCACCGAAGCCCGAGGCCAGGTCGCAGGCGTTCAGAAAAACTCCATCTGCGCCTTGGGAGAGACTCAGACTCTATGTTGCGCCCCGGGCACAACGATGGGCACCTGCAGCTGGGAGGGCTTCCGCGGAGTTGGTTTCCCCTGCTCTCCGGCGTGTAGCGATGCCAAAGCCACCATCGTGGCGCGCAACAGTAATTCCTATCAAGACAACGAAGGGGGTCAGACAGCCGATCTGACCTGTACCGGTGGTTATCAGGCATACTGCTGCACGGGATTCGTCCCCTCATCCATCACCAACTCGGGAAACCTCGTCCTCTACGGCCAGAACGGCGACGAGGTCAGCAAGCGCGATGTCATGACAGGCGAACTCGCCGTAGTACAAGAACGCGGCGTCGTCCTCCACGAGCGTGGCGCCCCTCTTCTGCTTGGCGGCCTCGGCGCCCTTTGTCTAGACGCAGCTGCCCCCCTCCTAGCTTTGGCACCCTTCACGTTTGGTCTGTCCGCCGCTATCGAGGGTGCCATCTGCGCTGCCGCCGCACTCGCCGCACTCGCCGTAGGCTTCGCCATTATCTCGTCCATTGTCGGGTGGCTCTTTGGCTCTCCTCCATCTCAGCCCAACACCGGTGTTCCAACCACCATCAATGGGAGAGCTTCATACGGCCAATGGCCGATCCTGGACTTTGGCGGAGCTGCCACGTCCACCAGTTGCGACTGCTCCGTCACCTACACGTGCCGTTACGGCCTCGGCTGGGATGAGGTCTGCGACAACCAGCGCTGGGCCATCAATAAAAAACTCGGCGGCCAGACCGTCTTCAATCCCTTCTCGTCGGGAGGAGGCGTTAATCGTGCTTACTCGGGCTGGGGACAGACGTCCACACAGCGAAATGCTGCATATCGCACGCTTGTTCAGGGTACAAACCGGCCTGATGCTGCCCGATGTCAGCTTGATGAGTTCCCCATGGCCAACCTTCGCGAGTCTGGTAACGGAGCTCCGCAGGCCTGTCGCCTGGTCAACAAGCGTGCGAACGGGGCGCAAGGGGGGGATTATTTGGCGTGGAAGAGGGCGCAGTGGGTGCCCTGCTTCAGATATCGGAGGGACGTCTGTCGCATCAATGACAATGGGCCACCGGCTACATGGTAAGTAGCGATAATCACTCCATCCGCAAGTATCGGGTATCTGACAACGTATTCTTCAGGAAATTTGGTCCACTGGCTGGTAACCGCGGCTCTGGCAGTGGTAAACACTTCATTGATGCCTTTGGATTTGACCTGCAGACGCCTGGCTCGTTGTGCTTTGCCTCGTACACTTATACCCGGGTGCCAGGGGCTATCGAAAACACCATGATCACCGATCATGGCTTCCGCGTGCTTGATGATGACCCGTGAGTTTTCCCATCTTGGTTTGACTCCCTTCGGACTCCCTTCAGTGAGCCTTTGGCTGAGAAAAGCTCGTCGTTTAGCATGTATAATCGTGCGTACGGATGGCCTCGGCAGTCTTATAGGTCCGATCCAGCTCCAGTTGGTGCGCCTCGTCCTTATAATCTTCAACCTGGCATATTCCAGAGAGAGCTCGTTGTTTCCAGCAATACTACGGCAAATGCTACGGACAATAACGTCTGTCACGTCGACCTCAGTGGCCAGGATGCCGATGACATCAACGCCGAATTGGACTATGACAACCTCCTTTTCGTTGACAGGGATGGCAACCCAGTTGACGGACGTACTTGTGGTGTCATCTACGATGATCGAGATGAGGACTCTCAAGTGCACATCGTGGTCGATGCGGACGGCAACGTTGTCGATATGTACACGGATGATGAAGCAGCTGCTGGTCTGTTCAGCGCCGATCCTGCCCCCGATAGCAGTACCGTCACAGTCACCGCCGAAACCGCGACGATGACAGAAGCCGCGCGACCAGGGAGCGGGGAGCCTACCCTTCCCATAAGTACTATGGTGACGACGACGAGAATGGGAAGCGTAGTCACACTTGCGCCATCCTAAACTGGCAACCTGAGAGTGACCGATTCACTAAGCATATCGGCTGGGAGAAGCAGCCTGGCGTTTCTCCTGCACTAAACAATGAGACAGTGGCCAGGGGCGCCGCATCGGGTGCCATGGTGGTATGTAGAAAAGGATTATTCTGCTACTTCGGATCAGATCCGTCATATCTTGATAGGAGTGAGTGTGAAGTGTGCATTCGAAACATAATTGATGGTACTCGAGCTTCATAAATCCATTTCAGGAGCGGTTCTGTCGCATTATAGAAAGCTAGTGATTCCTGTGCCTCGTTTCTCGTCGTGCATTCCTATTTGAGTAGACACATACATTTTTGAAAGATCACCAACTCGGTGGGATGTGGTAGTGGCGCCAATGTGTCGTATCAGCCTCTCGGAAAGTCTCGATGGAGCCCTCGACCCCTTGCGGCCCTACGCGCCAGACCCCTTCGTCTACTAGCCTAAGCCAATGATCCAGCAAACGTTCTAGCCGTTGAGGACGATTCTGGTCGCCGCCGAAAGGCTTGTATCCATGCTGAAAGAGCTCGGCCACACTGCCTGCCTCGACAAAAGACCCGTCGCTCTTGCGCGCCCCAGCACCTCCCTCCTCCTCGTCCCCAACGTAGCCATGCAAGCCAAACGGTAACAGCAGGCGGAAGCCCTCCTCCGCGTTGCCGTAGGCGTCCCTCGAGACGGACTCGCTGTAAACACCGGCGGGGACCCGGGATAGAGCCGAGTTGCCTGGGCCGAATTTCCCGTGAAATGGGTTGAGCGATCCGGTCATGTCGGCCTCGAGCCCGTTTTGCGCGGCGGGGAGGAGGCATACGGGCGGGATATCCTGTGATCCCCGTTGCTGCGCGAAGGGCTGCGTGGACGTGAACTCGGCCGCATCGGCGGAAGGCAAGGCGAGACCTGGAGCAACGTGGCGGAACCGGGGACGGCGTGCGCCGGTCAGAAAGGCGCGCGCAAAGCCGTCCAGGATTGACGCCGCGTCCAGCACAGCGGGCGGGAGTAATGGTTCCGACTGCTGCTGATCTATGGCGGCACCAGTACTGCCTGATGTGCGTGCCTCGATAGCGTCGCACAACCGATCCCAAGCGGCAATACAATCGGCCACCTGAGCGTCGCCGTAAGGCCGCCACTCCCAGCGGCCACCAATCTTTTCGCTGCCAAATTGAGAGGGCGTGTCTTGAGGCGTGACCTTGACCTTTCCCAGACGGATGAGGGTGATCCAGTTGGAGAGGACAGTCTCGAGCGGATGCCACAACGCCGCGTGCTGTCCCTCGTTGACGGGGAGTACGAACTCATATTCAACCTGGCTCATGAACACGGCGGCGCGGTGGGAAGGCTGGTGATACCACAGCCCTCCTCCAGACCCGCCGCCTTGGCCGTCGATGGCTGGATACAAACAGACCAGGGCGTCCTCGGGTTCGTCAAACAGGTCGAAGGTCTCGTTGTCAAAGAGGCCGTCAGGTTCGGCGATGCCAGCCGCCCAGAAGAAGAAGGGGGCTGGGTCGTGAGCATCCGCGGGAGGTAACATAGCCGTGTCCAGAAAGTCTGCCAGCGATGGGTCGAGCCGAGGACGCAGAGCCTCGGCGGCGTCGCCGTGGGTGGTGAAGAAGGTGGCCGTGTTGCCGTCTAGAGCGGCTGCTGGACGGCCTTCGGCTACCCAGGCGTAGTACACTAGATAGTTGTGCAGAGATGCGCACCGTTCGTGATCCAGTCCTGGTAAGTCGGCGCGCGCTGGGTTGTCCGCTGTCACCAGCAAGCCGTCGATGTCGGGGAGCTCTAGTCCGTCCATGTTGGCTTAGATCAGACCGAAGTTATTGGTCCCGGCAATTGGCGGTTACATGTATGGTTAGGTTGTTTGACGAGGAGACGTAATGTAGCAATGGACTGGGTGTATTAATATTTAAGTACTCCCCACCATCAAGTCTGGAGGTAGGGTGAGATCCTGGTAGGTAAACCACTCCTTGCATAAGATAGCTACGTACCGCCATATTTCTGCCCGAATGGGAAGCATCCTCTGCCGTGCATGGGTCCTGTTACATCAAGGAGAGACTACGACGGGAAACTTACGATGATCCCACGTATCTGATGATCTGGCTGGCACAGCATACTTGTCATTGTCGTCATAGATTCTCTAGTGGCCGGACTTGTATTTTGGTTCTTGGGCATCTTGACCGGAGGCACGTTGACCGTGTTGACGGAGGAGGGCGGAGATGTGGGTAACAGCGGGCCGGTGGTGAGGGTCCGTGCCCACCGGGCACGTCTCCGGGATATGTTCGGCGGGGATCGGAGCTGCAATATTGGTCTCGGTAGAGGTGCAAGAGTAATTTTGGGACCAAATTTGGCCATTTGTGTTCATTTTTGGCATGCTGTGAGTGATGATGTAGCAGGCTTACAAAACCAGAAGAAATAGAATCGTCTGAGATGAGCTCGTCGGCGAATACAGAGCTATCAATCGAAAAATCCCTCTCGCACGATCAATTTCTCGGAAAGAGGGAATGTTTTTCTTGAACTCAAGACATCCAAACATCATATCTCGCAAATCTACCCGGTTCTCCCTCAGTGCCTAGTGGCCCTGGCCTCCCTGGAGCCCTGCTCCTTCCCGGGACATCGCGTACCTCACTGTGCCAGCCGCGCAGGCCATGGTTCGAACGACTATACGTGTATCTGCACCAACAGCGACACGTTTAAGGATAAATCGTGATTATGGCGGATGCGGGCAATCTGATTCGGGTGGCTTGGTGTTGGTGGTGGTGGCGAACATTGAATACCACAAGGCCTGGGAAGGGAAGGGTGGCGTGACATCCTGCCAGGCTGTAGGTCCTCGACAGTAATTCAGGGCCGTTGTGACGATCTGGGCGTTGTTGTTGTTGTCTGGTGTGTAGTTGCTTTCTATTCCTAGTTGAATACCCGTCGAACAAAAGTAAGTAGAGATAAAAGGTTGGAGAAGATAGCATCCTCTTAGACAGTAGATAATAAGCACATATTTGTATATCAATGGCATACCCTCATCCCCCCAAATCACATGGGGTAATAAAGGCAACAGGGCCAAGAAGGACGCTGAGATATCTTGAAAACTTTTACTGTTATGATTGAATTGTAGACTATATACAAGAATGGCACGAAAAGAACAAACACCAGAATGTACCCAAGCAATGTCCATGATTTCCAGATCCGATGTGATTTATCTTTTCCCACTCAAAATACACCATTGAACCCGGCCGTGATGTATGTGTGTTGTTCACCAAACCCCAAGAGTGTCTCCTCCCCCTAATGAAGATAATGATGCAGTGATGGATTTGGTTTTTTTTTTTTAAAAAAAAGGGAAGACCCGGGGGAAAAAAAGCGAAGCGAAGAGGAAGTTTTGAATCCACTGATGGAAGAAGAAAGTTTTCTTTCATGTCGTCGTCATGATCACGTTCGTTCTTTGATGTCGTGATGTAGTTTGATGGAGGTTTGTCAGGAAGGAAAAGCGCTCTTTGCTTTGCTTTAGTTGTGCTTCTTCAGGCTGCGGGCCTCGAGGCAGAGACCGAACTTGGACTGGCAGCCGCAAGAGGGCCTGCACTGCAGAATCTTGCTGCCGCACTTGCCGCTGGCGGAGCAGCAGGAGCCAAAGGTGCTACCCTCGCAGGTAAAGCCGGTGCTGCCACCGCAGGTGCCGTCGGTGGAGGCAACGAGACCGCCCGTGGCGGGAGCGGAGGCAGAAGGAGCGGCAGGGGCAGGGGCAGGGGCAGCCGGGGTGGGAGTCGGGACGGCGGCGGCGGGCGGGTTGGTGGCGACAGGGTCCTCGGCGGCATACACGGCCGAAGGGGTAGCCGCAGCAGCGGGGGCAGAGGAAGAAGCGACGGGGACAGCGGTCTTGGAAGGGGTGGCGGGGGCCGGGGCGGGGGCAGCGTTGTTGGCGGAGCCGCCGAGGAGGTTGAGGTTCACGGCGGCGGGGATGGGGCCGGGGGCGGCGACAGTCTTGGCAGTCATCTCGATGGTGGGAGGGCCCTGGAAGTTCATAGCTGTGCACTGGGCCGAGATGCCCTTGCACATCATATCGTTCCAGACGTAACAGTTGGCGGCGCCGGTGGGCGGGGCGGAGTCGAAGCACTCGTTGCCCTGGGCGTAGCAGGCGTCGACGCCGGCCCAGCAGCCCGTCTGGGTGGTGTAGGCCGCGACGGCCTTACCGCACCAGTTGGCGTTCTTGATCAGGCAGTCGGCGGGGACGCCGCCCTCAAAGGATGTGGCCTGTACGCTGGAGGAACTGGTGCTGGCGGGGCTGTAAACTTGGGGGCCGGGGATGGGGTAGGGGAACTTCGGGTTGTCGTAGAGGTTGAAGTTGTTGCCGGGCTCGGAGCCGTCAATGTAGCCGGGGATGCTAACAGAGTCCTGGGAGGGGATTTCGAGAGCACCGGAGGGACCGTCGGAGATGTGGATCTGGGCGCAGCCGACGTAGTACTGGGGGTCGTGGAGGCTGACAGCCTGGTGGAGGGCGAGGATCTCGGTGCGGATGAGATAGTAGCCTGCGGGGAGGCCGGAGGGGAGCTCGACGGTCAAGAGACCCTTGTTGGCGATGAGCTTGTCGGTGCACCACTGCTGGGTGGACTCGTCGTAGCCCTCGTCCCAGATCTTGAACCAGTTGGGGCCGGCGGCGGCGGTCGTCATGTCGTCAACTTTCTTGACATAGACGGAGCAGGGACCCCTGTGGGAAGGGTCGATGGAACCCTGGGCACGCGCATCGGGCCACTGGCGGAACTCGAAAGTGAGCTTCGAGTTGCCGGGGGCAGCGCAGGTGTAAGCGGCGGCGATCTGGCCGTCCTTGCCTGTGGGTATTGTCAGTATATGTGAATATCAAGATGAGCAGCGTCTGAGCTGGATGAAGGCATGATGGCTTACCGCAAGCCATATCGTTGCTGGTCAGGCCGGCAACGGGAGAGGTGGAGGTCGCTCCATCCTTGGGCATACGGATGCAGGTAGCTTCGCCTTGGGACTCGCCGTTGATGTACAGCTTGGACATGAGGGTGTGGGCGTTGGCAGCAGCGGCCATGGCCAGGGCAGTGGTGAAGAACTTCATTTTGATGGATGGAAAGTTGGATATCCTGAGACAAGTGGTGGTTGTTTTTGGTGCGAGAGAACGTCGAGGTCTGAAAAATCGGGTTTTGTGTGTACAGCTGAGAGCAGGCCTGCTGAAGAAGTCGAGATCGAAGATATCGAATAAAGGACTGAAATGTAGTTGGTGTTTGTTTTGCGAAGTGTAAGCGCTTGGCTTTGCCTTGTTCAAGGAGTGGAACTGTTCAACAGTGACTTCGTGCTGGACGAGAGAGACTGAAGGAGCAAACGACTGACGGAGAGTGGTTTGGCTCGAAGGGGTATAATGAATGTAAAGTTCGTTCAAGAAAGAGGACGAACAAGAAGGGAGTGTAGTATCAGCGGCCAGCTGTGTACAGAACGCGATGGGGGTCGGAAAACAAAAAGAGAAAGGCGGCCCGGTATCGAGGGCCCCGAGATGGGTTTATATCAACCAACCAACGGACCACTACCCCAGTCTTCCATGACAGGCCCGGTACAAGGGCGAGCCGCGAGAGAGGGTCAGCAACAGTGCCACAAGAGAGAGGGCGGTTTGCAATGTGCCCTTGACCCTCTCCGAGACTCCATCACCCAGTTGGAAGAAGCACTAGCTAGGGGCGGAAGCGAATAGTGGCACTCTCGCTCTCCAAGAAGGTCAACCGCTTTGCACGCCCCCCCTTTAGACGTGCAGCTCCGCTCCTGCAAGGCCACGGGCAGACCCCCCCTTGTTGTTGCTTGCTCCATCTCTCATCTCGGGCAGCCTGGTACCTTGCAGAAGGCAACATAATGTGGTAGCAGCAGCAGCAAGTCCTGAGTCTGCCACCACCTCCACTCCCATCTTTCTTCGTCACCATCCTATCTGTGCCTCTGCCGCGCCGCCATCTTGCCCCCAGTTCCCGACTTGCAGGTTACATTAGGTGGTGCACTAGCGCGGTCATTCTGCCGAAAAGGGCACGCTTCAAGACAAATTGCCGCCGCTAGGTTGGTGGAGTTCCAACAGGAAAGCTGGAAGGATACGGGATGTACGGATACGGATTCGTTTGAGGGTTCCCTCTCTCTCAAGTGAGTCAAGCCTCTGGCGGCTGGCCTCTGCCTGCCTAAGCTAGCCATGGGTGTCAGATCATGGTGCCGGGGGCGAGGGGGGCGAGGGGGCACAGCAGAGATACCGTGTAAAGAGAGATACGGGTTCGTGTGGTGAGAGACTGGGGAGTAGTGCATGGGAGAAAAGGAAAAACAGCCTGACCAACAGCAAAGAAGCCTTGGCCCTGCCAAGAAAAACCCACTGACAAACAGAGAGGAAATCATATTGCAGGGCCTCGTGGCGTGCGTTAGTGGGGACAGCGGAGATGGGAAGATGAAACAGAAGTGGGCGGCGCTACTTTGCACCCATCCGCCATCCCATGTTTCCCATCGTTTCCCTCAATCCTGGGTGCCTGGGTCCATGGGTTGCGGGTAGCCGCGCCCACCTTCCCCCACCTCTCCCCCCCCGAGTCCCCCGACAACACGCATACCAAGTCAGATAGTCTGGACTCTCGGAAGTTGGAACTGCAGCGCTCTGCCTTCCAAGACCGGATCATCGTCATGGAAGGACGAAAAAGCCCGGTAGCTGCAGATGGAGACCCATCTTGGCCAGGCATGCCGCGCTAGAATCTTTGCTTGCACCCCGATGTGCTGGACCTTCCAACGTATATGCGAATGCAATGTAATGTACGTAGTAGGTACGAACATAGCACCTCAGCATGAGAGCGGGTAAGGAAACGTGCAGTCTGCAGAGCAGAGAGGAAAGTTCAGACGCCGTTTTAAGACTCGTCGATCTCCCCTGGCACTAAACCAATTCAGTACATTTGGTAGCGCCGAAATGGTGCAGATTCGCAGGTGGTGGGCAGGGGCAGGCGGAGGAGGAAGAAGAAGAAGAAGAAGACGATGATGGGGTTTAACTCGAGTCAATCAACTCCCGTGAGTCGCGTTCTGTCGATTGATTCCAGGAGATACCGTACGGATAATAACTTGGACTTCCAAGCCGGGCGGGAAAGTCCAGGGGCCCAGGGGCTCGGGAGATCGGGAGGGAGGCTGTCACCAGGCTGCCGACTTCAGCTTTAAACTCGTGTTTAGTGTTTCCCTCCGCCGCCACAAGCTCGGCCGTTTGGCGATGGCGTTGGCCTGGAAAGGGTAAAAAGACAGGCTTGGCTGCGTCGGTTGATCGTCTCGTTGAATGATTGGCACAAGGGGGAGCGGGAGCTTGGGAAGGGGGTTGGAAGTGTTTGTATTAGCAGAAGGGGGCCCAGAAGAAACAATCTGTCACTTGGAATCTGAGTATGGAAAGATGAAAAAAATGAGACGAACCACTATCGAGGCGAGACATTCAATCAACTCCTGACCATCGGCTGACGGCTAGCTACCTGTCGGGCACACACACACACCAAACGCTGCCAGTGTTGTACGTATCTGTCTGGACCTTATCTTAGCCAATACACTTGAGTAAGGTAGAGTCTGGAATGACACCAACACAGTACGGATAAGGTTAAAACAATTAGGCCGACTGGCTTGAAACTTGGGAAACGCACCTTAACATCGATTAAGTAAGCTGCTGCTATGTAAGCTTGACTGCAAAGTTGGAACGTATAACTGGGCCGCCCCAAGACGAAGAGAGGGAGGGCAAGAAAAGGAAGGGGGAAAAAGAGGAGCTGGACCCGGAGGCACGCAGGTCCCAGTATTACCAACTCTTCCCACTTCCAACTCGTCGATCCAGTTTCTCCAGTTTACAAAGACCAATCACGATTCATCCAAAGAGTCCAAAGTCCAGTCCAGCCAAGTCCAGCTCATTCTTTTCTCAACCGTGATGGCCTTTTCTATCCGTACACTATGGATACTCCAGGAAGGATTGCCCAGGTTACGTTTAACAGCAAGAGAAAACCACAAAAAAAAAAAGTCTTGTTTCTCGTCGCGGACCAGCTGGTGACCAGGCGTCACGCCCTGCCAAGCACCCACTCCAGATCCCACTTGTGACCTGTCCCGAGCCGCCGTTTCGTTTAAAGTCTTGGGGCATTCTCGGGAACCACGCAAGGAAAAGACGAGACGAACATCCCTCCATGCGCATCCAAATCCAAACCAACCGTCCCCTACGTTCCCGATTGGCGGCTGAGTATGGCTAAACATTGCACGCAGCCGCCTTACTGCGTCAAACGAGCACCTCAGCTTCGAATTGACTCTGGGCCCCCGTAACATGCCCCCATCTGCCCCCCCAAACCCCCTGTATCAGAACGAAAAGAGGATCAGCAAACGACTGGCTCACGTTCATCGCTGACAAGATCCTCAAAAAAGTCTCGCACCCCAACCTTGATCTCCACAGTTTTCGCGGTGTCTTCCTTCTTCAACCCTGATCCATGGATCCCTACGGATACCGCCTACCTACCTCCTTCCCTGGTGGGACGACATCACCAAAAAAAAAAAAAAAAAAATAGGGGTGGCCGTCTGCGTCTAGAATCTGGATTGCCCGACTCGTGGTCTTCTCCCCGGCGAAAATCCACCGTCTGCCCGGGACACCCGTGGGTTGCATCTCTTTTTTCACCCAGTCTCTCTCACTCACAATTCTCACTGATTCCCTCTCCCGCGGACCATGACCATGGGCCGTGAGTTGTGTCTCCGTAAGATTCCCACTTTCCATGTGGACAATGCACAATCTCGGAGCGACTCCTCTATTCTCTCGCTTCTTTCTTGATCTGAGCAAAGTTGTTTAATTACAATGTATGTTTATCCCAATTTTCTCTGCTTGTTTATCGCCCATGGCTGCCTTGTCCCCAGTCAGATCGTACCTATAATGGACGAGGCTTAGCTGCTAGCTGCACAACACCTCTCCCCCGTTGAGGATTCATTATCCGTTTCTGTTTCCTGTCTTCCAACTCGTCACAATGACCCGGGGTTGTACTTGCCCATTCATCGCCGGGGAGAAGCCGCGTCCGAACAATCTCATTGTTCTCCACTATACACTTTTCATCAACGAGCAAGAGCATTCCAGCACCGTACGAAGGGGGACCGGGGGAACAATAGGCCATTGGGAAGTTGGGACAATGGAGTGGTGAGACAGGAATGATAGAAATGACTCGGACACCAGCCGAGCCTCATTGCAAAAATCCATCCCCCATCCACAGGACCACAGGCCGCAGGCCGCAGCCCGCGTGCGCGGCATCCCCAGATGAAATCTTGATTGCAATCCAATATCAAGCATTCTGTCCTCCGTAGTCTGTATGTATTATTAGGTGCGCTTTTCCGCGCACTCGCCCGTCCCGAAGGATTGCTTATCTGTCTTGTACCGCCCACACTTGCAGGTCCGGGCAGGCGAAGGGCAACAAAAGACCATAAAAAAAACTCACCACAACAGAGCACCCCCTGCCCCCCTTACCTCTGATGCTACAGTACGGATACGCCGCTCCATTCTGAACCGAAGCCGACTTGCCAAGACAAGCTCCCAGACACATCGATCCGAGAGCCTTACCATACATCGTCATCGAAGCCAAACAAGTGCCTCCTTGTTGTTGTTGTTGTGCACGTGTGCCTTGTATGTGCGCATCCGAGAGGATGGCTGCACAAAACGGATCCCCGTCTTGGCGAAAAGGGACAAGCCGTCAATGTAGCGAGTAAGTGACATACGTCCTGTCGTGGCCGTTGTTTACTGCTGCTACCCTAGCCCGGCGAATGCCTGCCTCATATGCCCCAGTCCATCAACATGTCTAAATGCTTCTGACCGACCACCTAAAACGACAACGACTGAGTCCAATCCACCACGGCCAGCTTCCTTACCGGCATCATCATGATCATCCACTTGACTCGTGTAACTTGATCGGGTGTCGCTTGGTGTATGCCACCCACGCCTGAGTCAGCCTCCTACTTGTCCTTAGATTTGATAGTGAGGAGAGACGAGCCTATGCTGAGGATTTTGAAAGTAAGCGGAGCCCGTAAAGACGTGTTTAAACTGGCAAAGTCATTTGCAACTGTGCGATGTCACCGGCTGCCCTTGATAGCTGAAGACTCTCTCGAGGCCGCATTGAAGTCGCACATATCTCTTCCCCATGGCATATGTTACTTACTCATGACACCTCCTCACGAAAGTATGGCGTCGAGGTCAGTTGTCAAGTGCCACCATGATTCCAAGCGCAACCACACAGCTCACACAGCTCACACAGGGTGGTGGCTACGAGAACATCACACTGGACTGAGGGAAGAACCACAGAGGGTTGGTTGAATTGCAGAGAGGAGAGGTTCCTTCATGAAACAAAACCCACGAAGGGGAGGCAGTTCCGGACATGGGTAGAGCAAGAAGCGAGGGAAGGGGAAGACTCGCGTTGCTCACTCGAGTCTCCCTCTGCTCGAGCTTGTGGTCCCTTTGCCCGTCTTCTCAGAAGCTCCCCCGCCTCCCCCTAGCGGAAGCTAAAGCACACCTGCTACCATTACACCCAAAAACAATCTCTATGCAAAAGGCCGAGCCTGTCACTCCCTCCATAATACATTCTCCCAGGTTGATGGTAAATCTGAATACTGGGCGGGATTCACCCGCCCTTATTTCGCTCTCATTTTTGGGGTTTCTTTTGATACACGGTATTGTACACACGCCAAAGACCTCGTGGGTATCTTTTCACTTCTTTGTTTTTTCTTTGGAGTTTTGTAGATTTCTCTCTCTTATGACTCGTTGATCTTGGCCAGGATCCTGGAAAAAGGACACTCCAGTTAGCGCCTTTGTCTTCCATGATGTGACAACCGGCTTGGCACCAGCCATGGATTTGGAAGTACGACAGGGTGCTTGGGGTATGGACTTACTCGCTGTCGCGGAAGAGGTGGTACTCCTCCTCACCGACCTTGACGGGGGAGCCGCCGAACTGCATTACATCTCGTTAGCCTACTGGGTCTACGTGGTTGCATCCGTTTACTCTCTTCGTCTTTCCTGCTTCTCACGTCCCCATTATCCAGTACACTATTACCTCTTCTGCCGGCAGAATGCGGGTGAATAGAGTCTTAAATACATAGAGACCTGAAGCTGCAAAGTCCCGATGCTACATGTTCACAGACGGGAATAGGGGTGCGGGAAAAGATGGGTATGAGCGCTGTTGTGCATCGGGCATACCTGGGGAATCAGGACGCGGTCACCGGAGGCGACGCCCATGGGTAACCGCTTTCCGTCTCTGTCAAAGGCACCGGGGCCAACGGCGAGGACCTTTGCCTCGTTGAGCTCCTTGACGGAGGACTCGGGGAGGAAGATGCCGCTGGCGGTCTTGGTCTCGGCCTTGACGCGCTGGACGAGGACGCGGTCCAGGAGGGGGGCGAGGGCACGGATGGAGCGGAAGGAGGCAGACTGTTTTCGTTGTAAGATGTCTGGTCAGCACATGTTTTCACCGGGGGGTGAAGATTATTGTTGCTTTGCAATGCTTCTTCTGAGCAATTGGGAAGCTCCGCCGGGATTACTGGGTAGAATTGTAGTGCCAACGTACCATTGTGACTGTTGATATGAATTGGCAGCAAGAGCGCAACTTTGATCTGTGTAGAGGGATTGACAAATGACGTTCGGAGGGATGTGAAGTCGATACGGAGGACGAACTTTAAGTCTTGAAGCTATTCCAAGAGCTTCCAGAATGTCAACAATTTTTTGGGCCGATCGGCCAAAAGATTTTCCCGATGGCCCCCACCATACCACCTGCTTATTGTCTGATTGGCTGCATGTGCCGAGGAAGAGCAATGTCGTTCATGCCACCAAATTGTAAGGTACTACCAGAACTGGGGACTTTTCCACAGAATGGCTTTCTGTAATGTAAGACAAGGCGTCCATGACACACTCTTGATACCACAAAGGCGAGGGCGGTCAGGCTGACATATTAGGTCTTTGCCAACTAATATTGTTTACCTATCTAATCAATCAATCAATCGCTTGAAACAAGGCAAGGCCGTGAGCTGAGCCGTTGCAACATCTACCTAACCAGAAGACGGACTCCCGTACCACCCAAGCTCCAATGTCATCGCTGTTTCCTCAACCTCGAGGGGTTCATGTCATGCCAAGTGTCTCCTACATCCCGTTCCCTTCCCAAAATCCCATCGACAACCAAAAAACGCCGTTTGAACATGCAATTTCAGGTGACCGTTCCCGTGCAACTACGAATCATCTACTTCTGGGGCTGTGGTGGCTCCAGAGTGTGAAGATGATCCTCTGCGTGCACTACGCGGCCCGGCTCGGGTTGTTGGCAGATGACTGTGTTTGCAACCCAAGGTTCGTCGAGAATCTCTTGCATCGTCGCCCTGTCCTTCACTTTGATCTCCAGCATGCGCCCAATAATGTGTCGACTCTCGCGAGGAAGCAGACGCAAGATCCGCCACGGACCCCTGATGACCTCTTTCTTGTCTGCTGGCTGTTGGCCCTCGGTTTTGGTCGAAGGCTGCGTCACACTTCCCTGTGTTGCATCCCCCTCGCCGTCTTTCTGGACTTCCTTCTGGACGTCCTTCTGACTCTCCTTGTGACTTTCCTTCTGGCTTTCTTTTGCTTCGTGTCTATGAGCATGGTGCTTGCCATCCTCAAAGATGTCTCTCTGAGGAGTATTTGTGAGGTCGTTGGCAGACCTTGACGGCATAATAAGCTTCTTGGGGTCGTGTCCCGGCGTTGGCTCAGCTGCGAAAAGCTTGAATGAGTTGTCCGTCATGCGAGGGACCTTCCATGGAAATCTGCGCAAAGTCATGCAGCAAAAGATGATTGCAAGTGACCAAATATCGACAGCCTGGGGATCGTACTTTCGCTCGTCGTAAACTTCAGGAGCCAAGTAAGGGTCGGAGCCCACGATACCTACAACTAGTCAGCCCACGCATCAAGACACAGTCCAAGACTATACTAACCTGAAGCGAGAACAATATCGCTCTCGAACGGGTACTTGTAAACATGGGCACTGCCAAAATCGATAATTTTCATAATGCCATGCTCACTGACCACGACATTGTCAAGTTTCAAATCCCGATGAGCCAGACCCATGCTGTGGAGATAGGTCACGCCGTTGAGGATCTGCAAGAAGCAGCAGCCGACTTCTTCTCGTGTCATTTTGCCGGTCATGACACACGCAAAAAGATCAAACGGAGCGTATTCCATGACTTCGTACCATTTGCCTTTCTCCTGCACAATGTCCAACGTCTCGATGACATTGCCATGGTGTAGGGTTGATCCGACGCAAAATTCAGCCGTCAGCTTCTTAACGTACTCTTTCTCGGTTTCGTAAGAATGTCTCGGTCGGAATTCCTTGACGGCGAAGACAACACCATCATCACTGCGCTTCATCAGACGAACAGATCCTCCAGCACCTGACCCAAGCACTCTGCCGAGCTTTCCGTATTTTGAAGACAGCCCATGGTCGTCTCCGAACGGAACGTGTTGCGACCCTCTCGTAGGGGGTGTCTTGGTGCCCGAGCGGACTGACGCTGGGGATGCTTCCCTCTTCATTTTGTGATGCCCGCCGACCTTGAAGAATCTCTTGAGGTCCGCAAAGGAGCCTTGTCTACTCGTGATGCTCGCTGAATCATCGTGAGGGACCTGCAGCTCATCACCGTGTCCTTTCAAGTTGCCCAACAGCCCGGAATGTCTTTTGTCGCTTGCTCGGCCCAGGCTCGAAGTGGAACCAGATGGCGAACCGTGCTTGTTCTTCCGGCGCGAAAAAACAAATCTCGAGTCAATCTGGCCGCGCTGAGGAGCCGGAGCCGGTGGTTGACGTTTGTGAGCCGCATAAGGGTCGTTGGCATCTCCGCCTGGCGTCATGGGCTTGGAATAGTATAGTGAGGCTCGAGATGGACTAGATTCTCGCGAAACCGGTACTGATCCTCCAGGACCAACAGAGAACATCCCCTTCCTATGCGATCTGGTGTCGTGCTCTCGATCTTCCGCAGAAGCTGATCGTTGAGGTACCTCCTCCGTCGACTTGCCTCGAATGGGCAATTGTTTACTGCTTGATGATGGTGGTGAGTCCTGAGAAGAGGAGGCCTGAGGAGTGATGACATGGGGATCGCTCGTGGATGACTTGCGATCGTCATTTTGATCACCGCTCCTTCTGGATGTCGGGTCAGATGGATCGGTCCCCGCCGGGGTTAGGGGAGGTGACTGCATCGGATGCGCCGGACCAAACCGCGGCGATTTCGGTCCGCTGGAGTTCGGGGTCGGCAGTCTACTGTTATCAGAGTCTTCTTCTCGCGAGCCGACCTACAAGTAACGGTGGTTTAGTAAGAAGCAAGTTGTGCAGGCTGGTGCGTGCGATGTGGTGACCGACTGGTGTTGTCATGACAGGTTGGGGGTTAAGTGGGATGAGCATGAGACTGATCATTGGAGCTTCCGACGAGGAGCTCCATCGAGAAGAAGCCTCAGATGATTGTAGTGCGAAGACAAGGTGAGATGTTTGGGCAAGGCAAGTCTGAACGTCGAGGCAGAGCTGGTTGGGTAGAGGGGTAGGTAGGACACTTTGAAACACAGCGCATCAAGGCGGACGCCCAAGCCAACAGGAAGCAACGTCAAGAGCCCCCAAGGCCACGCATAAACTGAAGAATTATGACGGGCGGACTACTTACGCGTGATGCAGGTAGTGAGTATGGTTCAAAGCCAAAGACGTTCATCCGGCGCTGCTGCAACGGCGCACCTTGGAGGGACTTTGAGAGAGCTCTCAGCTGATCGGGCGTTACTTCGGCCAAAGACTCGTCTCCATCTCCGGTAGCGGCGTCGGTGGGAGACAGAGTCTCGGTGGGTGATGTCGTGGTGACGGTGGGCGTTATCTCTTCGACGGAAGAAGCGAAGCGAACGGCGGGAGCATCTTGAGGCGTCATCTTGTCGCCTTTGTGGAGATTCGGGTTATCTGGAGCGTTGTGCGTGATTTCTAGGCATTGCGCACAGCGGTCAGCACAAGACGAGATCTGTGTTGAGAATGAGATGTAGGTTTGGGGTGTGAGCGTGGGCGTGGGCGTGGGCGTTGGTGCGTGAAAGATTGGGCGAGTGAGTGTTCATTTGACTGTGACATGCGCAACAGACGAACCGAGGGCGGGGTTGCGCGCGCCGGAACAGACGGAAGGATATGGCGTTTGTACCTGGGACTTTAGCATCCTCTTTCTTAGGATCGCGGGCGGGAGACGAGGTAGCCGTGGGTTTAGCTGGTGCAGTGACAATGGTCTGCTCGTCGTCTGCAGCTTCTCTGGAGTCGAGAAGGACGGTGATGACAGCAGATGGCGGGGAAGAGGAGCGAGAGGAAAGAAAACCGAGACCAGACGACGACAATACGAAGGATCGGGCTTGGAAAAGAGAAAAGTACGGATACCCAGGACTGGATGAGTGTGGATGCCAAATGCGGATGGTGGGGCACTTTGAGGTGCACTAAGGCTAAGGAACCTAAGGCAAGGTAATCACTGCGCGTGGAAAAGGTACCGCTAAAATGCACAGCATATGTAAGTACTCGGTAAGCATTCTAAAACACTGTTGACGGAGGATATCTCCCTGTGATTTGGCGTGTAATTGATCAACCACGTTGTCGCATGCTCTTCTCATCTCACGTCTTTTCCTGTCACTGTTTGGCTTAAGACTTGGATGAATAGGTGAAGAGTAAGGTAACCTGAAGATACATGGTAGGTATGATGGAAGGTAAGTAGACACCGGGACCCGAGGGGGGAATATCAAAGTGAGCCCGAACCCGGCACAGATACGTATCGCAGAATATCGAGTGTGCTGTTCATGGGTCCGCCGACCTCCTGTAACCCATAGCCAGTTCCGAGCCAGGTAAGAGGGCCAGAAAGTATACAATACCTACCTTCCTCTGCTGGTCGGATGAGCTTGGAAAGGGTGCAATCTGAGTGGTCAATAGGGATCGTTATCCATTCCTTATCGGGGAAGCGGTGGACTGGATAAGGTAAGGTAAGACTCCGTGACATGGTACTGGAGCACCTGAGCCGCCGAAAGGGAGCCGAGTGAGGGAAGGGGGACGAATAGGTGCCGTACTTGGCAGTTTACTAGGCACGGGCACCTACGCCCAAAAAACCATGGGTGTATTGCGCGTACGGATATCTGCATCAGGAACCCTGCCGAAGACGAAGCCCTTGGCCCCTTGCCTGCCCTGTGGCGATCGAAATGTTCTATTTTTTTTCTACCTCGCCTTTTACGGATACTGACCTATGGTGCGGGTAAGTATCCCGGCTTCTCTACCTACTGTATACAGTAGACTTCATTCGTGGCCCGTGGTCCGTCGGTCATCGGCTTTTCCCAATATCCCTCCCGAAAGTGCCTCCAAAGTGCCCCCAATTTGCGCCAGGGGCTGGCTTCTTGGCTTCCCATCCGTGACACATGCGACAGCTGTGAGGCGGAACTCGGCCAATCCCTTTGGTCACATTTTCACCGTTTTTACGAATCTCGCAAAACACCAACAAGACACCCATGAATGTTGACGGGGTTTGCCGGCTTCGGCCGCGGCCCGATCTCCGCCAGGCCGAATGACTCTTCCGAGTTCCCGCGTCTCTGAAAATCCTTTCTTCTCATTGCGCCGCTGAGGGCCGAAAGTACTGAAGTCATGGCACCGATCCAGGGCATACCCAACCACCAGGTCAACGAACGCCAATGCGCGCCAGATTATTCGACAATGCACCACTTGCCTAGGCCTGGACGAACGAGTCAGCCCGCAAGGAAACGAACGCACACCAATCCCAAGTCGCCTTCGCCCTCCTTTAACAAACGAACAACAGATTACTTTCTCAGAAGGCAGTCTGAGAAGTCTTCTGAGAAGTCTTCTGAGAAGTTGGGAACGCACATTCGACGACCCACCATAATCCCGTCATCCACCGGCCTACATGAGCCGTGAGGTCCAATTCTCTGTCAGCTTCCAGCTGATGGACAGGAACAGACGGAGCTTTGCTCCCCTCTCCCCCAGCTGCCTACTAACCCGAGACACATTTTCAGAGAACATGCCGAGACGTACCTCGATACCTTGCCTGCCCCTCATCCCGGCCTATCGCCGCATCTCCGGTTCCAGACCGACGAGCCCAGCACAGTGGCGTGGTCGTTGTTGTCGTCCCGGTATTGCACTCACAGCATGAAAACGGCCACTGTTCCGTCACATCACCGGCTTCGAGTCGGTCCCACTCTGGAGGCGTCTTGTTGCAGATGACAGGCTGCTGCTGATGGAACCATTATTCGGGCACGCTGCAAAAAGAGGACGGCTTTCCAGGGGCACAGGGTGTGCAATTCATCTCCATCGGCATTGCCCTGGCATTGTGCCACTGTCTAGATCTGGGCCTGCATTTCATCGCGCTCAGCGGGCCTCCGCTGGGGGGAGCTGAAGCACCTCCTCGCGCGAGCTTCTCAGCGGAAGCTTTGCAGCTTAGGACAGGTCAGAAATTGTCCACGACACCTCACCAACCACGTGCAGGAAGACGTGTAAGCTTCCATTTTCAAGTCTCAATAGTTCTGTCGATCCCGATTGCGAAGCTTCTGGAGACCTTCAGCCAGCTCTTCTCCACTGATGTTCTGGCTTCGCCGCTTGCATATCAATTCTAGACCGCTGATCGCACATCTGACTTTGGACCGACCTTGTCGACTCGTTTCCCCATCTACTTCCGTGCTCAGCACGTCACGATGAGGCTTTTCCATCAAATCCTCCTAACCTGGCACACAGAGCTCTGTTTAGGCCATGCGCCAATCCGCCTTGTGTCGTACTCACGAAGGCGTGCTGCAAATAGACAGCATTTTGTCAGTCTTTTACCATTTCCCGCCAATTTTTTTTTTCCTATTTCTCGAAAAAAAAGGCTAGACGGCTAGTAATGTCGGTCGCCCACGGACGGTCGCTGAACATGCACCGTCGAGCACCAGGAGAAGCATGAGAACGGACTTCGCCTCAAAACGAGACATTCCGACGTCACTGCGCAATTGGGACTTCTGGGGCGCATGAAGCATCCCTTCAGACGTGCCATGTCCCGACCGCGCGGCGCTAGTGTATGAACGTTTTTCTTGTGCCGTGCTCTGCCTTATTCTTGGCGGTTGAGATTCTCATCGTACAGTACCTCCTCCTGCTATTCTAAACTCGCCTCTAGCCTCCAATAATTGTACAGTGGGCACGCTCTTATTCGTCCGAGATGGTATACAAGTGGATGCTTTCCGCGCCTGACTCCGTTTTTATACTTGATTGAAAATAGACTGTCGCAGGACAAGTGCTCTATGGCACAACGTTGATACCAATGGACTTGCACTGGTAGATGACGGAGCGGCAGATCGACTCGAGGCCGAGACCTGATAGACGCATTTCTGTCTGCTTGATCTTGGCGATCTCGTAGACATGCTTCAAGCTGACAGTTCCGACCGTCTCCTTGCCGGGGTTCATTGCGCCCTTCCGCTTGCCCTTCTTGCCGAGAGGCACCTCGGCGGCGTTAAGGAGAAGCCACGATGTGTGAGGTGTGCGAATGTCAAAATGAAATGATCGGTCGCCTCGGACAGTAACTCGACAAGGCATCGGCGTGCCGCTGATGATGTGTGCTGTTCTTGCATTGAACTCCTATAATTGAGCAAAGACGCGTTAGCATTGATCTCAACCATGGCATAACCGCCCCCTTAAAGCACAGATGTTGGGCAGAGAGTGGCATGTGTTGCTTCACCAGGTCCCAAGGGCAAGTCTCTCACCTTGCAAAAGTCCATCGACTTGACACCCTTGCTACCCAGCGCAGGACCGACGGGGGGACTCGGGCTCGCCTGCCCGGCGCCCACGATGAGCTTCACGACCTGGTCGGCAATCGTCGCTCCTCTCTTCGACATGGTGGCGGATATACAGACAAGTCTGCTCGTTGGGAAGGGGAGTAGCAGGTGGGAGGTGATTGGCAGGTGTATGCGCCGCGACAACCAAGCTAGGTTCAATCCATCAGATGCTGCTCACTGTTCGGAGGTGGAAAATTTAGGATCCTTGATGCACCAGCCACGCGCCAACAGTCCAAGCGACCGGGATGCTCGGGGAACGCAGGTCCCACCCTGGTCGCATTAGCCACAGTTTCACCGTCACTGGGTCGTGGGATGACCCCTCGGCCCCTCAGCTGGTTCTTGTTTGGGGCGGTCAACTCAACTTCTTCTCAACTCGGTTTTCCCTTAAGAACACAAACGAGAAGCTTGTTCTCTCATTACCCCGTGTATAAACCTGTTGCATTTTTCCGGCATCGACGACCCCTATTTCCCTACGTTTCTATCCGTCGTCACCTGCCTACACGCCCTGCCGTCAATATGTTCAAGTGGGCGCAACAAAAGTAAAAGCGTTTGCCGTTTCTCTGTTGCGTCAGCCAAGGCTAACCTCTAATTCTGCCAGGCTCGCCGATGTGGCGGGTACCCAAGAGCCCATCTACGGCCCAACAGCTATCAGATCCGTCGCCGAAGAGGCCAAGACGACCACCCATACGCAGATCACCAAGGATGATTTGAAATGGATCGCGGCCGACTCGACCTCAGTCGAGACGCAGAGCTTCTACCTGATGGGCGACAATGGACATCTGGGACTGGCCCAAATCATCTACAGCAACGTTGGGTATGGTGTAGCTTTCAAACCCTCCGCGTCTGTCTCTTTCATACTGACCCAATGTTCGATTAGTGGCATTCGCACGACATGCCAGTTCAACGCCAAGATCTTTTACCCTAACAAGTCGAAACCGACGCTCTGGGAGACCACACAGCTCAGCCACTACGAGGTGAGCGAGGATCGGTTGTCCTTCTACGCCGACGACTGCGCCGTCGAGCTATCCGAGGACGGGACCTACTACACGATCAAGAGCATGAACTCGGAGAACGCCATCGTCAACCTCAAGGTCACCCGCACGTCGCCCGGTTTCCACGCCGGCGAGACGGGCAAGACGCTGTTCGGCACCGACATGTCGAAGCCGTGGGGAACCATGCGCCACGCCTTCTGGCCGCGCTGCGTTACCGAGGGCACCATCACCACCAAGGACGGCGCCGTCGACTTCAAGGGTCGGGCCTTTTACGTGTACGCGCTGCAGGGCATGAAGCCTCACCACGCGGCGGCCAAGTGGAACTTTGTCGACTTCCAGGGCCCCAACTACTCGGCCGTCATGATGGAGTATACCACCCCTCCTTCGTACGGCTCGACCACCGTCAGTGTTGGCGGAATCGCCAAGGACGGCGAGATTATCTACGGCGGTGTCACCCAAACGGCCAAGCACACCAAGGCGAAGAATGATTCCGTGAATGAGTGGCCCGAGCCCGAGGAGATCAAGTTCACCTGGTCCGGCACAGACAAGGACGGCAAGACCGTGGAAGGTGTCGTCGAGGGCTCGCTGGGCGAGAGGCTGGACAGAGTGGATGTGCTGGCTGAGGTTCCCGGCTTCGTCAAGAAGATAGTAGCTGGCACGGCCGGCACTAAGCCATACATCTACCAGGTAAGCTCCAGTCCCATGTCTCAAGTATTCCAACGAGCCAAGCTGATAGCTATTGCAGTACTGCCCGACAGAGACGAAGCTTGTCTTGAAGCTCAAGATTGGAGATCAAGAGATCTCCGAAGAGGGTCTCTGCTTCAGCGAGGCCACTTTCATCTCCGAATAGACATGGATAATGAAATGACGGCGATGGATTCTTGGGTAGTTTTTGCCGGTCTGGTTAGGCGTTCAGATGGGGGCTGTGGTCACTCGTTGATTGGGTACGCAAACTTGTTCTATAAAGCTGTTCTAATACAAATACACACTTTCAATATTCTGAATACGGCTTGCAAGTACTCCTCAACACGAGTAGACGCATCAAGTCTCACATCCTGCTCGCAGACAGCATAGCTTCACTGCTTCGTGCCGTCTCAGCTCAGTCCCCTCAAAAGCTGGGGCATTACGTAGACCCCGACCCCGACTTCTGAGTTCTCTCTTGAAACAAGACATATGACAAACCTTTCGCCTGCAAGTTCCCTGCTCCCGCGACGCAACAGGGGGGGTTCGTACAGTGTCTGCCACGCCTTTCTACGGTGTTTTGGCACGGGGCAGCGCAGCACAGGCCAAGCCGGTCCGATAAGACTGATTAGGCAGGAGCGCTTACTGCCTGCGTCTGAGGTGCGTAAAGCCCCTTGAGCTCTCAAGACTGGTAGGTGGGTGCCTCGAAACACCCAGCCTAAGGTAAGATACCTCAAGGTACAGCTCCCCTACATCAGGTGCTGAGACGCCGAGGTGCTCCGGCCTGCTCAAGAGCATCCCTCCCACGGTCACCACAACAAGCCCCGCTCGTGCACCACCCATCACCACGAAGTGCCTCTACCTTAGACAGGTTGCGACAACCCGAACCGACAACAACCCAAACAACCTCCCTAACCCGGGGGTGTTCCGCGAACTACATCATTCAAGATGCCGCCCATGACTGCGTACCGTGGCGGCCCGGGCGCCAGCAGCGGCGGAGGCAAGCGCGGTACTGCGTCCAGGGTGATGCCCATGGGCGGGAAGTCCAAAACGGTCCTGCTCAACGCGGGCACGGGTGCGAAGCGACACCGGTAGGGCCTATTTTTCCCCATCAGTTTGTTCACTTGTCGTCAGGTGGGATTGGGCTTACTGACCAAGAGAGTAGAAAAATCATGAAGGATTGTATCCGGGGGATTAGTACGTAAAACTTTGACTCTGTTGACGACGAATACACTGTGAAGATGATTAGCTGACCTGTACGGTCTTCTTAAGCTAAGCCTGCTATTCGGTACGTTCGGATTTGACTTGTTAATGAAAGTTCTCTTATTGTATGAATTTCTTTGGTACACCTGGGCGAGGCGGGTAGCCTCGTCTTGCCTGAGATCAGGGCAGTAAAGGGAACTTGAGTCGAGCAGCTACTCCTTCTTTCAGTCTCATCTCACCCACATCATCTTTCTATATTACCTGCCTTACTCACCCCACCTACGCTCGCCCCTCTATAATTCCTATATCCAACCTACCTCATTTCTTGCTTCTAGAAAACCGGTATAATTCTAACCACTCACTTTTCGCAGCCGTCTCGCTCGCCGGGGTGGAGTCAAGCGTATCTCGGCCATGATCTACGACGACGCCCGCGAAGCTCTGAAGAGCTGGCTCGAGTCTGTCAGTTATTCCCTCGCCCACCCCTTGATGTCCTCGACCGACAGTCTAACGGACTCCAACATAGGTCTTGAGGGACTGCGTCACGTACACAGAGCATCGGAAAGCGAAAACCATTACTATCCACGACGTGAGTCTGAATGGCCGGCCTTAACCCCCAAACTTCCTCCTCCTCCTCCCCAGTTCCATGCGGTGGGCTTCCAGCCTTTCCTGGAATGACGGGGTCTAATGTCATTCCCCTAGGTCCTCCATGCTCTCCGCCGCAAGGGCAAACCGATCTACGGCTTCGACCCGGATACGTTTGTCGAGCCAAAGTCGCGCAAGGCAGCAGCGCATCATGACTGAGCATCTTCTACTTGCTCCACGTCAAGAGGGCAAAGGCAAAGCTGGGTTGGCTAAAACGCCAAAAAGGATATCGACCGTCGGAAAGCGCGCAGGATTCTTCAAGCCCTCCTTCACCGCCCCTTTTTTTCCGTCAACGGATTATAGGGCATGTCCTGCGTTACGGTTGAGCGAACATGTCCAAAAAAAAAAAAAAAAAGGTGTCATGGGAATGGAAGCGGAAACTACGCGTGCTTCTGTATGGATTCATCCTCTCGTGGGGCCGTACCCTACAAGACAGGATCATGAATAGTAGGGGTTCCCCATAGATGTGGGAACGCGAGAATAGTCGTCCTCCAAATTCGACAGGGGGGAGGGGAATCATTCGACTACGCAGAAAAATGGAAAGAACTGGGGGATATCGTCCGGATATCGTATCTCGGGGACGAGAAAGGAATGATTCCGTACATGTTGGAACGACGAAATACGCATAATCGGAGCCATGAAGATAGTGCTATACGAGCAGCAAAAGAATCTCACGGTGCGCCGGCTTGGACTCTTGGGACGCAGGGGGTAGATGCGAGGACAAAGCGAGCCTCAACTGTTACAGCAATCGTAACCAAACACGCTGTGGAAAGGCGAGCAGGTCTCTGACTAGGGGCTTGACAAATACATGGCACTATGAAATGACCGAGAGGATTTCAACGACACGTTTCGCATACTAGATATGATATTGGTTGTGAAGAACACGTTCATGTGTTGCCAAAGGAAGGGGCCATATTAGGCAGACAGTGAAAGAAGGTTCTTGATTTCAATGTAAAAATCCATTTCCCCCTCCAAGCCACACTTCTGGTGGTATCTTGATTTGTGTCCGCGTTTCCGCACCCTATGTAGAAGGGGGATATCACAATAGTTCTTCCGCAATTTTTTTCTTTCTATACAAAAACTGTATAATCGCCACCGAGGCGCCAGTAAAAATCCGTTTGATAACGAGGGGTATCGTTTGAATAAGACGTTGAAAAAGAAAGATGCCACAGGAAGACGGCGGCATGCAATTGAAACCGTCGGCGCTTTCCAAGGCTCTAGGGTATAAATAATCAATTTCCAGTCCATCGCCGCCAGATGCCCAAGAACGGGGCGATAAAGCCAATAAAAAAAGTTGCAAATAAATTGTAGCAGTACGAGATAGAACAAATGTCTGTTATTTTAGCTGGTTAGGGACGACGAAGGTCTTCACCTCTTCTTCCTGGTGAGCTCCCGCTCAGCCAGCACGCCGTCGAGCGTCTTGGCGGCCCAGCGCTCGCGCTTCCTAAACACGCCGTTGAAGAATTCGGGCATGACCATGCGGCTATTCGCATGCTCGAGCGCGAAGCCGACCTCGGCGTCCTTGCCGCACCGCTCGCGGGTGATGCGGACGGCCTCATCGAGCATGTCGGTGCCGACGCCCTTGCCACGGTAGCGGAGCTTTGTCGTCCAGGCGCGGATGATGCCCTTGCCGCCTCGGAAGCTGGAGGCCTTGTTGCGGCGTCTGCTGCTAAAGGTCGAGGCGACGGCGGGGCTCGCGGGCTCGAGATGCAGGACCAAGGTGCCGACGAGTTCGTTGCCAAAGCGGGTGCCCAAGACGAGGTCCTCCTCATCGGCGGAAGCATCGGGGTGGGGTCGGATGAAGGACCACGACATTTGTTCGGCGAGAGGCAGGAAGCCGCTCGTTGCCCAGCGGATTGCGAGGAGGTAGGTCATTATAATGCCAATGAAGAGGGTGAAGGCCAAGCCAATGTCGCCTTGGCGGGCGTAGGAGTACTGGTAGGCGACGCCAAGGGTCAATGTGAGGCCTGCAAGCGGCACAGGGTGGAAGACGAGTGAGTAGGCCGCCTGTTGGCGCTGCTGGGCAATGGAATCCGCCACGAGATGGAGGGCCTCAGCCTTGTCCTCGCGGGTGGATAGAATTTCGAGCGACAAGGGGGGAATATCGTCGAGGGGGTCGAGGGTCTGGGATGTTGCCAATGGAGATGGTGCTGCCGGGCGATGGGTACTGTTGGGAGCCACCGTCGGCTGAAGGACGGGCGTGTTTGTGTTGGACGACATGGCGGAAGGGTTCAGAACCAAGTTAGCGCGAAGAAATGTGAAGAAGGCTAGACAGACAAGTCAGTAATTTCGTCGTGATGTCGGGCCCAAGTTGAGAGCTTTGATCGGAGCCAAGTGAAGAGCCAAGTGAGATGCGGTCATGTGGAGTGAGTTGCGAGGTTGTAACAGACAGGATGAAAAGTTTGTCAATAGTTGAGATGAGATTTTTGTGTTCCACGTCCTCTTCTGGATTGGTCTAGATTCACCGGGGGGGCCGATAGCCGTGAACGTGGCCGAAACTTTCGGCGCTTTTGTTGCACGTTTTGAAGAAGCCAGATCCCCAAATGGCCCTGCCAGAGCGTTGGATTTGAGATTGGATGAACTTGATGACGATATGTTGGGGGTTTTGGGTGGACGGGTGAGTGAGTTGTCAAAGAGACGAGTACGAGGTGAGGTTTGACTAGAATGCCAAGAAGAGAGGGAAAGGACTGACGTTGAAGAACAGGTGGCCAAGACAAAGAAAAAGAGCCGCAGGACAGATAGACAGGGGGGGAAGAGTGTAAAATATTAGAAATTAGAAATCGTGCTAGTTCTTACCTGCGCTTGTCTTGATGGCGGGGACTGCATGGTTGAAGGTATCGGTAAGGGCATTGTGAGAATGCCAGTTACTCACGTTGAGCTCGCGGATGCCCATGTGGTGTGGTGAATCCATCTTATTGGCCCGTTGGTCTAGTCGAGTTCGCGACCCGGTTTGTTTGCTCTCTGTCCGGTCCTGGAAGGAGAAAAAGTCGCTTAGGCGGGCAATTGTAAGGATACGTCCTGGCAGGCGTGCTCTCACTGCTAGTGAGAACCGCTGACAACTGGGAATAAAGACGCCGGGTCGGGGTGGTTGGAAATGGGAGGGTCGGGGCTGGTTGAATTCTTAGTGGCGGCAGCTGGCGACAGACGATGGTAAGCGCCAGGCGGGAAGACACAGCATACGACAGGGCTTTGCCGAAGCTCAAGATGGATGCTGGTCTCGTGAGGTCGAAAAGTGACGGAAGACTGAGAGGACCCTGTCACGGTAGGAGGGGTTGCAGCATGAGTCGATGGGTTCGTCTATCGTCTATATATCCTCCGATGGCCAGGTCGTCCAAAAGATCCCAAATACGTCGTTCGTTTGTGTCTTTGGCGTTGATGGTGGCTGGAATGTCCAGGGAACAGTGTATTTTGGTGGCCGTTGCGTTATGCCGTTGGGTATTAGTAGTTATCGCCGGTAAGGTTGGTCTGGTCAAGGTCTGTGGGGCCTGGTCTTGGACTTGGGACTTGTCTGTTGGTTTGTATCGGCCGTTGGACTTGCACACAGACAGGCAAGATGAATCGCCCGCGCACCCGTCGTCGGGGATCCCGTCCCAAAGTGGCTGGTGAAGAGGCTGTTTAGAGGAATATCTAGGGGGAGGGAAGAAGCGGAATGGAACTGAAAGGATTAAATAGAGAGTAAGAAGGGTCTTCTAGTTTTGGTTCCTCGACCCCCCCGTCCTTCGTCCAACAAGATGGGAAGACTAATAAGTGGGAAATGAAAAAGAAAATGGCTTGGGACCTTAAAAATCTGCAGACAAAAGAAAATTTCTGAAGAGTGGGTGGACTTTGGTTAAGTAGGAGTGGTAGGCCTGGGCTGGATAGGTCCGGGGATGAGAGCTGCGAACATGGGATGGGCATGGAGAGCGAAAAAACGAGAAAGATTGTCGTCGTGTGCGCGTGCGAATGGGAACCTCCTTCAAACCAAGCTTCGAAACGAAGTACCTCCGCCGCTAGACGTACGGCACAGCCAAGTTACTTTGGGTACTTTGGCTCCTTTGGGTCACTTCTCCTTCAGCTCGAACCAGGGCTGCTGTCTTGCTGTCTTGCTGCTCGCTTTTCTGGAAAACCCCCAACCTGGAAGTGTCATGTATCTCCTTTCTTGCTGCGCTGGTTTTTTTTTTGTTGGTGGCTTGATGCATGTGGGTGAGCTAAACGTGAGGTATACCGCATGTTTCCGCCATATCAACCCTAACATCCGTATCATTGGGTCGGATGGCACCACTGGTTGGTTGTTTCTGCCGTCTCTTGGCTCCTCTCTCTCGTCTATCTTTCCGCGTTGACGCCAGTACTTGGGTCCATCTGGAAGAGTTACATGAAGACACACACACGCACTTCTCTCTCTCTGTCACTCTCTCTCTTTTCCTCACACATACACCCCCCTGGTCGACGTGCTCCTCGCGCCAGCGCCAGCGTCGCGCGTGCTGGGTTGCTGGGACACGAAAGAAGCCGGGATGGGATGGGCACTTGGGGAGGGCTGGGAACGATTGCAGCAAGCAGCAACAGCTACTGCAAGAAGCAGGGCAAATCCGCACCTGCCGTCTTGCAGATTTTTGATAAGGGTCCCCCCTCTGATCCCTCCCCGTGTCACCGTGTCACCGTGTCTCCGGGGCTTCTCACAGGCTCGATAAGGCGGAACCATGGGAACGCCAATCATGTCTGGCGGGCCCGCCGCCGTGGCTTGTCAAGCCCAAACAAGGCGGCGAGCGTGCTGCCAGCGTCTGGGACCAACGGACGGGGTGGGTGGTGGGGGGAAAGACTCAAAAGACTGAGAGACTGTGACCTTGCCCAGACCGAAGTGGGTGGTGGGGCCATGGCCTGGTGAAGGGGTCCTTGTCAGTGAGTTGAGTGTCAGGATCCGATCCAACGCAACGAGACCCAGTGCATCATGGATGTGGCTTGTTCCCTAGCCTGCCCCCTCCCCCCTGGGTAGGGTAGAGCAGTCGTCCCCTGGTCTCCCCGGTCTCCATTTGATGGCCTAGGCCCTGATTCTCCGAACCATCGTCTAATTTATTTTGGCGCCTGTCTAGGTGCGATGGTCTTTGAAGCTGGCGGTTTCGAAGAGTCGTCATTCGTCGCAGCTCTAGGCCGGCAAGCCATCGAGAGTGAGCTGTTGACGATGCACAGGCCATGCAATGTGTACTTATCTTCGTGTTCTTGAGAGATGAGAGATGAAATGTGGGAGGTTCGCATATCCCTCTCTCTTCCTATCCCTTGCCTTCCCTCCCCCGCCGACAATGGATATCAGACTTATCGGGGAGTACACGTGTAGGCGCGGATGGTGGGCTTGGCAACGGGTGGTGGCATTGGCGAAGACCTTGCGTCGCTGATTGTCGATTCTGCAAGATGCTCTATCTCTGGCGTCACTCTGAAGTCCCCGAAGCCGTCCGTGTAGGTGGTGCTGGACTGGTGGTGGTTGGGTGTTGGGGCTCCTTAGGGGATGGATGGACAACGCCATTTTGAGGGTGGTGGGATGAGTGTGATGGGATTGGACTAAATCGGATTGGATGTCTTGGAACTGATAGCGAATATGCCCGGCAGGTTGGCCGCAGAGCAGCGAGCGGCTGGTCCGGCCGCCGAGGTAAGAAGAAGAAAATCTGACGACTCGGCTCGACATGGGCAATGATGCGAGTGAGGCAAGTTGCAGCAGCACTGCTTTGATGCCTGGTCAACAACTAAAAGAATGTCTGATTGGGGACAGCTCCTTCCAGCTCACACTCTCTCGCTCTCTCTTCCATCCCTGTTGCCATGTCTTGCTAGGAGGGCATGTTCATTTGGTTCGTACTTTCCCGGGGAATCACGCTTCTTGCTGATTCAGAGATCCTTTCCGGCGTAGCCTCGGATATCTTCACCGTGCACGAGGGAAATTGACGGCAGAGTACGGACGGTGATGGCTGCGGGGCGAGAGTTTGTCCATTTGATTCAGTCAATGACTCGAGTTCTCGAGGTAGGATGCGTACTCCGTGCCGTATCCATACTTTCGGGGGGAAGTCGGTCTCAACCAACATCGACACACCATTCCAGCTTCCAGGTATCCAGCCATCCCATAGTACTATCTACCTGATGTGCACCACGATGTGACGTCCGCACTTGGGAAGTCTAACCCCAAATTGACTTCCCCCCTACCCCCTCCCCTCCCCCAGAATGAGCTTCACAGGCATCTACATGGTACCACCAGCAACATCCTTGCGGGCGCCAATCACGGCTAACCCGCGCGGTTGCTACCCTTTCCTTTCGTCTCTCTCCTGTGAGTTTTGCCTGCCGTCTCATTGCTCGGAAACCCCCACCAGAGCCAATATCTAAAGTCTGTCCTGCCGCCGAAGGAGGATCGACCGTTCATAGCATTCATTGCCTTATCTTTGAACAGACTGCAACGCTGCAAAAAAGCGACGGCGACGGCGACGGCGACGGCGACGGCGACGGCGACCTCAAACAAGCAAGATAAGAGGCCCTGCACAATGACGTGCCACATCATCTCCGCGAGGCCAATAAGACTATAAACCGAGGTGATAAGGTTGATATCCCCAGGGACAATCTGTTCAAAGCGCGATGTCGTAATATACTCAAAATGGCTAGCTAAAGTTCATCTATTGACTTTTGAAAGTCTTTTATTAATGTGACCTCTACAAACCCACGGGCCTTGCCAAATCAGTACGTAACATGTAGACCTAGCCGGCTAATCCTAATGATTATTGAAACGCTATCCATCTAGATCCCACTGGAAGTAGCAACCGCGGGAAGCAGTGACGTCTCCCCAATGATCCAAGACTCGGAGACGATCGAGCAGACGGCTCCGGCCGGGTTCGCGAAACCGGCTACCGTGTACAGACCCGGGGGCAGTGTGAGCGTGCCGTTGGCCACGGCCGACGTCGTCGGTTCCACAAAGGGGGGACCCGGGGTGAGGGTCGTGGCGAAGCTGCTGACTGTGGTGGTCAAATTACCGCCGGGGCCGGTGGTGACGATGGTGCTGCCGAGGGTGGTCACGGTCGTGCCCGGCGGGGGCACGGTCGTTGCGGAGGTGGTGAGGGAGCTGCTTAGGCCGCCGCTGTTTTGGCATGTGGATGCTTTTCCGGGGTGTTAGTGGCCATGTGTCTTACTACTCCTTTTTTTTTTATACTTTTTATAAAATCAAAAAAAAAGCAAATGAAAAAGAAGGGGAGGGTGGAGGGGGACACCAAAGAAGAGAAAGATCAGCATAGTAGAAACTCACCAATGATGGGACCGAGTTGGACCGGTGCACAATTCGCCGGGTAGGACACGCTTGGGTCAGCAAACGTCGCATAAACCTGCCCCGAAGGATCCTGGCAGAACCCGGCCTGGCCGCCAAAGAAGTTGGCGTTCGCCCAGGTCAGCGCGCCGTTGTTGAGGCTGAAGGTGACGGTGACGCTGCCCGGCGGGCTGATGGGGCGGAGGGGAATGAAGGGCGTCCCCGGGTTCATGGAGATGACCAAGTCGTCTACGACGAGCTGACCGAGAGTGTTGAGGCTAAAGGTCGCCGCCACGCCGCAGTCGCTGACGATGGGGGCGGCGTTGGTGTCGATGAAGCCGCCGGCCGTCTGTCGCTTGTTGATGCTGCGGTGCCGGCTGGCGGGGGTCGATGGTTGAGGGGCACCGCCGGCGAAACCGGCGAGGTCGGAAAAGGAAGCATCGGGGATGGCGCTCGCGTGGGTTGCCGCCGTGTAGGATGCGGCAGCTAGTGCCGCGACTTGCTTAAGTCCAACCATTGTGGGAGTGAACTTGGAAGATGCACCAGAACTGACCCCTGCAAATAAATGGAACTTGACGAGCGAGGGACCGACAAGAGCAGTGGAGGACTGGCAGGCCTGCTATTGAACGAGTGACTAAACGAGGGTGAGCAATGGAAAGATTGGACACTAGTAAACTCTCAAGGCCTCTCAACGACAGGGGAGGTTTCTGTATATAACGTAGAGAGTTCCTGCTTGTGTGACCACGGCCATCGAATGAAAGGTCAGATGAATATTAAACATTTGCTCGCCAGTCTGGAATGTATGAAATGAAGCTCACAGCCCAACGAGGGGCGGACGACGATTGATGCATGTGATGCGCATTCCTCAGCTTCATGGCTGAGGTAGAGGTGAGGGAGGGTAGAAGGCGAGCAATGATGTGTGCTTTTCAGAACACAGAAAATAATCGTTGGAACCATCGACTGTGCATTCGTTACTAGTTGACTACAAACAGATGGCTATTTCGTTTTTTGGCGCCTCTGAACTCGTCTCTTAACTGATCTCTTGAGTAGTGAACTCAGACCGACAGCTTCCATCGCCAGCTCTAGGTCTTTGCTGCTGAATTTGGGGGTGAGACATTGACATTGGATAATCTGGGATGGCATGTCGTCAACTGTTGGACGTCTGGAGGCCATAGATATCAGCCGCAAACAAAGTCTCAGAGCGGACTGGCGGCCCGGGGTCAGGTAATAGCTTCATTTTACCCGGTACCCATTGGAAATTTCGGGCCGAACACATCGAGATACATCACTATCAGCTTCTTCCTCGCATCTCTGTCGAGGGCCCGAGGCAAGGTCCGGCTGACAGTGACCAAGCTTTGCTGCATCTGACGAACTTTCTGGCGCGCGTTACTCCCTTCGCGAGCCAGAAGTGAGAGGGGAGAAACACATCTTCCAGGCTTAATGACTGCTGGCGTTGTGTGGCATGAAGTGTAACCACTGGGTAGGAATGCGAATAAGTCGCGATGCAGACGAGCTATTGGTCAGTGTCCGAATTTGAGACTGGTTGACCAAGGAGACCGTCGCTGGGCATCTTTCCAAAAATCACAAGGTATCCGTACCTCCGCCGCCTTCCAGGGCATTTTCGAATAGAGACTCAAGCTTTCTGTAAAGAGTGCAGCTGTTGCCGATTGAGTTAACAGCGCGGCTCTGAGTGGAGCTGGTTTGGTAGTATGTCTGCAACGGCTGACGTACTCGAGTCGATGCTGAACCCCGTCGAGGATCAATCTGTAACCGACTTCTGCAAGCTGGAAGTCGACTAAAACAAACTCCCCGCATCTGGGCCAGGCTCCCTGCTGGACAAGCCCAGGGCGACTAGCCAAAGTCAAGATGTTTTGGTTCGCTTGGAGTTGTGCTCTCATTCGCCCCGGGCTTTTAAGGAGCTGGCTCGTGATTATGCAAAGGGCCCGCGGGAGCCGCTTTGTGTAGTGGTCGGGTTGAGACTTTGCTCGCCAAGGGAGGGCATCTCAAAGTCTCGATTTTCGTCGACTCAACGGCCCGCCGTTGACGCATGTCTGAGCCCCCATCTTCTCTCTATCGTCCTTTGGGGGATCTGATTGGACTGTGCCGCCCTGCAACATGAATCCTTAGCTATGCGGTTCAAAGGAACGGCCGAGGGATGCCATAACCCCGGCGATCCGCCCACATGCCCGATATTTGAAACAGCGGTTCAGTAGCTTTGCAGCACGTATGCTGTGGCAGCTGTGCCCCCCTTTGACGATCGCCCTTTCCCCGAAGAAGCCTCTCTTCTCTTTTTTTTCTCCCTTTTTTTGTGGTCTGTCTGATCCGGTGTCGTGAGATGCTCGCTTCCTTGAACGAAAGTTGCGGCACCTACTGCATCTACTCCATACAAACGTCACCCGATTTGGGGCCCGCTTTCCCCTAACAGATCTTCGAAACGCGTACCCTCCATGTCGCCATTCGCGGCGGAGACCATGACGCCCCCTGATGTCGACATGAAGTCTTCGCATTGGGGCGGGCGACGGATTGGGTCGGCGAGGCCGGCCGGGAGTTGCTGCCTCGCAGACAATCATGGACGCGACCAGCCGCATTTCAGATTTCCACATGGCCTTTAACCAAGATAGTAAGACGTGATTGTGGGGGTCACTTGGAGGGACAGCCCAGGTTGCCGAGCTTGCCAGGCTGGACTGCAGGCGCAGATCGCATGACCAGGTCTGTCCATGTGGTGGTGAACGGATGTATCAAAACTGTATACGGACGGATAGTAACGCATCGATGATTGAAGCTCAGCGTCAAGTTGGAGGGTGCTGTTCCGTGGTCTAGAACGTGTAATGTCGCTAGCAGACGGGCTCTAATGGAGACTTGTCTGTTTTTGACTAGGGGAGTGGGTGGTGTCTTCCAATCCTCTAAGAGATAGCTTGCCATACCTCCGGTATGCGGTATGGCCCGGAAGAGAAGCGACATGCACGTTGTATCTGCCGTGGTGATCGTGATCGTGAACCTGGGGCTGAAGACCGAACCGAGCATCGGTATTCGCGCCTCAGTTTTGTGGCCTGCGAGAAAGGGTTCAAGCAGCAAGCCAATCCCAGTTGCGTGGCACATGGATGGGATAAATTGAACGACGGACGACAAAGACGACTGCTAGCATGATGGTTGCCGGAGAAAGAGTTAGGCAAGCTATCGTCCCATGAGAAAGGCATCCAGGCCGGCAGCGGTTCTTTCCCGTTGCTTCCCTGCGTACGTGCCTGCCTGCCTGCCGTTGTGAAGGAGCCTGCCGTTCAAAAGTAAAGTGCGAGTTCCCGCCTTCAGTCGCAAAGTCAAATTGCCATCCCAAGTAGACAGCTAGATGATGACGGCGACGCGGCGACAGACTTTCTTGGATCAGCACACGTTGCTTCTTCATCTCTACTGGGATTCGGCGGGGGATGAGTTGCGCCGGCATTCCATCCTACAGGTGGCTGAACTCCGTCAAGCTCATGTTGATAACCAAGTCAACGTGCAAAGCCACAACGACCCTCGCATTGCGGCGCTGCGGCACTTCGGCACCGCACCATCCACGATGTCATCGCACGACTAGCCCAGGACTTCCATAGTCCGACCTGCCTTGCAACTGCCTCGCAGCGGGGCCAGGTTTGGAAATCCCCGACTGCCTCAGCCCTCAGCGTGCCGCAGCTGCATTCCGCTGGTGTCGCCTGAAGCATCGGTTCTCTGACCAATCAGACGGTCTGTGCTAGTGTACGGATAACCAAGGCGGATAGCAAGGCATTCTACGGACTACGGATACGCTTCATGGTTGCGTTTCTCCCACCAGCAGCGGCTCGCCGTCCAGTCATCGGTTGTGTGCCTTGCTGCCTCTGCAGGTAAGCCGCAAACGCCGTGGTTGGCTGGACGCAGAGCCCGTAGCTATTCTTTCCAGATACTGCAAGACTTATGCCATCTGCCTCGTTGCTGATCACACTGCCGAAGAGGGCCAGTCCTAAGAGGCGACCTTACTCAAGTGGGCGGGAAAAGGAACAGAAGCCATCAAATCAAGCGTATTTTATTCACGAATAAGAAACCAATTTGACTGTCGCACGTCTTATGTCCTAGGAACAATGGAAAATTTGCCAAATGAAGCCGAACTCGAACTCGAAAGCTACGGATACTAGACCTAGAGCCAGAGGATGATATAGAGTATTTCGCTAACACGCGCAGCCAAAATCTCACTCCGCCCTCTCTCCTCTTCCCACCTTGGAGGCCTGTCACCTTGCTTACATCACCCTGCCATCCGCTCCATGGCACCCGACCCGCACTGGATGTCTTTTCCCCTCTCCGACCTAAGCACCCAAGCAAGCACCAAGCACCAAGCACCAAGCACCAAGCACCTACGTAGTAAGCCCGCTCGCTCGCTCGCTCCCACGGCCCACGCACAACATCTGCCGGGGGAGGCCACCTTTTTCAGCCAGTCCCGACCCGCCGCTCAAGTCCTAGGGATGCTACCAAGTCCTGAGAGTCCTACGACACCCGACCTTGATACTCTCTTGCAGGCTTCATCCATCCCATAGCAAATAAAACAAAAAAATGGGTGGCGGATCGGTCCTCACTTGTTTGACCCCTCTCTGACCGTTGCTTTCCTTGCGATTGCGTCCTTTGATTTCGACTCGTCCTTGAGAGCACCTTGGGGGTACCATGGAATCCAAGACCTCGCTGTCGCCTTTCGGAGATGACCGCCGTTCGCTGAATCAGAGCCCTTCACCGTCAGCCCTACGAGCTCTCACCTCGTCCCGCCTCAGTCTCGGCCGCGCACGACGGGACTCTTGCTCCACGAGTTCGACTTCCGTGTCCTCATCCCGCTCCTCCATTGACTCCACTACCTCTCCATCATGCGTGTAAGTCTATCCGCTCAAGGTTTGCTGCACCTTTGACCACGCAGATCTTGGGCTGAGAAAATAATGGCAGTACTCGCACCGTATCACCAGACCAATGCGCTCTACACAGATTCATCGTGTGGGCCGCCGTCCAGCGCAACAAGTCCCAAAAGATGACGGCCGCTGACCGTCTCGAATGTCCAATGCTGCGCTGTCGCAAAAGGTTCCCAGACCATGCGGCTATGTTGGAGCACCTCTACGATTGCCCTCAGCTCCGCACTGGCGAGTATTGGTGTTATGAGTGTGGCAAGGCTGAGAAGTTCACCGATGGAAACTGTAAACGCTGCCTCGGCCATCCTGGAAAGAGACGCAAGATCATGAACGTTGCCAAAAGCTTCTTCTCCTCGTTGGGGCAAAAGTCAAGGAACCACCAGAGTCTTCCCGATTTCCGCCTAGACAACGTATCCCAAGTCGCTATGGCACCACCCCCGAGCTACGACTCCTTGCACGTTCAACCACAGCAAGTTGAGCTTTCCTCGTCATCGGAGATCTTAGAGATTGATTCTGTCGAGGTCCCCTGGCCCACACCGATGAATACCAACCATAACACTGTGGACACTCAACCTCATGCTTCTACGGGCTTGGTTCAGACAGCCCTCCACCAACACGTGTCCATCATGCCCGATCTCTCGTTCAACTGGCCCCTACAGAACAATATGAACATGAACGAGAACACAATGGGCAAAGTCGACCGGCCGTCATTGTCCCTTCATACTTACGACCTTGGCCATTCCCGTAAACAGCACCAGCTTACGACGCGGACTAAGAACCTTTCTCCTAGCAATTCACTCAGATCGAACGCGAGCACTGATACGACTGCCAGCTACCTTGTTTCGCCTGCTTCTGCCTTCAGTGGTGCATGGACGACTGCCGAGACGACCATCACGTCACCAACCTCTGACGGCGGCTCAGGTGGATTCCTTTCTAGAGGATGCTCTAGTGCGAGTCGGTACTCAAACAGTAGCTTGCAGCCGCATGACTTTATCTCGGAGCTTCCAGCAGACGACATTCCACTAGAGCCTCTTCCCACAACACTTCCAGCCGTCGACTACGACCAGCAGGCGCCCTTATTGGAGATACCAATCCCCGTCAGCCCCTTATCTGAAGCGGCCGACGCTCCTGCTCAGCAGAAATTCGACCCTCGTGCGCTGGCCAACTTTTCGGAAGAGACATCGTTTGTCCGTGTTATCGGCGCCGACTCGCTCGTCGCTTCGGCGTGGGATACGCTCAAGACTCACATCAGCTCATCACTCGAAAAGCTGCAGCATTTCTCTCAGAATCCTGTAGTAGCTCAGCTGCGGAATCTTTCACCACGACAAGTGGCTGAAAGGGGTCTGGCTGCGCTGAAAGGCATGTCTGAGGGCAGACATCCAGCGACCAGCATCGATACACTTTGCTTTGTTCACCTCACCTACTCGCTCTCGCTCATCATCCTCGAAGATGGTGCTCGGGATCGCTCGAGGGAGCTGTTCGCTCAAACCTCAATTTACAGCCAAGCGCTCCCTGAGTGGGAGCAATCAGACTATCTTCGAGTGGCATCAGCGATCTGGCAGCCCTTAGGTCTATCTCCTGGTGAGCTAGACGGTTTCTTATTGGAACAACCCGAGGAGTCAGTTTCTCAGTCATCGAGCCTGAAGGGAAAGGAGCGAGCCTATGCTCCATCGACATCTAGACTTGGACAGGATAGGATGTTGGAGGTGGCACACTTCTTCTTAGATGGTACGTATACTCAAGCCGTCTGGCGGCTTTACGGATGCTGATCCTAGAAAACAGAGTTGAACTATGCCTCCCTGCCCAGCGCGGACCTCCAATCGGGCGAATTCTTCTGCTCAATGCTTTGGAAACAGCATTTCGAGGATGAGGCTCCCTTGAATGGAGCACTAGCTGCAAGCTTTAAGGAAATTCGCAGCAAAATCAACCACGACTTCCTTCACGCCGATGGTCTCAATTCAAAGTTGAGACGTATCCAGAAGCGCATCGACGACGGCAATATCCGAGACGCCAGGCATGCGGAGCTAGAGCTCATGCAAGCCGGCAAAGTACGTCTCATTAATCGGAGTATTTCCTTCCGTGTTATGCTAACGTTGTAATCAGGGTTGCGTCTCGTTGCAAAAATACTTTGACAAATATGTTCCGGAGGTTAGGGCACAAATCGAGACCCTCTATTCTAATCCTATGATAGGGGTTACCACGCGAACAAGCTATTATGCATTCGCTATTGATCTGATGGAGTCTATCATTCGCAGAATTTGCGAAAAGGAGAGGACGAAGCACGCCGCGCAGGCCCCTTCAAAGATGGCTAGCGAGGTAACCCTCGACGAATTCATGAGGATGACAACAACCCTAGGCGAGACGACTTGGGAGGATTTCCTGCCGACGACGACTGAGACGCCACCTATGCCGACGCCCGTGCCTGATGGTTACATGGAGGTAGACAGCAATGGCTTGCCGGATCCCTTGGCTGTGTTCTATGACGGGATTACAGCAGGACCAGCCTTCCCGACACCACCGCCATCCAAGACTCTACCCATAAACGTCCCTGACGAGTCTGCGGCCGAAGTGCGAGAAGATCACCCCTCCCACTTAGGACTCAAGGTCGAGGCTGAGGCCAACAAGTGTTGTGATATTTGTGGATACCGACCAAAAGGCGATCCACAGTGGTTCAAGGGCAGCATGGCAAAGCACAAGAAGCTGCAACACTCGAAGGCGCCACCAAAGATTTACAAGTGCCCGTATCCGGGTTGCACGAGCCAGTACAAGAACCGGCCGGACAATCTGAAGCAGCACCAGCAAGACAAGGGCCACTTTGTCGACGGCGGCGAGACGGAGCGGAGACCGAGCAAAAGGAAAAAGAGAGATGAGTAATAATTTTGAGGTCTGCTTTCCTCGATAGTGGTCTGCGTGGTAGATTGGGTTTTGAATTTTGGCGCATACTGGATGGGTGACAAGATACCATTTACGCGAACAGAGCCTCGCTTCTTTCTTTCTTTCTTTCTTCCTCTGTTTAGTTGTGTTGAGCGGGACACTGTACTCTATACCCTTGATACTTGGACTAATGATATTCGATAAGAAGGGAGGTAAAGGATCATAATGAGACGGAATTGATCATGCTGGAATATGAATCAAGTTATTCCAGTATGATTCTGCAACTCTTTCTATGATCCCTCACTCGACACTGAGATACACCTCTACATGTACTAGCGGCTGTAAGTCAAACATGATTGCTCCTCAATCATTGATAATCCGCAACCCGAGCAAAATGGCCATGGTAGATTGCCTCGGTGAGGTCGGTGTAGACACGCCACTCTTCTGGCAGTGCAGGGCAGGGCAGGGATTGGACCTGGCCCAGAGTTGGGACTGGCGGAGGACTGGAACCCACTAAAAAAGCACGGCGAAGCACAGACGGGCCATCCAGCTCTCGCTATCCCGTCTTGATTCTAGGTATTATTTCGCAGGTGCCAGGGGGCGGGTTGTAAGGCTGGATTTGCGGGCTTCCAGGGGGAGCTTGGTGCTGTAGCGAGCCGTCGAACCCCCCGTAGATGCATGGGGTGCGGGAGCGTCCATGGCCGAGGGGCGAATGGAAAGGCAAGGTAAGGCAAGGTAGGGGCTACCTTTTCGTACCTGTCGTGAAAACAACGTTCGTAGCCCGCTCTGTGATGGCCCTACGAGAGGCATGACATGCATAACCTAAAATCATCATTCTCGACTCGTACTGTTCACAGATTTGGGGTTTCGAAGGGGACCTGGGCAGTTGGAGGGGGCGTGGGCGTCAGATGTGTTCTTGGCTGAATGTGCCTGGGGGCCCTGGGGAGCTTGTACCTGCAAAAGGTGGTACAAGCGGAATCTACCTTTTAGGTAGATACCTTAAGGTAGTTGAGGTGTGGTCACTGGTGCCTCGTCGATGACTTAGGTAAGCTTTATCTGGCCTCTCACCTTGGGTACTTTGAGTTGACGGCCGAGCCAGCAGGAGTGCGAATAGAAAAAAGCAAGTCCAGCGCAGCTGTCAAACCAGTGAGCCCGTGTCGAACCAGCACCGAGTACCGACTGGCACGACCGCAGCAAAATGACTTTCGGGGCCTCAAATGACACTTCTCTCCTACCCGGACGCTCCCGTCGTCTTCATTTTCCCAGTCCCACGCCTCTGTTCTGGACGTGGCGAACGCCAGTACCTAACTGTCAACCTTCTTCTTGTCTTTCTATTTTGGTGTTATGGTGGAGGGGGAGTCGCGATGAATCTTTGAGCCTCTAGCCGTATTGCAGATGTACATCGATTTCCCATCTCATTCCGATTGCGCTTTGGACCGACTGAACGCGCGCAATTTTTTTAATCCGAACTTTTTCTACTCGTGTTCTGCCCCCCCCCAATGCTGACGAAACACGTTGCCTTTCAGGCTTCTGTCATTTTTTGTTTTTCCCCTCTCGCGCTGACGAACGCTGGACGGGCGGCTAAAAAAGAAGTCGGCGCAGCCAACACTAGGAAAAAAAAGGGGGGGGGGGGGGCCGCTCTGTCCGTTCTTGATGACATCATCGTCGCGGTCAAATCACGTGTTCCGTCTCACTAATCCCATGCCAGCTGGCGCAAAGCCTCAAGGGAGCCCAGGGGTTTTCCCCCTCGAGTCTCGACTCCTCAGGCTTCGACTCTAACCCTCTTCCCTTGAGTCTGGCCGGCGCCCCCCCGCCCCTTTCTCGCTGCGCCCAAAAAAAAATAGTTGGGGTGCACCTCGAGGAAACCTGATGGCCCGCGCCACAGAAAATTTCTCCCCTTTAGCTTTACCTTAGGCCTTCCCTTGCCGGCCCCCCTACTAGTCCTCGCTGTCTTCCATCACAATTTGGCTTTCTGTGCTCCTGCCACTAGCTTTCTGGCCTTTCCCGCCAGTCCTTTGACACGGTGCCCGGTCAAGTCCAAAGTCCAAGTCCACGTCCCTTCCCCCATTGCCCCCCCATCCGCCCAGGTCTCTTCCATGTCCGCCGCCCTTCTCTTCCTCGCACACCACCCTTCACACCTCGCATGTTTGCTCTCCCCCTTCTTTTTGTGCACACCTCCCAGAACCCACACACACTCCACGCCTCTCCCTCCCCCCCCCATCGCATTATCGACACCCCCAGACCACATTCAAGGGTTCGTTTGTTGCATCCTTTTGAGCATCTCTGGGATTTGGGTCACGATAGCGGAGGCTCAACGACTTCCAGCGAACGACTTCGACGTCGAAACCCACGCGACTGTCATCCGCTGAGTCTGACGAACCCCTCGCCAGACACCTTCTCCCCCGAAGCCTCGCCTCGCCTCGGCGGGTGAACGATTCCCCCCTCACCCTCACACACACGCACACGTCCGACCTCACGCTCCTTCCTTTCCTCTTGCCTCCCTCCCTCCTCTCTCCATCAAGTCTTCGACCACCCTTCTCTCGACACAATGTCGAGTCTGGGGCAGTCGGGTCCGAATAGCCATCCAGGCCTCGCCTTTCCCCAGCCGGGTAGCCTCCGACGAAGTCACGGCGGCCCAGGCTTCCCGCCACTGCAACACGCGAATCCTGCCCAAAAGCCATCGCCAGGCCCTCACAACGCGTCGCCTTATCAACAACAAGCATACACGCCTCAGCAGCCGCCCCAGGCTCAATATCCCCATCATCTCTTTCAGACACCGACGCCCGTCAATGGCAATGTCAACGGATCCTCGCGTCCCCCGAGCCACGTTCCCAATGCCGCAGCCCTCGGTCGTCAGAGGGGGCCTCCCCAGAGGCAGCAGATGCCTCAGAACGGCCCTAACCTGTTTCTTCCTCTAGGCAATCAGCATAGCCTCGGTCAGCAACAAGGACTCGGTCAACAACAGAGCCTGGGTCAACAACAGGGCCTGGGAGGCCAGCAAAGTCTCAGTCATCAACAGGCTCTCGGCCAGCAGCAAGGCCTGGGACAACATCAAGGCCTTGGTCAACAGTCTGCCCTCGGCCAGCAGCAGGGCTTGAGTCACCAGCAGAGTCTGGGTCAACAGCAGGGCCTCGGCCAGCAGCAGGGTCTGGGTCAGCAGCATCAACATCAGCAGCATCAGCAGCATCAGCAGCACCAGGCACACCAGCAACATCAGGCACACCAGCAGCAACAACATCACCAGCAGCAGCAGCAACACCAACAACACCAACAGAGCCTGAGTCAACAGCAAACCCTGGCACAGCAGCAACAACAACACCAGCAGTCTCTCAGTCAGCAACAAAAGCTGAGCCAGCAGCACAGTCTCCATCAGCAGCAACAACAGCAGCAGCAGCAACAACAACAACAACAACAACAACAACAACAACAACAACAACAACAACAACAGCAGCAGCAGCAGCAGCAGCAGGCGCAACAGCAGCAGCAGGCGCAACAACAGCAGCAGGCGCAACAACAGCAACAGCAACAGCAGCAGCAGCAGATCAAGACTGAGCCAATCGTGCCGCAGCATACCCCTCAAGCTCAGACTCTGTCACAGCCCACACCTCCGACAGTTCAACAGCAGCTGCCGCAGGTTGCTCAAGTTGCTCAAGTCCAGCAGGTGCCCCAACAAGTCCAGCAAGTCCAGCAAGCCCAACAAGTGCCTCAGGCTTCTCCAGTCCAGCAACAGGTCCAGCAGACGGCTCAGAATCGACCCGAGACGCCTGCGCAGGCCAGCGATCACCATGCGGAGAGTATGGAGGTCGATGCGTCCCTGGCCGAGGCTGACGATTCCCTCGAACCCAAGATGATCGATGGGGCGCCATTCGTTCCACGGACGCCAATGGGAGAAATGATGTCTGCTCCTCCCGAGGGAGGCAGCTTCCCAACCTTGGAGGCGGTGCACAAGAGCGTTCTTGCTTACTGCACATCAGTGGGTTACGCAATCGTCATCGGCCGCTCCAAGAAGACAGTTCCTGGCCTCAAAAAGGTTCTGTTCGTGTGTGACCGGGCGGGCAAACCCCCGAGTCGCGTCAGCCCCGAGTTCCGCAAGCGCAAGACGTCATCGCGCAAATGCGACTGTCAATTTGGTTTCTTTGCCATCGAGCAGCGGACCCAGTGGACGATTCGATACCGCCCGGATCCTCAGCATCTGCAGCACAACCACGGACCTAGCGAAAGCCCGCTCCTCCACCCGGCAGCTCGCAAGTTAGACAGCAAGATGGTGGCCGCCGTCAAGGCTCTCAAGGAGAACGGTGAGCCGGCAAAGTCAACACCACGAGAAAGAGCAGCCGCTGACTCTTCGACAGGGGTTAGTGTAAACGAGACACTGGAGATACTGCAAGGCGAAAACCCTCATGTCCCCCTCCTTCCTCGCGACATCTACAACGCTAGAGCTGCAATCAACCGGAACCCGCAAAAGGTGGCCACGGGGTTGGCAGAGAACAGACCGGCCATTTACAGTAAACCACACCCTACGGCGGAGGAGCGGATTCGGGCAGATCTTAGAAAGGAACTCGCCAAGGCTCGCGAGGAATTTGACAAGTTCAAGGAAGACAAACAGAAAGAGGTGGACGAGTTGAAGAAGAAATTGGTGGAAAAGGACCAGATCATTGAAAGGTTTGAGATGTTCATCGACATTTGCAATCAGCGGGTCATGGTTCAACGGGAGAGGCTCGGCGGTCCAGAAGGGTCTGGCAACAATGGCACGTAGAGTCTTGGACGAACACAATTCAGCAAAGGGTACCCTTGCATGGCGGATCGGGACTGGGGAACAGGTTTGAGAAGGGGCTTGTACGATGCTTTCCTTTCTGCGTCGCGGAAGCATGGCCGTCGGTGTACCGAACGTGTGGAACAGGATGGAATCAGGTGTTTGAATGGGGCGGAGTCGATTTTTGGTTGTGTTCTAAGGTCGGTCCCATTAGAGGTCAGGGTCACCGGGCAGTTTTCTCTCTTTTTCTTTATGTCTCTCTGGAAGTCTGGGGTTGCATTGGGTGGGAACTAGCACCAGCAAAGTATCGCGAACATGACTGAAGCAAGCATTCAACCTTTTGACACCCTCGTTTGATACCGCCACTTATGGATTTCGACAGGCCGCCAGGAGTTGCGCCAGTAAAGCCATACATCATCAAGGCCGCGAACAGTGTGTGGCAAAGCTGGTTTGAACATGTCAAATAGGAGAGAGATCGTGAAGTAACATTCGTTGACCGAGATGGAGGTTGTTTGATTGCTCAGCAGTCGGACCGTGGATGGCCGATCCCCAAGCTATTCAAGGTGCCAAAAATGCGAAGTGAGGTAAAGCAGTGCTCAGGTGGTGGGGCAAGACGTGCGCTGGCTGGCGGGAAGCTGTAATTCAAGCTCGAGCTACCAGGGACCGCTGCTAATTAGCATGCGACTTGAAGAGCAATTTTGGGGACCCAAGGATAGCGGGCGTGGCCGTTTGATGTGGCAGATTGGATGGCCATTTTTGTACTGGTAGCATCCAAATGGGTAAAGGGGTTTTCTGAAAATGGGGGGAATTTGTGAATGAGATTGGAGAAAAACACTATCCAATGTTATTACGGTTTGTCTTTATTTTGTGAGGCAGAGGAGAAGTGTTCACGGGTAAACGTACTCTGTAGTCTCTGAACGGACGTGTCGTTGGCTGCATTACCTAAGACATGCGCATGTGAAGTAAGGTAGGAAAGGTAGTCAGCAGCAAGCCCCAATCTGCGGACATGCACAGGGAAGGGGCTCTGGTGCAGATTTATGCCTGGTGCATGTAAATGTACGGACGGGGACGTGTCGGGATAGAGTGTCTGAGCTCCTCTACTCTTTTTTGTGCCAGCCGTGCTAGCATGCATTGCCAGCACAAGGGCAAGGGGGGAAAAAAAATAAGAGGACATGGTCGCGGTAGATCGGAGCTTTGATTTGGTGAGACGTAGAGGGTGCAGCCAATCAAGTGGACCCCGTAGTCCCGGGTGGGACTCCTCTACTCTACGTACCTGAGCTTGAGTGGCCAGCACACCTCCTGACACATGCTGTCGCGACAAGGGTCCTGCCTGGTCGCGTAAAACTCGCAGACTTCAGGGAAGGACCAAGGTACCTTTTCCCGCCGTTTCCTCTACAATTGTACTCGCGGGAATGCTGCACAAGAGGTCCCAAACGACGTGAAAGTGGAACCCGTGGACAAGTCAACCCGTCCGGGGACTACTGTGTACCGTGATTTGTCTGGAAAGTCAACATTGCATTGCAGACCACCTCATCTATCCGTGTGCGTACCTACCTACCTCCTACCTTGCCGCATTTTGTAGACCATCCCACGACAACCCCGAATCTGCGTTGCGCATCAAACCGCTGCCGCGAATAATCACCGACCACCAAACGACGACAACAACGACGACGAGCACATCCCGATTCCCACGCGCGATAGCCACCTCCTCGTCCACCCAAGGATACCACAACTCTCCTTTAGCTTTTTCCATTCTCTCGCTTTTCTTCGCTTCGCTCCTCGGCACCCGACTCGTCGATCCCGCGGCCGACAGTCATCGCCCCTGAGGTTGCCCTTTTGTCTCGACAGACATACTGTCCGTTCACCCACATTACTGTCTATCCGTCGAACCTACGATGATGCCGACTTCGACCCTGTAAATATCGTCTTTTCTCGTCCGAAACAAATACACATACCGAGCCGCCATGGAGGTGGCCTCACCCCAAATTCCTGGCGCGAACGGCGTTGCCTCTCCCACCGCCGACTCCTCGATCGATCCAAACCGCGTCCTCGATCACATTGCCCTGGTCTGCCAGATAGCTCTCGGAGCGACGAACGAAGACCTCGAGAGCCCGGGGAGCTTGCTTCACAAGCACCGCTATTCCGACACTGTCCAGCGCTGCACCCGTTTCGCTACCGATACACCCAATGCTCTGTACATTCAGAAAGACATTCTGCCCGTGTCTACTATACAGAATGGAACCGAGGACTCAAGTTCGTTTAATCTGCATGGCGGACCTCTTGCCGGGCGTGCATACAAAGCTAACCACTCGAGTGCAGGGTCTCCGGCCTACACATACTCCCTGACGACCGAGATCTCTTCGTCTCCGACTACCGTGTCATGCCTTGTTCTGCTCAAGCAGCGTCCCGGCCCGATCGATCCCCTACTGCCGCTCACTTCCCAGATACTTTTGACTAACCTCCCGGGCCCTGCGACTCTGAATGCCACCGCCGGCGAGCAAGGCCCCTCTACTTCGCCCTTCGAGATCCTGCACTCTTATGTTCACAATGCGCTGGCGCCCTACTTTGATGCCAACACCCGGAGCCAGATCACCAACGGCGCCAGGGGCAGGGCAGACGTGGACTCCAAGACGGGAATCCCGGTCACGAAGAAGAGATGGAACGATCTGGAGCTGAGCTTGCTTCACCTCCAGCAGAACGTGGAGATCCCCGAGGTCTCCCTCATGTTCCACACAATGGTACAGAGCGCGCTGGAGGAGGCCGATTCGCGACACTCGAAACCAACACTCGATCTCATCCCGGGCACAGTGCTCTCCGACAGTACCTTTCTTAATAGCTTGCAGAACAACGTGAATAGCTGGATCAAGTCTATCCAGGTCATTACGAGGATGACCAGGGACCCTGCCGACAGCGCCAAAGACTTCAAGTTTACGGCCAGTCAAGAGGTCAACTTTTGGCTGTCGATGGAATCTGCACTGGAGGGAATCGAAGGACAGCTCCGTAGCGAGGGAGTGCTCTTGACCCTGGAGATCCTTAAGCACGCAAAACGTTTCCAGGCGACGGTCAGTTTTACTGCCGACACCGGTCTGAAGGAGGCCATGGAGAAGGTCCAAAAGTACAACCAGCTTATGCGAGATTTCCCGCTCGATGAACTACTTTCCGCCACCTATCTGTCCAAGGTCAAGGACGCCATCGTGCAAATCTTTGGCCACCTGAACAGGAAGCTAAGAATCTGCCCATACCCCATTCGGAGAGCACTCCCCTTGGTGGAGGCTATCTCTGGAGACTTGGACGAGGTGCTGCATCGGCTCTTGCCTGGTACGGAGCTTGTAAACCTCGACTATGTTGAGTTCAAAGCCATCATGAAGGCAAGCGACGACATCTTTACTACGTGGGACGAGAGCATCAAGGAGTTCACCAATGTTGCCCGTGAGGTGACGCGTCGGAGAAACGAAAAGTTCATCCCTATCAAGGTCAACCCTAAGCATGCAGAGCTTCAAGGCCGTCTCAAATACGTCAGCACGTTCCGTGACAATCACGAGCAGCTGCAGCGGACCATTGTCAACGTTCTCGGTCCCAAGGCTACCGTGAGCGGTTTGACGGAAACAACCAACACCAACGGCGTTGTCGTTGTCGAAGAGATGGGCGATGTGGACGCAGTCGAAGAAGTCAAACAGGCCTGGGAGGCGTTGAAGAACGTCGACCTCTTGGATGTTTCCCCTGAGGGCACCGAGAGATGGGCCAAGGCCGAGAACATGTACAATGAGCGGACTTCTCGTGTTGAGAACTCCATCATCGCACGCCTGAGAGATCGTCTGGCGACGGCAAAAAACGCCAATGAGATGTTCCGCGTCTTCTCCAAGTTCAACGCCCTTTTCGTGCGCCCCAAGATTCGTGGCGCCATTGCAGAGTATCAGAACCAGTTGATGGAGCATGTAAAACAAGCGATTCACGGTCTTCACGAGCGATTCAAGCAACAATACGGCCATTCCGAAGCTCACGCCATGGCCCAGTTGCGTGATCTGCCGCCCGTTTCCGGTGCCATCATCTGGGCCCGACAGATTGAGCATCAACTCGACAACTACATGAAGAAGGTTGAGGATGTGCTGGGTTCTGAGTGGGCCATTCACGCCGAAGGCCAGAAGCTTCAGAGCGAAAGCAACCTGTTCCGGAAGAAGCTGGACACACAGACCATCTACAAGGCCTGGCTCGACGACGTCCAGCGTCGTCAAATCTCCATTTCTGGTTTCCTGTTCGACATTCGACGCATGCGATCTACGGGTAACACCTACGAACTTCTGGTCAACTTTGATCCTCAGGTCATTACCCTCTTCAAGGAGACGCGCAACCTCATGTGGCAGAATTATGCCGTACCTCATTCGATCAACAATGTGTCCAAGGACGCCAAGCGTGTCTATCCATTCGCAGTCAGTCTCATGGAGAGCGTCCGTACCTTCTCGCAGACGATGCGGCAAATTTCTGAGATGGGCGAGGAGGCAGTTCTTGTGTATGGATACAGGAATGACGTCTACGCTCTGGTATCCAGAGGTGTTCCCCTCAGATGGGAGTCGTTTGTCAACTCGCACGAGATCTTCTTTTCCACAAAGAACAATGCTACCTTGCCAAACGTGTCCGAATTTGGGCTTTCCAAGCCATCTGAGAGCAAGCACAGCCTCTTCATTCGAGAGTTTGCTGCGGCCGTGTCTCTGCTCCAGGCCAAGACCGCTTCTTTGGCGTCGATCCACGCAACTGTGGAGAAGGCACTTGTTGAGCTCAACACCTGCCCCTATGAAGCCAGCGCCTTCACTTCACGCTTAGAGACCATCCAGACTGCCGTCGATCAGCTTAACTTGGAGCAGTACGTCAACTTGCCCTACTGGGTCGACATGATGAACCAGAAGCTCAAGGAGGTGCTTCTTACTCGTCTGCAAGACGCTATTCTGGCTTGGATTCATGCCTTTGAAGACGACTACCTCGACGACGGTCGCCGCAAACAAGTGACCGAGAATGGCGAAGAGGCTACACAAGAAGGACCTACAATTAAGCGCCTAATTCTTGAATTGTCTATGCGGAACCAGGTGATCTACTTGGATCCTCCACTGGAATACTCGCGTTCAAGCTGGTTTGTTCAACTGCATGAGTGGCTCGGAATCGTCTGCAATCTCAAGAAGATCAAGGCTACACGATACCAAATGACTTTGACGACAACCACATTGGATGAGCCACACTTTGACGACCTGCCTAGCGATTGCACCGACCTCCTCAGCCGCGTGTACGTCTCTATCGAGAAGAAGCTGCAGGAGATTGGCTCATACGTCGATAAGTGGCTCCAATTCCAGTCCCTCTGGGACCTTCAGTCGGAACAGGTGTACGAGGCTCTTGGAGATCAGCTTGCGAGATGGCTGCAGCTGCTCCAAGAGATCCGAAAGACGCGCCAGACCTTTGACACTCAAGAAGTCAGCCGGCAGTTTGGCCACATCACCATCGACTATGACCAGGTTCAGACGAAGGTCAATGCAAAGTACGATCAATGGCAGCACGAGATCTTGATGAAGTTTGCCAGCAGACTCGGCAACCGCATGCGTGAAGTCCACGCTGAGATTGAAAAGGCTCGCCGGGACCTCGAGAGCCAGGGCCTTGATGCCTCTTCCACCGCACACGCCGTGCAATTCATCACCGTCGTGCAGGCTTGCAGACGCAATGTCAAGCTGTGGGCTCCTGAAATTGACATGTTCAGACAGGGACAGTCTACCCTCGTGCGCCAGCGCTACCAATTCCCCAACGACTGGCTTCATATCGAGCAGATTGACAGCTCGTGGGAGTCTCTCACTGAGATATTGGAGAAGAAGTCCAAGATCGTGCAGGATCAGACTGACGCTCTGAGATCCAAGATCATCGCCGAGGATAAGATTGTCAACGACAGGATTGCCGAGGTCGCCGTGCAGTGGAATGACGAGAAGCCAGTTTCTGGTACTACTCAACCCGATGTTGCAACCGCAACGTTGAAGACATTCGAGACCAGAATCTCCAAACTGCAGTCCGATTTTGAAATGGTGGCCAAGGCCAAGGAAGCTCTCGATATTCCTGCCACGGCTGACACCTCTCTCGGGACCATCTTGGAAGAAGTCCAGGACTTCCAGTCTGTCTGGTCCAACCTCTCCACCATTTGGGCCAGTCTCAACGAGACGCGAGAGGTTTTGTGGACTGCTGTTCAACCCAGAAAGATACGGTCCAAGATTGACGACCTTATCAAGAGCACCAAGGAGATGCCTAGTCGCATGAGACAATATGCCGCCTTCGAGCACGTGCAGACTATCCTTCGCAGCCTACTCAAGGTCAACACCATTCTTTCTGACCTCAAGTCCGAGGCAATCCGAGACCGCCACTGGACCAAGATCTACAAGCAGATTAAGCCTGGCAAGCGATACTCACCAGTGTCGATGACTCTCGGCGATGTGTGGGACTTCAATCTCGTTGCCACCGAAGTCATTGTCAGGGACATCATTGCCCAGGCGCAAGGTGAAATGGCCCTAGAGGAGTTCTTGAAGCAAGTCCGCGAGACGTGGTCAAACTACGGGTTGGAGCTCGTCAACTATCAGAACAAGTGCCGTCTCATCCGTGGTTGGGACGATTTATTCGCTAAGTGCAGCGAAAATCTCAACTCATTGCAAGCTATGAAGCACTCACCCTACTACAAGGAGTTCGAAGAGGAGGCGTCATCTTGGGAAGACAAGCTCAACAGAGTACATGTCCTCTTTGACGTCTGGATCGATGTTCAGCGTCAATGGGTCTATCTTGAAGGTGTTTTCACTGGCAATGCCGACATCAAGCACCTTTTGCCAGTCGAGTCCTCGAGGTTCCAGAACATTAACAGCGAGTTTTCGGCTGTCATGAAGAAAGTCTACAAGCAGCCTTATGTTCTTGACGTCTTGACGATCCCCAACGTTCAGAAATCTCTCGAGAGATTGGCTGAGCTCCTGAACAAGATCCAAAAGGCTCTCGGCGAATACCTTGAAAAGGAGCGTGTCTCTTTCCCTCGATTCTACTTCGTCGGTGACGAGGACCTTCTCGAAATGATTGGTAACAGTAACGACACCCTGCGTATTGCGAAGCACTTCAAGAAGATGTTTGCTGGTCTGTCAGGACTAATTATGGACGACGAGACAATCATTTCTGGGTTCACCTCGAAGGAGGGCGAGGCCGTGCGTCTCAAAAAGGAGATTTCCCTCGCCAAGACACCCAAGATTAACGACTGGCTGGCCCTGTTGGAGAGTGGCATGAAGAACACGCTGGCGGAGCTCCTCGCGGAGGCTGTCGAGCAGTACACCCCGATCTTTGAATCCGAGAAGATCGACAAGGAGGCGATGGACGCGTTCATGGAAGCCTTCCCCAGTCAGATTGTCGTTCTTGCAACACAAGTAGTTTGGACGACATCTGTCGAAAAGTCTCTTGTTGACGGCGGAAAGTCACTGCAATCTCTCTACGATCTCGAAGTCCAAGTGCTTCGCCTTCTAGCCGACACTGTCTTGGGCGACCTTGAGGTTATTCAGCGCAAGAAGTGCGAACAGCTCATCACGGAATGTGTGCACCAGCGTGACGCCATCGAGAAGCTCATAAGCCTCAATGCTACCACACCGACTCATTACTGGTGGCTGCTTCAGATGCGCTACGTCTACACACCCGAAGGTGACTTCCCCAATCGCCTGCAGGTCAAGATGGCCAATGCAAAGCTCAGCTACGGCTTCGAGTATCTCGGAGTACCCGAACGCCTTGTCAGAACACCTCTTACAGACCGATGCTTCCTTACTCTCACACAAGCTCTCGAACAAAGACTGGGTGGTTCTCCCTACGGCCCAGCCGGAACGGGTAAGACGGAGTCAGTCAAGGCCCTTGGTCTCCAGCTTGGTCGATTTACTCTGGTCTTCTGCTGCGACGACACTTTCGATTTCCAGGCTATGGGTCGCATCTTCCTTGGTATCTGCCAGGTCGGAGCTTGGGGATGTTTCGATGAGTTTAATCGTCTCGAGGAGAGAATTCTGTCCGCTGTCTCGCAGCAAATTCAAAATATTCAGCTTGGCCTGAAGAAGGGAGCCGAAGACGACAAGGCCCAAACTGAATTAGTTGGGCGGCAGCTTCACGTCAATGCCAATACTGGTATTTTCATCACCATGAACCCGGGCTATGCTGGTCGTTCCAACCTTCCCGACAACCTGAAGAAGTTGTTCCGCAGTGTTGCCATGTCCAAGCCTGACAAGGAGCTCATTGCCGAAGTCATGCTTTACTCTCAAGGTTTCAACCAGGCCAAGCAGTTGTCGAAGCACACAGTCCCCTTCTTCGACCAGTGCGCAGCAAGACTGTCCAAGCAAGCTCACTACGACTTTGGTCTTCGTGCCTTGAAGAGTGTTCTTGTCAGCTCCGGAGGTCTCAAGCGTGCGAGACTTATAGAGAGTGATGGTAGCATTGGCGCGGAAGAGGTCGTCGAGCCTGAAATCATCGTCCAGAGCATCCGCGAAACCATCGCCCCTAAGTTGATCAAGAGTGATGTCGAGATCCTCGGCGAGGTTGAAGAGGACTGCTTCCCTGGCGTCAAGTACGTACCGGCCAATCTCCAGGCACTCGAAGAAGCCATCAGGACACTCGCAGACGAAAGAAAGCTGGTGGTCAACGACACTTGGATGACAAAGGTCCTTCAACTCTACCAGATCCAGAACATCCACCACGGTGTGATGATGGTTGGTAACTCCGGTACCGGCAAGTCTGCTGCCTGGACTCTTCTGCTTGACGCTCTCCAAAAGGTCGAGGGTGTTGAGGGCGTGCAGCACGTTATTGACTCCAAGGTCATGTCCAAGGAAGCTCTCTACGGAAACCTCGACTCTACCACGCGCGAATGGACGGATGGCCTGTTCACTAGCATCCTGCGAAAGATTGTTGACAACCTGAGAGGCGAGGACTCCAAGCGCCACTGGATCGTCTTCGACGGTGATGTTGACCCCGAGTGGGTCGAGAACTTGAACAGTGTGTTGGACGACAACAAACTTCTCACCCTTCCCAATGGTGAGCGTCTCAACCTACCCGCCAACGTTCGCATTATGTTCGAAGTTGAGACGTTGAAGTACGCCACGCTTGCCACGGTCAGTCGATGTGGTATGGTCTGGTTCAGCGAGGATACTGTTACGCCAATGATGATGCTCGAGCACTACCTCGGCACGCTGCGCTCTAAGCCATTCGAGGACCTGGACGAAGATAGCGTTGCAGCTGGACAGAGCCCTGCGAAGGCACTTGCCGTCCAGTCCCAGGTCGCCGACCTCCTTAATGCATATCTCTCTGGAGAGGACTTCCTCACAGCTGCTCTCAAGGAAGCCGAGGGCTACAACCACATTATGGATTTTACTGTCGCTCGTGTGCTCAACACCCTGTTTTCTCTCTTGAACAAGGCAGTCCGCGACATGATTGAGTACAATGCTCAGCATTCCGACTTCCCCCTGGACCCTGAACAGGTTGAAGCCTTCATCGCAAAGAAGCTGCTCCTCGCTTTGGTGTGGGCTCTCACTGGTGACTGCCCTCTGAACGACCGCAAATCGTTCGGAGATGCGGTTGGCGGTCTAGCCAGCTTTGGCAACCCGCCCCTTGATGGCACCAGCTCACTCATCGACTTCGACGTGACTCTTCCCCAGGCCGAGTGGGCACCATGGCAGAACCAGGTTCCGACTATTGAAGTCAATACTCACTCCGTCACTCAGACAGATGTGGTCATCCCTACACTCGATACAGTGCGTCATGAGGATGTTCTCTACTCTTGGTTGGCTGAGCACAAGCCGCTGTTGCTCTGCGGTCCTCCCGGTTCGGGTAAGACGATGACACTTTTCAGCGCTCTTCGCAAGCTTCCCAACATGGAGGTTGTCGGTCTCAACTTCTCAAGCGCGACCACTCCTGATCTTCTGATCAAGACTTTTGAGCAATATTGCGAGTACAAGAAGACTTTGAATGGAGTCATGCTTTCGCCGACACAGATTGGCAGGTGGCTGGTCATCTTCTGTGATGAGATCAACTTGCCTGCCCCCGACAAGTACGGAACGCAGCGAGCCATTTCCTTCCTGCGTCAGCTCGTTGAGCACAATGGTTTCTGGAGAACCTCGGACAAGTCTTGGGTGACCCTTGACCGTATCCAGTTTGTCGGTGCTTGTAACCCCCCGACCGATGCAGGCCGTACACCCCTGGGTGCCAGATTCCTTCGCCATGCCCCTCTCATCATGGTCGACTACCCCGGAGAGCTTTCTTTGCTCCAGATCTACGGCACCTTCAACTCGGCTGTTCTCAAAATCATCCCTTCCCTCCGTGGCTACTCTGAACCACTCACACAGGCAATGGTTAAGTTGTATCTGGAGTCGCAGCAGCGCTTTACGCCCAAAATTCAGCCTCACTACGTATACAGTCCTCGTGAACTCACTCGATGGGTGCGCGGTATTTACGAAGCCATCCGTCCGCTGGAGACATTGTCAATTGAGGGGCTTGTTCGCATCTGGGCGCACGAGGCTCTCCGCCTCTTCCAAGATCGTCTCGTCGCCGAGGATGAGCGCCAATGGACCGATGATGCAGTTCGACGCATTGCCCTTGATCTCTTCCCTACTGTCGATGACCAGAGGGCACTGGGTGGTCCAATCCTCTTTTCCAACTGGCTGTCGAAGAACTACGTACCAGTCGACCGGGAGCAACTTCGAGACTTTGTCAAGGCCAGACTCAAGACGTTCTGCGAAGAAGAGGTTGATGTACCCCTCATTCTGTTCAACGACGTCCTGGAACACGTGCTCCGCATTGATCGTGTCTTCAGACAACCCCAGGGCCATCTTATCCTCATTGGCGTGAGTGGTAGTGGAAAGACCACGCTCTCGCGCTTTGTGGCCTGGATGAATGGTCTCAAGGTCTTCCAGATCAAGGTGCACGGCAAGTACTCTGCCGAAGACTTTGACGATGATCTCCGTGATGTTCTCCGACGTTGCGGTTGCAAGGGCGAGAAGATCTGTTTCATCATGGACGAGGCCAATGTTTTGGATTCGGGTTTCCTCGAAAGAATGAACACGCTGCTCGCGAATGCCGAGGTTCCTGGTCTATTTGAGGGCGACGAGTTCGCCGCACTCATGACGGCATGCAAGGAGGGTGCCCAACGGCAGAATCTACACCTCGACTCGCCCGAGGAGCTGTACAAGTGGTTCACTCAACAGATTGTCAAGAATTTGCATGTTGTGTTCACCATGAACCCACCGGAGGGTGGTCTTGGGTCCAAAGCCGCAACCAGTCCTGCCTTGTTCAACCGCTGCGTTCTCAACTGGTTCGGAGACTGGTCTGATCAGGCCCTCTTCCAGGTTGGCCACGAGCTCACCCAGTCGATGGACCTGGATAGACCCAATTTCCAGGCGCCCGATACTATCCCAGTGGCGTACCGCGCTCTCAGCCTACCCCCTACGCATCGCGAGACCATTGTCAACTCCATGGTCTACATCCACTACTCCCTTCAGAGATTCAACACCAAGCTCTTCAAGCAGCAAGGCAAGATTACCTTCCTTACCCCCAGACACTTCCTGGATTTCGTCGCGCAGTATGTCAAGCTTTACAACGAGAAGCGCGAGGATCTGGAAGAGCAGCAACGCCATCTCAACGTTGGTCTCGAGAAGCTTAGAGACACGGTCGACAAGGTTCGCGATTTAAGGGTCAGCCTTGCCGAGAAAAAGTCTCAACTCGAGAAGAAAGACGCCGAGGCCAATGAGAAACTGCAACGCATGGTTGCGGACCAGAGAGAGGCCGAACAGAGAAAGAACACGTCCTTGGAGATTCAAGTTGCGCTAGAGAAGCAAGAGGCGGAAGTGGCCACGCGAAGAAAGGTCGTGTTGGAGGATCTCGCAAAGGCGGAGCCCGCCGTCGAAGAGGCCCGGGCCAGTGTTAGCAACATCAAGCGTCAACATCTTACCGAAGTTCGATCAATGGGCAACCCGCCGCAGGGTGTCCGGTTGGCTCTCGAGTCTGTCTGCGCTCTGCTTGGCCACAAAGTCAACGACTGGAGAATGATCCAAGGTATTATCCGTCGCGATGACTTTATTGCTAGCATCGTCAATTTCGACAACGAACGCCAAATGACCAAGCCTCTGCGCATAAAGATGCGCAATGACTTTTTATCGAACCCCGAATTCACATTCGATAAGGCCAACCGTGCCAGTAAGGCCTGCGGACCCCTGGTACAATGGGTGGAGGCACAGGTCTCATACTCTGAGATTCTCGACCGAGTCGGCCCTCTGAGGGACGAAGTCAACACACTTGAGGAGCAAGCTCTGCAAACCAAGGCCGAGGCCAAGGCCGTTGAGAACACTATCAACACCCTCGAGTCTAGCATCGCCCAGTACAAGACGGAATACGCTGCACTTATCAGCGAAACGCAAGCCATCAAGTCTGAGATGTCAAAGGTCCAGTTCAAGGTCGACAGGAGTGTCAAGTTGCTCGACAGTCTGTCGTCCGAGAGAGTCCGTTGGGAGGAGGGCAGCAAGTCTTTCGAGACCCAAATCAGCACGCTCGTTGGTGATGTCCTTGTCGCGGCCGCCTTCCTCGCATACAGTGGTCTGTACGACCAGACCTTCCGAAAGTCCATGATGGATGACTGGTTGCACCAGCTGCAGCTATCTGGCGTACTGTACAAACAGCACAACCCAGTCACTGAGTACCTGTCGACCGCCGACGAGCGTCTCAGCTGGCAGGAGAATAGCCTGCCGGTCGACGATCTTTGCACGGAGAACGCTATCGTCCTGAAGCGATTCAACCGCTACCCCCTCATTATCGATCCTTCCGGCAGAGTCACCGAGTTCTTGCAGAAGGAGAGCAAGGACCGTCGCTTGACGGTCACCAGTTTCTTGGATGACTCGTTCACTAAGCAGCTAGAGAGTTCCCTTCGTTTTGGTAACCCCATTCTTATCCAGGACGCCGAGTACCTTGACCCCATCCTCAACCACGTCCTCAACAAGGAATACCAGAAGACTGGCGGTCGTGTACTCATCCAGCTCGGCAAGCAGCAGATCGATTTCTCGCCCTCCTTCCAGATCTATCTGTCTACCCGCGACCCGTCGGCAACGTTTGCTCCCGATATTTGCTCCCGGACCACATTTGTCAACTTCACAGTCACCCAGAGCAGTCTCCAGACCCAGTCTCTTAACGATGTACTGAAGTCCGAGAGACCGGATGTTGATGAGAGGCGATCCAATCTCATCAAGCTCCAGGGAGAGTTCAAGATCCATCTGCGACAGTTGGAGAAGCGTCTCTTGCAAGCTCTCAACGAGTCCCGCGGAAACATTCTCGACGACGACAATGTCATTGAGACCCTGGAGACCCTGAAGACGGAGGCTGCGGAGATTTCCGACAAGATGAGCAACACCGAGGGCGTTATGGCAGAAGTCGAGGAGATTACCCAACAGTATAGCATCATTGCCCGCTCCTGCAGTACTGTGTTTGCTGTGCTGGAGCAGCTCCATTACCTGAACCACTTCTACCAGTTCTCTCTCCAGTACTTCCTTGACATCTTCCACTCTGTTCTGCATGGCAACAAGAACCTCGCCGACGAGACGAATCACAACATTCGGCGAGACATTATTGTCAAGGATCTGTTCATCACCGCCTTCAAGCGGACTGCGCTGGGCCTGCTCCAAAAGGACCGGATCACGCTGGCCATGCTGCTTGCGCAGGCTTCGCCCTACAAGATGGACAAGACGCTGATCGACGTCTTCCTTGACGATCGTGTAGAAGGCAAGGATCTCTCCACCGACAAGGACGCCAAAGAGGAGGCCTTCACCCGGGCTGGCCGCATGAGTGTGCTCAAAGACAAGCTTGACGCGGTTTCGCCTGCCGACTGGGACAAGTTCCTAACCGAGGAGCTTGCTGAAAACTTTGTTCCCAAGATCTGGGAGGACAGCACGGAGGCCTTTGATCAGGCGCTACAATCTCTGCTTCTTGTCAAACTTTTCCGTCTCGATCGTTTCGTCCCGGCTGCCGAGCGGTTTGTCACTTTGGTCTTCGGCTCAGACACTTTTGACGTCGTCGAGGATCTCAAGGAGACTATCAGCCAGGTTCCCGCTACCCGACCGATTTCTCTAGTCTCCAGCCCTGGTTTCGATGCCAGTTACAAGGTGGACAACCTCGTCGAGAGGCTCCGCGTCAAATGCACCAACATTGCCATGGGTTCCAACGAAGGTCTCGCAAGTGCCGACAAGGCCATCAATAACGCCGCGCAACTGGGCAACTGGGTCTTGGTCAAGAACGTACATCTCGCCCCTACCTGGCTGCAGAGTCTCGAGAAGCGCATGGAGTCGCTCAACCCCCACTCCGAGTTCCGCCTCTTCCTGTCGATGGAATCGAGTCCCAAGATTCCCGTCAACTTGCTGCGCGCCTCCAGGGTACTCATGTACGAGCAGCCTGCCGGTGTGCGCGCCAACATGAAGGACTCGATGTCTTCCTTGTCGACGAGAGGCGCAAAAGCCCCTGTCGAGCGCACGAGGCTGTACCTTCTGCTTGCCTTCTTGCACGCAGTCGTCCAAGAGCGCCTGCGCTACGCTCCAAGCTTGGGATGGAAGGGTTTCTGGGAGTTCAATGACAGTGATGTAAGTTTTATCCAAGTCAAGATTGAATAGGCACAAGCTAACTTGCCCAGTACGAATGCTCGGCATTCATCATTGACACCTGGATCGAGAACGCTGCCGGCACCCGCACGAACATTGCACCTCAGAGCATTCCTTGGGAGATGATTCGCTACCTCGTCACGGAAACCTACGGCGGCAAGATTGACAATGAGGGAGACTTCAAGCAGCTGAACCAGCTTGTGCACTCGTTCCTGACGCCATCAGCCTATGACGTTGGACATAAACTCGTCGAGGGCACGGAGAACCAGGAAGGCAGCCTCGTGGTGCCGTCGGGCACTTCCCTGTCGGATTTCATGGCCTGGATCCACAAGCTGCCAGAGCGCGAGCCGCCTACATACCTCGGCCTACCCGCCAACGCAGAGAAGCTGCTCCTGGTTGGTCTCGGACGCAGTCTCATTGGCAACTTGAAAAAGGTGACGGAGTTGTTGGAGGAAGGGGAGCAACTCTTGGTTGAGGCCTAGTGAGCTTCCGCCTGGGAGGGGAGTTGTATGGAAGGAGGATGAATAGAGGACATTGCCAGTTCCCCGATCAAAGGGGATTACTTTTTTCTTATGTGTCAAGAGAGAACGAGCATTGCGCGCCGTCTTGATTGCGAAGTTTTTAGAGTCTCGAGGCATCATTGCCAACGTGTGTCGACTTTTATGCGCCTTGAGAAGAAGAATTCGGCGTAGTAATGGACATGGAAATCTTGGGGAACGGAACGGGGGAGATGGGATGGACTGCGTCGTTTGTCACATACATTACTTATACACTGATACCCTAAATCTCAGACTGCTTTCTTCATGTTTGGTCGCGGACTTGCCTCTGTGATGGATGGGCTGGCTGTGACAGTAGCGCAAGACTCGGATTTTACTGGACGTTTGAGAAGTTGCGTCTCGACCGTTTGTCTGGGCTGTTTGTTGCTCCTGAATCAACAATGCCTTTGAATGAATGGAAAATACAGTGCGCGCAAATGTTGTCAAAATCAGATTGTAGTAAAGTAAATGTCGATATGAGTAGTATTAGCAGGCCAAGCAATTGTTCAGCAGGAAGGCGAGACGAGGTTGGTGCTTGTGGATCGTGATGCAACCTGCGGATGTAGGGCGGATGGAATCCAAAAAAAAAAAAAAAAAAAAAAAAAAAAGGTTACCAAAAGGGAAGGAGGATTAAATGGGAATTCAAACTACAGTAGAGGGACAAAAAAAGCAAAATATTGATTACTCGTAATCTGTGTTCAGATTACCGACGACCAACCTGGGACTCGAACCCAGAATCTTCGGATGAGTTTGTATTCCTCATAGGAATCCGACGCCTTAGCCATTAGGCCAGCCGGCCTGCCAGGATCTTTAGTTGTTGGGTTGGGAGGCGAATGTTGGGGTCTATGATTTGTTGCGCTTTGTCTGTGTGTGTGTGTGTGCTCTGGGGCGGGCTAAGCGGGGCTTCTGTCGGGTGGTTCCAGTGGAGTAGCTGGGTTTGCTGATGGCATTTGGTTTTCGCTGTCATTTACCGAGGTATGGAAATGTTGTAGGTTGCGGGAGGTAAGCGTGTTGAATTTTTGTGACGGTGGGAAAGGAAGAAAGAAAAGAAGAAAGAAAAAAAAAGAAAAGGAGGACGCAAAGAAAAACTCAAGTAAGGTAGGTAAGGTATATAGTGCAGCGGGCTTGGAGAAGCCTGTTGCAGAGTAGGTGAGAGACAGAGCAGATGCAGAGCTATAGAAAAGGTCTCTCGGACGTAAAATCCATCGCTGGAGTGAGAACGCATCTTGGGTGTTTCTGTGTCTTCATCGCGCATGCGTATACCACAGGCGCTGCGGCGAAGATAGGAAACCAAACAACAAAAAGCCGGATTCTTGGTTCGGCAAAGCTAGATAAAGTGGCGACTGTATTCAGTCGTTCTAATGAACATTGTCGTGGGGTGGTGACTGCTTACTATACGTGACTCCCGACCAGCCTACAACTGGTCCCCGTCGCCTTTTACAAATACACTTACATATAGATATACACACATGTACACATACACTCTGTCTCTTTCTCTCCCGTCTCCCACTCAATTCGCTCCGTCCTTGATTTCGTTTGCAATACCATCCTTCCCATCGTCAGCCTTGGCTTTTGCCTCCCCCGCCTCCTTCTCCTTCTTTTGCTCCTTCTTTTGCTCCTTCTTCTGCTCCTTCTTCTGCTCCTTGTTCTGCTCCTTGTTCTGCACCTTCTTCTTCCAGCTACTCTCGATACCCTGCATCTTCCTCTTTTTAAACTGATCATAGCTCTCCTCCGACCTCATCTTCCTCTCCTTCGTCTCCTCCTCAGCCCGCGGACGGCGGCCGGGGCGGCGCACGTCGAAGCCCAGACACACGGCCGTGGCGTAGTCCCCGTCGTGGCTGATGGAGACGAGCACCTCCTGCCCGGGCTCGCCTTCACGTATCCCGCGCACGATGGCGACGGGCGGGCCGCTGCCATTGGGGTCTTCGGGGGAACTATCGTTCTCTTTGCCCTCCACTTCTTCTTCCAGCTTCTCCCCCTTCTCCTCCTTCTCCTCCTTCTCCTCCTTCTCCTCCTTCTCCTCCTTCTCTTGCTCCTTCTCTTGCTCCTTCTCTTCCTCCTTTTGCTTCCTGACCTGCTTCAGCTCCTCAATATTCCTCAGCTGCTCGAACCTTCTTCGAATGATGGTGATGTCGTGCCAGGAGAGGTTTCTAGAGGGGTGGGCTTTGAAGGTCGCTTCCTTGGCTGCGAATCTGTAAAGCAGAGGTTAAAGATGATCGCCCCATGTTCTCCCAAATGGCCTTGAAGGGGAGAGAAAGGCGGGTGTAAAAGCTTACCTGCCAGCTACAAAGCTCGCCTTCTTCCACAACAACGGATTGCGCTCCTTCAATGACTGGAAACCATCGTTTTTGGTGATCTTGGACGCGGTCTTTGATGCATCAGCCGACAGCAGATCGGCAGGGACCGAGAGGCGCTCATTATGGGTCAAGACGCGCTTGAGAAACCTCGCCCCCTTGTCGCTGGCCAGGATCCGGTAGATGCGGGAAATTTGACATATGTCCGTACCTATTTGCATAGGAAACGGAAACGGCCTCGGTGGCACCATGATGAACAGCTTCGAGCGCCAAAAGTGAGTGGATATCTTCAACTGGCAAAGCCAAGCTGCAAATGATGGTAATTGATAGATTCACTGCATGGGTGTCGGGAGAATGAACCCCTTCCACCTTAGGCACCATAGGTGTAAGGTAAGGTACCTTAAGCAAAGCTTGAAAGTGTGATAACGATAGCGATAAGATAGCAGCTACGTCATTCTTGCCCGTCCTGTCCATCCCAAACCGAATAACAACATAACAACATGGGGAATTATCGAGCTTTCCTACGCATGCATGGCCATAAAAAATGCCACATACATTCCATACCAGAAATTAATTCAGTTGTTGCAGCAATCTCGGAACGAAAACAATTTTTTGAGGCCCATGACTCTGCCCTGGGCGGCTACCAGTCGCACTTCAATTCGACCTGCTCCTCTCGTGAATTGACGAGTGCTTCTGTTGCGAATACACTCCATTGCGCATGCCTTAGGCTCGAGCCTTCAATGCGGACACAATGGCATTTACTGGTCGTCGGCGAGAAGGGGGGCACGCTCCGAGTCGGCAGGGCCGGATCGACTTCTCCAGGGGTAGTCTTTGCCAGTCGCGGCCGGGTAGGCAATCACGAGAGTCGAGACAAACAGGACAGACATAATGGTGAAAGCAAAGATCCACTGGAAGGCAATGATCTGGCGGCCGAATTGTGCAACGCCAAGAGCAGCGGACAGAACGCTGAGGGAGAATCCCATGGTGTAATCCTGAAACATGGTTGGTCAGTGAATCTTTAGTTCATAGACACAGGACCGCTCTTACCTTGTAGGCAACAATGAAGAAGCCTCCGTAGACCAGAATGGACCAGATGAAGATATTGCCGAAGATGCGAGCAACGAGGTTGTGGGGATGGGGGACCATGATGGCGCCGTTCCAGTAGATGGCCACAAACGTCCATGCCAGAGGAGCGGAAACGACGGGCCAGTGGATGAAGCGCGGGTACGTGTTGTGGCGGAAGTAGAGCGACGACAGATTGGCGAAGTTGATAATCAAGATGAACTCAGCCCAGCCGAAGTAGGAGCGCACGAACAACATGACAAAAGCAAAGTGCAGGAGGTTGTTGAAGATGAAGTGCGATCCGACGCTGGCGGCGGCGTTGACATAGTCGCTGTTGCTCGAGAATAGGTGTCCGACATACCCGATTTGGAGGATAAAAAGAACGATCCTGGACCTTGTTAGCAGTGCCTTGGCTCTTCAGGAACGGGTCTGAACGTACCAGTAGATGTCGGTAATGTTCTCACTCAAGGTGAAGGCAGTGCGATAGAGGTAGTTTTGGTCCCAAATTCTTCTCCGGATCGTGAAGCCATCGTGGGGTTCATTGGTGACATAGTAGAGAGTTACGACGAAAGACAAGAGCCAACTCAAAATAGTCAAAACCTTGTAGGTGGTGATGGAGGTGGCGGTATGAGACTCCTTCTTGGAGAAGGGGTTCACTAGAAGAAAGGTCAGTCACAAACGAACGGCAGCAAACGCCCAAGATGAACAGTAGCTTACGGGCGTGAATGCGCTCTGTTGCGGTCGGCATCTTGAGGGACGAATATTTCCTCGTGTTAGTTTCTCAGTTACCACACACTCTGGAGATTTGGAAGGTTTTCAGTGTTGCACAGAAAATAGCCAGTGGCAGCAGAAGCTTGGAAGTAGTAGGAAACGCATGAGCTGAGGAGGGCGGCGGCGGCATTTAAACGACGGAAGCAGGAGGCATGGGGGTGGTAGATGGGACGTTAAATCTGTGGGGAAGCAGCTCGCCACAAGTACATTAGTGTGTAACTCGGATGCAGAGAGAGGTTCCTTCCTTGCTCCTCTTCCTTCAGTGCTGGACGTGGATGGAAGAGGAGGTATCGTTCCGGACCGGACCTCAGGTCAGATTCCAGGCTGGGGTGAGGCGGCGCCTCTCCCACACTGCCACACCTCCTTCCTCGTCTTTGCCTTGCTCACGGCATGTTGTCCACCTCACGGAGCAATGGACAGGCTCAGTCAGTAGCCCCCGGTGTGGAGCTACCTACGTAAGTTAGCCATGTAGCTTAACAACTTAAGGCAAGGTAGCTTGGAAAAGGATAGCCATGTCCTGTACTAGACCATGATACCATCCGTGTGTACGTGCACTTAAAAAGCTTGCAAAGGGCGGGATGCATGGGCCGAGATGAGATGGGCTTGGGCGTGCTTGTTTGGACTCGGGTTGTTTGGACGCCTCGCTTGTCCAAGTGGGCTACGGGTTGGCGCCTAGAGGATGCTACTACCGATTGGCTGTCTCGTGCAGCACGCAAGTCAATAGGCGACCTTTTCGGTCAGTGATACTTTTTTGGAGACATGAGGATGAGGTACCAGGTAGCCGTGCTGTCCTACTACCTCGAGGTAGACGAACTCAAGGAGTCTCGGACGAGGTATGGCACCGTAGTAAATGGCCTCAGGCGTGAAGCGCTTTGGATCGGGATCGTCCCTGCGCTTTGCGGTTCAACAACATGACACACGAAGTCTGCGAGCAGCAGCCAATGCATTGGTAGTTGGACTGGCTGATCTGGACCTGTCAACCCTGTCTGACCGATGCTCTTCCCTGCTCTATCCGGACCGCATCAGCCACACTCTAGGTCTGGGGTACGAAGACGGAGACAAGTAGGTAGGTAGCGACGCTGTCGTCAGAGCTGACGATGACGCCCAAGCGAGCTTGACCGAAGCAGAGAGTAGGCCTATTTGGCTAGTGTTTTGAGCTTGGCAAAGTTTTGAGACCATCCACCATCTCTTGCCCTTGTACCTACCTTGATGGGGTGGCACAGCAGCCAGCTGTCGTGAAAGATGTGCTACTCTTGAGGCTAGCGGGGAGAGGGTCGGTCGATGCAATCCAACATGGCGGACACTGTAAGCCGTAAGCCACACAGCATGTCGGGAAGGCCAAGCCTGCCTATGCTTCCTTCCTGGCATCGGCTTGAAACTGGAGGGATTATCGGTTGTCTTGGGCCACGGTCCATGGGAAGAAGAGCAGGCCAAAAAGAGACAGACATTTGGAGCAAAGAGATGAGGTGAAGCTGGAGCACACGCCACACACCCACACGCCAGGCGTTGCGCAGTGTGGAGTACCGGGCCTGCAGCAGCAGTCCGATGGCTGACAGGGGAGGGTGTAGTGGGGCGATGCGCGATCCGTGATTGGATGATCTCTGCACAGGTATGACGACTTGCCGCGACTTCCACAGGTTCTCTTGCAGTTCTCAGAGCCGACCTAGCAGAGCAGCCAGAGCTCCCCGCCCCACACACCTATCCCATATGCCAAGGAGCCACTCTTTCCCGCTCCTAAACTTCTGCATCCTTTTCACTCTCGCGGCTCGCCCGTGCATGTCTTGCACTGACAATTCGTCCCGCCTTGCGTCCTCGCAACCCACCTCCAATCCAACTCCAAACACCTTCACGACCGACTACTAAAGTTGGAGTTAGAATTGAAGCTGGAGCCGTCGAGGCCCCTAATTTGTCACCGGAGTAGAAACGCATACCTGGCGACGCAGGCCTCATGATACCTAGCTCTAGGTACACCCAACTTGTCGCCTACCATAGACTTCAAGAGCAGAACAAGGTGTCCCATGCCGACTCATTGTGAGGACCTAGGCCAGGCAAGCCAGGGTCCATAAAGAAACGTAACCCCCTGCTTTTGCATCATTGGACCTCCATCATCATCGCCTCATAGTCCCCCTTCCTGGACTGATGTGCTGCTAGCATCAGGAGCAGACGGAAACATTGCCCTGCGACTGTTGGCCGCCGGTTGCTCCTTCTCCAAACAATCCGCCCCAATCCGACCTTTTACAGGTGCAGCCTTCGCGCATCCCTTCCATCGCATCTGGAAAGTTGCGACTGACTGCTGCGCACCCACCCGCTCAACTTCCAATTCCCCAATGGAATGGTACGCCGTTAGAGGGGCGGAAGCTATTGTAGCTCAGCACACCACCTTGCAAACCGACAGACCGCTTCCTCCCATGCCGGGACAACCTGGATGCCTTATTGTGCGCTGGACAGAGACCATGATCGGCAAAAACGCTCTCTCACCTGATTTCGAGATAGAATTTCTTTATTACTAACGGCTATAGCTACAGCAAATGGGAGAAGAAACAGTCATCGGCCCACTGCACATCTCATGCCACTGGCTCTATTCTTGGCGCAAATTGCAATGGCTTCAATGCATACTATGTAGCTGCTTGCCCTGCAGTTCCGGATCGGTACGGATATGCCGTAGGCTTTGAGCTCAAAAGGCCCACCCCCGTCCGACATCTGCACCGACTTGAGCAGTGACGAGGTACCTCTACCCGGCCGGTACATCCCCACGTCACCGCACCTTTCTCTCCGGCCTGTAGGCTCAACTGCGGGGCGGGGCATACTCCAACTTGCATCACCTGGCCCTCCGCGTGTCCTGCCCCTCACGCCTGATGACAGCATTTGCGAATCAATTCGTCTGAGAGCTGCGGCACGGCCACTACCGACCGGCTGCCACAAAGCAAGGCACCATGTTCAGGTCGACGAAGCGAACAAACTCATGCCAACGCCTCGGGCACTTCTGAGACTCCCTAAGGCGCGGCGACAAGCAAACACCTTTATTGGAATGGCACGCTACCCAGGTGTCTAACTACACAACATTCTATATTTTCTATACCGGCATCTACACCAGTGCTTCCTTTCTTCGCCCATATCGTACTGTACATTTTTCGCAGTCAACTCAAACCCTCTATGCCATCGTCCGTTATTGCACGAGGCCACGAATCCGCTCGCCACATCTTGGATTCCGGACTCTACTCCTGATTCTGAAGTATTCATCCCCTGCCTTGTTTAATTTGCTTAGACTTATCGCTGCCCTTCGACCTGGTAGAATGTCATGGCTACTTTCTTCTAAGCCAGTCTTGTGTGCACATAGACTCGGCTTTTCTTGGGTACTGTCCCATGCCCTTGGTCGCTGCGTTGGCCGCGCTTGAGGATGTACTGATTCGGCATGACATGAAGTTGCCTCCGTGTAATGGCTTCGATGTTCTCCGAGTGGAGTCGGTCTCCGACGCTCGTGTGCCGATGCTTGTCCCACGGTATTCGGGGCTGTGGGCGCCGAGGGCTCGGGGGGGTAAGGCATCTTTCTGAGACTGCCTTTTGAACTTTGCTGCGAGGAGTACTGTGGAGCGTATGTCAAGTACTGTTATGCCGTGGCTGAGTGGTAACACAGATTGGGTATGTTCAACGTAGAGTAGAGGCAAACACTTCGACTTGTGGAGGCTCGTTGTGTCTGATTTGACTTTGAAGCAAGGGCCGGCTGTGAGGTTCCGAGCCTGGCGACCTTTTATACGAAAGCTTGTAGTCCAAGGGCTGAGTAGCGGGTCTGATGCGTCTAGTGAGTTGGAAATCGTCAATGGAATTGCACTTTCTTGGCTTCTTGGCTGGACGTAGTGAGCGCAAGGCCCCAGGTTTTGTATTTTGAGGCCATGGTTGCTGAAACCAAGTGGAATTTCAACTCGAAAATGACAAAGCCACCTCAGTTGCTGACCCAATGGCGGGCAGTGCTGGAAGTTGCACATTTGACCCTGGTAAGACGTTGATTGGACGGGCAAGTACCTTGCATATCGCGAAATTACATTTCACTGACACGGTACAATCAGTATGTTGCTCGCGGACTGGTAGCCTTGTATGAAATCTGCCTCGAAAAGGCGACGAGGGCACATCTCGCTGGGCTTTCTCGGGCATGAGTAGGCTCCAAGGCAGCTCGTTTACTGCGAAACATCCTTGTTTGATTGTGAGAGACTATAAAAATCGAACGCAATGGCACCAGAGTATTGTCCGGCCATGGAGGATGTAGAACACACGCTTTGGGAATCGGCGACGTCTCGCATTTACACCATCGGCGAGCTTGACATGGGAAACCCACGAGCGAGCCGTAAATCTACAGAGCAGTGGGCAGGATTGAAGGCGATCATCTGCAAGAAATACAAAACTCAAACTCTTGAAGAGTTGATCAAATTCCTGAATGAAGAGCATCGCTTCGTCGTTACGTCTGTATTTTCTCTGACACTCGAAAGTTTTATTCAATGCTAACTTTGGTCAGTAAGCGCCAGCTTGTCTATCGACTGGGCATCTGGAAATGTGCAAAATATAATCAAAGTCCCAAAGGCTCCTCCGAAGAGATTGAAAATGCCGACGACAACGAGATAACCGACACTTTGGGTGCCATATCCCTCTTCGAAGGCGAATCTTACGCGGACGATGGAATAACCCATGACATCCAAGCAGCGAACGCAATCTTCGCAGCCGCCGGTGGTGTCTACGCTTGGGAGGCATACAATAAAGACTTTTTTGACAACATGGAAGATACAAACAGGCTTGTAGCTCTTTGTCGATCGGCCGAGACTATCGAACAGTGTCGAACAGCATTGGCGCTCCTGGAGTCCCGGATCTTGCAGCCCAGCGGTCATCAGGTAGGATTTTGGTGCTTACTCTATGTACATGTTTTGGAAAGCATGAACGACGAGATGAGGAGTGGCAACAACTTCTGTACATTGGAAAATCCCATCAAAGAGAAGTTGTGCGCTGCTGTTCAGTCAACTCTCGCCGACTCTGGGGAAGGCTTCTTCCTCAAGGAAGACGGTTCTGTCGATCTTTTTGCGTTTCATCTTCTAGACACCGTGTGTGAGAAATACCATACGCTTCTCTCGGAGCCGGAAGAGGAAAATCTCCATAACATGCTTGACAGCATACATGGCTGTGTTCTCTCGGCGTACGATGGCGGGATGATGTCCAGGGCTCTGGCCACGCTGAAGCAGTGCGCGGAGTGGTGTCACCTGACGCTGGGCCAAGTCTCGAGCGACCTTGACCAGACGCGGCTACGTATCTGCTCTGCTCACAACGAGAGCCAGAGAGACTGGAAGACGTACATTGAAGTCTACGGAACGCTGTGGTACCGGCTGATTATGCAGCAGCTTACCGAGCAAGAAGCAGAACAAGTCGGCGGCGGCGGCGACGCGGGGGGGATTGAATGGTCGCGCAATGCCCGGAGGGACCTGGGTATCTCGCACGCGGAACTGCTGTCGTGCGTGTGCTGGGTCGTGGTGACCTTCGAAAGAAGCAGTGCCGCGGATGTCCCGGGGGCGGCCACGACCGGGCATGACGGACCGGGGCTCGATGATGATCATGATGATGATTCTCCCGAGAGCTTGTTCAGACGGGTACAGATCCCGGCCTCCAGGGTGTTGCACGCCAGACCGAGCGTGTTGTGGGGCATGTTCCTGCGTGCTTTCAAAGAGTTCAACGACCTTACGATCACGGACGGGGGAGACGGTGCCGACGCTTCGATGACAGCAGAATATGGGCTTTTCAGAGATGAGGTCATGGGCGAGTTTGAGAGGTTTGTGAGGGATGCTCTGAAGGAGTTTGAGAGGTTTGCGAGCGGGGGATGATGGACGGAGACGTCTGCGAGTATGTATCTAAGATGGGGGAAAGAGAGAGCTGGGGGCGGGTCCCTGCCCGGGGCTGCATGTCAAGGTTGGTTGACCCAGATACTTCGTGGTAGTCTTGATGATTGAGTGCGGTGGCATGAGGGCTCCTTGAGGATTAACAGTTCATTACAGATTCTTCTATTTTTGTAGGGGGCGGTTTATGCTTCAGTTTTATATCAGTTCGCAAGGTATCTAGGTAGGGCAAATAAATCTTCGTACAAGTATACGGGTGAAAGACATTACTGTAGTCATTATGAAATGTCTTGTCTGCCCATCTGTAGTGTTTGTGGGAGGAAAACTTCAATTTCTTTCCCCTTTGAATAAACGGATCTTCAACTGAGAGGTAAAATTCTAGGCGGTAGGTAAGTAAATAGATAACGGTGACACTTGAGATTTAGACATATTTGGTTCTTACACAGATCGCAGCCACGACAATGATTTTTACCGCATTACCATCACTTCGTACGGTTTCTGAGCATCTGGGGGCCGGGTTGAATGTATAAGACGTAGTCGTTGAATCTATCGGCTAAAGCTGAATACTCATCTTGGCTAGTCGACGCAGGAAAGTTGTCGCTGAGAGCCGCAGTATCAGCTGATTTCCCACGTCCTTAGGCATTGGCTCCGATATTTGTGCAAGTCCGAGGCGAGTTTCTGTCAAACAGGACAATGCACGTCACGACCATGGCCCTGCCCGTGATCTATCATCTCCTTTTCTCTGGCCTACGGGATAGAAGACACCGGAAGTGCCAAGGATGAATAACGATCGCTAGCGAACAAGAACTCTGTTGGATGATGGAGTTGGCAGCATAACAGGGGCACTAAACCATTGGCAAAGAGAGAACGATGACACTCTCTAACTTTGATGCCGAAGACGACTTCGAACCGGGCCATGTTTCTTTACACATCTCGCAAGCCAACTATCAAGAAGATTCAGGAACCACTTTTATATCCAGCATCGTTGGAGTTGATGTGTGCTAATGGAGGTAGGAAGAACTTTACCAGGCAGGAAGTGCTTGGCGGCCAGGTCCTGTTACCTGGGTGTTGGCCCTTCGATATGGGCTGGTTGAGCCTCGAGTTACGCAGCCGTTTTTGAAAGATCGCATTGAACCTAGTTGGCAGGGAGCAAGAAACAATGAGGTACTGTGAGATGATGGCGACGCTTGATTTCATGGCTTCCTTATGTCATGAGCGTGTGGCGTGAATGTCCTGCAAGTATTTGATAGCGAATCACCTGTAAAAACCTCTGGACCGTAACGCGCCACGAGGAGAGGAGAGTACTTCGTTATAGCGCACTTTGTCTATATAAAAGTTCTGGACGACATGGGAACTTCCGAATAGTACGGAGTATTCACTTTGATGATATTTGATAGATCATCTGTACGTAAAATTCCAGGCCTCAATGAATCATAAACTGGGAACGCGACCTGCCTAATCATTCCATACGATATCGTGAAGAAAGCTGCAAAAGGTTCTGGGAGGACTCAGGCCTCGAATATTTGTTGGTGGCTTTCCGGCCGCAAGGTAGGAAATGGGGTCCCTGTGCTGTATTCGTAGAGAGTCTTTATCTGAAGCCCATGTGCTTCGCACACCTGTCTGAACAGATGGGTCCTACCTGGGCTGAATGTACTGGCAGGCTCATTGCCGCGAATCGGGCTGACATCTCACAGACCCTGACCAAAGAAGCTATTTTGATCTTGCTCCTGCCCTCACCCAAGCCACCAGAAGACGAGATGAGTCCTTGACGATTCCAAACGATTCGGTGGTCACTAGAAACACGGCCATCAAGGTGGTCACAATTACAGAGCCGCGAACGGTAGCATAGTCGAGGGCAGATGAAGGCCATGCAAACGAAGGCCATCATCCAGGGGCGGTGGCGGGCTCCCTTACCCTAAACTGTAAGTAGAAGCTTTATCCAGGCCCATTATTATGTACGGTTGAGCTAACCGCGAACTCACGAGCGGCTCAAATGCCGACGGTGTTCTCACTAGCCAGCTCGAAGTCGGCATATCTGGTTGCGTGGAACCGTCCTTTCTTATTCCAACATGCAGGCTGTTGATCCTCCGCCAATCAGCATCAACGTTGGCCAAGAAAACGTCGGCGGATCCCCAGGCTTATCGAATTCCTTGCTGCCATTGGGTGTGAGGGCATTTTGGGGTGGACCGTCATACAAAGCATGTGTTCGTGATGGAATTTTGGACCTTGGAAGAATGAAGGATTCCCTCGAGGCGAAAAGAACACTTGATCCGTGAAAGCGGCCTCTAGCCCCTCTGTATACCTGGTCCAGTTGGTGTGTGCCATCTACATGCTCGTCTAACCCTTCTGGACCAAGGCCACTGGCGCTTAAAGGCAAATCAGACGAAAATCCGGCCGGGGGTGAGTAAACAGTCTCGCCACTGCAATTGCAACATGTCATAGGCAAGGCTCATCAGGTGTAAATACTCGGCGGCTGGTGAGGGCTTGGCCACGTATTCTCTGACTCTGGCCTTCCGGCGCGGTGTTGGAGCATTGGTATGTCGGAATTCCATGAACCGCAAAGCTCCCTTTGAGTCCACCTCGATGGGCGGGATAAGCCGGTCTACAGCTGAATGACGAAGACACACATGCAGGTGAAAGAATGCAGCCATGCGTCTCCCGCCTCCTTGGAACAACCCCACATCCCGAGAACGGCATTCACTGCTCAGGGAAGGCTGCGTCTCCGACTCTTGTGGTGCCCTGATGACTCGTCGATACAAGCAAAAGAAACAAGTACCATCTGCTCGGAAGGTCTCAGGGCCCCAGAGGCTCGGAGGGACGGCGTCGAACTGGAAGGCTAATCAATATCGAATAAGACGCGTTTCCAAGTTTCACGGGGCTAAAAGACCTTTAGCCGCTTTACCCGGTATGAAGGGGTTCGAAATGCCGTGCCAAATAGACTGCGCGAGCAGAACTTCTCCATATAAGGGAGTCTGGACCATTCTGCATCCGTGTTTGTTTCGTCAGGCAATCACTCCCTCCACCTGTTGTCTCTCGCTTCTCGGCCGAGGCCCTTTGATGGTGAGATACGCATAACGGAGACTACCATTGGGCTCACACTGCAAGTAGGCAGCAAACCCCAGGATGAACATGGTACTGGCTGGCGCCGATGAAGGAGGATAGAGCCAACTTGTAAAGCCTAATCGAGATTTCTGCTCTCATCACTCTCTCCTGATCTGCTCCTGTGATTTCAACCTCATTGCCAGCGTTGCTCATCCTCGAAGAATCGAGAAAGCATTGAATGACGGTGCGACATGTGTCACATTGAAGTAATGAGTCTCTGACGATGCAAGTGGCGGACAACACGTGAAAAGCCTCAGTGTCTTGGGGTCCAGTTGTTTTCTGCGGAGGGCATGAGGAAGAACAGGCAGAGGCTCACATCTTGTCTTAACTTTAATAGCGCCTTTTCCCACCAATCCGGTAAACTTGGCACCGATCGGTCCGGAGGCTTCGTATTACGCGAGAGAAGCCCATCCGTTGCTTCGCTGGAGGGCTGGAAGAATGCTTGGGAATGACGTGCGGGAAGTTATGAGACATGAGACATGAGAGATGCAGGGATGTAAGTCATCCGTAGCCGGGCTAGACACTGCCGTGTTGGGACGCTTTGGTTCTTTGGAGGCTTTGAACTATGTGAGCTTTGTATGAAAATCGAAACTTGAATAAGTAACCGCCCGAACGGTTTGGAATCCTGACTGCCCGATGCAATTTACACGGCGGCCGCAGAGTTATGAGGAGAATGTGGAAGCAATTGCCGAAGAAAAGAATAGACGGCAACGCGCTTGCGTCTAGTTCGCATGGCTGGTTCAAGCCACATAGGTGAGCTTTGTAACCAAACGACCTCCACAGTCGGGACGATACAGATATCAGTGGATCTGTACAGATTATACAACGGGAACACTTGCCCGGCATATCGATGGGATCGGGTCGGTTCGGGTCAGGAGCATGAATTTGTTGATGAGACTTTCCGAGAGGCGTTGGCCACAGGCAGAGGTATCCCATCTAAGAATGTTTGGGGAGGACTCGGCAACGATTTACTGGACTCGGCAGGGCTGTGATAGAATTGATCGACGGCAGGAAGAAATAAGTCCATCTGTGGCGGGAAATGGTTGGCCCTTTCTCTGCAAACCGGTATCTTGCTCCCTTATTACAGAGTGCTGATGTCGGAGAGACGGAACGCAACCACGTTGCCGGGCCCTTGCCAAGGTGACATGACTGGCAGAGTCGACTTACCTTACTTTGCTATGGCTATATTATACATGCCCAAGGTTGAACAAGGCGCAAATGCCATCTGAACTGGGATACAGACAGAGTGAGACATACGAAGACATGGGAAGTACGTCCCGACTCCAGAACGCACACCCACCACCCTTATCGCATCGGTTTTCCCCTCACCGGAAATCAGCGGTGTCCGACATATGGCGTGCAGAATCACTCTGCAGCCCTCGTTGGATCGCTTTGAAAGGCGGCCCGACAATATTAGGTATTGGTCGTCTCTTCGGTCCCGGGTACTCTGGGATGCCTCTGGAACTAAGTAGGTACCGGGCTGGTGCGGATGGGAAGGGCATCGCCCACATGCCCGCCCGTTCACGGCGTTGACCGTGGGATGCTGAACCCAGACACCCGAAAAAAGCTGTCTCGAAGGCATCGAGATGAAGGGGCGGTCAGACATTACCATCCATGACGGACGATATCCGAAGAGGGCGGGAGACGGGCAGCATTGCTACTGAGAGGCACAACCAGTCCTCCTGCGGCTGTCTCTTTGGCGAGATGCTGGGTTTTGGTCAGGGAAGCTCGGAGGGAAGAGCTGAAAGCATGCATGGTGCTTGATGATCCCAACTGGTTGGTGAGAAGCTCACGAGAGGAGGCGGCAGAGGTGTGAGGGGTGATGTGTGAAGGGTGAGGTGAGGGGAGAGGTCCAGCTTAGAGTTGCCCCACTTTTGCACCACGTGAGCAATGAGTGGGGCTCCCTGAGGTTACACGGAAACGGTCTCCAGGCTCCAGCTGGCATGGCCCGTGGCACGCAGTTGCTGTTGGGTCCGACTGCCTTCAATAGCACACACCTGGGTTACCTTAAGGCACCTACCATTGTAAGGTCCCCAAGTACCTTGCATTACCTTACATTACCTACCTTACCTTGGGGTATCCGTACCTTACGGGTACGTCCAGATGGGAGAGGTACGTATCAGGCCTTCAGCGTTCGTAACCTGCAAACCGTGCGCTCTCAATGTTTTCTCCCTTCTCCCCCTTCCGCGTCCTCTCCCTCCCTCTTTTTCCCATTCGAATACCTCGACCCGCGACACCCGCCCGCCACGGCGGCATGGCACCTTCATACCCTTACTGCCACAGAGCCCGACTACTGCCTGTTTGGGTGAGGAGGCATGGCGCGTCGCCTCCACTGGCATTCTCTGTCTCGCTTCTCGTGTAACAGCCGAAGCCCCCGGCGAGACATACTGTCTTTGGCGCGAACTCGTCCCGGAAACGTGCTTCCAGCCTGGTGATTGGTTCGCAGTAAGCTCCGAACCATTCCGTCCATTCACGCAAGACTCTTCTGCTTGCCTCCGCCCAAACCACGGTAACTGTGTAGAGGGACTCCACCTTGAGGGCCCAGAGACATTCAGACGCAGACGCTGCTTGGCCTTTCCATCACCTGCCTGCAAATTAGGCCGAGTTGGGCAAAGCAAATGGGGAACCTTCAAACGACCAGGGGACGTCTCTACGGGCTCATCCGCATCCTAAGGTGTCATCACACGAACCTCGACATTTCGGACATGGCAGCTCGGCAAAACCTTGTCAGGTTCCACCCTTACATGCCTTGCGCCTACTCCGTACAGACTCCAGAGTACCTACACTACTGTTGCGTCACTACCGATGTTCCCACACTCTTGACGAAAATAGCGTGTGCAAACTCTGAATATTGCAAGACTCTGGGACCCATGCAACATTGGGCTGCGTCTTCAAGGAAAACGTTCAGAGTACGGCGCTCATTCAGATCATCATCGTTGGAATCTGCTCGGCTGACTGCTGGCGGAAGCATACCAAATATGGACTGCCGACTGCTTTCTTTTCGGTTTCATTTCATAAGGCCATGTTTACCCTCCTCTGAATTGTCAAATGCATTGTTGATGCCAAGGATCGGAGCCCCGGAGCAGGGTCTTTCTGATCTGGCCGTTGTACTACAGTTTTCCATAAATCCATACGCGTATACCCGTAGCGGAGCGATAACCAACCCGTTGCCGACCCTACCTTGTGCTCTCGTACCAATCCATCACTAATTATAATCGACATGAGATCGGTCGATGTACAGCCCGGGACCAAGCATCCTGGGACACGGACCGAAATGCAAAAGCATAGCCAAACGCCGTCCACCCCTGGACACTTGTTGTGGTACTTTGAGGAGGGGGGGAGGGGGGGAGGGAGGGGAGGGAAGGTGAGCATCGGCACCACCACCACCACCACCACAGCCAGCCGTCCCTGATGCCTGGGTCGTTCGGCTACATTCCTCGCGGCGCGGGCCATATTGCGGCACACGCGATGAATTCAGCAAACTGTGCTCCGTCTTATCTCATCCCCCGGTCTGCCGTCTGCCACCTTGAGTTTGTACGCTACTCGATGGACGACACGGGCCACTCCCGCGCCCCCTTCGGAGCAAGATTCAATGCGCTAGATGCCCGCTGACCGATCCGCCGCCGTCTGCGTCCCCAGACGAAGAGTACCATTCTCGGGCAGCATGATGCCTGCTCCAATAGAGAAGCAAGTGAGAGAATGTCGGCGCGGGGGGCATGGCTGGTTACCCTTTGATACGCCATGCTCAGGCCGACACGCTCTGCAGAGAGGCGACAGCTAAGCAGGAAAGCCACGCCGATCATCCGTCCCTTGTCCCAGTCGCCTTGTTGTTGAGAGTGTAGACTCTAAAACTGGAAGATGGCCATGGGACAAGTGATGGGAATGCGATGCCCAAAAGAATCAGAGCACCCTACGCACCTGCGACGTAGAGGATGGCGATATTGGAACCCTGGCAGTCAACTTTGGGATTGTCACTTTCAAAATGTTCCGCTTCGCAATTACAGCCCTCGATTGCCACCTGATGACGAGGTTTTATGGCACATCCCGCCTTTCATCGCCGCCAGATGTTCCACAACAGCTGTTCCCGCTGATTAGAACCGTTCGAACAAAGATCGATGTGCTAGGATTGAGTGCAGCAGCCCCCCCAGCCGTCCTGCGGGGCCGCCCGGCCGAGTACCGAATCCGGACCTCGCAATACCGCTGATCAAGGCAGCGGACGGCAGACTATCAGATAGGTACGGACAGCCGTCCTATTCTTTCAAGGCATGCGTCTGGCCCAAGGGCCCAAGGACTCACGAGAAGCTGTCTCCCTCGAGCATATCACACGAATGATGCCGGGGCAAAGCAACCCTCGAATCAGACCCAAAGGCAAACAAAGTTTGGCGAACGCGCCGAAGGGACTTTGTATCTCGTCCAACGTGACCCTCGTAAATACAAATGTACTTTCCCTACTCGGGGATGGAAGATCCCCTCGTCTATTCCGGTTGGCACTATCCAGAAATCGTTCCAGCATCCTTGCTTGGCCGGCCTTGATCTTGACCTGGGCTGTCCGCAGCGACCCCTCGTGCCCTCCCACCAATGCCCGCCTCATTCCTTCTGCGCGTGGGGTTGATCAGAGACATGGGGCCTGGGGTGGCCAGAGTAGGAAAGCACATTCGCACCATACAGACGGCACACCCGCCTTTTCTACAGGCTTGGCTCAACCGACTGTGTTGCTATGCTGTTTTGACTGATTCCCATAGAATTACTCTACCAGAACCAGCAGCCCGGACAACGGCGACGAAGGGGTTGGAGCAAACATGCTTATTCTAGACTCGTTCGATCTTACTCGTGTCAGAGAAGCCCCGGGTGATGGAGAGAATGGAGGTACAAAGCCAGCTAAAGGAAGAGAGACAACAAGCAAGGGAGAGGCGGGCAAGCAATGTTAGCCGGTGACGCCCGGCACACAGTCAATTTGGGGGCCGACAGCATGGTCGGCTAGAATTCAACCATTTTCCCACCCTCCCTGCCCCCCGGCCACTGCTTCGTGGGAACGCAAGCTTCAGACCACCTCTCATTGCTTATTGCTCAAGTCGGCCACATTTACCCCCAATTAAATTCGCAATCCCACTTCCCTGATTTCCTTGCGAGTTGTGACCTACCGCCGTTCTAGCAAGGCACCTCTCTTTACCAATCGTTCTCGTAACCGTTCAATCAGACTGGCCGTCGCAGCCAAACTTCGCTGATACAACCACTTCACCCACCATCGATCCATCCCGAGATACCAACTTCACTTCACATCACCAAGGCCCGTTCTTGAGCTCTCCACCTCAGCAAAGAAGTAGGACGGCGCCGGACCAGCCATCGCACCTTGACCAGCTGTCAACCCGATATCGTTCAGACACTTATCGCTGAGTGCGAGTTACCCGACGCACTGCAGGTGTTTCGTGTACCACCCGAAGCAAATACCCGTCGGTTGCAAGCTGTCGACAGCCACTGCCTGCTCATTTGTGCCACTTGAGGCGTGCCTTTTTTAGTTTCGCCTCGACAAGCGTTGGTCATAACCATCCAGCTCTGCGTATCTTGCCCTCCCTACCCCAAGTCACTCTGTCACGAGCATAGTCAACCTGGCGCAGCGCAGGTTCGACAGGAGGGGAGCCCACTGGTACCTGGTCCACCAAGTATCTCGTCAAGGTTTCTGCGCCCGATCTTCTGCCACTCCTCACTGGCTTCGCGGGTCTATAACAGGCCCGAACCGCCACAATTTCTTCCCAACTCCGTATTCAGTCTATACTCTCTCCTGCGTCGGACTCCGACGACGCACCAGCAGCGTCATCTACTCAGACCACGCCAAAGAGAAGATATCAAGAGACATTTTCACCGTCGGAGAGAACCCCCGCGCCCCCCGCTGTAGCAGAGCCCGCAGATGGGCAAGCTCCGGCCGGGCCCAGATTTCACAGTTCCACCGTGCCCGACGACGATGACTTGAGGCCGATCTTGGCAGGAGGCTCAAGTGCCAAAAGACCCTCCAGAGCTATGCGGCCGCCGATGAGGTCTAGCATAGCTTGTTTGAGATGCAGGAAATCCAAAATCAAATGCGACAACGACAATACTGGATCGCCATGCGACACATGCATCAAGGCTGGACACAAGTGTGAATTCCCTGATCCTACGCCTCTACCGGCGAAGCGATCAGAGCCGCCAACCGCGCTGAAACAGGAGAGAGAAATAGGGCATGACCGGAAGCGCGTGAAGAAGCTCGAAGACGCAACCTCCTCCAATGGACATACAGTCGCCGCGCTTGCTCAGGAAGTGCTTTCGGCGCCATATCTCACCGTTGACTTGTGGCATCAACTCTTCGACATATATAAGCTGCACTTCGCTACCGAACTCCCTTTCCTGCATCTCCCAACCCTTAAAGGCATCATTCACGACAAGGATATCAAGAGGCCGTCGGCCGAATCAAATCTGATTCTGTTGGGCATTCTGGCTCTCACAGCAAGGTTTCACCCCGACTTGGTCAAGTATGTGGCGCACATCACACACGACAAAATCGCGGGCCCCAAATCCCGTGGTGCTCTACCTAGGCCGAAACCGTCAATGGCATCAGAGTATTTCGCAAATGCTCTTACAAAAGCTCTGGGCCAACTCGAATCAGCTTTGACATCAGCTACTGTCGTCCGTGTCCAGGCTTTTCTTATGCTCGGCTTGTACAAATGGAGCCAGCCAAACGGCGGCTTGGCTGCGTGGATGTACGTTGGTGTTGCCATAAGAATGGCTCAAGGCTTAAAATTAGGGTTTGGGGACAAACCTTTGGGAGGCAAGAGATTTTTGGCACCTTCTCCCCGATCAAGCAAATCTGCCCAACTACCCTCGGACCGTTGGAAGGACCAGGAGATCAGGCGCCGCACCATGTTCAGCTGCTTGATACTAGATCGTCTCTTATCCTGCGGATCTGATCGAGTTTCCATGGTCCGATCCGACGATCTTCAAATACAGCTGCCCTGCACCGAACACGCCTTTGACCTTGGGCGTGTCGTTTATACCGGGTTCCTACGACAGGCGGGACAAGGAATGGAGCCGACAATCGATGATAGTGTTCTGAGCCGATTTGTGCAACTGGCCGATTTCTGGGGCGATATCACCAAGTACAGCTTCGCAGGCGGCCGCCATACGGAAGCGCATCCGCCGTGGGACCAAGACTCGACCTTTTACCAACTCAATAAGAAGGTAGATGCGTTTTATGCACACCTGCCAGAAGAATTCACCTGGTCTAGTTCAAACTTTTGGAAACACGACAATAGCATGTACGTGTCACTCCACATGATGGGTGCCCTCTGCAAAATCATGCTGCATCGCGAATACATCCCTTTCATCGCCATCAAATGTTCCGAGCCGGTGGGCCCTCTGGATGAGCCCGTATTCGACCCCGATACTGTTCCCGATCACTTTTGGGAGCGAAGCGCAGAGCAGGTTTTCAGGGCTGGAAGGGAAATAATTGACCTCATATCGACATGCCGGGATAAGCTTCCTCACTCGTCACTAGTCATATTCGCCATATGGCAAGCAGCTTTTGTCGGAATATATGCACGTCACTATCCTCACATGGATACTGAACATCACATGGTCAGCAAACAGGAAATCGAAGAACGGAATTCGGGAGCAGCTTCTGAAAACACTCAGACGGGAAACACCGGTATCGCTTTCCAGGCATTGACCAAGGTTGCGCCTTTCTTCAGCATGGCCTCCAATTATGTAACGTATTTCAAGGACATAGATCAGTATCTCACCAAGGTTTACTTCGACTACACCAATCGAGGTTCGAGGAAGAGCGGGGATGGCTCTTTGACCATTCGACTGGGTGGAGGTGGCGGCGGACTGGAAGAGTGGAGGGCAAATGCTGACAAGATTACGAGCAACGGCATCATTATGGACGAAGACCGGCCAACGGCATACGACGGCTCCGATGGATCACGGGCCAGCACATTGGAAAGGAGCTCTTCCTTGGGCCCTGAGTATTCCCACCTCAGCGCGAGCGGTGCGGACAGTCGAAGGGATTCTCGCCAGGCGTCAACGTTTACCGCTATCAACGCCGCCGCATTCCTCCAGCAGGCCAGCCACGACGGCTATGCCGGAGGTACATCTCACCACTCGCCGACACAAATCTTTCCTCCGACTCCCGGCTCCCTGCCAAATGAAGCCGCGATGGCCAATCTGAACGCAGAGCCCGTCAGTATCGACTCCTACGTGCAGCAGAATCAGGGCCAGCGATTTGGAACCGTGCTTGAGGACATCCAGGAGTTTACTACGGGAGGGATGGTCTGCGCGCCCAATATTGGGGACTGGGATATGCACAAGCCTCCCTTCTATGCGCAAATGGCTGGTGGCAATCCATTGCCCCAGTTCAGCGGGAGTTATCCTTGAAGGTTTCGGGTGAGCGAGTCAGGAGGCTCTGGGCTCTTTAGCCCGACCATGGTCAGAGGCGGAATGATTGATGTATGGGAACGCTGTATCAGAAAATGCATTTGAGCGCGTGTGTTATTTCGGACAGAGTTACGAAATGCGTTAAAATTTTGGGCTTCTTGGGTACGAAGCTACGACGACTTCCCGGCGTGCAGCGACCTAGTCACAGGAAGATGTCGACCGGGTATTATCAGCATGATGACGTTAAATTAGAAGGAAACCTTGAGAATTTCAAGCCGCTGAACGAGGCTTTGCAAGAATTACACACGTTGGGCCAGACAGATGAGAGAAAAGTCATCCGCAAGTGAGACCTGGAGCTATGGCTGTGGAAGAAAAACAAACATGACAAATAGCACTCAAGGACTGCCTATGACGCAACCGCCGAACGTTGCGCACGTTCTTGTCACGCAGTTCCCTCGTGGCATTCCCTTTTTTTTTTTTTGTCATGTGGGGGGTGAACGAGTCGAATCAAGTCGAGAATCCCTATACGACGCCGGCCTTCACCGTCGCTACATGTTTCGGCACTGGAACAATGTCTCGACTGTCTGGAATGATGCTGCTACCGATTCCCAGGTACGCGTAGTTCGCCGAAAGGGAGGATATCCTCTCACGTGTACCTACCCCTCTACGGACAACCACACTTTGGGGCCCCGGGGGAGGGGGAGCCTCTAGTCCAGCCAGCCACACGGAATCCAGGATTGCTCTGTTGCGGGCGTCTTGGGATTGGGTTGACGCTATCTTACCTTACTCGCGTACAGCGCTATTGATCGAGCTGAATACCTTGAAGAGGTTATCACGATTCATGTAAAATGACGCCTGCTCGGCTTTCCTATCAAAGCTGGATCGTTACACAGGACACATGGGAAGCCACGAAGCCCTCCCCCCCCCCTCCGAGAAACCCCAGTGGGATGACTTGAATCCCGAGACCTTTTGGCGTCTGTCTGTCTCTGTCTCTTAGTCATGGCTTCGGGATACGGTATAGCTCCTTTCTAATGACTTCTTCGTCTTCTTCTTCGTCCTTCACACACACCCCACCTCTGATATGCGGCTTTTCATGTTTTCGCGCCTCCCGAAAATTGTTTAATCTTGTTTAATGGCATTCTGCAGTCTCATCTGACGAACGAATGATCGTCACCAAGTGCCCAGTTTGTTGCGGGTTTGTGTGATTTGACTTTGAGTGTGTGTGTGTGTGTGTGTGGGAAGAAGGAGTTCTCTCGGTCCGAGCCGTGTGGTGGGTTCGGACGAAAATACCGACCCGAACGGAAGGTGGGTAGGACAGGGAGGGGGCCAGTGAGATATTCGGATCCGATGTGGAGTGCGGGTCCGGCCCGGGAACTTGCGGGGTGGGAGGGACGGAATGGTGGTGGGGGGACTGCGGAACCCGAGACGGGAATCGCAATTTGCAAGACGAGAACGCGGGAGTCGGGAAGAGAAGAGAAAACTGGGAAAAAGAAAAAACGCCTCTGTAAGTGGAATATTTTCAACAAGGCTTACTGTTGTGATCAACCGTCGTCGGTAACCCAAAAAAGGCGATCCCAAAAATAGAAACCAGACCGGGTTGGTCATGCAGTCAGCTTCTCAGCCCAGCCCTGGAGGAGCTTCTTGCAGCCTACCTCCCCCAGGCAGCAGGCACAACAAAAAAAAAAAAAAGAGAGAGGACTTGGATGCAGCGGTGCATCAGCAACCTGCACCAAGGCACGGCCACAATGGAGAAGAAAACTAGACGCGGGTGGCCGCAGCTTTTATCCGGGGCTGAGGGTGAGGAGCAAATAAACACCAAGCCCGCCCGACAAGGCCCATACGAATGGCAACAACCGACGCCAACCAATCATGCGCCGCAGGATCACCCGGTCCCTGAGCTCCAAGGTACGATATTTCCCAGGATTTGAGGGTAATAAGGTGATAAGCTTAGCTTACTAGCGCGATCCCATGAGCAGCGATCGGGTTTTTGCATGTTCGTCCCCTTGGACATCCTGTCCCCCGTTGGCCCTACAAGGCGGTCGCTGGTTGATCTAGGAACCTGTGATCATCCAGTCACATTCTTGATGGCTCTTTGGCCAAGATCATTGTCTTGCCTCGCCCGGCCACGCTGCTATTGCACGGTGGGGACGCACGCAAAGGAGATCCCCCTGCCCGCCCCGGTCCGGGTAGGCTCAAGCCCGAATCACAATTTCGTACATGAACTGGAGCCTGGTTTCCAGCGCAAGGGAAACATGAAGACGGTTGGTTAGGCTGTCAGGTTGCCAACCATAGGGCCTTCCTGCTGCGAGGTTAGCTTCTGGGCAGGGGCTGTGGGTTGGTTCCTTCACACGGTAGTTTGCATATGCGGTTGAGGCTGAGTGATGTTGCGACCTTGTCGATGGCAAGCCCAGTGTTCGAGGCTTACCATAGTCATCAGACATTGAAGAATATATGATGGAGGCGGTTGCGCTTCTATGTGTGTGCTAATCTAGCTAAATAATCACCAGTCTTAACATCTTGTAGATCACAGAGATCAAGTTACTTTGCCTTTCTGTTGTGGTTCACCTTGTCGAGTGTCTGCTTCACGATGAAGGCATCATTTTTTGCTTCCGCAGTGGCCTTCGCAGCCACTGTGATGGCTGCGATTCCAACTCCCCAACTAGATGCGCCACAACTCTCGCGCTTCCCAAAAATGGGCGGCCTACAACGTCGAGCGCACTCGGGAACGCAAGTACACAGCGGCACGTTCGATCAGTTCCTTGACCATACCGACCTGTCCAAGGGTACCTTTAAGCAAAGATATTGGTATAACGCGGAGCACTGGGGTGGTCCAGGCTATCCTATTTTCATGCTGAATGGTGGTGAGGGTGATGCTGAGGGCCTGACCGGGTATCTGGAGAATGGCACCTTGACGTACTTGTATGCCGAGACCTACAAGGGTGCAATCGTCCTGATGGAGCGTAAGTCAGCTATACTGAAATCCCCCGGACGATTCTATGGACTGACATCTTCTTGGAATAGACCGCTATTACGGGAAATCTCTCCCCTTCAAGACTTCCACAGCCGACACATTACAATATCTCAATGTGCCGCAAGCCATCTACGACAACACCCACTTTGCGGAAACAGTCGAGCTTTCTTTTGACAAGAAAAAGGGTGCCAACGCAGACAAGTCTCCCTGGGTGTTGATCGGTGGCAGTTATCCCGGCGCCCTCTCCGCGTGGACGTCTGTCATTGCTCCTGGCACTTTTGCTGCCTATCATGCCAGCTCTGCCGTCGTCCAGGCCATTGATGATTTCTGGCAGTTTTTTACTCCCATCGAGCAGGCCCTGCCGCGCGCCTGCTCTGCCGATGTCAAGCTTGTCATCAAGCAGGTAGATGCCGTGCTTGACAAGGGTTCCGCCAAAGAAATCGACGCGATGAAGGAAGAGTTCGGTCTGGAGACTCTCGAGGACAATGCCGACTTTGCGTGGTACTTGTTGCAGCCCATCATCGAATGGGCGCACAATGAGACCGCGGTATACAAGTTTTGTAACTGGATTGAAACGAGCACGAACAACGGTAAAGTTATCAAGGGCACCGAGAAGTCGGGCGTTGGTCTCAAGGCCGCGTGGAAGGGGTACACATCATACATGCACAGCCAGTACAGTGAGGTATGCGAAGGCGAGGAGGCGTGCGACTTGTACGGCAAGGCGGTGGGATACAACAGGCCTAACGACCTGGGTACCGGTCGCAGTTGGACCTGGCAACTTTGCAACGAGCCCTTTGGATGGTGGCACGTTGGACCGCCCAAGTCGGACGGTACCAACATCGTGTCATCGCACGTGCGGCCTGCCGACCGCCAGCGCCAATGCGATCTCCGCTTCCCGCAGACGTTCGGGTTCAAGCCGGCCAGCTCGGAAGGGTTCACTGCGGCCATGTTCAACGACTGGACCGGTGGTTGGAACGCCACGTTCGAGAATGTCCTCTTCTGCGACGGCGAGCATGACGGTTGGAGGTCGGCGTCGGTGAACTCTGATTACCGGCCCGGCGGACCTGTCAAGAGCACCGAACAGACGCCTTCATTTGTGGTGAAAGGGGCAAACCACGTGCCGGACTTTATTCTGAACAACGGTGAAGACAACGACGAGATTATCGCGCAGGAGGTGGAAGTTATTGGTAAGTGGATCAAGGCCTGGAAGCCGAAGAAATCACCATAGTCGGACAAGATCATGGGATGATCTGTGATGTTTTCATGAATTGACATTGGGAGGCGTTTGAGGTGGCTTGGGTTTGACAGCTATTTGATGGCTTTGGATTCGGAGTGGCTTAGGTCTTGGTGATACCTTTTGCATGTTAGATAGGACTACATATTGGAAGAGAACCTTGCATACCCGGCCGTAATGAACCATTCTGAACCATACTTTGAAACATAGAGACCAAAGCTTGATCGCTTCATCTGCGAGTGAGCAGGTGGTTAAGACATCATCGAGGAGGCAGCGCGGAGGTAATCGACATGTCAAAACGAATCCCGAGTCCAAGAAAGAGACTTGTCGGTGTTTCGAGCCACCAAGCAGGCTCCTCGTGATCAATATTCCTCGTGCAGAGTCTTGGGTGAGGAAGACGGCTTCCGAGAAAACTTCGACAGCGGTTGCTTCCCAAGAAACGTCCTTGCCTCGGCACTGATCCCTCTTTTCGATGCAGGTCGATGATTGCCCGATTCAGCAGGCAGGGGGACAGTATATTCGGGTATCTACATCTTGGGAAGCAGCAGCCTTGTCATTACCTCACCACTTGCGGCTCTTGGCAAAGATGCACTCCTCCTCCGTCCGGCTCGGATGCAGGTTGAAGAATTCTTACAAACTGCCCTACCCACCTGTGATTATCAATCCGCCAGTAGGGCGTCTGCCGCCTTAATAACTTACTGCTGCAGAGGTGAGTCAGTCTGCCGAATCCCGTTTGACAAATACGGATTACTCACTCATCTGTGTTGTTTCTATACGTCCAGTCTCCAAAATGGCCACAAAAAAAACCGAAAACAACAGCGTAGCCTTCCACAGTAGATGGATGGCGATGGCATCGGAACGGCCCCTGTTGGCCCCACGCGTGTCGTCTGATGCGGGCTGCGCTTCCTTATCTATCTCCGAGAATTCAGGAACCTCCTCGATTGGCCCCGGCGCCCACCTTGGACTACCTTGTCGCTGCTCGAACCGGCCGAGTGATCTTCAGAGACAACAGAAAGATAAGCTTATCAGCCTGGGGGAGATCGAGCTTCCCCCAGCGCCAACGTCACGGGAACTTTACCGTCTGTAGCCTTATGCAAGGAACAAGTGATTGAGCTGGTTCGCCCGAACTAGAGATTGCCGAGCAGTGTCAATCTGGCTGCTGTCAAACAAAGGCAAACGTCGATGCTCGCCATCTCGCTCAACCCGTGACCGAGCTTCACCGAACTTGTCTGTGGCCCCCACCCCGCGCGCGGCGCACACCGGCACCTGGCCCGCCGGTCTTACTCATGACCACACCAGGTACTGGCGCACGAATGCTCGGCTGTATTATGTACCTTATACTGTGCTCGCTACCCCCGAAGATGATCCCATGCCCAATATTGTCAGCACTCATCGGAAAATACGGCAGTGCGACAAAATCCTCCGTGGGCTGTTTCGGACCGCAAAGCCTACCGGGGGTTTGGCAGAAGGGAAGAGAGAAGCTGCACGGAAGTACCACCGACACGCAACAGCTTCCCCGCACTCGTTGACGGAAATCATGTCATGCATTAACCGCGCTTTGCTGTCGAGCTTCCCTTTCGTCGTCTTGACTTTTGCCTTGCAGCATGGCATTGTCATAGACTGCGCTTCGCAACGGGGACGGTCGGTCGGCACGCCCTTGTGGTAATTCGATTGGTACGGTACCTGATTGACCCCGCCCTCGTGTGGAATCTTTTAGTGTCCTTTTGCTGCCGGGCACATCGTCAGCATTCAGCAGTTCAAAGGTACCACCGTGGTATAGTAGAGTTGGCCGAGAGCCAGCAACCTTTTTCAAAATAGTGCCATGTCCTGGCAGAGGAGACATGACGTCGACATATTCCCACCCACTCGCAGCATGGCCCGTTCTTGTCGGCAGGATTGGTCATCTGGGTGGGCTGAGGCTCACCAAGTCGTGTCGTGCAAGCGTCGGAACCCTCTTGCTGCCCCTCCCTTCTGCGCAAGCTCTCACGGCTCACCCCCACAGGCTCCAGGGAGGTTGGCAGCTAAAATGGGCCGGGGTTGCAGCCTTTGCGCCGATCTGGAAGCCTAGGCCAACAGGCGCTCCTCGTCTTGGTAGCACCTTGGACACCAGTCCACACCGTGACACCCACTTGTGGTAGTTAGTGTAGGCGACCTCACCAGCCGATGGAGAGCTTTCCAAGAGCTTCGAAAGACCTACGAGAGCCGTGGCGACCTGATAGTTGCAGCTAAGCTGGCAAACAGCCTAACTTCTGCAGTCAGCTTCACCAATATTCTCCTAGCGCTCGCTGTGTTGCCGGGATGACAAAACCTCAGATTCCCTCCCAGTTTCCCAGGAGCCTCAAGGCGGCGAATGAGAGCTGCCCCTACTATATTGGATGCTGTGCGTCTGGTTTGTTAGAAACACCCGAACGCTTTGCATACTCTCTCTCCGGGGGCTCGTTCTGGGAGCTGCGAGGATGCGCTTAGCCGCGGGGAAGTTTGTGTCGGGTATGCAAAGCAACCTTTCCCATACCCCCTGATAGCTGCGGTTTCGAGCCTCGCCAAGATGCCGCATCTGTTTCTTTTTCGCTAGATGTCTTCCGACAAGACAATGACCGTCGACTAAAGACCGTCTAGAATCTTACTCTCGCCCGCGCGGTAGGGCGCAGCAACGGCCGCTTCCAACATTCCAGGTACCTCAACTATGTCGAATCCGGTGATCCGCGTCGAGCTCCAGCCATGGTAGCGTGGCTGCCCCCTCGGTGGGGCGTGGGATACGCCTCAGATGACGTCCGCTGATTTGCTCAACTGCAAACCTCTCCCACTCTCTGTCAAGGATGAAGCTGTCACGCTCCTCCTCTATCTGCACGTTATGACCAAAGGAATTGCACTGACTGGTACAAGGTCTACGGGGCCGGACTACTTCTAGTGTACTTCCGAACCCAGTGTTCAATGTGTTGCCGTCTCACATGGTCTCATCTCGGGCGCTCAGTACCCCGATCGTACCCATGCTCCCGCAGGCTCCCAATATCCTCAAAATACATCTCAGCTCCGTCAAGTCACTGCACTGTAGACCAGAACGGCAAACTATGGCCCGCCGAGTCGTCAATTGCACGTCTGACAATCCACACTTTAACACTTGGTACACGTCTCGAATCTGCCCTATTGCTAGCATGGCAACACCAACGTGTACCGTCGTATGCTTGCCGGCGCCTCCGCCGGCCTAGGAGGACCCAGGTAACTTTGCTGTGGCCCCTATAAGGTAAAGGTACTCGTCCGTTCTTCTCGTCTCAAAAGCACATGTTGCTTTGCACGTACTACTTTCAACATTCTTCATATAACATTGGCCTTCGTTCCACTATCTTGTATCCGATCTGTACCCAACTCTCAAGCCACTGCCTTTCGTAAATCCCAATTGACTGTCACGATGGGTTCTCTTGGTGCTGTCTCTCAGGACAGCATTCCTCACGCCCATGCCAAGGCGACTAAGCAGCAAGCAGCACGTTCGGTGGACAAACATGGCCTTGACATCATCGATATTCGACGCGTTGCGGTTGAAACAAACTTGAAAGACGACATTATTTCCATGTGGAACCCCACAAACGGACCCCGGAGGCTGCCGACCCTGCTTCTCTACAATGAACGGGGCCTGCAATTGTTCGAGGATGTAAGTGCTGATCGGACGCTCATCAGCTCAGCCACATCTTGCGTGATCAGCACTAACAATTATTCAGATCACATATCTGGACGAATACTACTTGACCAACAACGAAATCGAGGTTCTCGAGAAGTATTCGAAAGAGATTGCTCAGAATATCTCGCCCGAGTCTATGGTCATTGAGTTGGGAAGTGGGTCTGTAGTTCCCTTCTGAATGATGACTCGTCTGAGATGATTCTGACCTTTTCTTGAAGCAACCTTCGCAAAGTATGTTTGTTGCTGCAAGCTTTTGAGGATGCCGGCAAGAACATCGACTACTACGCACTTGACCTTTCCCGGAAGGAATTGGAGCGCACACTCGCTCAAGTTCCCAACTTCCATCACGTCAAATGCCATGGTCTGTTGGGAACCTACGATGACGGTCGGGAATGGCTGAAGCAGCCATCCAACCTGGCGCGCACCAAGTGCATCTTGAGCTTGGGTTCAAGCATTGGTTAGAGACCCCTGGATATTCGACGCTTAGCTCTAGATGGGTTGTTGTTGACTGCTTGTGTAGGAAATTTCGAGCGCGATGATGCGGCCGGTTTTCTCAAACACTTCAGCGATGTCCTTACGCAGTCGGACAAGTTGTTGATTGGACTGGACGGATGCGGCGACCCTTCCAAGGTCTAGTAGGTTTCAATGCATTGTATCCCTGGTCTGAAGCTGGCTAAACTCAATCACAGTCATGCGTACAACGGTATTTCCTTCTCTTCATACCGTCGAGCGATTCGGTCAACTAATACTTAGAATATCAAGACCAGAAAGGAGTAACTCATGCGTAAGCCACCCGGAATTTCTCTTGGGCCACATTGACTGACTACCCTGTAGCTTCATTCTCAACGGACTCGCCAACGCCAATGAAATCCTGGGAGAAGAGGCCTTCAAGCTCAAAGACTGGGAAGTCATCGGCGAGTATGTGTATGATGACGAAGGAGGACGTCACCAGGCTTTCTACTCGCCCGTTCGAGACACATACGTTCTGGGAGCACTGGTGAGGCAACACGAGCGCATTCAGGTTGAGCAGAGCCTGAAATATTCCCAACTGGGAGCCGAGAACTTGTGGAACATGGCTGGCTTGGTCGAGACGACTTGCTGGTCCAAGGGTAACGAGCATGGTAAGTAGAGAATTTCCTTGCGTACGACCTCAAGAGACCAGGGCTGTTGGTAGCCACACTTCACTCGGATTATTCTGCATCCCATAAGCCTCCCCCACGTTTGGCCAGCTACGTGGATCCAATTACCCAAAGAGGCATTGTGCAGTCTCCAGATCGTAAATTAACGGATACTACTGGTTCTCGATGCGATCATCTGACAGAGTTCCAAGTATTATATTTTGGAACGAGCACCAGTTATATCATGGCCGCACGCCCATACTTTATTTCGGAAGCTGACTGGACTATAGGCGTTCACATGATTTCGAAGAGGAAGATGCCTTTCAGTCTTCTCCCCGAACTATACGCTTCCTCGCCCTGTCCCACCTTGGACGATTGGCAGGCGCTGTGGACGGCATGGGATGCCGTTACACAGCAAATGCTCCCAAGAGAGGAGCTGCTGGACCAACCCATCAAGCTTCGCAATGCCTGCATCTTCTATCTGGGCCACATTCCGGGCTTCTTAGATATTCAGTTGTGTAAAACTACCAAGACGCCTCCGACTGAGCCAGCATACTTCCAGCCAATGTTTGAGCGGGGCATCGACCCTGATGTTGACAACCCGGAGCAATGCCATTCTCACTCCGAGATCCCCGAGGAGTGGCCTGCAGTGGAAGAGATTCTCCAATATCAGCATCGTGTGAGATCCAGGCTCCTGGACCTCTACAAGAGCGGAATCGATAAGATCCCGCGAGCCGTTGCCCAAGGGATCTGGGTGGGATTCGAGCATGAGATCATGCACATGGAGACCCTTCTATACATGATGCTCCAGAGTGACAAGACTCTTCCGCCTCCTGACGTTCTGCGTCCAGACTTCAAGCGCTTGGCCAAAAAAGCTCGTCAGTCCCGGGTACCTAATCAGTGGCACGATGTGCCTGCTCAGTCCATTATTCTTGGCATGGATGAGCCTGATCTCAATGCTGGTGTCAACGGCTACTTTGGCTGGTAGGTGGCGGCGCTCTGAGCTTTAGATTACCACTGACACAGCGCTAGGGACAACGAGAGACCTTCAAGAAAGGCCAACGTCCATGCATTCCAGGCGCAGGGACGACCGATCACAAATGAGGAGGTGAGTAGTGAAGTTTGCCGCGAGGCTGGAAGAAAGCTGACCGGAGCAGTATGCAGAATACATGTTTGAGAACCACATCGACAAGGTCCCCGCATCTTGGGCCGATGTTCATACCACTGTGTCCGATTCCAAGACGACTGTAGAAGCTCATGGACAATCGTATCTCGCCAATGGCCACAAGAATGACCAAGCCAATGGGCATGTCAATGGGCACGTCAACGGTCAGACAAACGGACACAGGAATGGTGCACCAAATGGGCATGTGAACGGTCATCAGAATGGCCACCAGAACGGCGACAGCGCTGTTCCCGATTCGTTCCTTGAGGGCATCGCAGTCCGCACAGTTTTCGGCTTGGTCCCACTGAAATACGCCCTGGACTGGCCGATCTTTGCATCTTTTGATGAGCTGTCTGGCTGCGCCGCATGGATGGGAGGCCGGATCCCTACGTTTGAAGAAGCTCGAAGCATCTACACCTATGTTCACAACTCAAAGAAGATGGAAGCTGAGCGGACGCTCGGCAGGACGGTCCCGGCAGTCAACGGGTAAGTTTGAAAAAAGAAATTAGCCCAGTACAATCATATAGTAAGCTAATATCCATAGTCACCTGTCGAATGACGGTGTAGAGGAGACACCACCAAAGAGAAACTCACTCGAGGCCGCGAAAACTCGAACTGAGCTTTTCGCGGACCTCGACGGTGCCAATGTTGGCTTTCAGCATTGGCGCCCGGTTCCCGTGACGGCTGACGGAGGTCGCCTCGCGGGACAAGGGGAGCTCGGTGGCGTCTGGGAATGGACCAGCTCGCCCCTTGCTCGGCATGAAGGGTTCGAACCGATGCCTCTGTACCCTCAGTACACGGGTAAGATGACCTGGATTTCGCCTATAAATGATTTGGCTGATGATAAACTGCAGCCGACTTCTTCGATGGGAAGCACAACATTGTGCTTGGAGGATCATGGTCAACGCATCCCCGGATCGCCGGCCGAAGATCATTGTAAGTCAACTGCTGTGTTGGCCATGGCTTAAAAGATGCTAATAGTGTGCAGTGTCAACTGGTATCAACGAAACTACCCCTTTGCCTGGTGTGGTGCGAGACTCGTTAGGGATATTAACTAAATAGCCATTTGAGTTCTGGCTACTGTACTGGCTTTGGTCGACTATTGTAGTATCACCGCTCCTAATCACATCCCTTCTGGCAAAAGCTAGTAGTTCAACACCTGCTTTCGCCATGAGAACCACTCAACCTCGTTCTCATCATTCCCTTTGCATTTCAATCTATAGGTCTAAACATTTTCTTCTTGTTTGGCAGGGTTCAAGATTGGGAAAACGAAAAGGAATCGCGGGTCATTAACACGGTTTTCCTTGCCTAAGAACGTCATGTTTTCCTCCTGCTCTTTGTTGATACTCGGGTCGGGGCCTGGTCATTTGTTTCTTCGTTTTCGAAAATGGGCACCGAGGAAACCTTTTACTGTACTATCACTTCGCCAAACAGGCGACTCCCCGCCGACTTGGTCGGGACATGTCATCAATCAAGATTCACATTCGCTCAAGCTTTCTGGTCCATCTTTGACGCTGCCGACGATCTATGCCACTAATGCACTTACAATTCAAGATTCTCCCGCCCGCGACTACCACATCCTCGGTTGCCGGAAAACCACATACCTCGCCGGGAACAAGAAAAGGGTCGCCGGATATCCATCAGCCAACAGAGCCCCCTCCCCTCCCTTCTCCGCCTTTTCTAGACCCCGGGTCGAAAAAAAAAAAGTTCCCGCAAACCCCCTTGGTCGGGCGTATGCAGGTCATACGCGCGTGGACAATTCCTACATGTAGCAGTGACGTCAAGAGGCCGTTGGGGTATTCCTACCTTCCCTTCTGTTGTGGGGTATCACCAACAAATAACCAGTGCAGGAAAGACATATTGAGAGAGGGGGAGGGGAGGGCCGCCTTGTCCACCCCATCGTGAGTCGTTTCTCGTCATCATTGTGTACACGGTGTACTATACGAAGTTTTCGCCTTGCAGGAATTTTGGCTGGCGTGGTTGCATATTCTCGTATACATGGAAGAGAATTTGGGCAACGCGTTCCAACCTAGGGGCATGCGCTGTGGATGCAGCAACGGCAGAGACGTACAGCAAATAGAAGACGAACTTTTTTCTCTCTTTCCTTTCAGGATATCTAAAACAGGCATTTCTTGCCGATAGGCATGTCTCTAGTCAGTGGGACAATTTCCCCGACACGATTGTCTCTCTATTTGTAATCCTTTCAAGCGCCAGCTACCTAGGTACCATGCAAGCGCCTATCCAGTTTGTGGCCGCTACTACTGCTGCAAAGCACTTTTCATCAACTGGCCATGGCCGTTGGGTTTACCTTGCTGTGCGTGCCTCAAGACCAAGAGAATTCCGGAAACGTCGGCCGCTCCATGATATGCAAGCCGGGGTTACCTTTGTCGCAGTCCGGCCCCCGGGTCTCCTTGCGTGGCCGGCCTCTATGGCATCCACCACAACGCCTGGGGACTGGAAGCCGTATCTCACCCAAATTTTCATCAAAGTGAACCCGGGGTCTCGAAATGTTGAGACTCAAAAGTCCGAGGTGGGTATAAGATGTTTGAATGAAATCAACCGTTCAAGCTACCGTAAATGTCAAGCAGTTGCTCAAACACGTAGCTGGGCAGTTTGACGCCGTTTTCCGTCACTAGGTTGGAGATGAAATCGGGGGGCTGTAGCATGTGATCAGCGACAAATGGAGACCAACACAAGAAAGCTGGGTCCAGGTTGGGAGACTCACGGTGTAGTCCACGGCATCCTCGGGCTGCTCGCTCGCCCCGTCCGTCCGGAAGTCCAGCACGCGCTGCTGGAATCCGAGATCCCGCTGGTCGAGGGGCACCTTGCGCACGAACTTGTGCGACTCGGCGGCGACGTAAAATGGCAGACCGGCCTGCTTGGCCAGCTTGGCGATCTGGTAGGTGCCCATCCTCGAGATGATGCCGCCGTTCTGGGTGACGGCCTCGGCGCCGACAAAGACCATGTGGACCTGCCTCAGCAGGCCGAGGACGTGGGCGACGGCGGGCTCGGCGATCTCAGCGACGGGGATGCCCTTGTCGCGGAGCTCCTTGACGACGCGGTCCGACTCGGCGGGGCGGTGCTCGTCGCGGACGTAGACGACCTTGAAGCGGACGCCGCCGTCGCCGGATTGGTCTGCTGCGCGGAAAAGCAGGTTGGAGACGGCGCGGGAGGCGCCGTGGGTCAGGACGACCTTGCCGTCGCGGACGAAGCGCCAGCCGGCGTCGGCGATGCGGTCGCGAGCGGCGATGGCGCGGGAGGCGAAGAGACGGCCGTTGCGGAGGAGGTGGGTGCGGACGGCGTCGAAGGACTGGTAGGGGGAGGGTGCGGCGACGGCCGAGGCGGATGCGTTGGCGCCTTCTTGCTGCTTAAGCGAGGAGACGAGGTACTGCAGGAAGAGGTCGGTGCCGGCCTGGAGGGGCACGGGGTTGTTGACGGAGGCGTGGAGGGTGTTTGAGGCGCGCTTGACGAGGTCGAGGGTCTCGAAGACGGTCGTGGTGCCCGAGGCGTTGAGGAGGGAGATGAGGGCCTCGATGGCGGCGACGGGTTTCGTCAGGTCTGGGTCCTCTAGGAGAGAGTGATATGTTGAGACGATACTGGAGGAGGGAAAGAGGTTAGTGTTGAGGATGTGGAAGGGTCAGAGTATGGTGGTGTAGTACTCGATGGCATCGTTGGTCTTGTTGCGGATGGGAATGTCGGCGGAAGCCTGAGACTTTTGGGTGTCGCCAGCTGCTGTTAGAACGTGTTGTTAGTATTTAGTTCCTCGTATGTGACGACGGGCTCGGATGTAGGTAGGGTATCAGGTGGGAGAAGGGGGTAGCGTACGCGCCAGGTCGCCGGTGGCCATGATGAGTTCTGAGAAGAAGGATTCGCTACGGAAGATGGGCAGGGCCCTGCGCAGCATGCAACTCCTGTGCTGGTGCTGTTACCGTCAGGTGATAGTCGTTGAAGAGATCCTCGCAAGTCGCTGGTGTCTTGGAAAGGGAGTCGGTATGGGTTTCGGGGTGGGACGTCGGGTTCACAGTCGCGATGGCGGGGTTTGGTGTCGAAGCTCTGGGAAATTTTGGGCAAGGCAATGACTCAATTCCCACAAAGTGACCGAATGGAGCGTGCCGTTGCGCCCAGGGATTGATCACTCTGATTTGGCGGGGTAGTTTTGCTAGGTCCCGTCCAGTCTGCTCAGCACGGCGGGACTCGGGAGGGGCTACTCGGGCTGGCTGGCAAGCTCCGATACGGGGCTACCTGGTTTCCCATGTTGTTTCAACATTGTCACCAAGTACCCATCTATCTGTCCCCCTTTCCAGGTTCCCTCCGATCCCGTACGGGCAAGCTGCACCTCCGTCGTCCAGGGTCCTTCTAAAACCACAGAAATAGCAGTGTCATCGCCCTGTATCGTCACCCAAGCAATCCCGCTACCGACAGCGGGGTCCCCTCCACTCCCGAAACACCGACACCACCAAGCCCAGCTAATCAAGCTCCCGTCCTTGTAAGCCTTCATCTCCCCTCCCCTGAACGCGAGCAAGCTATTCAACCCCGTTCTTCCTCTCCTTCCTCTTCTCCATCATGAGGCTTCTACCTCTCCACGACCGAGATACTCGTAGAAGCTCTCAAGCACATCCTCTTACCCCTCCCTGACAGCCGCCGAAGCTATATCCTTCCCACTACCACCACCACCACTACTACCACCACCACCACCACCAGGTCGACATAACCTCAGGTTGGACACAATGGAGCAGATCGACCCCACGACAGGCGCGGCCCTTCCCGCCGACGCGATCCAGCGCATCCTCTTCATCGCCTCGGGCGCCCACGTCTACAACATACCTCCCCTGACCTCGAACAAGGGCTACACCGCCGCCGGCTGGACCGAACGCCAAATCTTCACGGCGCGCCTCCGCGTCCTCGAGACGGCCTGGGAGACCACCGCCGCACCCGCCCCGACACCCGTAGGTGTAGGCAGCGCCGTCATCCCCGTCGCCCCGGGAGCCCCCGCGGGCGTCACCTCCAAGGAGAACCACATCAAGGTCGACATCGTCCTCGAGGACCCCTCCAACGGCCAGCTGTTCGCCGCCGCGCCCTACACCTCCATCAGCGCCGTCGAGCCCGTGCTCGACTCGTCGCGTTTCTTCGCCGTGCGCGTCATGGACGGCCAGGGGCGGAAGGCGGTGCTGGGCGTCGGGTTCGAGGAGCGCAGCGAGGCCTTCGATTTTGGCGTCGCGCTGCAGGAGGCGCAGAAGAGCTTGGGTCTGCTGGATGCCAGCCACGCCAAGCAGGCCGCCGAGAACAGCAAGCGAGCCGAGGCGGAGAAGAACAAGGACTACAGTCTCAAGGAGGGCGAGACCATCACCATCAACTTTGGCGGGTCAAAGATTGGCCGCCGGTCGAGGACGGAGTCCGGGTCCGAGATCCTGGGCGGAGGAGCCGGGGGTCTTCAGGGGTTCTCGCTGCCGCCACCCCCTAGCGCGCCCAAGGGTGGTAATGGCGGCAGCTTCGGGCTGCCTCCGCCCCCGAGCGCCGCCAATATTCGCGACAAGAAGAGGGAGAATAGGAAATCGGCACAGGATCTGGGGTTTGACGACGGTCAGTTTGGAGAGTTTGCGTAAGGCCGCGGTGCCTGCGATGCGGAGTCGGGTCTTTCACTCGGTTCAGGTGGTTATGACCAGGGAAAAAAGTCACAAAAAGAGAGACATTGAGGAGTTCAGAGGCTACCCTTTTTTTGGTGATTATACGTAGTTCAAAGAGATTCCCTCCCCTGTTTGCTGCGATTACCGGACAATTTTCCACTGCATGGACAAGATAATAAATCAATAACGACGCAGCCCTGGCCTCGTTTACATGCGTCTATCTGTTTTATAATCGTACTCGTTCGTATGCTACGACCTACGAGGCTGGCTCATCTGCCTTCCCGCTCGGTCTACGCAACTCCCCCAACCCTGGCCATAAGCTTTTCAACGAGGGTAGACTTTTCCTTCTGTTCGGTGTCAGAAGTGGAATGTCTCCGCCTGATGACGGGTCTTGAACTTTGTTGGCGTCCTGCCGTGATTCATCCACCACAGCTTCGTACTCAAACTGTAAGCCATGATTTCCTAGGTGGCCTACGGGAACCTCAGATGTCTCGCCACAGTCGGTCCACAATTCAGCTGGCACGGTATCGTATACCTGGTACCCTTGCCCCTCCTCGAAACGAGGTGCCACCACATCCCACGTGTTGTAGACCGGATGGCAACCCGCGGGGAAGAATATAGAGGAGGCCGCGTCCAACGGTGTCGGGATCATTGATGTCACGTCAGAGGGTGTCGTGGCGCATGTGGTAGTAGTACTGGGCGAGTATATGGACCACCACGAGCATCTTCGCTCGTAGAGTTCGTTTTGTATTTGCATCCACGTCTCGCGGCTCTGAAGCTCCACGTATATATCGCCGAGCCGCATGAGGATGGCCTTCTTCTGTGCCGTGGCCTCAAAGATCTTGCTCTTGAGAAGAGTCGTGTTCTTTCGCGCTCTGCGGCGCTCGTCAGACGGCAGGCTGCCGTCAACCTTCTCCTGAAAGACTGAAAGCCTCCGCATGAGCTCGATCTCACGCTCGCCCTGTTTGCTCAAGGAAGCCGTCAGATAAGGTTTTTCGGTATAAAGCTGCTCGAAGGAATGCGGTGATGCCAGTGTCGACCACCCTGAATTTGGGTTGGTGGCTGAGTTGATGCTGGCTCTCGGACTCTGACATCCTAGCCTCAGGGCGGGCCGGAGTGGCGATGGTGCCGCAGCGTTATAAAGCATTCGTGACTCTCTGCGGCACGGCAGGCTAGGGGAATTGCTCGAAGCTAAGTCCTCGGACGACCCTGTTGTTGTAGTTGAATCTTGAATCTTGCTGTTGGAAGGAATGAAAACTGGAGCTTCGACGTACTGATTCATGTTGAGGGGAAGGGACAAACGAGGATACTATGGTCGACGAAATTTCCGAGAGGGAAGAGTTGGCTCTGTCGAATCAGATATAGACCGCAACCAATTAGAGTCGATTGCCACTGTGTTCTGATCTGGCCAACTCGAGACAAAGGCTGGCTCGAGGGGTGTAGAAGTATGAGGCTCCCTCGCCGCGGCATCCCCATATCCGAGACCGAGGGCTCTGGTCAAACTTGATGAGGTAAAGATGCGTTGATCAAGGAAAGTCCCAATTGAGCTTGCTACGTCCAAGACGGAGTGGACCCTCGAAGGGAGCAAACCAGGATGGCGCAGTAGCTGAAGCTCCGATGTGATCAGTGCCTCACAAACAATATCCGAGCTTCCAGTACATAGGGCATACCAATGAAGTGTTTATGGCAGAAGAGCCTGTCTGTATGTGCGGTGAGACTAATAAGAGTAAAGCGACCTATAGTTCGTCAGCCGAATAGTCATCAGACGTAGAGTTGAGGTGAGTTAGGCGCTTAGAAGCTGCTGAAACGCAATTGCGGATTTAGATATTAACATGACAACCAAACGATTATCGAATACCATGACAGCATTGATGCGATATGTAGCAAAACTATTACACCACTCACATACCTGTAGCTATTGTCGTCATCATAAAAATGGTTGTGCCTCTGGCATGACCCCAACGAGCACCCCTGCGAAGGAGGCGTGGGTCGCGATGCGCCTGCGGCCATCCCAGCCGTACAAGGGCATTCCACTCCTTTGACAAGCAACTTTCATGGCCAGTGCCGGGAAATCTACCACCAGCGCCTTTTCTTCTGACGCAAGGGGATGTTTTTCAGATGTTGAAACCGTCGTGCCGAGGAGGATCGCAGAACCTCCAGAGACCAGCCGATTCCGCAGCCTTTCGGACCGAGGAGACCTCGTCGTCCGATACGGCTCGGTTGATTTCGCTGTACCGGACCTCGTCGTCCTGCGTGTCGAGGCTGGCTTTTGTGCGTCTCTTTGACTTGCCTACATGCGCATCTGGGTGGTACTGCTCCATGATGTTGACGAAACAGTCTCTAGAAACCTCCTCCGCCAAGAACTGCATTATCCGGCGTCCCTCTTGTTCCTTCCCGGGCATGACAAGATGACGTACCAGGAGACCTGTCTTGGCAATGCCGTCTCCGGTAAAGCACAAGTCGCCGACCTGGTTATGCATTGCCTTGATGCTCTCGCGGGCTGTGGACGCATAGTTGTCTGCCTTGAGCAAGCGCTTGGATGTCGCCGACTCCCATACCTTGAAATCAGGTAGGTATATGTCCACCAAGCCGTCTAGGAGCTCCAACGAAGCCAGTGAATCAAAGCTGGAAGTGTTGTAGATGATTGGCACGCGTAGGCCTAGCCCCTTTGCGTGCAGGATGCTGAGGACAACCTGGGGAACAACATGCTCCGGGGTGATGAGATTGATGTTGTGGACGCGGCCGACTTGCTGTAGCTTGATGTACCATTCGCCCAGCTCTTCAGGCGTTAAATCTTGGCCGTTGCGCTGGTGTGCGATGTCGTGATTTTGACAGAATACGCAACGCAAGTTGCAGCCCGAGAAGAATACAGCGCCACTGCCATTGTGTCCCTGAACGCAAGGTTCTGGATCTATGGTCAGTATATTAACCTTTTTCAGGGAGCTCCGAGAGACTTGGGGGAGACGTTGGATGCAATTTAGTAGGGGTTTGCTCCAGACCTTCACCAAAGTGCGGAGCAATCACGTTGACCTTGGTGTCATTGCCAATCAGACACATTCCAGTCGTCTCGAAACGGTTGATACCGCACAGCCGCGGACAGAGATTGCACTTGGAGAGATGGGCGTAGGCCTTTGATCGCTTTTTGGATTCATCGATGGAGGACAAGCTCATGTAACGGGGGGTGTAGTCCTCTAGGAGGAACGGGGGTGCAAGGTGGAGGTGACGGCGAGCGCTTGCCGTTCTCGGGCCAAAGACCTCGCTTCTGCGCGCAAATGCTCGCCTCAACATGGTCAATTTGAATATTTGAACATGGCAAGTTGTGATGGAAATGATGGAAACAATTCTTGTGTCACAGTAGGATCGGAAGGAGGAGAGGTGACATTGCTTCAGGTGGCGTTCTATTGGCCCAAATGCGCAAAGTGGGCCCTTACCTCCTCAGATAGCGGCGAAGGTGCCGTCCATCCTGCCCTTCCGTGTAACCTCCTCACATGCCCAGAACTTTCTTTATCCTTCTCGCGTGTTCCCTTGCAAGTTTGCTATCATAAATCTGAAGACTACCCCAAGAAGTCCGAACTCCCTACAAGTTCTGCAGAAAGAACATGGCCTGGGCCAAACTTCAGGCTTACGACAATGACCAGCTTGACGTTTCCGAGAAGCTCATTTCATGGCCGATGTCGATCTCTCAATCTGTGACTTGACATCGGCCCCTTCGGAACCTCAGCTGTGTTAATATCCAAGTACGTGGAACAGCTGCAGGGACGATCGATCTATCACTGACATTTCACTCAAAACCTTTTTGACCAAGAAGGAGGTTCGTCCCCAGTGGTAAGGGAAATACACGTCAAAGTGTCATCAGTTCTATTTACAGGTGACTTGCCGCTCACCAGTTCAAGATACACTCTCGTCATCTCAACTTGATCTGAAGCTTATAGTGTTGCAGTAATTCCCCTCTAGCTCTACTCCAGGCTCCGACTTCCGTGAAGATCGACATAAGACCACCCGAATGGATGGCGAGACTAGAGGGCCAGTTTTGCTTTTGCTACGATCCACTGGCTGTGCCTCCTAAGGGATAGACTTAACTCCGTGAAGAAGTCGAAGGGTTCAATTCATCTCACCCATTCACGTAGCAGTGTCCTACACAAGACGTTGTCAAGACATCAGGCAGATAGACCAAACACCCCCGAATCGTTTTGACTTGTCAAGAGAGTGGTTCTCCAAGTGGCTTTCACTCGTGACGAGACGCTCGCTCACCAAGTTCAATGGCTCTTGACGATCTACTTGGTCCAGCTGAGTCAACTTCAGATGAAGGAGGGGCATTTCCCGGAATAAGAAAGTTGAGCCTCTCGGCAAAACAGCCGCCCAGGGCTGAAGTGGTGCGAAGAAGAAGGAGTTGCGAACTAGAACCTTGAGCGCCTTCTAGTGTGTTTGAAAACACATTGCTGTGGATGAAAGGAACGTCAAGAATACGAACTCGTGTGTTGAGGTGGTCTCCGCCGCAATTCTTTTACAATACGATCTCATGCCACTTTGTCTTGCTGGACTGAGATGCTCCAGATATCTGCATGGAGTAATTGAGAAACCCCATCAAAATGGCAGAAGAAACGACTTGGGAATGGGATATGAATATAATACTTGACGGCATCGAGTCCTAGGTGCCCAGTCATGCGCTGGTGTGCTGTAGGTGACTCCGTCCTTTCACTCTTTTCTCATTGTTTGCGTACATCGTCAAAACCGTCAAGGCCGGGCGACTAAGCCTTGCATCCACTCGTTAAATCCAATCGTTAACTTGCAAGCGCTCTTCCTTACTCTCGTTAATCGGAGGACTCTTATCATACTCACTGATTCACTCTCGATAATTTCTACTCCCTTATTTTTTTCTTCAGTGTCCATATATACCTTGGGAGGGTATTTATTCTGAGCCCTGACGACGGCACTTTTATTCTTAATATTCCTTGGAGCGCCTGTCGCATTATTCAAGATGAATTCCACTTTGGCGTTGCTGATATTCTTATCTTGGGTGTTGCTTCCCTTTTCGAAAGCCCTACACATCACCGACGAGACCGTTGGCAAGTTCCTCCTCGACGAGTATGACTACATCATCGTCGGAGGTGGCCTCTCGGGACTGGTCGTCGCGAACCGCTTGAGCGAGGATACCAGCAGTAAGTCTCCGTCTTCATCTTTGCCGCGCAGTCGACGTTCGCTTACCAGTTTGCAAGCGACTGTCCTCGTGATCGAGTCTGGCGAGCTTGATGGACGTGAGAGCAAGGTCGTCGCGCCCGGCTACATCGGTCTCACGCCGCCTTCGCCATACGGCAAAAGCGTCACGACGGTACCTCAGAAATTCCTCGATGGCAAGACGCGTGGGATCAGCCAGGGCAGAGTAATCGGAGGTGGTTCCGTCGTCAATGGAATGTGCTGGACGAGAGGCTCGGCCGCAGACTTTGATGCCTGGGAGGAGCTGGGGAACCGTGGATGGGGATGGAAGGGCCTTCTTCCCTACTTCAAAAAGGTGAGTCCAAGTTGAGGGGAACAAAGTGACCCTAAATCCTCGCTGCCGACCCCTGACACCGTGATCCATCAACTTCTCCCATACTTCTGTCGATAACAATGAGTTTTGGAGAAGACCTGACTGACGGACGATGTAGGTCGAGACTTACACCACGAATGTTGATCGAAACACTCGGGACCGCCTTAGCATCCACCCAGATATGTCGGTCCATGGTACGGCAGGGCCCATCAACGTCGCCTACCCTGAGTATTTCTACAACTCGTCGGGTATTTGCACCCCTATCATCCTTCGGGGGGTCTATTCTCTGACTTTGTATAGACCATGTACTTCACGGACTGTCAGAGATGGGCATTCACCTCTCGGGAGACCTTAACACGGGCGACCCGACGGGCGCCATGATCGTTCCGTCCAGCATGTCTCCCTCCAACCAGACCCGCTCCGATGCGAGAACAGGCTACTTCGACCCGGCCATTTCGCGTTCGAACCTGCATGTCGTTACCGGGCAGACTGCGACGCGCCTCATTGTGGGCTTGCCGGGCTCTTTGGCCAAGAAGGGAAGTCGTCGGCGAGTCATTGGGGTTGATGTAAGTCACCAGCCGTTTTGCTTTGGGATCTCGGATTCTGGAGTTCCAATTTATTGACGTGATCTGTAGTTCTCATCTGAACCCCTTGGCATCAACAGGACGATCTTGACCCAAAGGGAAGTCATACTGGCGGCTGGAGCGATCCAGTCGCCTACTCTTCTCCAGGTTTCGGGTATCGGTCCTCGAAAAGTCTTGGAGTCGTTGAATATTTCTGTTCAAATTGAACTGCCAGGTGTCGGAAATAACTTTCAGGATCATCCCATGGCCCAGTTTCCGTTTGACTGTAGGTTCTCTCATGCCACACTGCTCTCATCCCCTTTCAAGAACATATGGCTGATCTGAATCATAGACTCTAATTCATCCGTATTCACTTCTCGCGACCTGACTGGCGACGCCTTCAACAGTGCGCTCGACACCTTCGTCACCAACCACACCGGTACGTCAGCACGCTCTGATCACGCAGAAGCACAAACTAAACCCTCTCCCTTAGGCCCCTTGACTGCACCCCTGATCAACACCGTCGCCTTCCCAAGCCTCCAATGGCACGAAGCCGAATGGAAACCCCTCCTACAGCACGCTACAAACCAGTCCTCCTTCGCCTTCCTCCCCGTCGATACCCCGCCGACAGTGCAGTCGGGCTACACTCGACAGAAACGCCTCGTTCTCGACCACCTTGCCCGCGCCGATGTCGGCGCCTACGAGCTCCTCGCGGCCTCCTGGGGCCAAATGTCCATCGCCAACCAGAAGCCTCTATCTCGCGGCACCGTCCGCCCGGTTTCCGCCTCCGTCTTTGACGGACCCCTCGTCGACCCGCGGTACTGCGCCGATCCGCTCGACTGCAAAATCATCAGGCTCGGCCTGCAGATGGTGCAGAAACTCATGCGCACGAATGCCATGACTCCTCTTCAGCCCGTCGTCGATGCCAGCCTCAACTCGACGGACGAGACGGAGCTCATGGCGGCGCTGAAACCGCTCGTCGGCACCGAGTACCACCCCAGCGGCACCACGAGCATGATGCCCAAGGAGCTTGGCGGCGTTGTGGACCCGGAGTTGATGGTGTACGGAACGTGTAACCTGCGCGTCGTCGACGCGGGCATCATGCCGCTGGTTCCGGGGGGGCATATCCAGGCTGCTGTGTACGCCGTTGCTGAGAAGGCTGCGGACATCATCAAGGCTGCCGCGCGTGGTCCGGACTTGTGCCCGTTTGGACAGCCGCAGTGGCCCCCTGTGTAGGGGCTGAACCGTCCGGATTGTTGCTTGTGGTTTGAGTGGGTTACAGAGAAACATGGTGGAGGGATGACGATTAGGGAAATCTTCAATAGTAATGACAAACGACTCACTGATCATCATGACTGACGGTTGGTACAAGTACCAATTGCGAACGAAGAGTGTGATGAAGCGATGAAGTTCAACACCGAAAGCCTCATAATTTAACTGTGAACTAGAGGTGTAAGGGTTGCCGAGCGCCGCAAATATGAGCCCAATATCTGACTCCCTGGCGCTGTCTAGTCAGAGGCCTCTTCTCTGCCTCCATTATCACCTTGAGCGTGCTATAACACAGGAATGATGATGGGAAACATAACGCTGACAGATACCATGCCGGAGACGAGAGAAACAGCGATGGAAACAATAGCAGAGAAGGCATTAGCGTGAAGGTAAATTCAGCCCCTGAACCATTTGGAAAATAGACCCTGGAGATTCAAAAGGTCGCGCGTTTTACAGACAATAAGCAAGGCTCAGGAATCAAGGAGGAAATGAACTCAATCGCATTCATCCCATCGCATTTCTAGTCCCCAAAAACGCCCCCGCCTACAAACCCTTCATGAACTCCTGCAACGTAACCGGCTTCCTGACGGCATTATTCAATCCTTCATGGTACGTGACCCAGACCTTGTTGTCGCTCTTCCCGCCTTCGTGCCCGCCGTCGTACCTCTTCTTCCTCTTCGCGTTACCATCCACCTCGCCCAACGGCCGCGCGGGGATGACGCGCCCGAAAAAGTCCTTTTTCACGCTCGACGCCAGTATCCTCTCCTGCTCCTTGATGACGTTCTCCTTGTCCACGTGGTGCTGCGCGGGGGTATCCTCCGCCCCCAGGGGACCGCCGACTTTGAACCGCGCCTGGCGGGCCGCGGCCTCGCGCAGGATGATGGTCTTTTGCAGCTCCTGGTCTAGCACCTGACGAACGGCGTACCGGGTTGGGGCTTGGCTGGAGAGTACCAGATTCCCTGCCGTCTCATACAACGAAAGGGCATCGAGATCACTTTGTCGATTTGTTAGCAGAGTTTCACGGCTGTACATAACAAGAGAGAAGACTCACGGTTCCATGCGGTATACCCATTGCGGCCCCCTGTTCACCAGCGAATCAGTCTCGATCTTGCCCTTCTGCATCTCGATCCCGACCTCCGCCATGATCTCCGCCGCCCGCTTGACCATGATCTTCTCCGTCTCTTTCCGTACGCTGGCCGTGCTAATGCCGCTACCCCCAATAACGACGGGCTTCACGTCGGGCGACACCATCCGAACTAAATACGGCATGAACTCCGTCGATATGTCCTCCGCGCTCCGGAACGACCGCCCCAGCGTTGGCGTGAGCTGCGCCTGTATGGCCTGGAGCATGGCCCTGTTCTGCTTCTGCGCTTCGTAGGCGGAAAAATCGGCTCGAGGACCCGAGAACGGCACAGGCGGTTCACTGTCCTCCTCCGCGACGCCCCATTTCTTGTCGTAGCCTTTGTTGACTTGGTGCCGCTTGGATGAGGCGAACAAGCTGAGGCAGGCCAGGATCGGCTGGCTCAAGTACGGTGCCAGCTCCCACTCCTGACTTCCAAACGTGCGTGACGAGCAGGTGTCCAGAAAGTTCATCCAGTCGTACGCCGCATTCGGTTTCGAAAGGAACGAGTCGTCGTTGAATTCCCGGTTCGGGTATTCCAAGAAGACGTCAGTCATGACCCGTTCGACTTCTCCGCTGGTGTCAATCATGTGCCGCAGTCGCTCCATGGCGTTCTTTTTGTGGTATTCCGCAAAGCCCAGCTGAGCTTTGGGATGTTCGTGTTGGTTCTTGAAATTTTGTGAGGTGTCCAGGGCTTGCTTCGGGAACCCGCCGCCCTCTTGAAAGACGCGCGACACGATATCCTTTGCACTTCCTCTTCCAAGTCCTCTGGCTCCTCCAGCGCCTTCGGTCAGATCGTGCATCACGTTTTGGTCCAGCCATTGCCTGGTCAAGCGCTCATTGAAGCCGGCGGCAGCTCTGAAGCGACCGGCAACCCATTCGCCAACAACCATTACTCCTCGAAGATCGCCTTCGGCTCCACTCTCCGCGCCACGCTTCGCATCGATGCCGCTGGTCATGCCCCAGGCAGCCTCGCAAACCTTGCGCGCCGCGTCCTTTTCACAAGGGATACCCTCCTTGTCGAACACGGTCTTCAGGCGCGTGACAACAGCATCGATGCCCGGTTTTCCGACGTGGATGACCTCTGCCATTCCCGACTGCCGAAGAGGTCTGAGAGAGGGATGGTAGACATCGTTGCAGATGAGAACGAGCGGGCGCATGAGGCGAAAGTCGTCTCCCTTTTTCTTCTTCTTCGAGTACGAGGCATTGGAGCCACCAGCACTGTTCTTTTGATCGAGGAGCACGAGATCAATCAGAGCCTTGACGAAACCACCCTCTCCTGAAGCGCCGGAGCCGCCCACCACACCGTCAACCTCATCCACAATGACGCAAGCCGGTTTGGCAACCTTTTGCTGCATCTCTCCATCCTTGGACTTGACGTTCTCGACAGTCTTGACACTCTCGGTTCCGAGGGAAGTTCGTATCCGGTTCTTGACGACATCCCGGCTGCGGTCGTCACTGGCATTGATTTCCATCACATCGTAGCCCGCTTGTCTCGCACAGACGTGAGCCAGAGTCGTCTTTCCGAGTCCCGGTGGCCCCGTCAGCATTAGAATCTTCTTGTGCGGCTTCTCCTCCTCCTGGACCTGCTTCGCGCCTGGCCTTCGCACGATCGGGGCCTTCTTTGCAACGCCGGGAAACACAATTGGGTCCCAGCGCTTCAGCCAGCGGAGGACCATCCGGTTCGTACCATCGTCGCCACAAAGATCCAAGAAGTTTTTGGCCCTGTACTTCTCGGTCCACAGGAGGGTCTTTTTCTGATGTTTGCCGGCATGAGGCGGCTCGACTGACCGCACAGGGACATCGTTCTCCCTTCTCTGTGGACGTGGCTCCGAGGCCTCACTTTTGGCCTTATCAATAAGCTCATTGATGGCTATGCCGTAGTATGCGCGCTTGGCCTTTCCCTCCTTTGTCTTGGACCGCGCTGCAATAATGCTTTCGTACGATGCGTTCGCTGTCGGCTTTCGTTGCTTAATGGCGGTGGTGGTCCCGGCGCAGGTGGTGAGATTGAAGGTCCTTGAGGATTTGAAGATCGATGGCGTTGCTTGGAGCAGTGTGGACGCCAGGCTTTGGGGTTGAGCAGGAGCAGCAACTTGTGCAGGCGCAACTTCAATACGGTCATCTGTCTTTCCAGGTGCTTGTGCTACCGGCTCAGAGATATCGTCGCCTGGAAGGATGGTGATGGGTGCCGGACGCTGCAAGCGGGCGCTAAAATCAATTATCTGCTTCTTCAGCGGAGGCTGCTGCTCGTTGTCATCGTTGTCGTCGGAATCATCGTCGAGAAGGAACCCGCTATTGACTTTCGGTTTTGGTTTCGTGGGGTCAGCCGCCGCCGGCCTTGGGCGTTTCGCTGCGGGCGGTGATGAACTGGCGGGAAATGTGACGGGGGATGATGCGCTCGGCATTTTGACAGACGGCCCGGATGAGTGCAAATCGTTCAATCCCCTCGTTGCGACGGAGTTGAGTGCTGCGCTGAGTGCTCCAACCTGTGGTTTGGTGTCGCTACAGTGACAATTAATCTTTGGGTGGGAAGACGCGACTGGACGCGACTGCCCTGGACGCGTTAATGATTTGGTGGGGTCCTTGACTTGCTCGTTGTGGTACCGTGCCAATTGAGATACAGTCATTTCAAGCACTGTCTTCAAGACGTGGGAACCAAGACAGGTACCCTCCAGATCACACCGGCTTTGAATTGCATTAAGCTGCTAGAAGCATGATATCAGGAGCATGTAATTGTTTGCTTTCCTTTTCAGTTTTTCATGTCTCTGAAGAGGCCGGAACGCTGTATTAGTTGGGTGCTGGATACCACTCACTGAAGTGACGATCATGAGCTGATCTCAAACTGAGAGCCGCTTCACAATGCAGAATGCTTTGCCCATGATGCTCAATAATTGTGTTCACGTAAGGTACTTGACGTCTAGCTCTCGCCCAAGACACCCATATCCTTCAAAAGGTCTCGATACAAGTTCGCCTCTGCCACCATCTCATCCATACCTCTCGCCTTCCTCGTCGCATCCTCAATTCTCGCAAATTTCCCTCCCGCCTCAGGCCTCCGACCCAGTTCCGCGTCCCATAGTGCGCCGCCGACATTGCCCTCCTCGGCAGACATCTGCTCGTAGATCTCATCCCTCGGCCCTTCCCCGTCTTTCCCCGTCTTGCCGGGGATGCGCGGGATGATGTGGACATGAACATGCGACACCGTCTGACCCGCGTCGGCGCCGTCCTGTACCGCAATGTTAAACGACCCGGCCTCCGGCGCTGCCGGTTCGGACTGCGTTGACGAGGTGAAGTAGCGGCGCGCGAGCATCTTCTGGACCAGCTGTGTCGTTGCGAAGAGGTCCGTCACCTCGGTGGGCGGAAGATCCGTGAGACGTTTATGGGGCTTCAGGGGGCAGATGAGGACGTGGCCTGGGAGGAGGGGCTTGAGGTTTACCAGGGCAAAGGAGTGAGCCGTCTTGTAGAAGACCTGCCTTGTGTTAGTTCAATACCACAACTATGACCCTAAATGTAAGGTGATTTTTTTCGTCACAAGAAAGGAATGGTGCTCATGCATCTCTCTAAAACAGGCGCGCACCAGGGTCGTGATGAGATGCCTCAGATTCAGAGTCCAATCCTAAACCGACACCGCTCATAGCACTTGACGCTTGAGTGACTGGGATATATTCCAACTGACCTGGCTGGTGACCTCAAATGGTCCGAAATGAATCTTGTCTTGAGAGCTCATGCTTCGTCGGAAATTACGGGTTTCAATTCGGAATACCTTCTCTGTCAAAAGCCGTGTCCTCAACATAGTCCACCGTCGACTATGCGCGCGTAATGAAGGGGGTTTGTAGCTTCAACAGGAGTTGTCCTCCATACATTAGTGATCGATCGTTGGTGGAACCAGGTTTGGAAATTGTTAGCACAGTTGAGGATATACAGTGGCGTCATCATCACAGGTAAGGCCTCCCAATCATTTCCAATCCTTGCGTCTTTATAGTTGGTCAATTAAAACTCGCCGCACTTCTTAAGCGCGGCCAGCAGCCGTTAATGATTTTGTGAGCACGGCATTGAGCATATCACTTTGGGCGTCAATGTAGTAGAAGACTTGGGAGTTAATGTACTTTTGATTTCGCCATTTCCCGAATGCCATTTTCGACCTTAACAGATCCCTGATTCTTAATATAGTACACTATTACATGGCACAATTACATGCGACTCAATCTCTATTGAGCAAGAGTGTTCTACTGTGCGGGGGAAAGATTCGACTGCTGTCCCGCAAAGAATTTCTTCGACTCCAGGCACCGTTCGCTCTTGCAGCCAGGGCACCGCAATTCCATCTGTGGCGAGCAAGCCACATTGCTGTCAAGATGGGCCTTGGCAATATCAGCGAGAGCCTTGATGAAGACGGGGCTACCGTTCAAGCTGTCGACTCTCTTGACAGTCTCCGGGCTTCCGGAATCAGCGATGACCTCGAGGTCCAATTCGAAGAGGGTCTCGATGTGATCCGATGTGAAGGCAATAGGAATTAGAACCAGGTCCTTCTGGCCCTTGTGGACGTAGTTCTCGACCGAGTCTGAGGTCTGGGGACCCAGCCAGGCGGACGGGCCGACCTGGGACTGCCAACAGAGACGGTAGGGGTTCGAGAATTTGAGGCGCTGCATGACAGCGTAGACGGTCGCAGCGACTTCGGGCGGGTACGGGTCGCCTCTGTTCACCACAGACATGGGCAGGCTGTGGGCGGAGAAGATTAAAACAACGTCCTTGCGCCTCTCCTCTGGGTATTCCAATAGCTTCGCCTCAATGTTCTGCGCAAACGCCTCGACCAAGCCCGGGTGGACCGGCCAGCGGTCAATCACACTCCATGAGATGGTACCGTCGCCTGGCGTCGACTCTCCGACGGCCTTGCCTTCCAGCCGTTGCCGCCACTTCCATAACTCGTTAATGCTGCTTCCTGTCGTTGAGCATGAGTACTGAGGGTATTGTGTGAATGCGACCGCTCTTCCGCCTCTTCCTTTCCCAAAGCCGTCTTCGAACAGCTTGTTGTACATCTCCTCGGTCAGGGGATCGGCATAGCGGAAGGCCGTGTACGGTTTGTGCGGCGCCGTCTCGGGGGATATCTCATCGAGGATCTTGCACATCTCAGCGTTCTGATACTCGGACCACTTGCGGATAGGTGAACCGCCGCCGATGTCAGCGTATTGCTTCTGGATCTTGGGAGTTCGTCGCTTTGAAATGAGTGGACCGAGGTAATTCTGGAAACGACCGAGTGGGATCAGATCGCCATCTGCCTGCGCATTGTTAACTCCATACCACAGGTGGAAAACGGAAAGAGACACATACAAAAAGCCTGCTCAAGAAGTCTCCCACTTCGTCTGTTGTCGAAGGGCCACCCATGTTCATGAATACCATGGCTGTTGGGCCCTTGGATCCGGCGGAGTTTTGCGTCACAGGTGGTACGACGGTTGCCATTGACCTAAGCTGAGAGGCCGACTGCTTCGACAGCACTTGAACGAGTGGCGATGAGGCATTGCGAGCCGAGGTCGTCACTTTGGACAAGCTCCGTGAGAGCTGTCCTGTTGAGTATTTGAGCGCCATTGGAAAGCAACAATTGGTGAGAGTGAATGTTTGACAAGGAGAAAGTGCGGTGGGAAGGGACAATGTGGCTATTGTGCAGCTGGCTCCAGAAAATCGAACTTGTGGCAATCCGCGAACCCCGGTGATGCGTCGATGCTGGGCGACACTTTGTGGAATTCGGGCTTCGATGACGAAGGAAATCCCGATCTGGAAAGCAGCCCACCGAGAACCGAGCTGGACCCCTGTGAGGCCGAGAAGATACCTCAGTACTTCTTGTATCCCTCTTTTGGGCAATGATATAGCTGCAATCTGAGTACTTCCCTAACATGCAGTGAGATTGGCCAATGAAACACTGCGTAATCGTGAATGATAGTCACGTGGTTGCGCGCTGCGACCTGGAGCTCCTATGAGCTTGGCGCGCGAGCTCCCACTGATGCGCGAAGGCCCCAGTCGCGCTGGCTGCCTGGAGCGCCGCCTGCGAAGTGCCCGCTATATACATCCTCATCACGACCAACGCAATTTCACCCATTTTCCGGTCAAATTCAACTCAAGTGGCTTCTTTAAGATGGCTGATCGCGGATACGTCAAAAGAGAGGAGGAGGATGAAGACGACGCCGAGGAGGAGCTTGACGAGACCGTGAGTCCCATGCTGTGTGGATCACGACTTATAACTGACTTGTCGTAGGACTTCAAGGCTCAAAAAGATGCCATTTTGCTCGCGATTGATGTGAGCTCATCAATGATGCAGCACCCGCCCACGACAAAGTCCAAGAAGGCCGATAGGGACAGTGCTGTCGAGGCAGCTTTGAAATGCGCCTACCATCTTATGCAGCAGCGCATCATCTCTAATCCCAAAGACATGATGGGCATCTTGTTCTTCGGCACGGAAAAGTCAAAATTTCAAGAGGAAAGTGGTAGGGCCGGTTTGGGCTATCCTAATTGCTACTTGTTTACCGACCTCGATGTTCCCGCTGCTGAGGATGTCAGGGCACTGAAGACCCTGGTCGGAGCAGACGGAGAAGAGGCAGAAGATGAAGATGAGGTACTAGTGCCGGCAAAGGAGGAGGTCCAGATGGCCAATGTGTTTTTCTGCGCAAACCAGATCTTCACTACCAAGGCAGCCAACTTTGGCAGCAGACGACTTTTCATCATTACAGACAATGACGACCCTCACGCCAAGAACAAGGATGCCAAATCGGCCGCGGCTGTCCGCGCAAAAGACTTGTACGATCTTGGAGTTGTAATTGAGCTTTTCCCCATTACCAGAGACGAGAAAAAGTTTGACCTTGGCAAATTTTACGATGTACGTCCTGAACCACTGCGTTGTGATGAGACACGAAACTGACCATCCAGGACATCATCTATCGAGACCTAGCTGCAGAGGCCAACCTCTCTGAGACCAGAAACTCAAAGTCCGGCGACGGCCTCAGTCTCCTCAACTCGTTAATCTCAAATATTAACTCCAAAGAAACCCCCAAACGCTCCCTGTTCTCCAACCTCCCCTTGCAGATTGCCCCTGGACTTAGGATCTCAGTCAAAGGATACAACATCCTTCACCGTCAGACCCCAGCAAGAACATCATATATCTGGCTCGACGGTGAGAAGCCTCAGCTTGCCAACGGCGAGACAACACGCATCGCTGAAGACAGTGCCCGAACCGTTGAGAAGGTTGAGTTCAAGAAGGCTTACAAGTTTGGCGGAGAGTACGTGCACTTCGCACCAGAGGAACAGAAATCTCTCAAGGATTTTGGCGCCCCTGTCATTCGTATCATCGGCTTCAAGCCACGCTCAATGCTCCCCTTTTGGGCGAGTGTCAAGAAGTCCACGTTCATCTTCCCATCGGAGGAGGACTATGTTGGCTCAACCCGTGTCTTCAGCGCCTTATGGCAGAAGCTACTCAAAGACAAGAAGATTGGCATCGCATGGGCCGTCACCCGCGTCAACGCTAGTCCGATCCTCGTCGCCGTCATCCCTTCCCACGAGAAGTCTGAAGACGACTCAGGTACACCATACCTCCCCGCTGGTCTTTGGCTCTATCCGCTCCCCTTCGCCGACGATCTGCGCGAAGGCCCCGAACCACCCAATAATCTTGTGGTTAGCTCCAACGAGCTCATCGACAAGATGCGTATCATCGTCCAGCAACTCCAGCTGCCGAAAGCCATGTACAATCCGAAGAAGTATCCCAACCCATCGCTACAGTGGCATTACAAGATTCTCCAAGTCCTGGCTCTCGAAGAGGAATACCCGGAGAAGGCGGAAGATCTCACAGAGCCAAAGTACAAGGCCATCAGCAAGCGTGCCGGCGGCTACCTGGACGATTGGGCCGAGACACTGCAGGACGAGACCAAGGTGGCGTTGGCAAAGGCGGCCATCAAGCGCGATGCGGACGACGATGACGACGAGAGGCCGGCCAAGAGAGCGAAGGCCGCACCGAAAGCCGCAAAGGTTTCCGGGTCCGGGATGACGACGGCGCAGCTCAAGGATGCTGTGGCCAGTGGCGCTGTGAGCAAGATGCTGGTTGCGGACCTGAAGGAGATTCTGGCTGCGAGGGGACAGAGCACGGCAGGCAAGAAGAGCGAGCTGGTGGAGAGGATTGAGGATTGGGTTGAGAGCAATGATTGATGTCGTTATGGGATAATTGACTTTGCGACGAAATTGTACTATACCACTTGATGCCGGGTTTACAGCAGGCTTATTGAAAGGGGGAAGGTTTTTGAATTTCGAGTGCACTACACTCAAACGTATTATGTTTCTTGCTTTTGCGACCTGCCAAGTCATCGACTATCGTGCCCGTTCAATTCCCTTTCACCCGTATGAAATTATCTCCGGGAAGCAGTCAGCTCGACAACTCAAATGGGCATGGCTCAGTCTGCCTTCCTGCGCCGCACGGTTGCCCAAGAAGCTGACAGCTAAGGGCGGAGCCGTCATTGTCAAGAAGGAAAGCCACAATACTCGTCCAAGTCTCAGTCAAACGAGACACGAGACACAAATACTGCAGGGGCATTTTGAACTCAGGCTAAATTAGTCATTGGCTGATTCGTCACGATTACTTCGTCTTTATTCGAGATCTTACCATTCTAGACCAATCCAACCTACCGCCGTTTCGAAGAGCAACTGACGTCAGAACCCATGTGGCAGCGACATTAAATGCTGAAGAAATTTCCCCTTAAAATATTCAAAAATTAACATGGTGTCTCGGGGGCTTCTCTCCTCGTGTGGCCTTCTCCGGTGCACCAGAGTTTGGCTGGCCGCCGCGCTGCTCGGGGAAATGGCATGTGGGGGCCGGTCGCAAAAGCAAAAGGGTGAGGGCATCCGGCCGGCAGCGGTGCAAGACTCCCAAAAAGCGTCGGAGCTTTCAAAGTCATCAAAAATGCCATTCTCAGAAATTTTGACACTCCCCGTGACCGAAACTCAATCTTTTGCTTTGGGGACTACCTGAGGCAGGTCTAGGTATATATAATGCCAGGTGAAATTTTCTCGGTCTGTCAATGGACAGTTTGTATTCTGTACGAAACTGGGAACAGCGAATTGTGAAGAGCGGCGAGTGTCTCATTGTGCTAGCGCCTTCAGAATGACCCTCTATATGTCCTAATCGAGGGGGACAATTTCGTACAAGTCCGGCATGGTGTAGCGGTTAGCATACTCCGCTTTCATTGAAAGTCCCGGAGAGATCCGAGTTCGACTCTCGGTGTCGGAACGCCAATATTTTTGCATCGTTCAGTCTTGCGAACGACGAACTCTGATTTTGAGAGCTCTAACGTCCGCCGTGTTTAGAAGCAGTGTGAGAACGGCGATTTCAGAGCTGACAACTGATTGAGTGAAGTAAGTGTATCAGTAACTTTGACTCGGCATGCGGCATGCGTGGCGTTGGAGCGACACCACACTTTATTTCACAAAGCGGTTGGCTGGTTGTGTAGTTCCGTGCGCGTGTTGCCTAAATCAACATGAGAGTGAATGGGTGTATGTATGCCTTTCAATCTCGCTGCAGCTGCCTCGATTCAAGTACTGGAAAGAAGCACTTGTTTTTTCAAAGCTTCCGAAAATTCAAAAGAGTATTGGGACGGATAACCATGCATCAGCGTCGAGTTAAGCGTTCACTTTTGGAAGATGTCGATCTCCGAGTCTTTACAGGAAAACATCATTGGAATAAATAATAGACACTCGTTACGATACCTAAAAAATGCCACGGCTGGTGCAAGTTGATGTCCACGAAGAAATTTCTCACCAAGCAGCCCATTGTTCACTGGCAATGTCTCGTGTCCAACCCGCCATTATAGTTAGGAATCGAATTCGCATCAAGGTGTCCGAAAAAGTACCTGTGATACTCGTTGAACCCGTCTCCTTTCACCACCGTGTAGCATGACCCCCCTGTTCCGGGGTTGCCTTTGGCCGCAATCCTTCTCGCGCCCGGTATCTCGTCCTTGACGTCGACCGACATCTGGCAGTACTCAAAGTACCATTTTTGGCATTCGGCCACGAAGCACTTGTTGTGGCCACCCCTCAGGGGCTCTTTTCCAAAGAGATTATTGAAGACGTCGTACATGATGTTCAAGGCCTCCTGTTGCTCCCTTCGCCCCATGCGGTTGCACTTCCATTCGCTGCTCTGCCGCTTCTGCAGGTCTCTGGTCACCTGCATCTCGTGGGAGTCCCAGATCAGCGGGCTGGCGACGCTCCTTTCGAGACCGACGAGCGATACGGCAGGATCCTGGTGTTGAGCGTCTGCGGTCCTCTTCCACTCCTTGGTGGGCAAATTAATTGTAATAGCTCTTGCTTGCGCTTTGCCTTGGTACTCCACGCTTTTCTCGGCAAAGGCAGTGTTGTGGAAGGGATTGTTACTATTCATGCCGTCGTGGTGCGTCGTGCTGTAGGGTCCGTTGAGGATCTCTCCGGTTACGTCTTCGCCATCTCCATCGTAGTCGGCATCAGCGGACGCTTTCAGCCGGGGAGCACCAAGGGTTAGAGAGGCGGCTTGCAGCAGCAGCAGCAGGTAGATTTGAGGGAACATCTGATGATTAATGAGCAACGCCTCAACAGCCCCCAGTACTCGTCTTCGAACACGAACCATGGCTCTTAGTTTCCAGCAACTAGCTAGCAAAGGCATTCGAATTCAGTCGTCTCTGTTTTTGGTAGCGGCTGATAGGAGATAATTGCAGTGGGAAAGCTGGAATCGATGACAGAGCCTGGAGCCTGAAGCCTTATACGATACTCTCGACCAGGCAAGGGACCACTATTCGTCGCACCGCAGCTTCCAAGCTTGAAGCTCTGTCCCACGGTCGCAAGTCAAGATGGACAAAAGTCCTCATTTCGGACTGCTCAGGGTTGACGCAAGCGACCTTTCTTTCATCTGGATAGCGCGCCCGTGTTAGAACAATGGTGCATGGAAAAGTTCTTGGTGTAACTTGTAAAAGATGCACCCTAGATCGCTGCTGAGTTCCGATCCCTTTGGCGATATTAAATTTGCTGGCATTCCTACAATAGGCGTGGCTCACACAAACAAAGCTTTCCTGGGAGAAATACAACTTGAAAGAAATAAGAAAATGTGTATTGATGGTATCGACGGATACTCTTGTATCCAATGCGGCAATTCTTCCGCTGCTCTAAATCACAAGAACCACTACCCCCGAGCGCTGAGTGGCGCTTACGTCTATGTTCTAGGTACCCAGTCCTCTTTCTCGCTTTCCGGTGAGATACACCACTACATAGAGCGTACAATTCATCAAACCCAAGCTTTAGTTGTTGGGTATCAACTCTTCCTCCAATAACACCTCCAGCGCCTCTGAGCTGGCATTGGAACTCGGCTGCGGCGCCGATGCAGGTATAGGCTCGTAAGCCTCCTCGAGGAACACTGGACTCTTATCAGCAAGGGGGTTTCGCACAACACGAGAGCGGATTGAGAGAACTCACCACCCGGTCGCACCATAAAGCTGGCGAACAAAGCCAGGCCAAAAAGGGCTGCAAGGAGGACGAAGATGGCCTGATCAAAGACGCCGACCGTCGAGTAGTAGAGCGTGTTGAAGGCGATCGGGCCCAACACCCTCGAGAGAGCATGCAGGACGCCGATGGCGCCCAGCAGCTGCCCGACTTGATCCGCGGGCACATGCTTCGTGATGGCGGCCTGAATGGTCGCACTGCCGAGGCCGCCAAAAGCAGTGACCATGCCGGATAGCACGAACACGGCCTCGCTTCTCGCGAATAGGTATCCCAGGGAGCCGGTGACGTCCGAGAGCAGGGCGAAGCGGAGGATCCAGCAGTCAACGCTGTCGGCGCCATTATTCGCCTCGACGATGGAGACGCCCGAGACTCTCCTCCGGTAGGTGGCGGGTCGCACGCGGAAGATGTAGTTGACGAGCGGGAGGACGACGAGCAGGGCCACGACGCGGACCATGGATACGGCGGAAATGAAGCGGGAGCTCTCCAGGGTGCCCCAGCCCCACGTCTCGGGGGACTCGGAGTAGAGCAGGATGACGGTGCCGGCGCTCATAGCGGACCCAAGGAGAATCATGTCGGTAAAGGAGAGCGCGGCGATGTTGAGACGCAGCCTTGAGGAGGTGCCGGGTCCCGTGGGCCACAGAGTCCTGAGCGGGGCCAGGGGGTTTGCCGCCTTGATCGTCGACCACGCTCCGTCTCCTGCCTTGGCCTCCTTCTCTTGGTCATGCTTCTCGCGGGCGCGAAGCTGACGCTTCACGGTGAGGGACTCAGGGACAATGAATCCGACGAAAATAATGAAGTAAATGTGACATCCCAAGGTAACATAGAAGACTGAGAGTAAGTTGCCAGTCCAGGCGGCCAGATAGCCGGTCAAGAGGGGACCGAAGGCGAGCCCGCTGAAGAGGCAGGCGTGGAGATATCCTATGCGCACACCACGCTGAGACGGCGCGGTGCAGTCACTGGTGTAGGAGTTGATGAGGACGCTGCCTGCGGTGAAGGATCCAGTGATGCCATCGGCGACGGCACCGAAGAGCAGCCAGTTGTAGTGGAACGTCCAGGGGAAGTTGGCGCACAGGATGACGACAAGCTCGGCCACGACACCACCGCAGGATGCCAAAGCCAGAAGTTTCCGACGGCCGTAACGATCCGAAAGCTGGCCCAACTTCGGTGCGGTGATTGCAGAGAGAATGCCCGTGATCAGGTTGATGGCTAGGGTGAACATGGATACGCGCTTCTTGACCTCGGGGATGAGGCATTGCGGGTTGTCCGCGCCAAGTATCACGGGAGTGAAGGCGAATGCCGGATCCAACACCGTCTGGTCGGCAAAGTGTCGTTGGCATACCAGGTCGACAATTCTATGTTCGCACACGAATTAGCGATTGCGATCGGCCGCCGAGACAGCACAAAAACGTTTACATACAGGTTCAACTTGGGCACCAGAGAGCCTCCAAAGGCCAGCGTGAAGAGAACATAGGGGACGAGAAGCCAGTAGACCTGGCGCACAGAGAGTCAGCACGGGCTTAGCATCACAAGTAGGCCCAAAGGCCCGAGCCGGACAGAAAGAATCCTACAGAGGGAGTCCTCCACCACGGCAAGCCTTCAAAATCCGCATAACCCGGCCATGTATCTTCGCAGGAGCTATCGCCGTCGCGAGCGCCTGCGCTCAACAGCGATGTTGTCTCTGTTGCCTCGTTTATGGGCTTCCCGTGGACGTCCTGGTCCACCTGGGTGACTATGATGTCGTCTTTTGGCGCCGACATTTTTGGTGATTTTGTGTTGTTGCTCGTGCGCTGTGTCGGGTTCGTATGTGATATGCTTGGTGTAGAGCAACTCACAACTGTCGCAAGTAGATTCCAAAGGCCCTTTTCAAGCTTTGGATCCGACAAGTAACAAGCCACCCAGGTCCGGTCTGGGTGTATGGGTGTTTTTGAGAGCTTTGTCGTCGAGCGTTGGAGTTATATTCTGTTCTGAGTTGGGTCGTTGGGGGCAGACGCGGTAAGATGTATAGAGCGACACTGCCACGATTATATTCCTGCACGATCGTGTCCGAGGTACACAGCAGTTGGACGCCACTCCGAGAGTAGAACTGTCAAGCCGGAAGACGGTCCAGAGCTGCAGAGATAGAGGGGCATATGAGCAAAGGGAGTGCTCTGCTCGGCGCAACGAGAGTGGGAATGGGAAAAGAAATAGAAATCCGAGCTACGTAGCAGGGGACCGGGGGTCGCTGCCCACATCAAGAGATAAGGCGGGTGTGGGACAGCGATGGACGCTGATGAAATCGAGCCAAGGGCCCGGGCGAGCGAGAGACAAACCAGCAAGGGGGGGCGGCTTCGACGACGGGTGTGGAATAAAGTGGGATGGACCTAGGATGGGAATGGGATGGGATGTGTCGTGGAATGGGACACGCCCCCCCGGACATAGATCATACATAGTAATGTTCACTTCAGAAAGCGGAAGGTCATAGCATCCAAGGCGCCAGTGGTTCCTATTGGAGCAGCGTTGGGACGTTGACATGAAGAGGGCAGAGCAACGCACCGTCCGCCGCCCGTAACGGCCTAAACACGTTTCGGTTGGGGGGCGTTGGACTGACGGGGAACTCGGGATTCTGATAGAGACGGCGAGGTCCATCATATTGCGGTCATGTCTGAGAGTTTGTGAGTTGTATCGGGTGGGTGGGATAGGCCCAGCGAGGCCTGGAAGACGGCAGTGATTTGCCTGTAAATCTTCGTAGAGGAAAGAAACAGGCAGGTGAGTCAGGGACTCGGGGAGAGATTGGCTGAGACTGAGAGGCAGACTTGAGAGAGAAGAGGAGAAAAAGGTGACGACAAGACAAGACGATAGGACGCTCCCTTCCGCGGGTTGAGTAGCAACCCTCTCGCGTGCCTGCCGGACTTAAGAGTGACCCGTGTGAGTGAACCAATCTCGTGGGATAGAAGGTGCATGAGTTGGCGTAGGCCAGGCATATCCATGACGCAGTTTCGCAGGTCGATGGGCGATAAGGGGGGGGCCACACCACTCCAGCCACAACCCAGATCTGTCAGGGTCGCCGTTGCCGTGGGGGGAAGGGCTCTCCTGTTAAGTATAGAAAAGTCCGCCAGCCCAATCAAGGTTGTAGCTACCTAGCGCTGGAGGTGATTTCTAAGCTTGAGCCATTCCCGCGCGGGCACTTTGCACTAAGGTAAGTGCCCCAAATCTCCAACACACTCAAACTCCGCAGAGCGTATTTGGATAGAGTACTAGTACCAGCGCCCACCTGCTCGCCAAAGACTTGTTGACATTCGGACTGTCAACTCGTGCGTAGCGTGGTTGTTGTCGCAGTTCAGCAGGCTCAAAGTGTCCGAATCCCGGGTTATCAAAGACAAGAGACAGACTCGCTCGCCCCCGCGGTGCCACGTAGTTGTACAAAATGTGTCGTTGTTACCCAAAGGACTCGCCCGTATTTTCCACCTCCTCTCATCAATACAACTGGACGCCAGCACAAACCTTGATGCCCAAAATGGCAACATAGCAGCCTATTGTAATTTGTCCAACACATCTCGACAAGGTCCGGTGGTCGGCATGTTTTGCGCACCGATGGCGGACCGGTCCCGCGGAACCACTGTCCTGGAAGACGCCACGCTCCTCAACCACTTTAGTGAAAGTTTGCCCTGCTTGATCCCCCCTCTCTTCGCTGGCCTGGACAGGTCGGCCGGTTTCGTCTTGTCGTTGTCGCCATTACATTCCGGCTTCCGATTCGGTGCCCCCTCTTAGGACGATCCGAGAGCGACTGGTAATGGATGAATAATCCCATCTGCGACTTGAGAATGTGTTTGCCGCTGTCCGACGGCATATCCCCTGACTTCCGCGAGGGTGCGCTGTCTGTCGGGGCAGCCACTTTTAATTGTCAGACGGCGTTTTGCGCAGCGACAACGTGCTGCCATTGCCTTCCCTGCATGTGCTTGCTGCTGTTTGGATTACCTGCTGCCGTCTTCCGCGGTGCCTGACAACCAGGAACAGCTTTGTTGGAAAAGCATAAGTGGCAGTCTGCGCAAACCCCGCCCAACCGCAGGGACCCTAGGCCAACGCCACATTGCAAAGCATATGCTCAAAGCTCGTCACTAACAATTCTTTTCCCAGAATATTGCCTGTGATGTGCCGCATCCTGTTCCCAGTCACAGACGAACCCCCTCTCTTTAAAAGTTTCGACTCAACAGGACGCGTGGATGCTACTATGCCTCGGCAGCAGAATCAGGAAAGTGAGGGGTTGACAAGCTGAGTTCATGAATCCGGTTGTTCTTATCAATCTGTTAGTGGAGTTTCGCCGCCAATCACTGCCAAACTCCATGCACCCTCACCTTGTGTCGTCGTAATTGACTTCGATCCATGCTCGCACGACATGCTTTGGCAGGGCAGTACTATGGATGATGTTTTAACTTCCGGTTTGAAACCCGGGCTTTGGAAGAATACCGTCATGATCTAGCATTAGAAGAATCCAGGAATGGTGTCTCGGACCAACAAGAAATGCGATTGCTGGAATCGACATTATCATACTTTGGCTGAAAACATTGTGTCAAGAAGCCATGCCGTTTGGCTCTCAAAGTGTCGATGGAGAGGCCCTTGTATCGGTGACCCTGTCAGGCTTTCGCTTCGGATTGTCTAGAGCGATGGATTCGTTTCACCGACTACACCGAGAAGATCGAGGTGTACTTCGGTGAGCTGCATTAGGACCTTGACGTGCAACCAATCACCGCCACTCTCTGAAGCTGACTAAGACATGCCGAGCCGACTACAGCCTTGTGTACCCATCCTTCACGATTGGCCTTGCATTAATTTCTTTCGCGCAACGCCCTGGCGAAGGGGACTTTCGACAATCACAACTCGCGCCGCTCGCCCGAATTCTTCAATCCTATTCGCCATCATGGGCGTCGTCAAGGGAGGCGTTTGGACCAATATTGAGGATGAAATCCTCAAAGCCTCCGTGTCCAAATATGGTCTGAACCAGTGGGCGCGTGTCTCGTCACTGCTCGCGCGCAAGACCCCGAAGCAGTGCAAGGCAAGATGGAACGAATGGCTGGACCCGAGCATCAAGAAAACCGAATGGAGCAAGGAGGAGGACGAGAAGCTTCTGCACCTCGCCAAGCTTATGCCGACGCAATGGCGCACCATCGCACCTGCTGTCGGCCGAACCGCCAATCAGTGTCTCGAGCGATACCAGAAGCTCCTCGACGAAGCCGAAGCAAGAGAAGCTGGCCAATTCAGTCTCACGGGTGTTGATGGTGGCGAAGCATCGGCCCCTAGCGCCGACGATGTGAGACGACTACGCCCCGGCGAGGTCGACCCCGACCCAGAGAGCAAGCCCGCTCGACCCGACACGATCGATCTCGACGAGGATGAGAAGGAAATGTTAAGCGAAGCTCGCGCGCGTCTGGCCAACACACAGGGAAAGAAGGCGAAGAGAAAGGCCAGAGAACGTCAGCAGGAGGAGTCGCGCCGTTTGGCTGCGTTGCAGAAGCGACGCGAGCTGAAAACGGCCGGCATTAACATCAAAGTCGTTACTCGCAAGAAAGGCCAGATGGATTACAATGCCGATATTCCTTTCGAGAAAAAGGCCGCCCCGGGATTCTACGACACCGCTGAAGAGCAGGTCCGGAATGAACACCAGCGTGAGGCGTTCGATCCAAGAAAGCAACAACTCGCGAGTAAGCGCAAGGGAGATGGCGACGATGATGGGGAAAACAAGAGGAGGAAGAAGGAAAAGGAGGCACCCTCCGCATCGTTTCAGGCTGCCGTGAAGGCAGGCCAGATGCAGAAGATCAGAGAGGCCGAGCAGAGCAGCAAGAGAAGGGCGCTGAATCTGCCAGCTCCTCAGGTGAGCGAGGGTGAGTTGGAGGAGATTGTCAAGATGGGCATGATGGGTGAGAGGGCAAGCATGATGGCACGTCAAAGCGAAAACGATGCAACCCGTGGCTTAATCAGCGAATACTCGACCTTGAACAACAACGCCCCGATCCGAACGCCTCGAGCTCCCGCCCAGGAAGACCATATCGCGAACGAGATACGGAATATCAGAGCCTTGACGAACACCCAGTCTTCATTACTTGGTGGCGAAAATACTCCGCTACACGAAGGATCCGAGTCGACTGGCTTCGATGGCGTCGCCCCCCGCAAGCAAGTGGTTGCGACACCAAACCCTCTGGCAACACCAATGCACACAGGCAGCGTTGGCCAAACACCAGCACGCGTTGGACAGACTCCGATGAGGACGCCTCGCGACAGCTTCGCATTGAATGCCGACGGCAGCCAAGCTCTCGTTTCGGCGACACCGCGAGATGTTAAGATGCGAGAAATGGCCCTGCGCAGCCAGTTGAGACAAGGTCTCGCATCTTTGCCCAGGCCCAAAGATACCGAATGGGAGCTTGAACTTCCTGAAGATCAAAAGGACGTTGCTTCAAATGAGGATCAGTTGATGGAAGATGCTGGAGAGAGGGATCGCCGGGAACGCGAGTTCAAGGCAGCACAAGAAGCACTGGAGGCGCGGAGACGAACACAGGTCATGCAGAGACATCTGCCTCGCCCGCTCAAAGTGGATGTCTCGGCTCTGCTTTCGAATGCCGAGACTATCCAGGGCACTGCTGAAGCACTCATTGCTCGAGAGGCTGCTGCTTTGGTCGCCAATGATGCTGTCAAGTATCCTGTACCCGGCTGCAGGGTCAGTGGCACAGCCCCTCGGCTGGACACCATCAGCGACGATGACCTGGCAGAGGCACGTCGCCAGATTCTATCAGAGACCAAGCCGAGGCCGTCGTCAGCCGACATTCAAGCTTCGATCGAGGCCCGGAGCAAGACGTCTTTGCTTTTAGGTCTGGGATGCTATGGCGATGATGAAGAGGAAGAGGAGGCAGCTATGAAAAACGCTTTCGATGTAAGAGACGTCACAGAGTTAACCCTTTTGTGCTTTCGCTAATCCTTATCATACATAGTCTATCCAAGATTCCATCTCCAGCACCGCTGAGGAGGGTATCAAGCTCGAGAAGAAGTTGGGTCTACACCTGGGTGGATATCAGAAGCGACAAAAGATGCTCAAAGACAAGATTGGCGAGGCCGCCGAGGCGCTGGAGAAGGCCAACAACGCCCTCAGCGGTTTCAAGACGCTTGCCATTTCGGAGGAGGTTGCGATTCAACGGCGTCTGAGTGCTCTGAGGGAAGAAGTCGGGTTTGTCAGTAGGAGAGAACGCGAGGCGCAGGAGCTCTACCGCAAGACAAAGGATGAACTGGATGCGCTGCGGGTTAATGGGATGAATGGTCACTACTGAAGGGGCGTGTATTATAACGGGCGACGAAAAGGTGCTATCCGGCTTGGAACAAGGCAGAAATTGAAGCTGTATGATGTGGGTCGCGAAAGATTTCGCTGGAATGCTAAAGCGCCTGGTGCCACACAATGCTATATACCATGATGAACGACAATTTTTCCTGATTTATACCACTGATGTACATGACTACTTATTACTGACCTCATTTTCTCGCACCCAGTCTGGGCAACTTGATGGGGACGAGCAGCGCCACCGAAAGGAGGGCAATCACCGTGCAGCACAGGAACGTCGCCCTCAAAGCCGCCTCGTAACTCATGACGACCTGATCACGGTACACCGCCGGCAGCTTCACGATGGACTCGACGCTCTCCCTCACCTTGCGAATCACCTCGTCCTTCTCGGGCCCTTGGACGTACTCGCTCAGGTACCCCACCAGCGTATTCTGTAGGACGAGACTACTACTCGCGACGCCGAGGACCATGCCGAGCGAGCGCCATAGGATGAGGGTACTCGTGACGACGGCCTGCTCGCGCTGGTCGCTGGCGGCGAGCACGGCCATGAATGAACCAGGGAACTGCAAGCCTTGGCCGATGGAGAAAGGGACGAGGCAGAGAAGGTAGACCCATGATGGCCAGCCGCGGCGCATGAGGGCGAGGGTGAGGGTGCCGACGAGGAGGCCGATGGCGCCGGTGAGCGGGGGCCATTTTAGGCGGCGGGTGTAGGTTATGAGAAAGCCTGTTGCTGTGCCGACTATGGAGGAGACAATGGAGGGGAGGACGAGGCGGAGGCCGGACGAGGTTGCTGTTGTGAGGAGGACCGCTTGGAAGAAAAGGGGGCTTTTTGTTTTTAACTTGGTGTTAGATTTTGATTCTTTTTGTAGATAAGAGAGATTCTTGTTGATGCTGAATGCAGGGGACTGTGGCTGTTGCGAGGACGTATCGGAGGGCAACGAGACTTACATGTTGAAGATGATGGCGTTGCTGAGAAGAGCCGCGATGAAGTTTGAGAAGATGAGGTTCATTCGGGGCGAACGGCGAATGAGGTAGAGAGGCATGATTGGGCGGCTGACGTAGGACTGAACGTAGAGGAAGACAGGGAAGCAGACGCCAAAGATGGCTAGAGATGCGATTACGAGGGGATGGGACCCTGGGATCTTGTCAGCTCACTATCCCGAGACGTGGACGCTTACTTCATGAGTGATTTGAGAGGCTTACAAGGCAGGATATTTCCTCCCAGGTTCTACAACATCGTACAACGTTAGATCAAAGCTGACAACAGCCAGGGGCACAGGCACTGCGTAACACAGCCATGTGCCATCGGATAGGGTGAGGTCATAGGTACTTACAAGACCGAGGACGAAGAAGGTGATGGCCGTGGTCAGGAGGATTGAGCCCTTGAAGTCGAAAGCCTTGAGGGCCTCGAAGAAGCTCTCCCGTTTGCCGGTCATGCCCAGGTCGCTGGGGACGGCGATCACGGCAATGATGCAGCAGATAATGAGGGGCGGGACCTGGATGCCGAACTCCCACCGCCAACCGAGGTGGTCGGCCATGGCGCCGCCGAGGGCTGCGCCCAGGGCGGATCCGACGCCGTAGATCATGTTGATGTAGGATTGGTATGCGCCGCGGTTCCTGTTTCACCTACTATTAGCTTTGCAAGTCTCTCTTACAGTGGGTAGTTCCCCTGTTGTGTGAAGAATGGACACGTCTATGTACGTCCTATAAGGCGCAAAAGAAGGAGACTAGAAGGCATTTGAGAAGAAGACTCACTCAATCGGGACCAAATCGCTGACAATAATACTGCCCAAAGTCATCATTCCGCCGGCGCCGAGACCGCACGCCGCCCTAGCGAGGATGAAGCTCGTCATGCTCTGGGCGAGCGCGCACCACACCGTCGCGACGCAAAAGATCACCATGGTGGCGACGTACGGCGGCTTCCGGCCGACGCTGTCAGACAGCCTCCCCAAGATGGGCTGGAACGCCGAGGAAGTCAGCAAAAAGGCCGTGGACAGCCACGAGGCGCTGTTGGAGGCGTGGAAGTAGGACGTGATGACGGGATGGGAGGAGGCCATGATTGTGCCGTCGAAGCAGGCGATGAAGTAGGTGAGCAGGATCTCGGCAAAGATGAACCAGAAGCGGGAGCGGGAGATGCCGTTCAGGTAGGGCGTCGAGGCGACGCTGCTGCTGATGGAGACGGCATCGTCATTGTCTAGGTAGTCGTCGACGGCGGCGACTCCGGTCACGGAGGCGCGATCGGAGCGGCTTGCGAGCGATGGCCGGCGGGGTTTGGAGGCCGTGCTGTAGCGCCGGGGCCCGCGGAGGAGTGGGTTTACCGTCGACTCGGGTTCGAGGAAGGGTCCTGAGGAGGGGATGGACCTGGAGAGGAGGAGGTCGAACTCGTTTGGCGGGATGGCGTTTTCGTCTTGCGGGGCGATGGGGAGAGGGGTCGTGGGCTCGTCGACGTGGAGGAGAGGTGTGCGCTCGTCTGTGCGTGTGGTGGAATGTCCGTTTGACGAAGACGGCGCCGGGTTGTTCTTCCGGGGTGCCATTGCGAAGGATACGCAGAGGAACTAGGGTGGCATTCAATTTCACGATGGGACGGCGGGAGATCTGCTCATGAATCAGTCTTCCGTGGGGCTTGGGAGCATCAAGGGCCGGAGGTAAGGAAAAGCTTACTCAAGATCCAGATCTAATCGTCTGATCACAGTATTGCAGATGGACCGCGCGCAAAACGTCCGGTTTAACGACCCTGTTGCAGTTCACAATTGTTGTTCGATCTCAAAGGATTGCGTCCCAGAAAACACGATTCAATGACATGGGTGACATATACCAAGCATATGTCATGAGTCAAGACAAGAGGCAAGACGAGAGAGAGGAGGAGACTGGAGATAGATCGAGAGAAAGAGGTGAAGCTGGGAAGAGAATTCCGCATTGAGATGGGACGCGAGCGCGAGGAAGGCACGCCTTTTTCTGCTCGGCCAGCCAGGTCCGGGGGCCGTTGACTCAATGGATCGGTGTACGGATACTTCGTAATACCTTTTACTATTGGGTCCGCCGTTGCCTTGTTTCCCAAGGGACTCGCATAATGCAGAGCAAACCTCCGTACCTTGTGGGAAAGAGTACATGGCCAGCCACCGCGCTGCGGCATCGCTCCCGCCTACCTTACCGCTTACCACCCGGTCACGGCCCCGGCCTTTGCGCGCTGGCAAGCTCAGTTTGCCGGGCCTGGTGACTCGTTTTCCAACAGTCAGCACCTGCGTCGGGTCTCCTGCCTTACCTTCAACCCCCGACCCCTTCATCTGCATTACATACATGGACCTCTTACGACCATGTACATAAAGGGCGTCGAACTTAGAGGCCCCTATCCAAGTCCCCTATTTCTCATCCTCACCGAGGGCCTCAAAAATTCTGTCATTGCCAATCACGCAATAGCGGGTATGCAAAGGCGGCAGAAGCGTCTGCCGCGGAGTCATGCCGAGATGCGTCGCTTACCTTAGCATGAACGAAGACCGCCCATTGTCCAGCGGGAAGAGACTTAAATCGCCCACTTCCCCAACTATGCCTTTGCTTTTTCAGCTGCAGAGCGCCAGAGCGGCGTTTTTGTAGTGGGCCGAAGAATCTTATCCCAGGGTGGGGGTTCCTTCCATCCCGGCCAGCGGGGCCCCCCGTTCCGGTGCCGGATGTTGGAGCCGACCCGATTTGGTATTCCAGACCTACCTATCTGTACCTAACCAGTGCCTACCGACATTCGCTTCTCTGCTCAGCCGTTCTATCCAACAGTGTAATACCTCTCTTTCTTCTTGTGTTCTTACAATCTAGCAACGTTATGCTGTTTCGCGCTCGTTATTGGGGCTCATGCGCCAGCTTTAGCCTACAACCGCAGTATTGGAAGACAATCAAGATCATGTCGTACATGTGCTACCGTTTCGCCTTTCTGTGTAACCTCAAATTCCCGGTTAGAGCTCCCTCTATACTGAGTCTTGTACACGTTTCGAGAGAGAATCACCGAGTTCGATGTCGCACAGATCCGTGTATATCCCCGGCGGGAAACATTCGGAGCCTGGGGGTGTTTGAGGGTCTCTGCAGGCTGCCAGTAACCGGGCTAGTTTCCATGGAGAAAGGGTGTATGCAATCTTCCGCAAATCAAATTACTCAGGTTTTTCTACTTTACCCAATTAGAATAGGTCCGTTTTCTTTCGCTTTTTCGAGCCCAACGTGGGTTTGAGCTTCCAAGCCGAAGCCGATGATGGGAGCCGAAGCCGAACATTTTGGTCCCTGTCCAGAAAATCGTATTCGGATAAACCAGCAATGTCTCGCCCTGAGAGAATCTTGAAACAGAACATGCTCATGACGGCTGGACCTTCATAACTTCCACGAAATTTCTCGTTTCTTTACGGGTAAGTACATGCAATATTCGAATTCGCTTAGGTCATGGATCCTTTTTGTTGGAAACCGTGGTGGAAACCGCAGTGGCCTGTTCTGCAAGAGAATCCGAACAAGGTAACGGGCAAAGACTCAAGAGCGCCATGCTGCGAGACCTCTACATTAACCAAGAGCAGTCTTTCGATAGGGTATCTATGGTTTTGATCCAACGGCGTCGTCCCAAGGGATTTAGTTTGCGGCAAGCGTTCACGGCATTCGATAGTAGCCTCCTACTACTTGAGAAGATGACATGTATCCTGGCTTCGGCATCGTGGCTCAGGCTCATTCACCTTCCATTTCAGATTCGTACCAATCGTATAACGAGACAGGATAATCCTCCACCGTTCCAATCTTGTCGACCAGATTCTTGTTGAGCATTCGCAAGAATAGTCTGTCATTGGTGTCGCCTTCATAATCGTCTGTCCAAATGTCGTTATAATTCTCCCACGGCCTGTTGTTGTGCTCGTACCGTGGATGGTTGGAAAAGTAGGTGAGCTGCTCCGCTCGAAAGAGCTCGAGGCCGGGGCAGTTCGTCCTCAGATGCGCAAAAACATCTTCCCAGTTCCCTCCGTCCCAGTGGATCTTGATGTCGTCCAAGTTGACTCGGCGGATGACTGAGTCTTGTTTCGATAACGGGGCAGCCGACAACAGTTGTAGAAGCGACGGTACGTTTGCCCAAAGTCGGCGGAGGGAGAGATTACGCAGATTCTTAGTCCCGAATTTGGGACTTTCCCACTGCAGAATGTCCAGGTTGAGGTAGTGTGTCGCCTCGATGCCAAGGGACTCGAGGTTGGGGCAAGATGCCACAAAGGCCCAGAGTGCATCCTGATGTTCTCTGTTGGGATAGGCTACTTGGGCGTTGCTTGGCGCGACGGATCCCAGAATAGTCGTCCTATCGCCATCGTTGTTCTCCTCCTCCGTCCTGGTGTATTCTGCGCTTCCACTCGGTCCCGTCTCATCGACGATGACCAAACGCAGCTGCCTAAGGCGATCCCTGGCATCTTGAGACAAGGCGCCAGCCAATTGGCCAACATGCCACGTAGAAGGCACCGCTAAGCTGAGATCTGCCAAATGCTGGAAAGCCGGGCTGGCGAGGCCATATCTGATTGTAGCCAAAATCTCATCCAAGCCTTGCATATCGTAACACTGAGCCATGAGATCATGTTTGCTCACGGCCCCGGGAAAAGTGATGCTGAAGCGCTCAATGCGTTTGACGTTGTCAAGAAGGCGTCGAAGGAGCGCATGTTCGTCGCTCTTCCCGTAATGTAGCTCATGTTTGAAACGCGCTGGGGCCGAAGTCCACCAATCTGCGGTCCTGAGTTTGTCGACATAGGAGTTCAAGATAATGTAGTCATCATCGACATCCTGGCCTTCGAATCTGTACGAGCCTTGGTCAGTCGTTCGTTTTAGTATTGGTAGTGAGTGAAACTTGAGGATAGGCTAGCATTTTGCAAATTCCTGAAGCGCTTTGGATTGAGTGGCGGAGAAATTCATCTTACTTCTCATAGTCGTACGAGTAGAGCCGCGAAAAAGTGCGTAGGTCATCCAGGTCGTCGATGCTGAGATTCCTGATCCACCTGCTAGGACCGCCATCGGGCGCATCACAGAGTTGGATGAAAAGTTTAAGGCGGCTCCTATTGTCAAAGGGGATATTCCACCATGCATGCTTCTGCAGTATCCTGCACACGGAGAAGTTCCATTGGCGAGAGACCAGGCGCAGTCTCGAGAAGCTGCCCCCGGTGCTCGGCAATTTTTCCCGATTGAACTTGATCGAACGGCCAGAGCCAACTTTGTAGCGTGGATCGACAAGACTCTTCCCGGAGGTTGACGTGAATGATGTCCATTCATCCATGGATGTGATGCCGCGGACCTTTCTCAGCGGTTCATATACCACCAATCCAGCAAGAATCTATCCAAGGCGAAGAATCAGCGGAATGCACTTAGCCATGAAGGATCCAACGAACCTGGTCAAGAATTTCGAGAGGAAATTCCATGATGCTTGATATATCCTTACTACATCATTGAAGTGCGGAAAAGCGATCAGGAAGGAGGCGGATGGTTTTCCACATCTTGAGTGGTAAGGTGGTGAGTTGTAGTTGCTTTCCCCTGGATAGGCAGCAGCAGCCGTCGGAGGGTCAAGCTTAGCGCAAAATCAGGGATCTGGCCGCCATGGGATTAGTCAGACGTCCTGCAGAAAGAACGGAAGGGTCAATCACTTACCAGTTTCCACGGGATACCTCACAACATCAATCTTTCCGACTTCATAATCTCATCCTGCCGACACCTACTGCGACTCAGCGAAGGACTTTGTTAATATATATGGACCATGAACTGTGTTTTCGTCCATTTCAAGATACCCACAGAAGCTGAAGGCCCAAGCAGAGGGGCAGCTGGGAGGGACTCTGGACGAAACTAATAGTGTTGTCCAAGAGTTTGATTCATGAGCCAACTCAGCCCGTCGAACCTAGAGATCACTTCTGATACGTTCGTCTCTCATTGATTTGTTTCGTAAAATTCATCGAGGACAAAGTAATGTTGCCAGTGCTGGGTGGAAGTCTACAAAGGCTGAGCGGCCACATTTCTGGGCCGTTATCAAGTCTAAACATGTGACTGACTGTTCCTGATATGTGCAAGAAGAATGTTTAGTGAACCAAAATTACAAGGGGCTTTGGTATCTGCGCCTAGATTGATCACGACTAATACAGATTGCTATCAGTGCAACTTAATCTCCGACGTATTAAAGCTTTGAATCATGATCAAAGCTATTCTCAGATTAGATGATCGCCCAACTTTGACATTTCTATCTGCTTTCTGGGTATAAACCGCTGAACATGCTGAGATTTCTGACTCGTGAAACGTGCCGTGGCGCCTGGAACACTCAGCATGAAAATAAGTTATCACATTTCTCATGATCACAGACAAAATAGAATATTTTGAAACTTTCTGTCTGTACTTAAAGATCAAGTCGAATAGAAGCATATCAGGAGCTGTTAATAAGACGCCAAATTTTGGCATCACTGCGATGCCACTCAGCAATGCTTCGAGCAGTTGACGTCCATCTATCGTGTCATCGAATTTAATATTTTCCAAAGAACCAATGATGGCTGATGCCAATTCAAGAAGCTTTCCGACCGAACTCTAGGTCAGAGGATAAAGAGTTGTATTTTTTGACACATCGACACCCTAGGTACGTAAGATTGCAAAAGTTGGCATGGGACTTGAAGCTGGATAAGTTGTCATGTGGTTGCCTTAGGTACCTCATGCAAGCGATCACAGGTGGGGGACATCCGGCATAACGTACCCACTTTAACAAGGTCATGCGCTTAGTCATCGCATCGCGAATCTGCGAACCGATCTCAACCGATACCAAGTTTTGCCGTCTTGAATCTCATCCAGAATATTTTACCTGCAGGGGACGATGAAAAGCAGTATACAATGACACGACGTCTCGATGACGGCACAACAGCATACGACCCATTCACAGGCGTCCTACCCGTTCTACCGCCAGATGCGCAGCTGCCAGATAAGAAGCCGCGCAGCAACGCCGCAACCGCAGCTTCGGCCGCCGGCGTGCGAGCCTTGAGCGCCCAGGCCATCGCCTTCTACTTCCGAGCTCCGGTGAAGGCCTTCTTCCGCACTCGTGTCGACTACCTCGCTTACGCGCGCAGTGTGCATCAAGCCCAGATTGAGCTGCTTGCACAGGCCGCTGCGAAGGAGCCCTCGACCAAGCTGAAAGCGACCCTGAACCAGGCATGGTTCTATCTAAGGGGCACGACGCCAGGCGTGCTCACTTCAGCGGTGAGGCAGCACGGCTGGAGCGTGCTTCCTAATCAAGTCTTGCCGCCGCTCATCGCAAACGTGGGTGTCGGAGCTGTGTTGTACACCAGCTACCTCACAATCCTTGGCAACCTGCATGAAGAGAGCGGCAGGGCGACAAAGACCGTCTACCCACCACCACACCCGACTCAAACCTTTACCGCTGGACTTCTCGCCGGAAGTCTCCAGAGTGTCATCGCAGCACCACTAGACGCCATCCAAGCTCGATATGACCATCGCGACCTCATGCCTACAGAAGGCGGGAAACCAAGGAGCATGTGGGCCTTCAGTGCCGAGAAGCTGAGGGAGATTGGTGTGCGTGGCATCTTTGCGGGATGGGGGTTGTCTCTCATGAAGGACAGTTTCGGTGCCGCCGTGTTCTTCAGCGTTTTCGAATACGTCAAGGCTCAGGGGTACTACCGCTTCGTCTCATGGTACTATGGCGGACTCGAAGAACACATTGTTGACTTCATGGCCCAAAAACGACCGGCAAAGAAGGGCAAACCAGAAGACGACGAAAAGCAGCCCCTTATCATCCGACCGCATTACGCCATAGAGCCCATCTTCTTGCTCCTCGGAGGCCTCAGCGCCTCCTTTGCCCAACAGGTTCTTCTTCATCCCTTGACTCACGTGCAAGTGGAGCACTGGGATCGCCTGGAAGAACTCGACGCCAAGGCAGCGAAACTGAGGGAGGCCAAGGGGGCCGACCCAACGCAACGAAGAGACGGATGGAGGATGACGAGAGCTTACTACCGGGCTTATAAAGAGACCTGGTCGGAATGCTGCGCAGAGGCCGCAAAGGAAGGATTAGGAGTGAGGAAGTGGCTGTGGCGGGGTTTCTGGTGGAACGCTATCCGCCAAGTCCCCAGCACGAGTGCTGGGTTGATCATTTTCGAATTGGTGCGACGAAAGTACGGCCTCGGCAACGAGGAGGTTCGCATTATGGGAGATGGGTACGATATCCTACTAAACTAGAGCATATGGCGCGCGTGCGGGCGTTTGGAGGTTGAATTTTGGTTTTCTCGACTCCATTGGGCATTTATATAAATCAAACCTCGAGACTTTTCTTATGCTTTCAATACACTGATTCCATCTTAAGCTTATTGCCGAGACCATTGTACGGATTCGTATGTGAGGCTTACATGCAAGATACATGCAAGTCTATGGCTGGTGTGTGGCTAACACCTTCGGGTAAACATTTCCTGGAACTCCTGATGGAGCAATAAGCGTCCATTTTTGCCTCCAAAACCTGGAGAAGTGGAGAAGACATGTTCATTTGATAACCACCGATGACGTCGGGACACCATGCGGCTTAGGAAAGTTCATGTCTCAAGGACGCACCATCTCCCCTCTTTGTCTTCCTAACGTCGTTGCGTAGGCAAACCACAAAAGTTAAAACCTTTAAATCGACAAAATGACCGCCATTCCAGAATCGGACAATGTTGTTCGCGTCAAACTTGTCGACACGACAACTGCAATGGTCGGCGTGGCCGAGTCCTTCGTCCAACCGGTCGTCAAGGGGCATGAGGTCATCAATTTCTGCTCATTGGCTTTCCTCCTGGAGCATGAGAAGCTTGGTAAAAAAGCAATGTTCGATCTTGGAGTCCGGAAAGACTATTGGAACCTGCCCAAGGGTGTCCAACAAGGGGTGCTGGGACCAGATAGCGTGATCTTTGGCATGAGTGTGCCAAAGGGCATTGATGAGGTCTTGACGGATGGGGGAGTAGATCCAAAGTCGATAGGTAAGAATCTGTTATCCTCTGGTCTAGAATTCAAGAGCCGTCTCTTACAGGAAAGAAAACAGACTACTGCATCTGGTCTCACGCCCACTTTGATCACCGCGGAGACGTATCCGTCTTTCCCAAATCAACAACATTGGTCACGGGGCCCGGGTACTTCTCGTCGAAAGGCAGGCCCGGGGGGAGAGATGATCCACAGGCGGCAGCAGAGTTTGAAGGCCGGCCGCTCGAGGAAGCCAACTTTGACAAAGACCTGATGGTAGGCAAGTTCAAAGCCCAGGATTTCTTCGGCGACGGTTCTTTCTACCTGCTCGAGGCTCCCGGGCATCAGCCGGAGCATATATGCGCTCTCGCCCGGACGACGCCGTCTTCGTCCCCCGAGGGAGCCACGTTTATGTTTCTGGGCGGCGACATTTGCCATTTCGCAGGTGTGTTCCGGCCGTCCGAGGAGACTCCGCTCCCGGATGGCATTCCCGCTTCGGCCATTGCTTTACGTAGAGACTGGGCGTCCAAGGCCGTGTGCCCATGCTCCCACTTTACCCCTCACCATCCCAACGCGTCCGATGAGAAATTGGGGCGAATCACGCCATGGTACGAGCTACCTCGTGGAGGGAAGCATCCTGTCTACACAGATATCGATCTGGCCACAGAGTCGGTTGCAAAGATGCGGGAGTTGGATATCAAGGACAACGTAATGGTTTGCATCGCCCACGACGCGAGTTTGCTGGACGTGTTGCCGGTGTTCAACAGGCAGCCAGATAAGGACATTAATGATTGGAAGACGAATGGTTGGAAGGCGACGACTTACTGGAGCTGGTTGAACGAAGTGTCTGTGGACGGTAAGACGCCACATCCTCCGGTCGTGGAGGGCTTTTGGAGGGACGGCAAGAAGTGGGACTATGCGGCATACCTGGAGACTCTCAATTGAGACTGTACGCTTTCAGGGTTGACCGGAGCCGCTGGTCTGGTAAAGAAGATTGCTACGAGCATCGAATACATGCTTTGTGATGACATTATTGAGCATTGAGAATGAGCCCTAAAGTATTGCAAAGGGCAAAAAGAGGTAACCCCGAAACTAGATCGCCGACAATTAGGCAAGCAGAGAAAATCTACATGTACTGTGGATACCGATGCTCAACCATAAACCTTCAAAATGGCTTGGTAATCCTCAACTACTCACTCTCCTCCGCCTTCTTCGCTTCCGCAGCGACATATTCGAAGGCCGTCATGTCGGGCTCACACGTGGTTCCAATCTCAGGCATCTTACCATCCTGGAAATACTCGCGGACAATGTTATCTACGCACTTCGAGGGATGGTTGGTGTATCCATGCTAGAAAAGAGCGGTCAACTTCCACTTTGCCACGCAGATCGTGGTTGAAAAGCACTTACACCAACGCCGTAGTGAATGACAGCTCGACTGTTTCGGAACCGCGCAGAAATCTCCCATGCCGTGTTCTCCGGGGTGGCCGGGTCCCAGTGACCGTTGATTATGAGGACCGGGAAGCTGGTCCTGACGTTCCTCAGGGCATTGAGGTCGATCTTCTCTGCGGCATCAAAACGCCAGCGAGAGCATTGTAGGCGCAGCCTGGCACTGGCATCACCGAAAGAGCTCCCCTCCCAGTGAGTTCGGTAGATGGAGTATAAATCGTCTACATTTTCGACGCGGAAGGACGAGTCTGCGCAGGCAATGCCCCAAACGCTAAACGTACCACCCTCGTTCCATTCTGACGGCAGTTGAGGAGGCGCTGGGGTAATGGCGCCAGTCCAATTCCCTGTCAAAGCGGCGTGGACTCTCGAGACGGCCAGTGGGTATTGCAGGGGCTTGTAGAGTTCTGCCAGCAGGGACATCTTGAAGAGAGACACAATGTCATCTTTCTCGTTTGTGGTGTCGTTTTTGTCGTTGATCTGCTCCTCGAGCAGGGTTTCAAGTGCCGCCATCAGACTGTCCCCCGTTGTGTCGCTGCCGGTAAAGTTGGCCAGTACGCAGGCTTCGGGACCGGCCTTGACACACTCGTCAAAGAGGTGGTGTAACGCGCGCTCCGTGTCTCTTTGTCCGGTTTTCCAGGTGGTGTCGGCATAGTCGTCCGCGATGAGATTGCTATCCAAGACGAGACGTCCCACGCGGTCGGGGAACATGGAGGCGAAGACTTGTCCGAGGACGGTGCCGTAGGAGACTCCCCAGTAATTCACCTTAGGGCCTTGGTCGAGAGCGTCGGCGATCGAAATCATGTCTCTGGCCACGAAAGGTGTGCCGACGAAGCGGCCGTACTTGGCTTGATCCCTGAAGCAAGCGTCCGCTGTTACCGCCCAGCCTTCCCAATCTATCGTCTTGATGCTGTTCCAGATATCGCCCTTTGGTAGCGTTTCGAAGTCACGTCGGGTGACGGAAGTCTGTCCAGCCGATGTTACGTTGCAGATGTATGGTATAGTTTTACCAGTGCCTCTGAGCATTCGTTAACCAAGAGAGCCGTTTAGGCGGGCATGTAACACAACAATATACTCACCGAGGATCGAATCCAATAATATCGTAGTTGCCTCCAACGATGCTACAATCACTGAGTTAGCAGACAGGAAGCAACTAGAATGATTCTGACGACGACCTACTCGCGCAACTTGAGACCCAGCCTGGCTACCGACTCGACGCCAGAACCTCCAGGTCCACCTGGATTCCACATCATGCTCCCCAAGTAAGGTTCTTTGTTTGCACTGGCCTTGATCAATTGGAGCTGAATAGTTTCGCCAGAGCTTAGACTGGTGTAATCTAAGGGAACCTCGAGTCTGGCGCACTGGAGCTTCTCGGGCAATGCATCTACCAGAGCGTTGCCTGCCTCCCCAAAATCCAAGTCGCACTCTGTCCATTGGATGGATGACTTGTTTGATGGCGCAGAAGAATTCTGACCGTCACTGCGTAAGGCGAGGTGTGCGTCATCAGGTAAGGTTAGGGCGTTGGCTGAAGTAAGAAGGAGAGGGCTGAGAAAGATGTTTTGCGGCTTCATGGTGAATGATTACAGAATGGCGATGGTTTGATGTTGTGTGAGCATACTCAGGAGACATCGTTCTCATCTTTGGCAACAGCTTGCAGTCTTATATGTGCGACGAAATGTGAGAAGCAGTTGTTGATAGTGATGGGATCTGCGTGGCTCGAGCACGTTGACTGCCTAGTGATAATCAATTCGAGTAAACAAGACAAATACAAGGTTCCAATCTCAAGGATCGAGGCTATGCGGCTGACCCGCCGGTCCGTGAGCTTGATTCGTCAAATAGTTGTAATATCTTATTCCATCGTTTCCGAATTGGCGCCTTGGCGACGAACAGCTGAGCCCGAGTGAGCCCGCAGAGGACGTCTCAAGTCTCAATGTGGCAAGTGAGTTGCATATGTGCTGAGCTTACATGCCAACCCAACTTCGCTTTCAGCCCTGTTTGTCTCACACTACGATGTGACAGCTTCGAACTCCATTGGGAAGAGTGGATGTTGTTGTATTGTCAGCAATCTTGACCTACGTAATTGTTCTGCCACGCTTTTACCCCTTTAGGGAAAAAGGGGTAGAGAGGTACAACAAGCAATATGCGGAGCGCCTGCTAGGCGGGATGGCGGGGTAAATCCACCACGCCATGATGAACATTATTAGCCTAGAGGCAGACAAATTTCCTCTTGCTTCATTGGAAAAAGAATTCAGTGTCTCGGGATGCCGTGTAGCCTTGGCGGCGCATCGTGTCCTGGTCGAAGAACCTTGTGTCTTGCTTTAGGATTTGAAATCCTTGGCCACTCCAATGACCATCTCCATCGACATCTACGCGTACTTTACTTGTCTAGAATATCCAGCAGCAGATCAAGGCAGTGCAACCGAATCCGTTTGGAAGGTTTCTCATTTTATCTATGTTAATTGCCGGCGTCCATCGTCATAGTGGCGGCGAAATTGATTACAAGGAAGCGATGTAAAATAACCAATGCCCCGCTGCTGCGAAGATACACGGCTCTCCGTGAACATAACTTATCGCATGGGCGAGTTTACAATAGTTAATTGATTCAGGTGAATACAATTTTAAAATTCTGAACCTCAATTTCCGACTTTAAATTTCCAATTGCTAGAGATGTCGAATCGCTAATACCAGACTTTACTACTATAAATCATAATCTGGCTTCCTGTGAAACCGAAGCTTGTTTACTTCTAATTTCCATTAATGAAAGAATCCATTTTCTTACGGTCATTATAAGCGTTCGTTTACGTATCACAGGGGTGATTGTTCGAGTCGAACCGTGGTGACGAAGGGTCAATTAACTGTATATTGATCTCTGCGTGAGGTGGAAAAGGTTAGACCGTCAGTTGAACGCTGATATAGAGACCCTCAGATGGCCCCTGCGCTGGCGCTGACTCGAGGTCGAATTGGGCTTCCAATCCGACAGACAATAAGAGACCCTAATTTTATCAAACCTTTTCTACCACTGCAACCAATTCCAGTCGCAACAATCCTGTATCGTGAAAATCAGGAGATGCTATTTCTGAAGCTTGTTATATAATTTGGCTTTGGGACTCGTAGTTTCAAATCTTTATATTGTTGTCTAGACGGAGAAAACTAATTGGAAGACAACTCCGAGATTGGCTGAAGTTTGCTTTGAATTCATTATATTGACACTCAATCAGAGTCAATGACTATAACATTTGAGTCTCTTCTTCTGCAGACCGGAAGGAAATTTGCATATTGTTCCACACGTGTAGGTCTGTCATCCCTCATCTTGTGCCGACAAAGATTTTATCGGGATTCTGAAAGGGAGAAACACCCTCATCCATGCTCTCATCATCACTATCGCTGTCACAATCTTTGCTGTCTTTGTTGATATCGCCGTCATCATCGTAACTGGGAGCTTCGTCCAGCATATCCGTATCAAAGTCCTCTGATTGCTCATTTTGAACTTGCTGGTCAGAAGAGACAACCTGCAGGTACTCCTTGGCCCACAGTGTCGGCCGATTCCCCGATTCCCCTGAGAGCTTCCACAGCATAAAACGTTGTAGACTTCCACTCAGAAGCCTGGAGACGGAATCCTTTGTGTACATGCCATCGAGACAACAAAGTTCTAGCACAACCAGAATGAGAACCACCTTCCACCATATTGATGTCCAGAAGGAAGTCGGCCAGATGAAGATCATTGTGAGTGCCTCCCCCACAGCAGCAATATGCCAACGACTGGGGAAGACATGATTCCAGAGAACCCGCGCGTCGTTTGCTAGATGTTCTAGAGGAGCCGGGAAAACACAAGTTCGCCAGTGCCTGGCGAGCTCGCAAGGGTCGAAATCTCGTCTTGGGTCGCTGAACCGAACTCTGTGCCGCAGCCTGTGTTCCCACTCTGGCAATAGCCTGCCTTGAGAGTCCCACGGTTTCAGTTCGCAAAAGGCTCTCCATCTGCCACAAACCTCCAGAGCAATTTCGTCACTCACGTCAAAGTATTCTTTATGCTTCTTTTCGCAGGCACAGGTCCATGATCGACGAAAGTTGGCCAACTCTGCGTGGACCAACCTCTCGGCAATTCTGTTCAAGAAGAATTTTGGCGCTATCGCACCTTGATGTTCGAAGAATTCCGGGTGCTTGCACTGGTTTTGAATACTTTTTCCACGCTCCGTTGGGTGGTCTTTGGTAATGCCGATTTTAAGCAGCTGGCTGCCTTCCCGCAGCTTGGTGACGAAAATATAAAGGTAACCCGGGAGATGGGCCTTGGACCCGGGGCCGGCCTTGATCAAATACTCGATGTTGCGGTCGATTTGAGGGCCGTTCAACTGCCTCGCATGCGTTGAAGGTGGCTCGCTCACACTCCGACCTGGCGCGATAGGCCTTTGACCTCGTCTCTCGGTTTCGGAGTGTAGCTTTGGGGAGGTGTGAGAGGTGTGAAATGACGGCCTAACCCGGGCCACGTCTCCAGGATCGTCCAAAGGAGGCTCATGATCGTCGGGTTTCTCAGATCGGGACGATCTCGCTGTTTTCGACAACGCTGCAGATGTTGACCTATTTCTGGGGACGGTTTTCTTTGACGGTGTGTCCACCTCGGATTCTTCAGGCCCACCAGAAGCTGGAGTCCAGCTGGGGTCTGCGACTTGATTCCCCGAAAGGAAATTGAATGAGGCTCGTCGGACTGGCTGATCAGGTGTCAACCCCCTCGTGGCCGGCGCTAAGGGTGATGATGCTGTGCTCGGCTGCGCTGCATTCACCGCCCTGGCTCTGCGCTTGGTAATCTTGAGCGGCGTGGAACTGTGCATCGAGGGAAGAGTGGAACTGTCTGGAGGACGAGAGTTTCTGTGGGGTGGAAGACCAAAATCTGGCATTTTCAAGAATTGTTCAGACAGCTGCGTTCAGCAGAGTTGAGATCAGCTAGGGAGGTGATCAGGATTTGTGAGCAAGTGGTTCAAAAGCCCACGCCACTGCATCCCCGGGTCTCTCACTGCTATAAATACAACCAACATCGGGTTGACCGCAATTCCTGAGAACGATTTCAGGATGTTCTCTCTCACTTAGGATATCGAGCTGTAAGCGCCCTTGTTGGTTGCTCATGCTGCGCCTCCTGAGTTCTGTCTGAGCATCCTTGCGCCTGCATCGGAAGCTTCCACATCAGGACCAACGAGGCAGAATCTCGCACCCAGAAGGGATTTTCTTGCGGTTTTCTCCACCCCAACAGCGACCAAGTTGGTGGCATTGCTGCAGTGCGCCATAGTCTGCGTGGGGGTCTCGGTCACAAGTTGATTACTGCTGCTGCGACTTTTCCGTCGGCTGTGCGTTGAAGAAAGAGAGGCCGCCAATTTCGACTAGGATACAGTGATAAGGGGTTAGATTCTGGGGGAAAATCCCAGCTGTTGAGGAGAAGGTTGGAAAGAATATCTTGAGTCTTGCGACTTACGTTGATAACGTGCAAACTCACTAGGTATTTGCATTCTAACTCGACGTTCGCTAAACTCCGAAGTCCTCAAAAGGGAGAACAGCTTCAAGACAGCGTCGATACAAGGGATTTAGCAACCTGTAACCTTTGAGAGATCATGCAAGGAAACCGTATCAAATAGGCAATTGAAAGACTGATCTGCTTGCGGCGGCAGCGACATGTTTTGGTTGGCGCCAACCAGCGTAGCACCAAGGATTGAGGAATCCAAAGAATCGGGTGGTTGACTGCGCTGGAGGCTGCTGCCTGATGAGTGCGTGAGGCGCCGGCTGGTTACCAATCCTATTCTTGCTTAAACCAAAGACTCGCGATGAGATCCCTGCGGGTTTAGTCATATTTGAATGAGGGCCTTACAGCTTAATGTAGACCTCTATTAAGAGGTGTTAGTTCATCAAGGAAAGGTTGAGTATTTCTAGCTGCGTCTCTTATTATCAACATGGGACGGGATGGCAAGATAAAAGGAGAAAAGATACGAGAACCCCGAATAGACTTTCCAGGTAATTTTCAATCAATTCAAGCCCAAACTCTCTACTCATGTCAGCTTATGGTTGGTCCGCAGGATCCATTTTTGCTCGGCAAGACGGGGCTCTCAATCTAGCGAAATAGCGACATCCGGGTCGACCCGGCCGGGGCACACTGCGACGTCGGTCTTCTCATTCTTGTCTCTCGTGTAGCTTCAAGAACCGTTTTGCGTGGACTCAACTGAATTGAACTCTGGCCGTAGATAAGTTGGCTTGAAATGACAAGGTTCAGAGCTATTGTCGGTGGTTATCTTGTGTCTTTGCATGCCGAACACGACATCCCATTGCTCACGTGACGCAGCGATGGTGACATCGCTTCTGAGGATGGCGACAGATGGCGAATACACCCGATCAACCCAGTTTCCGTCCAGAGCCCCCTCTTAACGTGTGACAGATGACAAATGGGTTTGGCCTGACTCGAATGCAAAGTTCATTCGTTTCTGGACTGTTGTCATACTTTAAATACTTTTGCACACGTTCATGTGATTGTGAAACAGCTTTGCCTAGTGAATGAATCCAGCCATTTCTTGGATTTCGCTGGTCTAAGCTTCGGGACACTCAGATACCATGGGCGGAGAACGGAAGATCAAGTCTGTTGCCATTATTGGCGCCGGCGCTGCAGGTAAAGTCCTCTCAAACCACGCGTGCTTCTGTGATACAACAATGCAAGCCACTGCAAGCCACCAAGCGAACATGTACTTGGGTCATTATTGTTGTAGAAATATATGACTGACTCACTTCTGGTAACATCTAGGTGCTGTCACGGCTGCAGCTTTTAAAGCGGAAGACTACTTTGAGCGAATCCAGGTATTCGAAAGAAGAGAGTCCGCTGGCGGAACATGGTACTGGGTTTCTTAATTTTCTTTCGGTCTTTACTATTTATTACATGAATGACTGACTTTGTTTTCCAGGATCTACGACCCAAGTCCATCTGAGCTGCCTCCACTCCAGCCCGGAAGCCTCCCGCCCGATGTTGATCCCGCAGTGGAGATCCCGGGCGACCTTCCCCAGGTCAAGCCACATAGTCAACGAGAACGATATTCACAGACTCCCATTTACCAGTCTTTAACGTAAGCGCAATCGAATATCTTGATACTGGTGAGAGATTTCCTCTAACGATACACCAAAGCACCAATGTCCCAGACATTGCAATGTCGTTTTCGGACTCAAGGTTCGCCTATGGGCCTTTTGCGCCGCACTGGATCCCGCGACAATACATTGAAAACTATTTCTCTTCGCATAAGACTGATTCTTCTCTGGTACTCAATACCACAGTCGAAGACGTGACAAGGATTCCGGCCAAGGACAGACCTGAGCAGTGGAGGTTGACTCTGCGCCAGTTCGATGCCGCGCGTAACGTCGATGTTTGGTGGCAGGAGGTGTTCGACGCCGTCGTTTTCGCCAACGGTCACTACTCAGTACCCTACGTATGCACTATTCTCCATCAAATTACGGTTCCGAAATTCGAATTGGAAGTGACTGACATGAATTCAGGTGCCTCATGTCAAGGGTCTAGACGAATACATCAAGAAGTTCCCAGGCCGAGTCGTACATTCCAAAACTTACCGCACCCCGCAACCGTACACCGGAAAGAAGATCCTCACCATTGGAAACTCTGCATCTGGACATGACGTGACAGAAGAGTTGGTAAAGACAGTTCGCACCCCTGTCTATCAATCCCGACGGTCCAAGTCCCGCTGGGATGGCGACGAGCCGCCTCCGGGCATCGCCTGGAAACCAATCATCAAGGAATTTCGCCTCGACGGGCGTATCATTTTCGAAGATGACTCGTATCTCGATGACGTTGATCACATCATCTACTGCACGGGCTACAAACCATCGTACCCATTCTGGAACTCGGAAGCGAACGGTGGACGGCCATTGTACGACTACAAGAACGGAAAACTGATCAAAACGTTCTGGCACACCTTCTTCCAGGACTTCCCGACGTTGGGTATTGTCGGTATGCCAAGAGTTTTGACCTTCAGGAGTTTCGAGTACCAGGCTATTGCGTTGGCAAGAGTGTTTTCCGGACGAGAGTCCGTTGCGCTGCCACCTGTTGAGGAGCAGGAGCGATGGGAGAGAGAGAGGGAAGAGCTTGTCAAAAAGGAAAGAAGAAACTTCCACGACATTGCCTGGGAGACTGGAGAAACTTTTGAGTGGCTCAACTGGCTGTTCCGTGTCGCTGGTCTTCCGACGCTCAGGGCCAAGGGACGGACGCCGCCTGTACTTTCCGAGGAGTTGATTTGGGCGGTCGAGCACTTGAGGAAGTATCCTGAACCTGGAAACCCAGATGAAGATGAAGGGAACCGGGGTGGAGCGCATAGTCTCGGGAACCCTCATGGTGAAAGTCGTAAGCAAGATGGGCAAGAACATAAAGGAGCGTTGAAGTTGGCACAAAGACCAAAGAAGGATCTTTTGGAGTTTATTTAGGCCGATTTCCCGACATATTAGATACAAGTAGTATGATAGAGGTTGTTCTTTTACTTTCTCCTTGAGAAATTACTGTGCCGAGAGAAGACGAGTTGTGTACCGTGTACATGCTTGGCTTTTTCGATGCTTCCATAACTTCAAGGATACTAAAACGACAAATATTCGCTATCTTGAGCAGAAGGAAAGAACACTCGGAAGTCAATCATCCCCATTTTCCAAGGCTTAAGAACGACCTTCGAAGTTCCAACTGACCGGTCAATAGGATTTGCCCTCTCACCTACGGTCCTTGCAACAACAAAGCGATGAATTTCTTAGTCAAGGAATGTAATTTTGAGGCTCATGCAATTCTGGAATGCGGTAGATGGGATAACGCGGAATAGTCCTCACACGCTGTGCGTCTTAGCGGGGTAGTGCGGGGTGTGCGCTTATCCCCCGGTTGCGGATCGGTTCAGCGCCATCGGTCAGTCTCTATTCACTAAAACTCGGATGTAACCCCACAGTCTCAATTGGTTTTGTGGCTCCGCCGAACACGGATGGCGAGTTGTTCCTCGTGAAGCGGGGAGAAATACTATTACATCTCTGTTCCATGCTTTCTGGGCCGTCGCTACTCGATCTCTTCACCTTAAATCAACATTTTCTTTCAGCACCAAGAGCAAAGATGACATCCGAGAATAGCAAACAACTGCGCGATGAGCTGTTTGAAGCTGGCCTTAAGAACCGACGGGAAGTCGTTGGAGAGGCTTATGTCGAGACTGCTATGCGTAACGGCTCGAGCGAGTTCGCCTATGCTCAGCAAGAGCTGATCACCGAGTGAGGATAGCAAAGTAACAAAATCAAGTCCAGTTCTAATCAAAGATCCATCAAAACAGGTGGGCTTGGGGAAACATCTGGTCACGTCCCGGCTTGGAACGCAAGCAGAGAAGCCTACTAAGTGAGTAGATTCGAGCGCCGCCGCAGTGCCTTCATGCCTGCTTGGACATGAGGTGGCATGGTCTGACACGTGCACCAGATATCGGTATGCTCATTGCTCTGAAAAGCTGGGCCGAGTTCGGGATTCATATTCGTGGCGCGATCCGGAATGGGTTAACAGAGCTTGAAATCCGTGAGGCGATCCTTCAGGCGACAGTTTATTGCGGTGCTCCAGCGGGTGTCCAGGCTATGAAAGTCGCTGATGAGGTCATCAAAGATATGATAGAGAAAGGGGAGCATCAAAGACAGTTGTCAGAGGTCTCGCCGAGCTACAAGAAGCCAGAGTAGATCGCAAAAAGCGATAATCGGATTGAACAATTGCGGCCCAGTATATGAAGATGAACAATCCTATTTAGCTGTCTACGGAAAACCAATCGGCGGGTTTAATGGGGGTTGAAGACCACAGTTCGTTGAGTTCGACAAGCATCGCATCAGCAACGGCAAACTGCTTTTTGACTTCGTGCAGAAGCTCAGCCACGGCCTGCCGTTGCCAATTTTGACTCGCTCTTGCCCCTGCTATTCTAAGGGGGAAGAGGAGCAAAAGAGGCGATAGACTAGAGGATCGAAGAGCTTTCCTTGTTGTCTGGAAGATGTTTTCGACATGTTTCGTGATCTCGTCTCGGCTGAGCACTGGTACTGCAACGGTCATCGCCTGCCATTGATGCACGTCATAGTCGTAGTTTCCGGAGAGATATATGCTTGTTGCCGCGTGGTAATTCATGGCCAAAAGCATCTCATCGTGTTGGGCAGATGAAGACGATGCCGCAAAACTCCACCCCTCAAGTGCATCGCGTAGATAGAAGCCTTCAGTTGCCAATTCCAGCGCCTCGGTTGATAGAACCTCGCCTTCAGGGTCAATGAAGTATTTCTCAATGAACAGGCCCGTACTATAGTGGTGTAGGTTAGTATTTCTTTTTCCTCCTTGATACAGGGCCGACGGAGTATCAGAATCTCAGCATTGGAACTCACCGTGCTCTAAGCCTGGAGCATAGAACGACCAGATTCAGGAGATCATCCAGAGAAGCGTGGTCCAGAGAAGCGTGATCCTTCATCGTTGCAGTTTGTGATAAGCTGCCTGTCAGTTTCATCCACTCTGGTGCTGCCAGGAAGCTGGACTGGTTGAAAATGATGCTTCTACAGACTTCAAAGGTGCGAGCCTGGATGAAGAAGTTTCGCATTGTTCCGGACATACATGCTGACGGTCCGCTGGCAATGAGGGCCTGAGATGTGCCGAACACCATGTGCTGTAGCCATTTCTGACCCGAGGCGTCTTGCATCAACTAATGTCAATGTCAACACAAAGCTTCTCCACAAGCCAAAAAGAAAAAAGAAAAAAAGATTAGGCGCATTTGAATATTATATGCCGAGATCCACGAACCTCGAATAAACCAAGGAAAAAGGTTGACCAGAGAATACTGTCCTTCCGAGCCATTGTGGAGTCTGAGACAGCCCCTCGGAGACGGGTGATGGACTGAAGATAATGTTCAAGTGCGAAACGCAGGCTTTTCTGGCAGCTCAACGCGCCGAGCATGTGTGCCTGCATAGCGCCCAAGGCCAGCATCGAGTCCAGCAGGTGATTGCGTGGGGCTCGTCCTGCTTGACCAGAAGTACTGATCAAGTCCTGGACGTCTGAGAGAAAGGATGGCTCACGACCGGTGAAACTATTCTTTCTTATGAACAAATCAAAGTAAAAGAGATAGCTGGCCGTCTGGTCTGGAAGCGGTGCGGCGGGGAACTGTGTGCTAGACGTTGCGAAAGATTTGGGTGTGAAGAGCTTCCCCTTGGTCAACCGGATTGTAGCTCCGTTCCTCGGAGCCGGCGGCGCCGGGAATGTGCATTCGATGCCGCGTTTCTGGCATTGGGCGCACGGTTTCGACCCGGTACACTTGAATCAGTCAGCACTGAGAAATTTCTTCTACCCCTTTCTAGAGAGGCCAAAGTTGCTCGCTGCGATAGAATTGAGAGTAAGTCCAGGGTGGGTTTGTCGTACCTTCGAGTGGCTTGCGGCGCATGGCGTGCAACGGGAACGTCTAGTACGACGATCGAAAGGTCCAAGTTGCATTGCTACTTAACCACGTAATCTGTGAATGATATGGCAATTTCCTTCTCTTCAGATTCGTTCCTGTTCACCGCGGAGATTGTGAGAGCAGTCATCATAGTGTGTATGTGTTCGAAGTCTTCACGCAAGCTGCATGTGTGTATGATGTTTAGAGCGCCGGGGAGATGAGTCTGAGAGTGGATCAGAGCCCTGAAGGCACCAAACCCAAAGCGGAAGCAATTGAGCGACGCTAGCCGTAAAACCCCAATAGAACAGGGTATTTTGGCCAATTACATAACAGCTGATGTCTTGCCTGAGATGGTGCTGGGGAAGATTAGAGCCACAGTCTCGAAGTGTCTTCAAGGTCCCGACTCAAGCCATGGGATGCGCAGCTTCTCTTTTGCTCTCTCTATCCACATTGCCCAGCCTACTCACACTTATCTGAAATGGGCAGCAACCACGCGAGAGGTCTTTCGTGTGTAATTTCGGGTACGGCCAGGGGACGATAGATCAGTATAAGATGCAGCTATTTTCTCGTTCTGTTTCATCTCCTTTCACTCAGTCAAGCTGCATCTTTCTTGATCATTATATCTCACACTTACTACACCTCACTTAAACAATTATTGAAAGTCTTCAACTCGAACTCTCGATATCATGATTCCAGCGTTGATCATATGCGCTCTCGCCTCGGCGACCCAGGCTGTTCTCGTCTCTGGCCCGACTGGACCATACGCGGTTTCCATGTCAGTGCAAGACCTCACCGATAATACTCGACTCGATCCTTACGCTCCGGTCAACAACACGCACTTCCGACGACTTATGACGTCCACCTTCATGCCCGTTGACAAACTGAAGAGCTCCTGCGAGGGTTACGAAAGGGTGCCTTACATGACCCCCCTCGTGGCTCAGGCTTACGACCAGCTGGGCGTCGCCGTTGGCCTATCCAATGGTAGCTTCTCTTCGTTTGAGATGGAGTTCTGTCAGCCTAGAGCTCGTTCATGCAAGCGAACCCGCTCGAGTTTTCCCCTTGTGCTCTTTTCTCCTGGCTCGGGCAATCCGCGCCTCCTTTACGGTGCCATGGCTCGCGAAGTGGCTAGTCATGGCTTTGCCGTCGTTACAATCGATCATCCTTACGATCCATCTTTTGTCGAGTTTCCTGACGGAACTGTTTATCGTGCGGCTGACTTGGACGCGGATAATACTACGCAGTTGGAATCTCTCACCCAGGTTAGTTGCAATTAAGGAACAATCTCTGGCTCATGACAGAGCTTGAGCTAACACAAACTCAGGTTCGAGCTGATGATGTCTCTTTTGTGCTCTCTCATCTTCACAAGAACCCTACTGATGGCGTCAAACTCAACCACACCATAATGTTCGGCCACTCCCTGGGAGGCGCCACCGCCGCAGCGGCAATGTTACAAGATTCGCGCATTCTGGGCGGCATCAACTTGGACGGCAAGCTCATGGGCCCCGCACTCAACGCAGGCCTCAACCGTCCATTCACCCTTGTCGGCAGGCCCGGGCACTCTGACGAAGATCCGACCTGGAGCGTCTTCTTCGCTGCTCTGAGAGGCTCCAAAGCTCTGATGACCGTTAGTAACACCACGCATGGGACGTTTACGGATTTCCCTAACCTCGTCTCTTCATTGAACATTACTCTACCCGAGGCAGCACGCTCTCTGTTAGATAGCCAGCTTGGTAGTCTGGAGTTTGGGAGGATTGGAAAAGTGGTAGCTGGAGTTGTTGGGGCTTTCGCCGATCTGGTGTTGCACAAGCGAGCCAAGTCTGTCTTCACTAAAGCCGGCGACCCTGCTTTTCCGGAGGTTGTGGTAACTAGCATCGACGTTTGATTTCCATCCGTCTTTTGGCACTTTCTCCTAAGATAGAGTAGTCAACACATAAGGGCCAAGGGGTATTTTAGTGTCAGGTGCCTGGCCTGACAGTCTGACTAAGGTGGTCCGCTGCCTGCTATTATAAAAGGGGTCAAGGGCACATATTAGAGAGGGCAGATTGATCGTTCGTCAATACATATATTTATCTTTGGCTAGTCCTCGATACGTCTCTCATTTCTCGCCGACGACCCTGACATTATGACTGTGATGGCTGTAAATAGTTGTCTCTCTACATGTACTTATTCATCGCCCAGTATAAAAATTGGAAACAAAGACACCGGAAGATATAGTTCATCTTTTACTTACTATGTATCTTAGTTTAATGTGCCGTACATTTGCATTCTAATTCTTCACAAACCTTGCGCCTTGATAATACCATGGAGAAAGGCACCAGCGAATGCTATCATTGTTGCAGGTACGTTCCCATCACACACAAGCCAGTATTTTACCCAGCCATCTCGGGCGATCTCTCCAGCATGCGATGCATCAGCTCGAGTCCTTCTGTGCTGAATTTCTCCTCTTAAAGCCTCTCCAAAGCTGTCTCGAGCCTCTCGATCTACATCGAAGCCGGATTTCCGAAAATTTCCTCCCATGTCCTTCATTTAGAGCTTGAGAAAGATCAGATAAATGGGACAAGAAATTCGAACATAACAGTCAAACAATACTGTCCGTCGGTTTCTTTGTCGTCGATGTCTCCCCTCTACCCTTATCTGGCGTTTGGCGTTTGGCGTTTGAGCAAGTTCAGAGCAACGATAGCCGCAGTGAATGTTCCGTGCTTGGCGCCCAGGGCTGCAAGATCCCATAGGCTTGCTGCTCCAGAATCCTCGGAAATTCAGTGGGCTTACCCCAGCGGCTCTAGCGTTTCTGCCTGCAGACATTGTTGAGAAGTCAAGATTGACATTTGACTTTCGTTGTGTACTGACAGGAGGCAAGGAGCCCTCGGGATTCGACTCCCGACCAGACTCCTCTACAAGATGTACCCGCAGTCTTTTTTTCGAAACATTATCATTCAAGAGATTCAAGCAATGCCCCAAACTAAACGATATTGATCGCATATAATATGATGTCTACTCCAGTGCCGATAGATCAGTTTCCCAGTTGGAAGGTAATAAATGGCTGCATTAGGCATCAAATACTAGTAGTCTGTCTATTATAAAGCTTCCATCTCAAGGTGTATCCAGTAGCTCCATGCCATCACCCAAGCACATATTAACAAAAACACAACGCTTAACCCATGAAACATAGAACGAGAGGTAAGGGCAATTAAGCCTCTTCTGTCCAAACCTTTGATAGACTTTTGCGGAAAGATCGATCAAGCTTAACATCCCATCCAGCAAGTAGAGCAGCTAGACCCTGGTGAAGGAACCTGCGACTCCCTCTTCTTGGTTTGACGGCATTTCCTCGGGAAGAGGCTGTTCCTCAAACGCTGATGGATCTTCTTGTAGTGCTCTTTCTGTTTTCCAAAGTCAATGCTTGGTTCCAATGAGGTTCCGAATGAAGTGGATTGACGCACCATATTGTCCTTGCGGCTGAAGATGCGATCGCAATCGGGATGCATGCACCTCACAGCAGGCTTATGACAGCCCATGTGCCGTTGAAAGTCCTTGCGGGTCGCGAAGCCGACACCCGCCTTCTGGCATCTCTTTTCGGTGCAGAAAAAGTATTTCGAGTGGCCGCGGAAGTGCTTTCTGAGATCGCACGCGCGCAGGAAAACGCGAGAGGAGCAGCAGCCCGAATACCGGCAGCGCCAGTTGCCGGCGTCGTCGAGATAGCCCATCTGGTGGAGATCTGCCGGGCACCAGCTCTCAGACTGCACCTCATTTGGGGGCGATTGTGGTGAGACTGGTCCGCTGCTGGTGCTTGGGGGTGATGCGAAATCTAAGGCTTCGCTTGGGATGGATGAGAAGTCTGAGCGGGGAGAGGATGCAGTGAAGGAGGTGTTGATGGTGGAATGCTCGGTGTCCAAGGACAGAGAAGAAACATTATCTATGAGAGGCATTGGGGTTTGATATTGCGGAAATGAGTATGGATAGAAGAAGGTTTCGGTGCCCTCTGACGCGGGGAAGGGAATGAATTGAGGGTCGAATGTGTACGTCGGGCTATTGCCCTCGACACTGGGGAAGAAGGTGTAAGATGTTTCCTCGAGATAGGAATCCATGACGCCTTGTACCTCGCAGACAAAGACTTGATTGTTGAAGTAGACAAGATTTGATTGCGAGTGTTTGATGCTTTTGCGAAATATCGTGATGTGAGCTTGAGAAACAGAAGAACCGAGCTTAGCGAGAACTGGATCGACGACGATGTTTATGTATCTCAAGATCCCATATTCTCTAGGTTTTCAAATCACCAGTGCACGCCTCATGTAAGTCATATAAACACGGCGGTATAGCTCGATTCGGGATGCAACATCGGCAGCCCCAGACGAGGGGTGCTGTTTGGCGCATTCTTCCGTCCAAGACGGACGATGGCGTAAGCGGCCTTGCGGCGGTGGAATCATGAGATGGGAAAGTGAGAGAGAGAGGCGGCAAGGCCCCTAGTCGGCAATTGCATTAGACTTTGACAACCTCAACGAATCTATCCCGATTTAGGAACAAGCGGCCGACTGTTTCAATTGTCAGCCATTTGACATCGGCGTTAGACAGCGTTCCTGAGTGTTCTTGCCAAGGATCTCGTGGCACGAACAGTTGGGGAAATGAGTGGGGGTTGGCGGAAGAGGTGTGCATCCGCGAGAATGCGATTCGCTAGTCAGCCATTGTGGAAGACAGGTTACAGCGTCAGATCGCCTGAAGATCACGAAGAGCACAGCCGCGTTGACCAGGGGGGCGGGACACGTAGAGGTTGTCGAACCTATATGCGCAGAGTTGTGTCCGGTCGGGACGTGATGCCACGGTCTTTCATCAGCGCTGACTGACCTTAGCAGAGAGCATTAATCGATAAATGATTCCTAATTTTGTCGACAACTGGCTGGGGGATGCTGCCATGCCGCGTTGATCTGCGGGGGGGTTCAGCCGCTGTTATATCTGGATCCCCTTAACTCTGACTTCTCGAGTTGATTGCGATTGGCTCTTGCGATTCTGTCAACGTAAAACTCTAAAGTCCAGGACGCACAGAGTGTTCCGAGATGGCTTCTGGGTAGCCAATCGGTATCCAGCATTTTTTGACAACTCGCTTGTCTCTGGGATAGCCCTATGGAGCTCTACAGTTTCCGAGTTGACAGCTCGATTACAACGCAAGCCCGCCAGCCAACTTGCCAAGCAGCAAATATGGTACCCCAATCCAGACCCTTCTCACCCCCCGGCCTCTTTTGACACTTGAACGCCAATCCTGTAAGGCTGGACGACAAGCCGTCAACGACTCTATGCGGATAATAGTGGGGTTCTCCCTCGCTTCGTGAAATGCGATTCGCTCATGAGAATCGCCCTCAGCCACCAACGCTGCATCAGTCGAGACGTCTGACGGCACCTCTTCCTCCCCTACCTCCCGACTGGATCTTCTTACTTCCTTGTTGTGATCGACGTGGCTCATCAAAATCACATTGTCGATGATCTAGGCCCCCCTTCGAAACGGGCCATTCTTACCATAGAACAATGCAATCATGACAAGGGCGGCTACGGCGTCTGGCCCATCCGCGCCGACGACAACACCCACGTAGGTCTCCTGGTACGATCACAGTTGCCGGATCGCGGATCATCAGCAATCGTGGAGGCCTCTTCTCTGGAAAACCTGATTGGACTTTTCTCCATGTTTTGAAAGCTGCTTCCATCGGAGGCAGTAAATCTGCTTCCCCAGGGAAGGTTTCGACGATCATGGTTTCAAGCACCATTTTGCAGTATGAGCACTCATTTCCGGTGCTTTTTTGGCCGTGTCTAACGTTTATGTTCTCCGGGCCTTTGTTTACCTGCGTCTCTGCCAAGGTAGTGTCTCACTACAGCACCTGTCTCATACCCTGGGGATGGAAACTGTGACGGAATATGGCCTGGTATTAGCCCAAACGAAGACGTCTGCCACGTGTATTCTCACGTGACCCTCGCTATCATGCATTACATAGACTTGACATGTTCTTTTGTTCACTTTGGTTTAAAACAAGCCAATGCCCATTGCTGTGCGCTCTAAGTCGTGACAGAAACAGGTGCCAAGCAGTATAGTTTTAACAGGAGCCTAAGTTGACGCGAAGACAAAGCCGTTTGTCTTGAAGAGCTGCAAAGCACTCAAGAATTAAAACTCGATAGAATTATCAGTAGGCAGAGTATTCCGGGTGGAAGGCAGAATCCGACGATTCGGTGCACTAGTAGATCTCACCTTGGCTCACCTGCGACAACGTTTGAAAGGGGAAGTCAAACTGAACGTAGATCTTCAGATTAGGTTACGCAGTAAAACGATGGAAGCCAGCCATGCAGTGTCAAATCGTAAATGAACCCAGGGGAATGGCAAAGTTTAAGTCATTCTTGAGTGTAAATCCACAAAGCGCCTTTTCAGAGGACATTAGTGTTGCGAAAGTGATCCTGTGACCAGAGCCGGTGGGAAGAGACGGCTTGAAGCATGATGCGACGTGACAGTCAATTGCAAGGCTCCTGTGTCATTGAAGCGTGACTCTAGGAAACCTGCTATTGAGTCCCGTGGATTCAACCAGTTGACCAATCAATTTTTGGCTTGTGCATCGAAATGCGCAGGATCGTTCAGAAGAAAGCTGGAGTAATTCGTCATAATAAAGGAGACCACCTTGGCTCTGATTTCATATGCTTCATCTCAGCTAGAGGACTCCCTTTGGAATGTCAGTAAGAACAGGGGATCGAAACGGAAAATAGCGGATGCGGAAAGATGTTGTCGAAAGAGACGGGATCGGTATAACACACGTGGAAACCGAGAACTCTGGCTAGACGAAAATTCAATTAGGTTTGGTTAATTCTGATAGCCTTCTAAATACCCGATCTTGACTCGCAAGCTATCGCTAGTACTAGGATATGTTGATCTTGTAGTTGAGTGATTACCTTAAATTAGTCTTATATTTGACAGGTATGATTAATAGTCTCCACGCTGAAGCCAACGTTGTTTGACAGCTACGAGCTCACGTATCCCCACCAAGGATGGTGCTCATGTCAAGCTTTGAAACACACGCCAGCCAGGTCTCGGCTAGAAATCGAATGCCTGTCCCAATACTGGTGATTTCAATGACCAATGACAAGCGCTGCTAGGCCAGCCACCGGTTCAACGAAGGAGCCGGCCCAAGGATGTGGGGTTCAAACCTGGAAGCAAATAGCTGCGCGATTCATGGTAACTGTGTAGATATACAAACAACCTATTTTATAATGCTGCCCTTACGTCAAAGTTTCAAGGCATCGTTTTCTTCGTGACATATTCGCCCTTGCTCGTGCCCCTGTAAACCAATCCGCTTTCTTCCACCCACATACTTGCTCTCTTCATCCCTGCTCAGTCTCCTACCTTGATACAAGTAACCCAAAAAGGAACAAATGAGAATTTTAGATGAATTGTGGTGGGTAAAGCTGCGTAATTCGAAGTTTGGCGTCATTCATTGACAAGGTATGTCGGCCATGTATCCCCCGAGCCCTACATTAAAGCACTCAATGTTTGATATCATGGCGCTGCATGGCCGCCACCGCCTCAATGTTGTCTTAAACCCTTTAAAGCTCTTTGAGTTTTGTCTTTACTAACATAACAATGCTGAGTGCGCATGAGCAGCGTATTTAAGCACCACCATCTAGGAGGCGTGCCGGAGTAATCACACAAGGAGCACTAATATATCGATCCCAAGGTCATCCTTGGGTCCCAAAAAGTAAACAGTATTTAGAAAATGGAGCTTACGGACAGTCTATGTTCTACTCCGCTATTGTAAAGGGGCTGGCCGACGCACACGGGCGGGAAGTGTCAACCAGCACACTTGCCCAATGGGATGGTTGCATTTCAGCACGGAAGCAACCGGGGCGTTGGTCACGCGTAACAGCTGTATACACAAGGAGACAGGTCACAGGCCGGAAGATATATGTACGGAAAATTGTATCCAGTATTTCAACAATAAGCATCGGGCCTGGTAGCCGAGGGGTCCTGAACGTCCTGAAGACTTGACTAGTTGATGAAGCTCTCGTACTGCATCAAGCCTCTGACATTCGATCCTCGGTCGGTGTGGAAAACCGCGAACCCGAATATCGAAATGCACGTCGAGGTCGTGTTGTCGGGACTGAAGAGGGACGGGAAAGCCTAACTGACGTTCGTCTTCACTGGGACCGGCACGTACACAAACGACCTGACGAATCAGTTCCAAGGCTAATGGAATGTGGTTTCGTTATCGAGGGAGATTGGACCTCACCATAAACGAGAGTGATGAGTTGATTGAAGCGGTGTGGAGGAACTTGTGAAATTGATCTACACAAGCGTGCCATAGCTGTAGCAAAATCAAAACATATAAATGTGCCGAAGTTGGTTGCACACTTAAGTAAGGACATATTTCTGCATGATCCAGCCACGATACTCATATAAATGTGGTACTGAAGCTAGAGGTACATGAACCATCGCCAACGATTACAAAATTAGGAAGAAACATCGCGTTGGGCAGATGAGAAGCGAACCCGTAGTCCTAGAAACGCTCAAACTAGACTTCCTCTAACCACCTCAAGTTTGAGTAAGACTTGGCCATCGACGCTGCCTTGCGTTGCTTCTTTACAGTGCCCATTACTTTGAATAGCAACTTGAAACAAGACCACTTGTTCAGGATAGCATTGGATGATTCATAAGGCTTGTCGCACTATCTCGGTCTCGACGGTGCCCGCTGTCCAAGCACAAGGTCCGTTGAGGTTTGGACGGCAGCAACTTACACTGTTATTTCTGCAAGTCGAGATTTTAGAGGCGAGCCATAAAACAGCCAATTTGGCAAATACTGCAGGATAGATACTTGTTGTCGAAGAAAGCCATAACATTGAAAATTTGTCAACAAGCACTGCAGTCTGCCTTGGCTTTCTTATCTTGAGACTCTTTGGCGTATAGAGTTCATTCTGTGTCAAACACGAGCTTGCTGGTCCTTCGCGCCCGGTCCATAGAAAGCGGTCCCCGAAATGGCAAAGGTCCATTTGGACTCCTATCTTCCTACGTCAACACCCAGCCTACGTTTTCGGACAGGTGACGTCGTTCAGTGTGGGCAGCTTATCACTACCCGCGAGGCCCGCGAGTTAATTCCTTGATGGGCACCTCCAATTGTACCCGTAAGATACAGACTTTTCCCACGGCTCCACTGCCAGTATCCACCGGTGTGCGTACCGGTGGGCTCCCGGGGCGTTCACAGGCCCCTCCGAGGTCTCTCGGTCTATCATTTGGCGGATCCGATCTGAGACGAGACGACAACGGGCGGCATTGAGTCGGTGCTACGGTGGAGACTTGCGTCCCTGGAAATAACCGTTGGGTACGTCATAGGTATGTGGAGATGGAAAAACAAGTGGTTCTGGTGTATGAGGGTGCCCCGCGCTCGGTGAAAGAGGGGTCTCACCTGGCCTCACCGAAGACTCTGCCAACCCTCCTCAAGGACCTTGACTTGGGGATGATGAAAGATTATGTGCCCTCGGACATCAGAGAGAGTTGGAGGGGAGCTCCCCCAGACATAACGGTAGAGACTAACTGTGACCGAATGAAAGCAAAACTACAAACTCAGCCGTAACCATCTCTTTGTCCTCGTCTCGACGCGCAAAGATCCGGCAAAAGCAGCCATCCGGGACCAGCCGTCGCCAGCCGGGGCCCAGAATCCACTCCCCATTGCGATTCAGATTCCTGAGTAAGCCCGAACTGCCGCAGAAATGCGCTTTATGGCTCATCCCACTATAGGTAACACCACCAACTCATCCTGACGGACCCTTCTCCCGTCCCGCTCCTCGCCTTCCATGTCCTTGACCCGCGGTCATACAAGTAGCAGAGTTCAAAGATCAACAGTCTCGTTCCTCCGCTTCTTCTCCTCGTACTCATCCTCCACCTCACGTTCCTTCTCACCACTCACCACCACCACCACTCATCCCCTCACCATCACCTCGTCCCGCTCATCACCCACCACTACCACCACCACCACCACCACCACCCCGCCAATCCCAAGCTCCCTCCTTCTCACCCGCCGCAACATCAACATGTCCTCGTCAGGCGTCTCCCTCGTCGAGCAGGCCAAAAAGGCCGCCGCCTACCGCGCCGTCGACGAACACCTCGACGCCTCAGCCCGCTTCGTCGGCATCGGCTCCGGCAGCACGGTCGTCTACGTCGTCGACGCCATCGCCGCAAAGGGCCCCGCCTTCTACGGTGACATGACCTTCTTCCCCACGGGAAGCCAGTCCAAGGGCCTCATCCGCGCCGCGGGACTGCGCCTCTGCAACCTCGACGACAGGCCGCTGGGCCCGGACGGCAAGCTTGTGGCCATTGACGTCGCGTTTGACGGCGCCGACGAGGTCGACGCCGATCTCAACTGCATCAAGGGCGGCGGCGCGTGTCTTTTCCAGGAGAAGCTCGTTGCGATCGCGGCCAAGAAGTTTGTCGTAGTCGCAGGTGCGTTTTCTTTTTCTTTTCTTTTTTTACCCTTGTTCTTGTCATCATCCTCGTAGCGTAAAAACTCTCAGAAACTCAAAATGAGCTGACACCGATTCCCCCCCTTCCCAGACTACCGCAAGCTCTCATCGAGACTGCTCACAAACTGGAAGGCCATCCCCATTGAGGTCCTCCCCATGTCCGCCCCAGACGTCCTGGACAGACTGACGGCCCTCGGCGCCGTAAAGCCCGCTGTGCGGCCCGGCGCCCCCGGCAAGGCCGGCGAGGTCGTCACCGACAACGGCATGTGGCTCATTGACGCGCCGTTCCCGCAGCTTCTCCTGCCCTCCGACGTCACAGACGGCGGTGCCCGCAACGCGAGCGGCGCGTGGGAGGTCTCGGCGCTGGCCAAGGAGCTGCTGCTGATCCCGGGTATCGTCGAGATTGGCATCTTCCACGGCCTCAATGGCGTCGAGGCCGCGGCGGCGGGCAAGGTTGGCCTGGCGCAGAAGCCGGTGGCTGCGTACTTTGGTATGGAGGACGGTAGCGTCAAGGTTACCGGCAGCTCATAAGACGGCTGAAGTGGCGAGGAGGCGTTTGGCATTTTTTATAGCGAGAGTGAAATACCTAGAAAAGTTGGTTTGTTTTGTTTGCAAAGGAACAGCAAGATCATCTTGTGATGCGGGTGACTGAGTTGGTCTTCAAAGATTTAATGCGTGTTTTGTTTGAAGAAAAGATTGACAAGCCAAGAGGTGATTGCACTGCTCGGGAAGTACAACCGCCAAGCTGGTGGACCGTCCGACAGTTCCTTTTGCTTTACTCATAACAGCTTACCGCATCATATAGGTAACTGCCTCAGGGTCAAAGGGTTTAGTCGTCTTGCTAGGATGAATTATATATTACTATAAACATTACTCTCAGCTAATTGGTTGAAAGAAAGCGACCGGGGAAAGTTATTGACAACACGTTTACCACACAAACCCTCCACTTCAAGCATCAAGAACCTTCCACCCTCCGGCCAAGAGGTTCGTATAAATCCTCAGTGGGTCGTACTTGGCGCGAATCGCCTTGAGCCTCGCCAAGTTCGCCGCCGGGTAATTCTGGAAGATCTTCTGCCCCTGTCCCGCATCATTCAAGTACAGATAACCGCCCGCGACGCCCTTGGCCACCAGCCCGGCCTCAATCTCCGCCGTGACGCTGTCGGCAAAGGCCTTTGTCGCGGCATCGTCTTTGGCGTCTTGCCACGTCAGGTTCTCGACAACCCAAAAGTACGGCGCCTTGGACGGGTCCACGCCCTGGGGGTTGCCACCTTTGGCGACGCCCTGCTGGATGAACTCCTTGGTGATGGGCTGGAAGGTGATCGAAGCAGAGAGGCCGGCGATGCTGGTGAGATTGGCGCTGGTGGCTGCGAGGAAGGTGTCGTGGACATAGTCGACTGCGTCGCGGTTGACTACCAGAGACATGACGCGGAACCTTGAGGAGTCGGTCAGTAAGTTCAGAGTCCAGAAGACGACAAATCGAAGGCCGGGAAATACTCACTCTTGTCGGAGACCGGTCGGTTGAAGCGCGTCAACGGCACTCACATACTCGGCAAGAGGCTGCAGGGCGTAGGAATCGGCCACGGGCGCCAATACAGGAGACGTAAAGTTCTCAAACGCCGTCAATGGCGCGGTCTCGGAGTCGTAGAACCGCGCAGCCGCGTACGCGGTGATGTTATTCGAAGGGTAGGTGAGAATGGTGGGGATGATGGCGGCTTTACCGTCCGCGGAACCGTACTTTCCAAAGTTGTAGACGGCATCGAGGTACTTGGGGCTGTCCGCCTGCGCGTATTGCGAGATGCCGACCCACACCCGTGGCGACGCGAAGGTCTGGAGATCGAAGCGGGTGACGAGGGCAAAGGAGTTGCCGCCACCCTTGAGGGCCCAGAAGAGGTCCGAGTAGGCATTGGTGGCGGTGGCCTCGACGACGAGGCCGCTAGAGAGCACGGCCTGGTATCGGACGACGTTGTCGGCGGCGAAGCCGTACTGGTTTGAGTAGAAGGAGATCCCACCCCCGAGAAGCAGACCCGGGACGCCGACGCCGCCGATGCGGCCTCCGACGACGGCTAGGCCTGAGGGCGCGAGGTAGGAGTAGACGTCTCTCCACCTGTGACCGGCGCCCACAGATACAGTGGTCTTGTCGTCAGAGAGGGCCAAGGTAGTGAGATTGGACGTCGACAGTAGGACGCCGGACGAGCCGATGCTGTTGTATCCCACGACCGGCATGTGGCCGCCGCTGCGGACGGCGAATTTGGTCAAGCTCAGGGTCAGCGTGGTGACGGCGAAGGACACCTGCTGGGCATTCTGCGGGACAAAGACACAAGCTGGCGTGTTGTACTCCGTCGCAGACCAGTATTGCGTCTGCGTCTCGTACGTGTACCCGTCGGAGCCGGAGAAGAAGGTTTGCGTAGGGTAACGAAAGCTGAGCAGTCCGCAGGCGATCTTCTCGGAACCTAGAAGGCTGGAAGCAACGGCCGAGGTGGTGGCGGCGTCGACGACAACATCCTCAGCTGCAACAGCGAGGGGACTTGCGACAACAGCCAACAGGCTGGCGACAATGGATGAGACACGAACCATGGTTGTTGTTGGCTAGCTTCCCAGTAGAATCAGAGAAGCGACAAGCCACGACGAAACCTGAACGAGGTCTGGATGCAGGAGGAAAGTCAAGCATCTTTCTATCGCGGAATTCCGGGTTTCAAACCCAGGTTCGTGGCAAAGGAAATATCTTCAATTGGGAGGATTTAACCCCCAGGGGTTCCCATGAACCTGCAGAATATCGTTAGCGAAGGATGGAGGGGATCATGCAGGTTGGTTGATGTTTGCCATCGAGTGCAGTAGTGCTCCTTCTCATTGGCAGGTCGGCAGCAACCTCGCAGACGCGAGATGAGGTGTTGCCGTTGGTGGCGAGTCCCCCGTCGGTATCCTTGTTACACCCCACGTCGTCCGAGTCCCGAGTTGGGCTAGCCTGTCCGTTGGAACGAGTGTGAAAGAGAAAAAGATATTGCCTCGCTTGCATATCGCAAAACTTGCCGGTATACCCGCAAGTTGAGTGATGAGAATCCTTCTGATCATTGTGTCAGTCAGCTCGCATGGACAGGATGCGTCCGGGCTCTCGGTGCAGCGCCCCTTTTCCAGTAGGTCGGTGAGAGGGGAAGGGGGAGGGCTAACAAGAACGACCAACAAAGAGGAAAAAGCAATGTGAATGCGTTCTTTTAATGCACCCGTGTGGCCACTTCGATGATGCGGTGTCGCCGTCCAACTTCTCCGCAAACCAACGATCAATTCAGAGAAGCAAATCGCCCCGTCCTGACGACGTCGAACGATTCGCAATATGGCGACTTCGGTGCTCGGCTATGCTGAGATGATGGTAAGAAAGCAACCGACCCGCCCCCGCCGCCTCGGAGTCCGGCCCGGCCGGGGCAATGTCTCCGTTTGGTTGATCTCTGATCCGTGCCTCGGTCGTAATTGTCGCATTGGCCATGCTACATTGCTCCATTATTTCTTGGCTGACACGATCTCATGTCTGACAGATACTCATCTGGGTCATGTGGGGAGCCGCCTTTGGGATGACCGTCTTTCGAGGCAGCTTCCAATGGATCCTTCAGCGGCGCCTGTTCGTGGATGACTACTTGATTATCGCGGGACTCGTCACTCTGACGGCCTTGACCGCAGTCATCACCCGCATGCTGCCGCAATTCTACCTCGCCGGCGAGTATACCAAGGCGGTTGCCAAGGATCCTCTGACACCGTTGCCTCTCGCGCCCGAGGAGTTTGTCGGCAGGACAATTGCATCTCTCAAGTTGATGTTCTGTCAGATGCTGTTGTTCTGGACGACACTCTGGGCCGGTACGTCTATTCCTTCCTCGAGGGCACAACTAGAGGCGGCGGTGACTAAAGCTAATCGAACTTGCGCGGTTATTAGCAAAGTTCTCCATTCTCTTCTTCGTGCGAAGGCTTGTCAACGGACTGCCCAAATACATTCGCGCCTGGTGGGTGTGTTTTTCTGCAGTCTTGGTGTTGTATCTGGCTTGCATGTTCTCGAACTTCTTGACATGCACGCCGTTGACTAAGTATTGGAGTGCGAGTACGTCTTCTCGAACCTGAGACTGTAGGATGAATAGCTGATGCTGCAAAACCAGCCGGGTGCAGTGCGCCTGAGGACTTGGTACGAGCAGATGCGTCCATCAAGTTCGCGACCAGCGCAGATGTTGCGGCAGATATCTTCAGTACGTGTCGTTTCCGTCGCCACAGGCGGCACATACTCCTTATCCGACTAACACAATGTTCACAGTCATGATCCTGCCTCTCAACCTCTTGCGCAAGCTCAGCACCTCCCCGTCTCACAAATTCGGACTGGCCATCCTCTTTTCCCTCGGCGGCATCATCATAGCCTTCGCCATCGCGCGGCTCGCACAGGTGATAAAAGCCACAGGCGACGCAACAAAGGACCCGACGACCGTCGCTAATGGGCCAGTGCTCCTGAGCATGTGGAGCCACATCGAGTCGTCCGTCAGCATCATCGTCGCCACGCTGCCGGCCTTTCGCTTCCTCCTCAGCAAGAACAGGAACGCGACGAGGAAGACGACGGCAAAGTACGTGGGTCCTACGATTGGGGGCTCGGGTGGCATGTCGCTGCGGTCGAGGAAGTGGCAGAAGGGTGCGGTACGGCTGGAAGGCGAGAGCGACGGCTGTGGCTCCTCGGCGCAGGGTAGCGAGACAGAGCTGCAACCGGTGAGCGGGATCCAGAAAGAGGTCGAGTACAAGGTCGAGCAGTTGCCTGCAGACTCGTCGGTGGGGGAGACGAGGCGAAGGACCCAGGAGTTGTTTGCGTGAGGAGGACGAGAGATACCTTACGCTGGGGTAAGGTAGTAAAACCAGTTCGTGCAATCTGAGGATTCAATCTGGGGATTAGAAAGTACGGGCAAGGGGCAAGAGGATTCGGTCATGGCATCCCTTCGCACTTGCCTTCATCGTTCCTTCCTACCACTTCCGCAGTCCTTTTTGTTCCTTCCATGCTTACCTGTCGTGATGTCTGTTGGATTGATACGTACCTTGCCACCTCACCTACCTTACCTCAGGTAGGTAGTAACCTATCTAGGTACCCAGCTGGGTCCTTGGGGACAGGAACAGACTTACCTTGGGCAACCGCGAGAGACGACATGATAACGCATAGAACCCACGCGCCGAATGGGCCTTTGCGGATTCCAGTAGAGAGCTCGGCAGCTGCTCCCGTGTCCCAGCTTTTGCCCGGCGTTTCCCACCTTCTTTCTGCTTCATCAGAAGATACGCAGGCAGCATTTCCTTCTTAAAAAGCGTGTGCGCCTTGTCTTCCGCTCTTCAAAGTACACCATCGTCTTCGTTCGTCCTTCATCCACCTGGCCCATTTCTTTTTGGCAAACATCCCATCCGGTATTTCCAGGTTTCCACCAGCTGTGAGCAGTTTATATTGATACCGCAATAATCCCAGCATGGATTATCACAATCCAGATGCCTTTACTCCATTTTCTGCGTCCGACGTGCAAGCAAGCGTGGCGATGGAAGAACTAGGTTTCCAGCGTCATGCAAAGATTTTACGAACGCTCTTCAGCGCCAACTCTTCTGCGGCCTACGATGAAGATTTCCTCCTCAGTTTCAAGATTTCTCAGCAACCCAGACGCATTACCAGTCCGTTGCTGGCAGACCAGCATGATCGGCTTCCGCTGATCCGCCAGATCATCTCCCAGATGTCGCCGGCACCGGACAGTAGCTATCAACCTGGACTGCACTCATTTGTTTGGGCGTGGCTCCTAGTCATGCCGCTCCAGAGCTTACATTTGATCAAGGACATGGCCAATAAATCACTCTCCCCCGAGCACTTTACACTCAGGTTCCATCGCGCCACCATCGCCATGGGAAGCATTTTGGACCAGTGTAAGCCACCCTCCCTTTCCCTGCACCTATCCATGTACCGTTATCATACCCATATCACTCTCAGAACGATCAAGCACTGATAACTCCCAGTCGTACTCAGCAAATCACCTACGACGTACCCTGTTGCGTTATCGGACGAGCAAAATGTAAATTGCACCGCTCAATTCTCGTCCCGCCCGTTCTCTTGCTGCTGTGGCTTTTCGCGTACATTTAAGCAAATGTAGCTCACAAGTCTCAGGCATCACATCTCCATTTCTGTGCTATCTCGAACAAGCAATATCCCGTCTACGTCCATATCCTTCCGGTAGCCCCTCAACCGGATGACTTCCCTTCCCCTTATGGTTAGCATCCCGTGTGGGAATACACGCAGGATTCATGGTACACCATGCTTTCTCAATACACAGTAGTCAAGTCTGGGCAACAAGAACGCGCGATACGCTCGAACAATATGCTCGATCTCATACCCCTCACTCCTGAGTTGTGTAAAATGTGGCGCAAAGGATACTGGGGCTTGGAACCTCATCTAGGAAACGTATATAAAGGTATGCAAAGCGTCCGCATCATGTTTCGCTGGCTAGGGGCGAGCAGTGCCAGAATCCCGACCACAGACCTTATGGAGCTAGACGACTACCTCGTAACGGTAAATCACAACAATCACCCGCCTGATGGCCCGATGCCTCCGACAGATGTATTGTCAAGAGCATTGCTATGTGACGGCGACGTCTTCTATATCGTTACCAGAAATTTCGAGGAGTCCAGAAACGTCTACAAGTGCCTCCAGATTCAATGGGACTTGGTGAAGATCATTCATCTTTCTGGCACCGAACCTTCTCTTGTTTCACGGTTTAATTCGGTGAGGGTTGGAGAGGATATGGACGCTCATTCAACTACGGTACAACAGCCAACACCTTAAGTTGGGTAGTTGCGGCTTTGTCAGGAGGCAATGGAGCTGATCCCGGATATTCAAAATTTGACAGGGGAATGAAGCTATCTACCTAGTCTCCAGCCTCGAACACGAAGTAGTAAATTCACCGTCATTGAGCATACGCAGCTCCAGTCTGCGATTCGTAATTAAGACTTCAAATTGGCATATCGTGTCCCTTTACTGTGAGAATCTGACATTATCATCGTAAGACATGAGAGATGAGTTGCTCTAGACCAAACACCCTCGTGGGAAGGCCATCAATCCTCCTCTGCCGAAAAACAACCAAAACGCCATAGTCCGCCCGCCTATTATTAGATTCTCTAAGACTTTCCAGCACATTCGAATATGGTATCTAGGGAAATATACGAATGAAAAACCAAGCATAGTGGCAAAAGAGAGTTCACAAGTTGAGAATGTATATCCCACCCCCACCCCCCCTGGGGACAGAACGAGAATTCTTTAGGCCGCACCGGCCAGGTTCTTGGTGTTGAGCTTACCCCACCTCGATCCGAGAGAAATAATAAAGGAGATGCCGGCGCCGGCGACGGCCAATGCAAAGGCGACCTTGAGGCCGTCCATGTAGGCCTGGATGATGCCCGGGACGGCGTCGGCGGGGAATGATGTGCGGATCTGCGTCGCGCCGGTGAGGGCGACCAGGTTGGGGTCCACGCTGGGCACGTTCTCGGCCACCTTTTTGAGGACGGTGATGAGGAAGCCTGACTGGGCTGCGGCGACGTAGAAGGCTCCACCGACGGTTTGGAAGACTGTGGAAATCGTCATGTTAGCAAAGCTGTATCGAGAATCAAGGGGGCTCGGGGGGTGGGCCAGAGGCGGACTTACAGAGCAGAACGGCGGTGGCGGATGCGAGATCACCCTCGCTGACTGTGCCCTGGACAGCAATGATGGGAACCTGGAAGGCAGCGCCCCATGCGAAGCCAGCGAGGACCTGGTATCCGATCCACTTGTCGCTTCCGGTACCGATGTCGAGGGTGTAGAGGAGACCGGCGCCGACGGTAGCGAGGGCGGCGCCGACAACGAGGATCGGGGTGTACAGGCCCGTAGCGGAGATGGAGATGCCCGAGGCAACGGTAGCGATCGTGACGGCGATGATGAGCGGGAGGTTACGGACGCCGGACTGTATGGGGGACGCGTTATCGACGGACTGGAAGTAGATGGGCAGGTAATACACCAGGACGAAGTAGGCGCCAGCGAAGAAGAAGGCGTAGGCGGAGGAGATGTAGACGGTGCGGTCACTGATGAGGCGGGGCGCAATCATGGCGCGCTCGCCCTGGTACCATTCGAGGATGATGAAGGCGACGATCATGAGGCCGAAGCCGACAAAGAGACCGATGACGGTGGACGAGTTCCAGGGGTACTGGTGGCCTCCCCACTGCAGGGCAAGCAAGAAGGAGATCGTCGCGGCCATGATGAGGCCGGTGCCGAGGAGATCCATCTGGAGGAACTTCTCAAGCATGCTCGCCTTGACGGGAACGGCCTGGGGCGGGGTGTGGAAGTAGAAGAGGATGATGGCGGCGGAGAGACCTCCGATGGGGAGGTTGATGTAGAAGCACCAGCGCCAGCTGACGTTGTCGGTGAAGGCGCCGCCGATCAGGGGTCCAATGACGGAGGCGATGCCGTACGAGGCGCCGATGATACCGGTGAAGGTGGGTCGCTTGTCGGGCGGGGCGGAGAAGCCGATGATGGTGTAGGCGCCGGAGCCGATACCTGCGGCGCCTACACCGGCGATGGCGCGGCCGACGATGAGGGCGACGGAGCTGGGGGCAACACCGCAGATGAGACTGCCGACTTCGAAAATGAAGATGGAGAGCAGGAACGAGGTCTTGAGCGGGAAATACTTGTATGCTTTGCCCCCTGTTCGCGATGATATGTCAGCTTTGTTTTTCTTTTTTGGGGCAAAATTGTGTTGATAGGTGGGTTGATAACTTACATGTTGACTGGAAAGCGGCAACACACATGAAGAAAGCAGCACCGTACCAGGCGACCTGGTCCAGTCCGCGGAATTCATCAGTGATTTTAGGGATGGCGGTAGCGACGATGGTCATGTCGAGAGCGACGAGGAAAATGCTGAGAACGAGAGCGACGACGATGAAGGTGAGCCGGATGCCGGTGGGGTATTCGGCGTCTTTGGGCTCCGTTGGTTGTGATGAGCCGGCCTCCTCATCCGTTGCGACGCCGGCTTCCTCCTTCTTCTCTACTGTCTCCTCCCCCTCCTCAAGCATTGATGGTGAAGGGGTGTTTTCCCGGTCCGTCTCTCCGGCCTTCTCTCCGGCTTTCTCGCGTTGCGTCACTAGAGTGCTAGTGGTTGAAGTCATGGCTGCGGTGTTGGCAAGCAAGCAGCTCGATTACTCTGGCGATAAAACTTAGAGTTTGATGTGTCTCTAGCGACTTGTGGTTACTCGAATTCGAGCAAGGTTTGAGAACCCAGGTTGATTAGACTGAGGCTGAATGTCTCTAAAGTGCGTGCCACAAAATAGATGGGTACACAAGACCGGGGGAGGCCCGGCTCCCTTATGTATCTGAGCAGACGCCATGAACAGAAGCGATACGAGTCGGAGTTTGGAGAGCGTTGACGCCGGTAGACCGCCGCTCGGAGGAAGAGAACAACCCGTGAGTGTACCTTGGTTCACTCCGAGTGCAGTAGACGCCTGGGCGCGGTGAAAAGCTGACAAGGGGGGGGGGCCTCCTGAACGGAGACATTTGATGCGATGGCTCATGTATGGTGCAAGACTAACATGTGTACGATGTCGCGGTAGCATAACGGGCAACGAGTCGGTCCCAAGATGCTGGTGGTGTGCTCAGGTCCGCGAAAGATGCATTAGGCTGGGACGTTACGGTGGTACAAGCGAACGACTCGAAGCGTGATGTAAGGGCGTCATTGGTAAGCCCTACTACGAGCACTTTAGCCCGGAGCCCAAAAAGGAAAATGACCCAAGATGTGAGAACCTTTGCACAACTTTGGCGTTGCTGCTTGGTAACGACATAATGAACTTCGTCCAATCTCCGCATGCGTGCCGCGGGTGTGGTTGTAATTCGTGATGCATCCCTCCTCTTGGCCAGTCCTATATCTCATCTCAGACTACACTCCATTGAGCATATCTGGAATGTTCCGAAAGTCCGCAACATCCCTTGCAGGCTTGAATGGGGGGTCTCTTGTTCCTCTGAGGCTCTTTCCTTGGGGCAGATTGAGACGAAGATAGGCCGTCCCGAAGTTGCATCGCTTACGGTACATCAGCCGCCCCCTGTCTCTGTTGATGGGGTTACATTTACGCAGTGTGCAGTACCGGTTCCGCCGACTCGGTGGAAGTAATGGACATAACGACTTATCCTGCGGAGTTTGGGTGGGAGTTAGTCGGGCGGAGGAGTCAGAGCCTTCAGCCCTCACGCAGTGTTTGGTTCTTTGGGGTCGATCCGAGCCCCTAGAGACGCACTTGCGAACACCTGGTACAACCCAGTTGGGAATGGCTCGAGTTTCACGGGCATCTCCTTGGATGCTGCAGACGGATAAGGCTGGGCTTGTTGCCCACTGAATGCCGCCACATCATCAAAACCTGCGCCCGTCCCTACTTCTCGGACCAATGTTTCTCATGCTGATTTGTAAAGCACCCGTGTCCCTGATGGTTCGCCTGCCGGTGACTCGTCCGGTGATTGGGAACTCGAGAATGTTGAGACGAACAACGATAAGTAGGGACGAAAGAAAAAGAAAGAGAGAAAAGAGACGACGGCGCAGTAAGCTTGATCAGACAAGAATCGCCTAGTGGTGCGGAGTGGAGAGGACTTGTGGCGAAGAACCCGTAAGTGTCCATTGAAAGTGTCAATTGCATGGGCTGCTGGACAGTGTGCTCGATGCAAGGTGATTCATCTGCCGTGACTGCTAGGCCGAGATGATGCTAAGTCGGGTGCTAATTAAGGTAGAGAGAATGTCCCTTGCAACACGAATCACCTGGTGCCCATAGCGCGATAGAAAGCAAAAAGGCCATTACGAGTGGGTTTGTCGGTGGGCTAGGCTCAGAGCAAGCCGATTTGGGACCTCTGATTCATCAAAACATGCTCTGCGAATCCGGATGAAGCAATTTCGTGTATCGATAAATGAAGTGTACGGGAAAGGGTCTCGGGGGCCGGAGGAACAGTGAAAAAACGAAGCAGAGAGTGTCAGAGTGTGTGAGGTAGCGCAAGACGAATGTGCCGATCCTCGAGCCAGCTGGTCCGCCGAGTCTGTGGAGGATGATGCCAAGTGTCATGGACGCTTGGGGTGGCTTGGTGCTTGTAAGGCGGAAGAGGGTCGCCGGCGACTTTTGCGTGCCAATGTTTCCGTTTCACGTGTCGGGCAGATTGCCTTCTATCAGATTTACGAGGGCTGCAGAAAGAACCAATTAGGTACCAAATGACAATGAGGTAAGCAGCGACGGCAAGCTGCGTTCGATACGTACCTGCACCAAAAGTCTGGGATGGGTGGATGGACACAATAGGAAGGAGCAGGTACCGTAAATCTGCCCGGGGGCACTGACGGAAGATAGTATCGCGGCAGGGACGGGCCACTAATTCAATGAGATCCTCCCACGCTGGTACACGCACACAAATCAACCGGAAAGCACCACACACCAGGCGCACACCTGTACACACCGAGCTCTCACCTTCTGGGATGGTAAGGTGGGCGGCGGACCAGGCAGCGGACCAGGAACTCCGTGCCAGCCAAACTAGACCATCCCGCTGTCCTGGTTCTGGATGTTGCCGTCTGACCAAATAGGATTTCCCGACGGAATCCAACCCGCGCTGTTGGGAATCTCGCGCATCGCTTCGTGCCTAAGGTGAAGCAAGGCGAGGTATCTGGGGTATTGTCCACGACTGCGCATTACGTGCTCCGACAGGATTTAGGCATGAAGGCAAAACACGAGTGACCCTCCATTCCAGGCTGAATTGGACCGACCGAGCGACTCATCTCCGTCCGCTCGTAAGTCGACCATCCGAAGCGGTCCGGACCTTTCGGTTGATTCGGCCGCACCGTCCGCTCCCACCATCTTAAGGTGGACAATCTTTCCATCGCACCGAGAAGGTAGTCAAGACGCAGTGCTCACACGAGGAATGGAACGAATCCATTTTCATACGGGGTTTCCAGCGTGTACACGGGCCCCACAGCCCTCCCCATATGCTCTGCCTTGCAAGAGTCATGAGAATCCCAGCTCGCGGTGGATTCTCTGCAACTTTAAACAGACGACCTCACCCTACGGCATTCAACGGGCGTTCATGTAGTGTTCCTCTCTCTAGACGCGTATCTGGTTGGATGATGAGAATGGCGATGGCCTTTTCCCATTTTCCACTTTCCAGACCCTTTCCAAAATGCCAAGCTCTCTTGCCTTACACAAGATCCCCAGTCCTTAAGTCCTTATCAGGTATTCATCTCGCCAGTAATGTCCGTATCCGCCGCCGCGGGATCCGGACTATTAGGAATGTATCATTGGTTAGCTTCGAATGAAAGCACGACACCTCGCGTCGACGGGCGGCTTGGAGCCACAAATAAGATATCTGACGTGAGATACCCTGTGCCCTGTCACCGTTGTTGCACCTGGGATATCCCATAGCCCGGTAGTCAGAAATGCTATTTCATTTGAAAGTTGTCAGATTCCTAAAGTACCTTCCTTACCTTTATTAGAGAAAACATAGGAATGCACTGTCCTAGCACTGTGTGTTTCTTGGCCAGTGGGCAAAAGTAGCTGCACTCTACCTATTGTATTAAGTAAGCCTGGTGAGGCAGGTAATGAAGGTGGGTCGAGCACTTCCCCCGGCATGGTAGGACTGTGCGTATCAAGATCGTAGACACTGTCCTCGACTTTTCCACCACCTCAATTCACTGGGCTGCCATTTTCATCTTCTTCGTTAATTGATCGCACGTCAGACAACCTCGAACATGGCGGAAGCGGTGCCGCAGCCAAAGTCCATCCTCCGAGGCCACAAAGCTCAAGTGCACGCTTTAACCTTCATCCGGGGTAATGATCGGTTGGCCAGCGGAGATGCAGAGGGCTTCGTCGTCCTCTGGGACCTCACCATTATGCGCCCGACGGCTGTGTGGAGGCCACACGAAAACGCAATTTTGGGAATAAAGGGTTGGGGAGACGACCGAATCATAACGTGAGCATTCATTTATTGCTTCATCCCTGATATCCTCTCACGACCGACTCGACTCAGCCACGGCCGGGATCACAAGCTTGCAGTCTGGCAGTTGGGCCTCAAGGATGAGTCTCATCTGAGCAAGAAGCTACCTCTCGATGAGACACCAGAGCCAAGGCCACAGCCTTGGCTTTTGCATCTCATCGACGTCAACACCATGAATTTCTGCTCATTCGCCTCGTGCGCTCCGCTGCCTGGCGACGCGACCGAATCATCGAGCCTATTGCTGGCTGTGCCAAGCACAAGGGCTTCGGAATCGGTGAGTTCACCACCCCGCCAATTATCTCCGCCTTTAAGCCCGGGCTTCTGCATGAGACCCGGAACCTGACCCGTACATCCCTGATAGGTCGACATCTACGAATTGCCCTCCAAAAAGAGAACTCACACAATCAAGTTCTCAGAGAAAAATGGCATGGTCATGGCTCTAGCCTTGCTGTATACTGACGGAGCCGCGTCTACAGGGCCCTCCACCAATGGTCGTTTGACCCTCGTCGCTGCATACGAGAACGGGTTGGCAACGGTTGTGCAGCTCGATAGTGGGACATGGAATACCACCTACTTGTCTCAAGTCCACAAGCAACCCATCCTCTCACTCGACGTCGTTGCGGAGAAAGGCTACTTTCTTACTTCCGGTGCAGATGCAACGATCGCAAAACACCCTATTCCGGGAGCCAACTCCGGCATCGACGGGGAGATTGTCCAGCAACCCTTGAAGATCCTGAATACCAAGCATTCGGGCCAGCAGAGTATACGTATTCGGGACGACGGACGTATCTTCGCTACTGCCGGCTGGGATTCGATGCTTCGTGTGTATTCTTGCAAAACCCTCAAGGAAGTGGCTACTCTCAAATGGCACCAGGCGGGATGTTACGCGGTTGCCTTGGCCAGTGTCAGCGCGATGACTAGGACTGATGAGACCCGGAGCGCTTCCGGCGATCCCAATCAGCTTCCCCAGGATCTTATCTCTCGTTCAGGACAGCAACTGAGCGTCAAGGACAGGCGCATACAGCAGGCTCAAAATGCCCACTGGCTGGCAGCCGGGTGCAAAGATGGCAAGATTTCCATGTGGAACATTTTTTGAGGGTACTTCCTCGAGAGGAATACGATCCTCCTCCCTGGCCCGTTTCGCAAATGATCCTGCAGTGAGACCTACTGTGATGGACACCGTCTAGCGCGTAGCCTAAACATGATATCCCTTTCAAAGGTCATTGGAGGCTGGTGGAAGCTTACGCCAGCGCAGCCTGCTTTTAGGGCCCAATGTTCTCTGCCCGTGTCCGAAGAGTAGCAATTGATATCTCCCAAACAATGATCGCCTGATGCACGACTTGCCACCTTCCCCGCGTCTAAGGAGCTCACCCATAATGCCGTCGTTTAACCCCATGCTAAGCACTAAGACAGGAGCCATTGGATGGGCGTACGAAAGACTGTTTACGGCTGGGGTATGGACTCTTGAGAAGTCTCATGTTTAGGGATAACGATCCAATACTTTCTTTTGCCGACTGAAGCTGACGTGAGAGTAGGGTATCCACCCGTCGTCGCATCCATCGTGCTGTAGATTATTTCCCTCGTCAAAGAAAGTCGAGAGCTTGAACCCCCTCTAGAGCACCGCATAATATTCACGCTGGATGGGATAGTCGAGCCGACAGAGCTCCACGTCTTCACTACCGTGGAGGAACCGCTTGCGAGCCTCCCGACGAGCTCAATCGGTCCCTGAAGGTCCACAAGCCGGCAATATACAGTGTGACATTTGATGGACCCAACATCATATAAGGAGATGGCCTAGCCGTTCTTTTCTTGGACATTCAAATCAATCGATATCCCCTTCCTCACTTGATTGTCTTAGAGTTCCCTTTCATCTATCCTACGACCGATTTTCCTAGCGAACAGACCAGTCAATATGTCGGTCATCGGCCAGGAATACAAGAACGTACCCGCGCTAGGCATGAATGCCTACGCGGCGCCCTCCCTGTTCCAACCACACAAGGCTCGTCAGGCCATCCGCGATGCTCACCAGAAGAAGATCCCGCCATTGATGTGCTACTATGCTGGCCTCAGTGCTCTTCCCATCACGCGCTTCCTTGCCCCCATGGGATATGACGCAGTCTGGATTGACTGGGAGCACACTTCCTGCAACGTCGAGACCATGACGTCGGTAAGTCATTGGCCGGAACCGCAATTAGAAGTGCCGGCCATCACTAACAAGCGGCGATAGATGGTCCACGAAGCCATTTTCATGAGCCAGGGACGAACCATCCCCTGGGTTCGGTGAGAATTCTCAAAGACATTAACAACTGCAGAGCTAGCGCTGACACAGCTCCCACAGTGTTCCTGGCCACGATCACGCCGCCATCGGCTACGCCCTTGACTGCGGTGCCAGCGTCGTTATCCCGCAGGTTGAGACGGTAGAGGAAGCCAAGCACGTCCTATCGGCTGCCAAATACGGTACCAAGCAGCGGGGTACACGCTCTGCCCCCCCCTTCCGCCTCATCCCCTTCCTCACCGACACCCCATACGACCCCAACCGCGACATTCACAAGTGCGTCAACGACCAGGCGGCCATCATGATCCAGATCGAATCCGCCGAGGGCGTGCGCAACCTCGACGCGATCCTCACCGAGTGCCCGGACATTGACGTCGTCTGGTTCGGCACGCTCGACTGCCGCGTCAGCATGAACCTCGAGGCAAAGATGGGCGGCATGGGCGCCGACGAGCCCGAGTGGCTCGAGATCTCAAAGCTCTTCTTCGATACGATCGACAAGCACGACAAGCCGTACGCCGGATTTGCCTTTTGCGCGCCGCCATACGGCAGCCCGGAGAAGATTCGGGAGGCGGCCAAGAGGATGAGTCTCATTGCCATGTCGGCCGATGTGCTCCACCTCGGCGCGCTGGCTCAGGATTTGATGATTGCCAGGGAAGCAGTTGGCTCGGTCGGTCAGAAGAATGGCAATGGTACGAACGGGAAGCAGGCGGAGAAAGCGGCCGAGGAGACGAACGGTAAGGACTAGAGACGAACATTTTACGAATTCATGATCTGAGACCTTGTGTAGGCATACCCTTGAGAGAAAGAGAGGAATAGATTCTTTGCCTACAACGGAAATCTCTATCCAAAATCGAGGTCCATACGTATATGAAACTGTTGAATATAGGGGGTTCAAGGAAGCAGGGTGCCTTCCATCCTTCCTCACACACCCAGTCATACGTCGGATGTCAGACGCACTCAACACCCGATCATGTACATGATGGCTTCCCACTAAGCCGTTCCGGCTACAATTTTGAACGGTGATGGGACTTTCTGCAGTACACAGCAGCCACACTTTACGTGAGCTGCGTAGATTAGTACTTTCATAGCCACATACACGGAATAGACAAGCATTATCCACCTTTCCGACCATACCACGTTGTCCCACCTCGAGGATCTAGAGCTTCAACTTGGACTTTTGTAGGAGACAAAACGACTCAACTGCATGATTGACAACCCCGGCCCTGCCTACGACGCTTTTATCCTGCAGCCCTCTCCTACCTACGGGAAGTCACGCTTTGTGTTGTAGACCACCCAGCCTACCTACTACCTATTATTTATTTTTTTTACCGCGTTTGTATGACCGTTGCTCGAGCTGCGTCGCTCGGCCGCAACCTTTGGGCAATAAGCCAGAGATGATTGCCACATTTCTACATGAAGTCCGCAAAGCATCGTCCACAGCGGCAGAGAGAGCTTCCCTACTGCTGTGTTCCATATGCTACTGTGATTTCAAGGAGTGTGCTATTGCCCTGCCTTCTGAGAGTGGTGCGGCATCGCATAATTTAATATCCAATCGCCGCCAGTCACGGTTTTCTGAACACCAAGCATGGGCGATCAGACGCCGGACGAGGATGCCGGATGATGCCTTCGAGTTCCCTCTGGTGCTCCAAAGTTGGAACCAGCTCAAATATAATCACGCGACTGGATTACCTTTCCTAGAGTACTAATTCTCAGATAATCCTTTTGTTTTCTTTAATCCTTCTCGACTACTACAACAACTGGAAATCAACCGATTACATGCCTTTTGGCTGGCTTCTCGACTCACTCGAGGCACCGCGTAACCTGAGACACGTTGGCTACTGATACTAGGAACCTGGAGCGGCGCGGCAGCAGTACCAAATTCTGGGTGACTATCCGTACTTTTGGCGAAAGACACTAGGGGAACGAACATGCACATCCTTGTTCGGATCGATGCCGAGATGATTCTCGTCTCCCCAACCCTCTGCATGGATCATCATTCCATCTCAGGCGCACACCCAGTCCAGAAAACAAGCTCTCGAAAAAGTTGGAGACGCAGCGGCAAAGCTACGAAAGGTACTTGGGAGTTGGTCATCTGGTGCAAAGCTTCTGCCCTAATTGGCAAACTTCTCAGGGTCCCTCGCGTATCTGAAGGGAGTCGAGAGTCACTGTGTGCGATCCCGCGTTTGCTATTGGATGAAAGCATCCAAGCGGTACGTCTTGTATTCAGCTTTCATGTCGGAGGCCCTCCACGCAGCATGCACGATGGAAATCAAACAAGAATGAGCAGCTCAACAGAAAGGAAACTAGACTTTGCCTTTCCGGCTGTTATCATCAAGCCATGCCCATGCTCTCGGTATTCTACCAATTCCTCCATGCACTTCCTCGTCGACCAAATGCCTGACCTCGGTCATGCACTCATTCCTTGCCGGTTTTGGGAGCAGTGCCTTCTCTCTGGATCTCGACTCGCCTCAACTAGCTGCATAGATATCTGGAGGTAGGTCTAGCACTTGCCTTGCTCGTAGCCCTTATCTGGTATAAACTGATTTGCATCCTTGGAAACCCCGCCTGAGTCATCAATGCTGTGCTACGACATTGACGACGCGTCGCTCCGTTTGGTCCTACAGATGCAGTTGGAGGATCTGGAGAATATCAAGCAAAGCAGCAAGGGCAAATCCCGAATAGACGAGGTCTCTGATCTCGACCTGGCCATCGAGACATACAATGCGGAGCTCAAGACGCAAGCTGGGCTCGCGGCGGATAGGTGCATGTGCAAAAGCATAGTCAAGGCCAATCGATCCGACTGTCGCCTCATTGAAATTCTCACGAAACAGGAAAAGCAGGCCACCCGCGACAGAGAAGCGGCTGTTCGACTCAGCAACGGGGCCGAACTCGGTGAGGATGTGTCTCCTACAACTCCCACAACCCCGTCGGAGGCGACTTGCGCAAGTGTGGAAGATGAGGCGTTATTGCGAAAACTCGAGTGCCTCTACGTCAACGTTGATGGCGGTGGGGTCGATGGGGACGACGACGACGAAGAGGACGATGCTGTCGCCTCAAGCGAGCCAGAATCATCGTTGTGGGCGGCCTCCAGAAAACAAACTGACGTGGCAACGACTACACTCGTCATGCGCGGGAAGAAGACAACCTGCGACAGTTGTACGCATACCTACACGGCCACCGCAGTCGCCCAGCTACCGTGCAACCACGCATACTGCCGCGACTGCCTGCGGACCCTCTTCGAGCTCTCCCTCACAGACGAGTCGCTCTTCCCACCGAGATGCTGCAAGCTGCCTATCCCCGTGGACGGCAACGCCAGAGCTCTGCTCTCTTCGAAGCTGGTAGGGGAGTTCCGCGCAAAGGAGATTGAGTTCTCGACGCCCAATCGGACCTACTGCCACAGGCCGACCTGCTCCCGGTTCATCCCCAAGGAGTTCATCAGGGCCGACGTCGGAACCTGTCCGCAGTGCCAACACCAGACGTGCACGATGTGCAAGGGCGCCGAGCACGGGAACGAAGACTGCGCGCAGGATACGTTGACGCAGGAGCTCCTTCAGGTCGCTGCCGCCAACGGGTGGCAACGCTGCTTCTCGTGCCGAAGGATCGTGGAACTCGACCACGGTTGCTATCATATGAGTGAGTCTTTCTCTCTTGTTGGCTTGCCCAGCAATTTCACCACACGACGAGCGCGAAAGGTAGCTAAACAAGTCATTTCAAATCCGTCAAACAGCCTGTCCCTGCCGAGCTCAGTTCTGCTACCTATGTGGTCTGCAGTGGAAGACATGCACCTGTGAGCAGTGGAACGAGGAGCGACTCGTCGCCCGCGCGAACGTGATTGTGAACCGCGAGGCCGACGCCATTCACTTGAACGCCGCGGTTAGAGCTCAACGGGTCGAGCGAGAGGCGCGCAACCTTGTTGAGAACCACCAGTGCGCCCATGACAGTTGGAGGAGCCGCCGCGGCAGGTTCCGGTGCGAGGAGTGCCATGACATGCTGCCAGAGTACATTTACGAGTGCGCGCAGTGTCGTATTCACGCGTGTCGCAGGTGCCGCCAAAATCGGCTGTGAATTACGTACGGAATTCAAGAGAAAGAGGGATACCTGTGGGAAGAATTGCAGTTTGCGAATTAGGAGTCAAAAAACGTTCTTCATCGAGATGACCTACCTCGCTGTCCAAAACCGTGCAAAAGAAATGGTCATATTGCACTGCCCAATATCAAACAAAACACGTATATGTATGTATATCACTGAAGATCGTCACAAAATGCAAAAGATAATGCGGCCAGTGTGGATTGAACACACGACCTTCAGATTAAGTGATTGAAGTTGACTTCAGTCTGACGCTCTCCCAACTGAGCTATGTCCGCCGCATTTGATTGGTGACAGACGTACTCGTGTAGTGCCCTAAGTAGCGCGGCCCTTAGCGCTCTCCCGCGCTTCGGGCCCAACGTCAACTCCATCACAACTTCAGGGGTTCTAAGAGATGAACCTCCAGATATGATCTCAAAAAGGAGCCAAATTCGTCGTGTTTTTTTGGGGGGGAGGGGGAGGAAGTGTATCAATGAAAATGTTCCGCACTGGATCTTTCAAAGCACATCTTCAATTGCGAAGCAATATTAACTTGGCGGGCCTTGCGAACTCAATTTCATCTGAAGAGTCTCAACCAATAAATACTCTTGTGTATTGAACCTTTGATCTCGAACTTTCGTATACACACGCTATCATCATACTTTCTTTTCTATTTGTAGATCCCTCGTCCGCTTTTTTGTGTTTCTCAACCCCATACCCCAGCAAACACCGCATCACACAAATCATTTCAAGCCAACCACCCATCATACGCACTCAACTCCTCCCGCCTGGCACCCTCCATCTCCCCCTTGACGCCCAACAACCGCACCCTCGCCCCCTTCTCCTTCCCCCACCCCTCCAAAAATGCCTCGACCCTATTCTGCGTGGCCTCGTCGTCCCTCATCACCAAAGCCAGCGCATCGAACCCGCCCGCGCCGGGCACAACCCCGCCTAACACGCCCTCAACACCGCCAAGCGCATCCAGCAGCTCCGTCTGCGCCTCGGGCTCAATCGGCACGCCGCTGCCGACCCCCATAGCCCGAATCAACCCCCTCACATCCGCAACCGCGCCGCCGACCTTGTGCACCTCGCCATCCTTGAGCGCGGCCGCGAGCGCCTCGTTCTTGCCCTGCAAATCATCCCACAACCTCTTACTCCCCTCGGCATCCGCCTTCCTCCACTCAAGCACCTTCTTCACCATCCCCACCGTCTGGCTGCCACAATCAACGTCACACATGCGCAAGCACACGCCCTCGGGCAACCCCGTCCCCGCCTTATCGACCTCGACGTCCCACGCGAGCAGCTCGTCCACCTTGCGCACCAACGCCTCAGAGAACCCAGGCGATCCCGCGGCGCCGAGATCAGAGAGCAGAGACGGGGAGAAGCGTCGGTACCGACAGCTGCCGAACACGGCGGCCGCGACGTCAAACCCGGATCCGACTTTGCCCTGCGCGGCGCAGTGCGCCGCCTGCGCGAGGTTGTGGAGCGTGTGCTTGCCCGCCTGGGAGTTGATGTCGAAGAGCGAGGTGGGCAGGTGGTGCGTTAGGAGCGCGGCTGTCAGGGAGGTGACGAGCGCAGCGGAGGAGCCGAGGCCGGTCTTGTGCGCTTCGCTGATGGTGTGCGGGTACCTGGCGAAGCGGGTGCCCTTGGCCGGGGGGACGGCTCCGGAGACGGCGGAGTCGGGGTCGGCGGACGGCAGTGAGTAATAGTCGTTGTCGGCGAGGATGATGAGGCGGGTCGAGGTCAGGGAGTGGCTGGGGCGCTGCTTGTTGATGCGGGCGATGTAGGTGAGGGCATAGCTTAGGGTCGTCTCGACAAATGTGTTTGGGTCAATTTTGGAGCCGCTGGAAGGTGGGGTTAGTGAGTGATTGAGTGAGTGAGGCAATATGAGATTTCCATGAGTGAGCTTCCTAAACGTGGTGGTGTCGACCATGAATTCAAAGTTTGTCAGATCCATATGAGAGGGCATGGCATAGCAGACGGGGCACAGCGGCTTTTCATCCGACTCAATACTCATCTGACGCGCGATATCTCAAAAAAGTGCCCCTCATCAACTCATCCCACCAAGCCCCGCACCACGCTTGAAGAACTTTGAGACACGATCCCCTCAAAACCAGGCCCCCCAACGCAGGACCGACGAAACGCAACCTCACGAGGAAAAGGGAAGTAAATGTTAAAAACACCAAGGTGAAAAGCACTTACACCTGCAGCTGCGTGACCGTGATGCCCCCATCCTCGGGCGCAAGATGGAAGCCGTAGCGCCAGACGGCGTCGACGAACTGAGGGCTCTCGACGACGATCTCGGTCAGGTGCACCCCCGGAATGGTGTGGATCTCGGCGGCCACGACGTTGATGCGGGCGCTGAGCCCGAAGACGAAACCAGTGTAGGCCCGGTCCAGGACCAGGTAGCCGCCCGCGAGGAGGACCTTTCCAGGCGCCGAGACGGCCGTCGTCGTGGGGTTCGCTATCACCGAGGCCGTCATCTTTTGGCTCTAGTGGTGTATGTCTTCGGGGTCGGTTCCGTGTGTGTGTGTGTGTATGTGAGATTCCGATCCCGGATTGCAGGCCGAGGCAGGTATCTATAACCGTAAACCTCACCAATTGAAACTGAACAGCTATTGAGCTTGAAGTCGGAACTTGAGAATGCTGATTGCAAGGTGAGTTATAGTGAGGGGTGGTTGTGTGATGACGCAGGCGTGATAGAGGTGAGGCAGCTAGGTGGTGGAAAGTTTGGGATGCGAAATCGCATCGTGGGAGCGGGACAGACGCACAGTGCTGGTGAAACGTGTGAAGAAGACGCTGCACTGATAATGCACTGTGCACATCTCAGGTTCCGTCCCAACGAGGAGCCTCATATCGCCAGGCGTGGTACACTCGAAACAGTAACTCAAGCTGCCAATGGCTCCGGCTCCGGCGGTCAGACTTTCCAAATTCATTTGGTCTCAAACTTTACAGACGAACCTAAGCCTAACTTACCTTTGCAACGACATCACCTAGCAAGTCTTCGAGTCTTATCATAGACACAGGAAGTGGGAGTCATATCCAAACGTTGATCTTCACAGATGACAAGCATGGTGTTTGAACAGTCGACAAATCTTATTTGTTGGATGCTGCCGGTAATATACATACAGCAGGATCACATGCCCTCATGACATGTCGTCGTAAACCGACCCCCCAATACCCTTTCCATCCATTCATGATCCTCTATGCTGCGTTGCGCGTCTATCCGGCGCCCTCTTTTTTATACTATGCTTGAGTGGGGTTGTGTCTATAGTTTGGGCCATTGGCCGTCATCGCTCGCTTTCCGATAAAAAGCCCCTGAATGGGTGCTCAGTCGCCGTGACCCTTTTGTTTCCAGACAAACGCCATACCGTCCCCAGTGTCCCGATTATGGGGATACGGATTCAACTTCCAGTTGAAACTCCAAATTTCAAAACCATGTGACAAAATGAAATGCTTCCGGCGCACTGCCGTAAGCCAGACTGGCCGCCAATCCTGGCCAGACACCCTCAGTCCACCTACTTTAAAACACAACGGGGTATCAAGCAACGCGGCAGATGAGGGCAGTTACAAAGGAAATGTGTTCGTCGAAGGCACGCGCATATATCAATGCGTGTTTCGATAATTTGTCGAACAGGGTAGGCGAGAAAGGTTTTTGAGCAAGCTTAGTTGTGTGCAACAGCTTCCTCACCACCGCCACCGCCAAGGAGCTCCAGCACCTTGTTAACAACAGCACTGGGGTAGCCGCGGCAGAGCATCTCTCCAACAACACCCTTGGCCTTCTCGCGTTCCTCAACAGCGAGGTAAGCACGAGTCATGGCCTCGTATGTGCTGGGCTCACGCTTCTCGTGACCGACGGAGTCGTAGATAGCCTGGGCTTTGTCAATCTGCTTCTCGGCGGCCCAGCCGTGGATCAGCGTGTTGGCGATGTACGGCGTCATCTCGACACCTCGCCGACGCATCTGACCAAGCACAGCCTCGGTGTCGGCTACCTTGTGGTTGGCAACCATTGCCTCAAAGAGGGCTTGGAAGAGGCTGGCGTTGGCGGTAACAGCTCGGTCAGCCATGACAGAGTCAAATACCTTGCGAGCACCATCCATGTCGTGCAAGTTGCAACCGCGAGCGTGGATGAGAGCGGCGAAATGGATGGCCTCAGGCTTCTGACCGGAGGTGCGGATGGCCTCCAAAACCTTCTCGGCAGCGGCCATATCAACAGGCTCGAGGGTGGCATGGGTATCAACAAGAAGCTTATAGGTGTGAGCAGTAGGTGCAATTCCCTTGACCATCATGCGATCGTAGTAGGCAAGAACCTTCGCCTTATCGCGCTTGGTTGTCAGGAAGAACTGCATCATACTGTTGTACGGAGCAGGACGAGCCTTGTAGTTGGGCATCGCCTCCATCTCATCAAAGAGCTCCTCCGCAAACTTCTCGTCGCTGACGCGGCAAAGAGCGTTGACGATGGTACCGTAAGTGACAGAAGTAGGCTTGATTCCCAGGGCGCGCATCTCAGCGAAGTAGAACAGGCAGTCGTCGATGCGACGAGCCTTACCCAGCTTGCCAATCAGAGCGTTGTAGAGGAAAGAGCTAGGCTCAACACCCTCAGCCTTGGCACGGTGGAAGATCTTGACAGCCTCGGAAGCTTCGTCGAACGTCTTGGCAGATTCCTTGAGGGTGGTGATGTACAGACCAAAGGTGTTGGCGGAAGGGGCGGCTCCCATGGCGAGCAGCTCCTGGTGGTACTGTTCGGCCATCTGACGATATCCAACGGTGAGGCAGGCGCCAACCATGGCATCCAGGATAGAGGACCAGCCGTAGCGGACAACAGCGTACTGAGGCAGCAGGGGGACGTCAGTGCGGGCCATGGCGAGAATGTCATTGCAAAGCTCCATCTTGCCTTCGCGGGAAGCAGCAGAGATCAGCTTGGCGTAGGTGATGTAGCGAGGGTGACGACCGGCACGGCGCATATTGCGGAAGCGACCAAGAGCATCCTGAAGTCTGGGACCCTTGCGACCGTGGGAGCCCTCCAGCTCATCGGAGATCAAGGAAGAGCCCTTGAAGTCGGTGTTGTGTGCGTACGGGTCGAAGGAATCCTCAAAGCTTGAAACTGTGGCCGATGTGGTGAAGGGAGAGGCGGAGAGGTTCTGGGAAGACAACTCGCGAGGATCGGTGATGCCGCGGCTGCTCATGAATTGGTGAACAAAATCAACGCCTTCCTCGATCTCGTCGGCGGACTCAGGGCTAGCGGCACGAATTCGCTGGAACATGAGCTCCGACTCGGCCAGGCCCTCGGCAACTTGACCGGATCCAATCATGGCAATAGCGTACATGGCAGTGGGCTCGATGAGAGCCGAAGTGACCGGGGTGCCAGGAGCACAGAGAACGTGCCAGTAGCGAGCAGCGGAGGCAACATCGCCCTGGCGAACGCTCAAAGCAAGGAGTGCCATGGCGGGGGTGGCAATCTGGTGGAAGTTGATGGGCAGGTTGGCAAAGGCAGCAACAGCGGTATGCTTGTCGCCGTGGTCAGCAGCACGCGTAGCAAGGCTGCTCATAGGGTCCGCCCTGACCTCTGCTTCAACGACCTGGGCCCAGCGAAGAGCCTCGTTGAAAATGCCGCGATCAGTGAAAGCCTTGACCATGCCAGAGCTGACAATCGCATCCTTGATATCGCCAGCGCGGACACCGTACTCCTTAATAATCTTTTCGTAGAACTTCATCGCACCTTCAACCTTATCAGAGATAATATAGGCGTGAATGACAGCGGCGTACACCTCGGCGTCCAACCGGTCATTGAGGGTAGGCTCGCCGTTGTCGTTAGCAACGGCAAGGTCCTTGTACTCGTTGTAGCACTCAACAGCACTGACAAGGTCGCCAGAAGTCGCGAAAGCAGTGATCATGCTGGGAAACATGGCGGCGAAGGGAGTGACGCGGTTCAGCTCCATGTGCTCGTACAGGCGAAGCATGTCAGTAACACGCCCAGCTTGAGCACAAGCGGAGATGAGCTGGTGGTACGACTCAGCTGAGTAGGATGCTCTCTGAGTGAGCACCGACTTCTCAAACATGTCCATGGCAAGATCGAGCCTGTCATCCTCGGAGAGGATGGCATGCTCAAGCTCGTGAGAAGCGAACATGAACTTGCCGGGCTCATCCATACCGCCGAAACGCACCAACTTATCATGAAGAGTCTTCTTCAAAGAGGCGACCTCGAGGGATCGGGCAGCAAGAAGACCGACAAGAATGTTGTAGGTATCGCTGTCCGGTACGATCTTCCGACGGAGCATGTCTGCGTAGACATCCAAAGCCTTGGTAACCATCTCATTCTTGGCGGTGGGCAGGTGGATAGCGGCAACCAATAAGGCATTGTAGGCGCTCGCGATGGGCTGCACGCCAGCGACCAGCATGGCCTCGAAAACGGCCGGGATCTCGGCGTAACGGCCATCCTCAGAGAGCTTGTGAAGGTGGTCGGCGTACACTTGTGATTGGGGGTCAAAAGGAGGGGTGGCAGTTCGAGCTACGCTGACGGGAGTCCGTGATCTGTCGATTGCTGGGGACTGGTATGAACGAGCTGCGGAGCCATTATGGGATGCAGATCGAATAGAGTGCTCGGAAGCCTCTTCCAAAGCCTCTAGGCGATTCCTGAATTCGATTTCCTTTTCGAGAGCTGCATCAATCTGTGCTAAGGCGGCTTGTGCCTCTAATGGGATTGGTGGTGCTTCTCCATCCTGAGCGGCGGCGTGCTCCTCAGCATCGTGAGTCTTTGACTCGCCGACGAGGATAGAAGCCGGCGAAGGCTTCCACTCAATCTGGCGCTGGAACTGAAACTGGGTCCATTCCTTGTCGAGATCCTCCTCAGAGGCCTGCTGCTGCTGCAGCGCCTCAAAGTAGGCGTCTAAGCTTCCATGCTTGAGCTTCTCGTCGAGCTTCTCGTGGTGGTGCTGGGGAAGACCTGCACTTGTCCGCTCGGCGGTGTGGAAAGCGGACTGAAGCTGGAGAGACTGGAGGCGACCGAAACGGTTGGTGTTCCGACGCGCAAATGAAGGTCGGTTTTGGGTGTTGAGGATGGGATGTGTGGCAGCTACGACGGACTGGGCGTAGCCGTGGGTGAAAGATTTCGCAAATCCTTGACGGATGAAATTCTGGTACAGGGAGGAGTAGATGGTGGGCATTTAGAAGACGCGGTGGAGGGGGGAATTCTATATGGCGGGATTGTCAGTCTGCAGCTTTCCTCTAGAGATGCATAAACCGTGATCGACAAGATTTGCGCTGTCCTTTCCGCGTGTTCAGATTACACAAGTCTTTGTTTTTTCCCCTTCTCCGTCTTGTGACGAAGCTGCGGCTGTTTCGCCACGGCAAATAAGCCGGGCGAACGGGGACGCGGCAACGGCGACTCAGGCAGTCGCCAGGATCATGGGCAAGTGATAACTTACATAGGGAAAGATGAAGAGTCCGTTGCAGGTTCATTTGACAGCACTGTAGCCGCCAAACAAACGCGCGATCTGATTAAAAAAGGGTTATTGTATTGGGTACTGAAAAGCAAGAGGAGGGAGGGGAGCAAGGCGATGACGGGAGGGGGCCTGAGGTAGAAGTATTGGTCTGAGGCGCCGGTGTATTTTGTCTACCCGTAGTAAAATGCCTGTGGTGGCCGCAGGAAAAAAAAGGTGCAGGGTATACCGATCGGTAGGAAGGTGGGAGTGGGAATCGGCCTGGGAATGAAAATGGGAGAGAACGGGAGCGCGTTTGAGATCGGACGGAGTCAATGAGGCGTACAGCCCGATGGAAGTCACTTTTGTGCGGTTTACTATGTGAGCGCCGCGGTTGTCATCGAGGCAGGTACTTTAGTGCTTCTGTCATCTCAGCTGGAGCTAATACGGGATCGTCAACCAGCCACGGCTCTCCTGCTCTCGACTTGCTTCCTCACTATGTGGCTGTCTCTTTCAGACTCTGGAAGGAATGGAGCACGGAACAGAAGGGGGGCCAGCTACAGGCACGCTAGACAAGGGCGAGTAGCAGACCAGGGGAAGAGCAGCAAGGTGAAGGCGAAGGCGAGGGACTTTGCAGTCTCACTGATACACGAAGATACTGCGAGTTTGCGAAAGATGTTGGAAAAATCCACAGGAATATGCGCAAAAGACTGGGGAACTTGTTCGCGTGGATTCGGAGCTGTCGCCTGGACCAGGCCGACCTCGTCCAGTCATGTTGCGCGCTGGCAGGACAGGTGCGGGTACGTGACGGCCAAGGGTGGATTCGGGAACTTTAATTACTAAAGCCGTTGTGTCCGTCCAAGCAAGCACCTCCATTTCCTTCCTGCCATTTTCTGAGGGTGGACACATTGTGGCTACTCCTTGTTATTAATGACTCAGGCAGCAAACCCCGAAGTGTTTGCGACCTCTGAGTGGCTCATGGCTGTCTCTAGCCTCGTTTTGCTGTGGCTCACTCCCTTGTTCGTGTTTGGGTATCCGGACCAAGCATTGAAAAAGCAATGCTGGTTGATTGGAATGGATCATGACCACTACCTTAGGCCCTGGCAAAAAAAAAAATCGTGGAGTAGAAATAGATACCGAGACAGAGACGAACAACAAAGGGAATGGATGAGGTGGCCTCAATGCCCTTTCTTCCCGACATCTGCCTCCTCCCATCGACCTACGCCTGGGAAGCTGACAGGTGACGACGAGAGGAGACCGGATGAATCGAGGTCGGAGACGGGACGGATACGTCTAGCATACGCTCCGGGGCCGATGATGCATGTCATAAGGTACTAGAGGTGTTGAAGGCGCAAAAGGTACGGATCCTTTCGCAAGTTTGAAAAGCCCGTTCGGTCACAAGTTCTTTCTGGCCCCTCACCTCCCTCGGCTTCCAAGTTGGCTCCCGCAGCAAGATGACGACTCCAGCCTGCCGCCTGAGGATGCGAGATTGCTTGATCATCGCTGCGTATCAAAGGCCTAGCTATAGTTGTCCTAAGAAACGGTCTAAAGCTGCGCTGGAACTTGACGTTGTCAACGCACACGACCACAAAAACACGGGGAAATTTGGGGCGCATCCAGGGGCAGCCAAAGGGGGCCTCCCGAGTCCCAGGGGGCCACTAGGTGGGAGACATCGAAGAGTCATCGGCCTGATTTGGCAATTGCTTGGACTCGTGAGCCATCCTGCGAGAAGAAACCGGCACCATTGCACTGGATTACGTGGGGCCGCTTCAAGGCTGGAGACGTTTCGACAGAAACACATGTGCCATGTCCAATGTTTCCCCAGGACTGTCCAATTGCTGCCGTGCACTGGCTCCTTCTCCCCTGGCGGAGCCAAGTTGGAAGGTCGTGGACGCGAATAGATGACGACCGGGCTGTGACCAATCAGAACCGGCGCAATGCTGGGAGAAGCCGGAAGGCGCGGGATTGTCGGGGAGCTTTCCCTGCCTCCATTCGGGAGCCACTCAGGGAAGGATCAAGTTCCCACTGCCCAGTTCCGTCCTGTCGGGAAGCTGCCACCAGCCCCGCCTTTCCATTCCGTTCCCACCCTCTGCGATATTTCGCCCATCACTGGCCCCTGGCTGGACAGCTGCACCGGTACTTCCCCGCCGGTAGCGTCTGCTAGTTATAGTGTACTCATTGGTGATTCACCACCAGATTCCCATCCGCGCACGCAAATTTTTCAACACCAAATCCAGGGCCCATGAAAGCTGAGGCAAACCCTTTGCTCAGCTCCCACCGCCTCTGGCACCGATGATCGTGGCTGGACCGCTGGAATTATTGTTCAGTGGTAGGACTGGCACCGCTGGCCAGCTTCGACCTCTGGATAACACGGGTCCCTGACCTACGATTAGACACTGCCAGCAATGCTTTCCCAGCCACAGCCGTTAACTTCGAGTGAAGTGAGTGTTGGCATGAAGCTATGGATCGCCGCCGGCAGCAACACGAGCGGAAGAAGAACAACAAATCGTCGACGTCAAATTTCAACCCGCTTTCGCATTTCCAAATCCCCTCCTGCAACCCCTTGTTTGTCTCCTTTTCTGAGAGTCTGACACCCAGCCTGTTACGGATACTATGTAATGTACCAACGATGTAGTTCTCTATCCCATGTCCTTGGGCCTGCCCGTCCCCGTCGTCCATCCCTTGCATCCGCGGACGAATGGCGGCGCGCCCAAACTGGCAATGTAATCTGCCCCTCCAAGTCCCCGTGGACCCTTGGCTCAAGGGTCACTTACCGCATTTCCCTGAATCTCGAAGACGGCCCGGAGATGGCGATGAGATCTTCATTGCCAATTGTCTCGTCAACTACACAATAGAGGCGGGGGGCCATTCTGGGTCAGACTACGGATAGCCTGGCGGTGAAAAGCTTCTTGGTCTCCCTGTCGTTACTACCTTATGTCCTAATATAGATGCTGGCGAGGTCGTGCGCTAACAGACGCGACGCGCCGAGACAATTGAGAAATCGAGATGCACCCGGAACTCCTCCTCCGCAAAATTGGAGTGGCCAAGCACCTGAATTTCCCGCAACTCGTGGGTGCGCCTCACATCCTTCTCATCACGAGGCCATTCCTCCACGAAAAAGAGCCGCAATCGATTCTGCGGCACGGCACAGGGCCTCAGTCTCATAGATTCCAAACCAGGATCTTGGTCAGGCACCACCTCCCGCCAGACATGGATGGCCATGGGTGATGTGTGCCGCAATGCACAGGTACTAGCCGGTGGCCCTTTAGGCTCCGAAGGCTCACGAACGCAACACATCAGACTCGGAGGAACGGGCTTCTGGTTGAGCCGGCTTACCTCCGCCGCCGCGGATTGTGCGAGCGTTATCCCCGTGCCTCATGATAGATACCCTCTGTTTGTCGACCGCCGACGGGTTAGGTCGTCTGGCAGTGCCGCTACCTGGCCGCTGGTTTTGTTCCGGTTATTGCCTGGTCATTTCTGATGCCGTCACCGCGGTTTGGCCAGGGGTTTGCGGCTTATTCATCACCCCTAATGCGCTGCAACCTGCGCCCGTCCGGGGACTTCGCCTCCGCCTGTCACCGAGATGTGTCGGCTCGGGACTCGGTGTGGGCTGTGGAGGATCGACGCCCGTACCCAGTCGGCCCAGTCTTGACTTCACGTTCACGTGGGGCGCAGCTTGCCGCCGCAAGGTGCGAGCGGTGCCGTGCAGAGCTAGCATCAGGGAAGACGCACTGTGCATCATTACGCGGCATCCCGACTTGGTCTTCTTGTTTGCATATCTCTGCTTCTTAGGTCCACATCGGATTGACAGAGTGACTCCGAGATGGACATCCGATCATCTCGGATTACAATGGTGTTGCACGATGCATCGGAAATCGTGAAGGGCTGAGCTCGCTGCATTGAACATACGCAACCATTATCGAGTGATGGATAGGTGAAAAACGAATACAAAACAAAACCGCATACTTCATCGAAAATCTGCAGCCTCGGTCAAGGAGTAGCAAGCCCCTTACTAACTTTAGAAATGAGCTTACAAGTCCATCCCACACGCCTACTTCCATCACCTATGAGGGCCAACTACTCCATGCTACATACATATCCATATATCACACACTAACAGCGTCTACAAAATTTGCCATCATATACACCATTGAAAAACGTAGAGTTCTTAGGCTATACAATACGTACAAGACTATCGATATCGCAGCTGGCTGGTAGAGTAAAGTACACGTAAACGCCTCATGACGAGGTCCTTCCTAATGCAACGACTTGAAGTTCGCATGACAAGCAACGCTTTCACGCTTTGCAGCTCACAGCGCACTCTCAGGGGGAACTGGCTCGGAGGCTTTCCCTGATATCAAAGCGTATCTTCCACGCCAGCGGGGTCTTTCTCCGTGAAGTTCGACAGCCTATGTGAAGGAATCCGGGCAATTTGAGCTTTTCATAGGCAATAACCCGATTCCATTTCGATGCACACGAGGTCCACGTCGTAATGATAGCAGAGGACCGAAGCAAGTGTCACGATAGTATCACAAAGAACAGTAAACTGCATGGTATGTTTGTTTTAACGTGTTTGATTGATTCATCTGCGGACCCAAGTCTCGACCATGTTCTGATCACCTGGCCTCATCTCTCGGCAACGCAGCTTTTCGCATGCAGCCTCCTCGCGTACCTAGTGGTATCGTTCTTTTCGAAACAAAACGGTCTCTTTCTTTCCTTCCCTCTCAAATGTGCGTACGACGTATCGTCATCGCCATGAGTTCCCATCCGTAAACGCCGTCGCTTGCTAAAAAAAAAAAAGTATTGTGTCCCAGGTATCATAGTACCGTGCCAGTCGCTAGTTGTAAGGAAACAAACGCTCTCAAACATTTTCTTCCCGTGCAAATGCACCATCCTGGGTGTTCCAGTTGCAGCTCCATTAGGTCCAACTCTCATTAGGGTAGTGGTGGTGTAGTAGTTTAGTAGTGGTCTGATGTAATGATGTTGTGGTTGTTGATAGTTGATAGTGATATTGGTTGATAAAAGAGATGATGTTGTGAGAGTTGAAGTATGGTGTTGTTGTAGAGACTGAAGTCATCTATCTGTAGGAACTGCCAACGGTGGAGATGGAGGCGCTGGACAAGACGGGCTGAATGGAGAAGAGAGGGCGAGCAGGGAAGTCGGAGTCGAAATCGGCGATGCCGATTCGGCTGGCGACTGCTTGTTCCTTGAGCATAGCGATCCTGGAAGGCTTGTTAGTATACTGTAGGCAATGTGTGGGACAAAAAGAGGTATCAACTTACTCATCTGCGCTGATACCGGCGAGGTCGAGGTTGCACTTTTGGAAGTTGAAGGGAGCAGAAATCTCGGAGCCGCGCTGCTTGACCTCCTTCCTGTTGCGGCGGATCATCTTGTTAAGGAAGACCTTGAAGCCGTCGTTGGAGTGCATGGCTGAGTCGTTTTGCATTTTGATGATGGTGGTGGTGGCGGTGGCGGTGGGAGTGATGTATGGTACTGATGGTATTGAAGATGTCGAGTGCGGTTGGTGGTATTATAAGTCAACGCGTTGGTCGATGTACGTAACTCCAGTGTGGCGGTTATACACAGGGATAAAAGTTGTTTGTTGTTGTTGACGATGATTGAAGGGATGGATGCTGTTGATTCTTCAACTATTGTTGTTGTTCGAGATTCTGATGATGTGGGTGGACAGATGGTGAGATATATATCTTTCTAATTTTTCCCCCTTGTCTCGTAGATCTCTGAAGAGGTTCTGCTGTTCCTGCGTCTCTTTGCTTTTTTTCTTTCCAGCTCTCTGGTTCCCTGGTGTGTGTTGTTGTGTGGATTAGGCTCAGCCTTGGGAAGTGCTAGCAAGCTTGGATTATTGGATCGTTGTCTAATTTGAATCTGCTTGGTGTGGATGTTGGATTGATTTGAATACTGCTGGAATAAGCAACGAGGGAGACAGAAGGAGAGAAGGGAAGCGAGCAAACTCATATATCTATTCCCAGATCGGTGGACTCAAACCACACACCAGGGTAGGGTGGTGGTGTGCAACGAGCGAAAAGAAGGAAGGAAGAGTGCCGCGCTAGTTTGTTGAAGACGTGCGTAAGGCACGTACGTCCCCGGGAACGATCGCACGCCCCCCTCCCCTCCCACTCCATCCACTTTGCGCACGCCCACTACCATACACCCCCCCTTGTCCACGTCCGCCTCTCCGTACGTCGCTGTCCCCCTTCGGATCTGGACCTGACGCCCTTGGGTGGTGTGTCAGTCATCTCATCAATGCCAAAAGCATCTGAGGGAGGGGGAGACGGATAGTCGGGGAGCGGAAGAGGCGGGGGAGGGGAGGGGGGGTGTGT